TTTTCCTCTTATATTTTATTTAACTTAAAATTTTTACATTAAATCATCAATTCAAAAACATATAAAATTAAAGCAGAAAATGTTGATTTTTTTAAATTTGTAAAAATAGTTTTGATTACTAGTAAGCATAATTTATTTAAGCATGAATGTGAAATGTAAAATAAGGCTTATTTTTTAACCAAAAAGGAAAAAAAATAAAGCGAAAGAGAGAGAAATAAGATACATACAAGCTTAACACTCAAGCTACTTTCATTGATTTTTACTTGATACATACAAACTTACTTATTAATTTAATTACTTTTACTAGCAAATAAAGCAATAAATTTTCAATTTTTTGGTACTTTATCTTTATAAAAAGAATAAAACCATTTGGGAAGAACCAATAAGCAAAGTAAAAAAGAAAAAAATAAATTAAAAAAATGAAAAAAACAATCAAATAATAAAGAAAAGAAGGTTGCATTGATTAAGAATCAGCCTGTTTTCAAATTAAATTGTGCTATTGATTTATTAAGTTTGAAAGAACCAGAAGATAGTATAATTATTATGTTTGTTATTTAATAAAGTAAATTTTGTGAGAAAGAGAGATAAAGAGTTAATTAAATAAATACAAATAAACAAATTATTTAACAATAATTGAATATTGATATTTGATTAAAATTGCAAAAAAAAATTTATATAAGTACATACATAGATAATACAATCAATCAATAAGTTTTATGAAGAATAATCAGAATAATTCAGGCACATTAAAGTTGCCTCAAGCTATTGATTTTTCATTAAATTAGCGCATCTAATTCAACTCACCTCGCTTCAATGTGGAGGAAAACGCTAAACTTAGTACTCCTAATCTGAAGGCTAATGTGTTGAGTTCTAGCAAAATCGGCTTTAAGTCTAATTAGTCTAGTCTATAATTTAATAACTAACAGCTTTAATAATCTTAGCAACCATAATTATTGACCTCATAGAGTCCTCTGCAAAATTAATTGTAGCCCAGCAGCATAAGCTCAACACCAAAAATATTATCATTTAATTAAGAGCAAAAGCGAGGATTTTCAGCTAAGAAAAAAGAGTAGGAGTAGTCAACGAATTCTATTTCAGGTTATGTTTAAAAGTTTTTTCAACAGCAATAATAGTAGCATTAATCCTCATCGTTATCAAATCAAAATGAAGCAATAGATATTAATAGTTTATCGAAATAAGCAATAAGAAAATAGCCAGTATAAGCTCCTTACATGATAAAAAAACAAAGTATTGGGAACTTTTAGACTGTAGATATAAATTTAAACTCTCTTTCACCATCTTCAAATAGTATAAATAGCTAAAATTTACCTCTATCTCGTAAGGCTTCTCATAGAAAGACCCAGAGTACACTTTTAAATTAGTAGTAGCCAGTTTCATACTCATAAAGCTACTAACTCAATAATTTTTAAAAATCTAAGGATTTTTCAGCAGAAGAAGTATTTTCTGATGAAAAAAATGCTTCCAAAAGCACTACAAGCTAAGAAAAAACATTCAATAATATTTCAAAGAACTAAAGTGTTTCAACTAATATCCCTTAACTTCCACTTAATTTCAGTTCAACTCCTTCATTAAGCAATCCTCTTAGTCAGAGTAATATTTTATTATTAAATAGGCAGTTTAAATTACAAATAATTGCTTGCTTACTTACTTATAATTTAATAGTTAATAGCTAAGTATAGAATATCTGATTTAGATAAATTAACATATTCGAGCATGAATAATTAAATTAATGAATGAATTAGAATACTTTGGATTGAGCCAATAGAGATAATTATTATACATCCATATAATTATTTCCTTAGGTTATTTTATAGTGCAAGTTTAATTAATATTTTTACTTGATTTTTAAATTCATGCAAGAGAAAAATTTTATAATTCAATAAATAGATTGAAACTTTCGAGCGCTTAAAAAATTATCATTCCCACAAATATTTTTATTGAAAAATACTTATAAACACTATTCAGCACTATAAGTTAAGTTTATTCTAATAAAAGGAAATATTAGATATACATTTTGAACAATTATAATATTTAATTATAATTATTCTTCTACAAAAATTTTGTATTATTTCCATTAAAATTTAAATTTTGGAAGGATTGTAAATTAAAAATCATTAATAAGAATAGATATCAACATTATTGATGAAAAAACTTTCTTTTAATAGCCTAATTAATTAATTTTATTAAATTATATTTACTGATTTTTTTTTTAATAAAAAGATAAAAACTAGATATTATTAAGTAATTATATCACAAAAGTTAACAAAGGTAAACAAACTATCATCTTTTAAATCTTTTTATTCAACTATTTTAGTCAATATTTTTTGAGAGAAAATTAATTTTATTGAACAGATTTTTATTCATTTAATTATGAATAAATTTTTTTGAAATTAAATTAATATAGATGACTCCAATGTTAAGACAAATTCAGTTTTTCAACCTTCTTCACCATACTTCAATCAATAAATTACCAATATATAGTAGTCAAGTACTCAAAATGAGAAACTATAACATGGCTAAAGCAATCTTAATGAAAATTAAACAAAATCTGCAAGATCAACACCTAAGCATAATTTTGCTCTAGAGGCAAACTAAACACCAAAGCAGAAACCGGCTGAATTAGGATATCATCCTTTCTCAGCTAAGAATTCTTCATCTAAAAAAGTCTTTGGATAAAACATCTTATCAAATAATTTGTAAACTAATTAAAGAGGAAATCGCAGTAGTTCTGGACATATAAGTTTAAATATAAAAAGTTAGAATTAAAAAGGTGAGGTTATGATACAAAAGAAGCTTGAGCAAATCAACACAGAAAGAGTTGGTGCAGGCAAAAGTTACAGTTTTACTTAAGGTCAACTTCAATAGGTATTAGCAAATAGCAATTCAAACATGATAGTTTAGAACTCTAATACAAATAGTTCAAGTCCCTAGTCTGATCAGTAACAGTTCTTTGGAAATAAGCTAAGTAGCCAACAAAGAAAATAAAATATAGGAATAACCACTCTTTAACAAAACAATTCGTAGCCTATCATTCAAAATGCTCACATCATTAAAAAAGCTAAAATCGAGATAAACAGAAAAAAGTAAGCTTCCCATTCAGATCTTGAAAAGGATGAATCATCTAATTAATCTCAAGGAGTAAACTCCTAAACTGAGAGGTAACAAAGAAAAGAACCTTAAAGTAACTTTAACATTTAAATTTAGAGCAATCAAAATTATAAAGATAAGATAGTAAAGCAATAGTAATAGCTAAGCCTTCTTGTTTCATAGTAAAAACAAGAGTAAATAAACGATTTTGAATTCGATATTAAAGACAAAAATGATGAGAAAGAAACTTAATCTTGCGAGAGTGAAAACTCAAGCATAAACAATAAAAACAACTTAAAAAATATGAATATTAGCTCAGAAAATGTAACTCCTGTGAACAACAATACTACCAATAGTAATAAGAAAGCTCTTGTGAGTAAACTGCATGACAAGTAACACCCAGAAGTATAATATTATCACTATGGCTTAATGAAAGCATTTAAAACTCCTTATCCTATGGATCAAATGTCAATATTATTTAGACAACATTTCTTACAAACCTGCCAAGGAGTACTTTACTCCAACCTTGCAAGACCTGTAAATCCGAAAGATTTAGTTGCAAAAAGAGTTCAGCTTGGTCCTCGTAATCCAAAATGTAAAATTTTAAACTTCATCTTTCAATCAAAACATTCATTTAATTTATAATAATCAAAATTAAAATATTATTTAAATATAGATAAAAAAACTTTGATATTTGATATGGATGAAACCTTAATTCATTGTAATGAAAGTGCTTCAACACCTTCTGATGTGATTGTTGATGTTAGATTCCCAACTGGAGAGTTTATTTAAGTAAACTTAACATTTAATAATTTTTTGCTAGCTATTTATATAATAATTACTTATTAAAAAAAGGCTGGCATTAATATCAGACCCTACGCTATTGAAATTTTATAAGAATTGAGCGAAGAATTTGAAATTGTTATATTCACTGCTAGTCATAGTTGTTATGCATAAGCTGTCATAGAATACTTAGATCCTCACAGAAAATATGTGCACCATAGATTTTACAGGGATTAATGCATTTAAACTCCTTAAGGAGTTTACATAAAAGATTTGAGAGTTTTTTAAGATCGCCAATTAAATGAAATAGTTCTTATTGATAACGCTGCTTATTCATTTAGCTTTTAAGTTGATAATGGTATACCAATCGTCCCATTCTATGATAATAAATCTGACACTGAACTTTTACATCTCTGTAGCTATCTTCGAAACCTTCATAATGTTAATGATGTGAGAGCTTACAATCGCCAAAATTTGAAAATGCATCTTTTCAATGAGCCTGAAGGTCCACAGAAGGTGTATGAAAATCTCTATAAAAAAAGCTTATGAATATTAATTAATAAAGCAAATACTAAAACTAAAAAATTAAGATTATGAAACATCTGTACAGGATAAACAAATAATTATAAATAAAAATTTACAATAAAATAAATTAAAAAAATTATTTTTGGTAATAAAATGAATGACTGAAAAACAAAAATTATATAAAATCAAATAAATAGTCTAATAACTAATTGGTTTTATAAAATAATTAATCTAAATTCTTAATCTTAAAGCAATCTCTTCAGTAAAATATCAATAAAATTAAAAATATTATATTATTATCAAATATATTATCAATTTAGGTATTTATAACTAAAATTATAAATATAAATAAATTTAATATATAATAAATTAATTCATACATTCTCAACGATTCATTAAATATTATCATTAAATTCAATCAAAGAAATAAAATGATATTTTTTCTACACTTATTTCCTTTTGTTCATCAATCCTTAGAATATAATCAATTTATAATATTTAAAGACTGACTTTTCAAAAAATAAATGTTAGTTTTAAATGTAAATAAATTAATTATTATTTTTACTAATCTAATTTTTTAGAGTTGCATGAATTTATATTTTAAAATTATTTATTATCCTATCATTTATCTTTACTAATCATTGTATGTTTGTTCATAATTATAGATTGTACTTATTGAAAATGCCCCAAAAATTTTAGTTAGAGTTCAATTAGAAAAACCATTTTTTATATTGCACACATGCATATGACCTGTGCAAAAATCATTTTGAAATTATAATTTACATTGATATTGTTTCATATAATTTAGCATTTACGTATTTATAATGTAATTATTATATACTTTACTCCTCATTATGATTTAAATGAAGCCATCCAAGGGAGAGGAGAAAATTTATTTAATTTTCATTCAAATTTTGATGAGCGTGAGCGCATGAGCGCATGAGCGCATAACCAATGAATTACCATATTTAATACAATTTTCTTAATTAATCAAATTCTCAAAATGCTTGCATATTAGTAAAGCAAGCTATTTGGTTACAATAATTAATATTATTATAATGAAAACCCTTTATCAAAAGAGGTGTTTTTTATGATCCAGTAAATTATAAATAGAAATCATAATAATTTCTTCATTTACTAAAAATATTCTATCTTTAAAAATAAGTGAACAATAAATACTAATTCTATTATAATTTAAATTTATTAATTATATCTTATATTTTCCACTATCAATTAGCCATTTAATTTAAATTATTTTAATAAAAAAACTTTGAAAAAATATTTAGGTATTAACTCTGAGTTAATATTTGAGCTAGCCTCTTGTTTTTGAAATCAGGTAAAATATGAATCAAAAATTAGAAGATATAGAATGATATATTATAGTTATTAAATAAATCAAAGTTGCTATAAAATTAATTAATTTTATGAAAAAATCTAAATAAGTTATTATATAGATGCTTAATCTAAATTTCAAAATTTAATTTCTCCACTTATCCTCTTGTTTTACTAATTTTATTATTTTGAAATCTTTAATAAGGTGAAAAAAAATTCAGGCTATCTTAATATAACCAGTATTTGCTATAGATGATGATAATGACTTAAAAAAATTTCTTAAAAAGGCTTGGAAATTTAAATATAAACTGTATTATCTAAAAGAGTAAGCGCTTATTTTTATGAACTTACAATTTAATAGACATAATAGCCTTTACCCTATTCTATTTATGCTGATTTAAATTTTTCAATTTTCTGAGCTTTTTAATGAATCCAACTAAGATAGTTTTGTGTTTATTTTTGTGATTGATTATAGAATAAATTCATATATGAGGTTGATTAACATTTAAAAGAAAATAATATATAAAGCACGAAAATTTATTATTTAATATTATTTTGTAATATTGATCATAATTAATTAAAGTTTTTTTTAATTTTATTTTGATTATGAATTTTTTTGTTTTTGTATATATCTTGAATTTAATTGTTGAAAATACTATAAAAATATAAAAGTTAATAAATACAAATCCTCTCTTTAAAAAATTAATAGAAGTAAAAAAGTAATAATAATCTTTAGCATACTAAGTTCATTTAAAATCCTCTTCAAATAGCAATAAAGATAGCAAATAAATTAAATTAAATGTTAATTTGGACTATCTGCACAGTTCTCTTTGCAGTATATGCAAGGTGTGGTACTCTAACACCTACGAACAGTTAATCTTTACTGGCATACTCCTCTAACAAAGGAGAAAGTACATACTACTAGTTTTAGTTTACTCCATAAAATGGTATTGGAAGTAATGCTAGCATATAAGTAATATTCCCCAATGATTTTGACTATATATCCTTCCCTGATAATCCAGATTGCTACTTGCAATTAGGAGCTTCTGCTTAGTTTTAATCTGCTAATTGCACAATCACTAAATAAGGCGTAGCAAATGTTCAAGCAGGAAGCATTCCAGTAGACCTTATAACCATAGTCGTAGGTTAAATCATAAATCCTAAATTTAAAGATACTTCAAGCTAATTTAGTGTCAGAACATACTACAATACAGTACCTGTTGATATTAATGATATTTTCGGAATAGTTTCTTTCGCAGCTTAGCCATGTAGAACATTTGAATTCTTTGTATTTTCGTTTATATATTTGATTGAAATAAATATTGGTTAGATCAAAAAACATAAAATAATCAATCTAATTTAATAGAAAAATAAACAATCTTAAGAAATTTAGTTTTTTTGTATCAATAAATCCACACTTTCAATCAAATATTACATCCCCACAGTACTATTAAAGGAAAAACGATTAGTTAAAATAAATCAATCAAATTTAAATAAATTTTTTTTCTGAGAGGGCATATTAAGTATTTATTGGAGTGTAAACACTAATATTTTAATAAATTGTGGATTAAGTAATTTGTAAGGAAACAAAGTTAGTTACTTTTTTATTGTTAATTTACAAATAAAATAAAAAATCCCAGCTTTAAGCATTGAAAATTCAAATAAACTTAGTAAATAAAATAAAATCATTTTATAAGTAATTCAAAGTAAACAAATTCTAATTTTTGAATCAACTTAAAAAACCAATAAAATGATCTTATTATTTATTTAAAGTAAACAATTAGATTACGAAAAAGCCAAAAAATTGTGATTGTACAAAATATTCAAAAAATAAATAAATTGTTTACAGACTAAAATCTTAATTAGAAATAATTATAAATTCATTATTTAAATAAATAGATAAATATAAATTTTACTTTATATTAGCTTATTTTAATAAAATCTTATTGAATGGTATTTAATTATTTATTTAGTATAAATTTAGAATCCTAATGTCTATTAGATGAGCAATGGCAGGATAAGTGAAGGATCAAGTTGGGAATTTGATTTTATACCTTAGAAATCATATTCTTCTGGAAATAGTTTCAGATTCACTTTTCCTGATGGTTTTAACTCAAATAAAGTACTCTGTAACGTTTAGGGATTAACTGGAAATGACCCAATCACAACTGTATCTTTTAACAAAAGAATGATTACTTGCTAGAATGTAATGAACCCAATTTAAGGAAACCAAGTTGTCAGAATCATCAACATGAGAAATCCAAATTTTAGTGGTATTATGCAAGGTTTTACTATCGAAATTCTTTAAGGAACCTCCACTGTAGTTTTAGAAAAGATATAATTCCCTGGAAATATAATCATTAGCCCTGGATAACCTACTATCTCTTATGTTTCTAGTGATCAGTTTAAGTATTCAAACTCTACATACAGCTTTTTTATTAATCTCGTAAATCCAGTCTATGCTGGAGACAAGCTCTACATCAATTTCACTAGTGAATGGTTTTTATTTAATCCTAATTGCACAGTTATCAATGGGTAATTAATTTTATTTTTCCTTCTTTTATGCAAGCTTAAAAAGATATTTTGTATTTACTATAAAATCAAATAAATCACTTTCGACTCTTAATTAATATTAAAACCAACCAGAATCAAGATAAAATTCCTACTAACCATACAAATATTAATTAATTAATATTATTATTTATTCTCTTTGTTTAATATCCAGATTTTAATTATCCAAAATAATTCACGCTGATTTTATGTAATCAATAGGTTTTAATAAATTGGTAACCAACCTGTCAGATGCTCACTAATTCCTAACTCAGAATCTTACGTCATTGATAATTTCGATCAAATAGATAAAACCCAAAGACTAGTACTCTCTATCTTTTTACAAACTCCAAAAGCATAAAATCTATATCCAGTAACTTTTTACCTTTTTTTCATTATTAAGTCATAATTGGCAAGTCTTAAAATATTCCTATCAATAATTTTATCTGCTTTTTGTTTAAAGTTTAAATAATTAATCGAGAAAGGCTAATGCTTCCAAGTTTCTTTTTAATTACTTTTTTACAGCCTTTTTTAATTTATTTTGTTATCAAATTTCCATAATATTCATATGAGTCTATCAATCTAATCATTTATTTATATAGTTAGAAGAATTTATTAAAATATAAACCTACTTTTTACCATTGAATTCATCAAAGAATTTTCAAAATTAATTATCACTTTTATATTAGGTTACAATAGCTACTTATAATACAAAAAGAAGTGCTATAGTTGACTTAAATACAGTAACTGTTTCTATCAATGCTACATATGGAGTAGTCAAATAATTTGTTGCTCATCCTTTAAAGTAGCCTTAAGTCGCTTTAGCAGGTAAAACAGGCTCATTAGAAATGACTTTTTTCTTGAAGACCTATTTACCCAATTCTGATGTAGATTCATTTGGTAAATTCAGGGTTGATATCTTTCCACAAATTCCTATTCCTCCTTCAAGCACATATGGACCAGTAAAATGCTACTTCTATGGAGATATACCCTCTGCTAATGAATGCTCAGATACAACTCAATCAATTTTTGCTACAAATGCAGATCTATCTAAAACAACAATTTATATGTATACTCCAAAAGATTATAGCTATTAAAGAAGTGAAGTACCCATCACAGTAACTACCACTGGTTTAGATTAAAATTACTACAAAGGTTTTGCTCTTGATCCTCTTGTTTAAAGATACTATTTCCATGTCCATATATGGAGTAGGCAAAATACAGGTATAGCACTTCCTGCTGCTAATACTCCACCAGATATTCCTCCTAATGATAACACTCCTCCTGATGAAGTTTACTTCCAAGAATTTATACCTGCATATAGAGTTATTGATGGTCCCCCAGATCCTGATCTCACTAAATTAACACTCCCTAATAAGCCCACATACCTCACTGCTCCCAATCTTAACTTTGCTTACTACGAAACTGAAGCAAATTAATTTACTTATGTTTCTGTCACTTATACTCACTAAGACACAGCAGTTAAAAGCTATACTATTAGATCTCCATAGTCTAGAAATTACATAATGCGTATTTACTTTGTTAGCGGATGGGCAGCTGGATTAGGTTACACTACTCCTGGTTCTGATAAGATAATTAAAAACTATCCATGTTTAATCAATGGTAATATCAATTATAATAACCCAGCCACCCCTTAATCAGCCTGTGACTTATTTATCGGAACACCAACTCCTTACCTACAAGTGAACAATCTGTAAACATTAAATTTCGATGTGGGTACTTATGTCACAGTTATAATTCCAAGAGTTAAACTTGCTAACACTCCTGGAGTTGTATGCTCTCTTAATGTTGAAATAGATGAAGAAACTCCTGGATTCAGAGAAGATGTAGTAATAGTTTACAAATCTTTAGACCGAATTCTCTTTACAATAACCAATCCTCCAGGTTCAAATTAATTATTTTATTAAATTTAATAGATTATTTATGAAAAATTATTAATTAAATGAAAAGAATAAAAAAATTTTTAAATTAAATTAAAATACATATTGAAATATTTTTAAAATTCTATTATTCAAATTTTAACAAAATTATTTGAAAAAAAGCTGCATAAACTTCTGGATTAACTTTTAGTCCTAGCACATCAGTACTAAATTAAAATCCAACATACTCTATTACTTTTAGTCAACCTGTTACTACTATCAATATGGTAACTATTGATTGGGATCCTAATTTACCCATTTCATTCGCTTAAGTTGACTGTTCTGGCACTTCAGGAATTATTACTTGTACTAAATTTGGGGCACCTGTTTGGTAAATTTATGCTACTGGTATTGGTGTTTAATAATCAACTGTTAATATAATTTTGCCATTAAGTACTAGCGTTAATCCTGCTTACGAAATGACTTTGACTTTTGTTGCTAGATCTTATGGTACAGATTTCAAATAGAAAGTTAATAAAATAGGTACTTTTTATTTTCCACCTTTGGTTATGACTACTTCTACATTTACTTCTCTTACCACTTAACCTAACTATTGGTTTCAAGTAAGTCTTAATATTTAAAAATATTTATTTTAAAAGTTTTATTATAATTTAATAGGGTTATGTTTCATCTCACCAAATTACTTTCTAGCTTGTATAGCCTGTGCCTGATAATTGGTATATATAATTTGACTTTCAAGGAGGTATAACTGTTAATAATGATGAATACTTTATTTTTTAGAATAATGATAACACCGTTTTACAAGCTTTGGACTAAAGAGGTGTTTTGTTATCATTTTAAGGGAGTACCTTTGTTATTTGGAATCTTAAGGCTGTTGCAGCAACAAAGATAGTATCAGTTAGTCTTTCTCTTACTCTCCCTTTAACTTTGACATGCGCTGCAGCAGTTGCAATAAAAACTGAGTATTAAAATGGATTTTCAATGAGAAGAGTTAACTGGCTAAATCCACCAACAAATCATGCTGACGGAGTTTTCTAATTAAATCAATTAGCTATGGTTGACTTTAAAGTTATCAATCCTATTAATTACTTGATTATACCATAAGAAAGCTAAGTGGCTCCTTTTAACTTTAATTTCACTCCTGATGTTACATTGAAGGTTGGAGACACAATTACTCTAAGTTGGATTATGTAAACAGGAGCACAGAATGGTTTCGCATACTAAATAAACCCTGTAACAAGCAATCCTTACACTATAATTTGCTCTATTAATGGTGCCAATTATCCTTGCACTGCTAGTTCCACTTCTACATTTTTAGTTGTAACTATAACACTTAACTCTAGTTTGGTTGCTGGAGTTTCCTACAGCTTTTAGGTTTCAACAGATATTGCTAGCAATTACAATGGTTTAATATACCCAACAACTGGCGGTTATTATCAATTTAAAATTTCTACATATACTTTAACTCCTCCTTCTAGTGTATATACATAGAATTTCTCACAGTATATATTTATTCGCCCTAAAGACTTTACTGATCTCACTTTCAGTTTTGCTCATACAACAGCTTCAAGTCCTACTGTTTATGAAATATCATTTATCTTGAATCGTCCGGTTAATGCTTATTCTTAAGGTGGTAGATTTATAATATATTTCCCCATTTAGTCAGGTTCTAATGCCAATTTTGCATCCGATCTTGGACTTGGTTCAAGTAACCCTGGTTGCTGGTTCAATAATGCATTCAGTAAAGAGTCATCAGCCAATAAATTAATGTGTGTTCTTACTCAAGCTGGAACCGCATCTTCAAATGCTATTCTTAGTGAATACAGCGCAAGACTTGAAATAATAAATTTCTAGGCTTTAACTGCAGGAACAAGCTACCAAATAATTATTGGTAAGATAAAAAATCCTGCTATGAGCTCAAGTCCCTTCTAACTTACATTTATGACTTATAACATTAATAACTAATACCAAATCACTTATTTAAATTCTATGATTTAGAATATTTACATTGGAGAAACTAACGACTCACAAACTCCTTAGACATCTACATAAATGATTACATTCAATGGTAAAGTATAAGATGCTAACTAAGACTTAGTTCACTCAATAATTAATTCTTAAAGTAGCATGTAGGACAGTGATTATTTTGTAGCAGAATATCCATCAAACTACTTTTCTTCGACGAATAACCAAGGAGGAAATTAAAACCAAGGAAATATCAATACTTGTGATACCTCTAAATATTACTACTGCATTTCAATGGATGATGTAAAATGGGTGATATGGAAAATCAAGACAACAATTGCTCAAAATACAGCCTAAAGCGCTAATATATCCTTACTTACTAATCCTCTGTTCATATCTAGGGCTGATGTTACATTTAATTCTTACTTATTTGTCTAAAAAAAGTACTAAGGACAAGTTATTGAAAAAGTTCCTATTGCATCATGGAATAGTTTAATTTCTACGATAACTTCTCCTTCTATGAATTAAGTCAATAGTGTGAACTACTATAGGTAAAGCCGCTCTGCTGCCGAAATTATTGTATAATTTACAACTTCAAGAGATCTATATGCCACAGGTTCTATTGTAATAACTTTTGATAGTTCATATGTTCCATATGCTCAATGTCGTTCAGATATTTCACTTGGAAGTAAGCTTTACTCTTCTGCAGCTAATAACTTAGGTGATATAGGTTGCTATGTCTAAGCAAACTCTTGGTATATTACAGGATTTTAAGATATGGCTTAAGGTAGCACTGTGTATATTTATGGATTAGTTGATATGCCTGCAACTACTGCTTCTTTTAGTATAACAACATTTGGAAATCAGCTCGATGCTAATATCATATCAAGTGGATATACAATTGAAACAATATCATCTGTCCCATCAATTACCTTGACTACTTTTGCTAATTTCTAATTTGACACTACTATGGCTTTAATTTAAGCTTCTCCATTGCAAGTAGGTTATACTGGAGATTTGAGAATATCAATTAAATCTTCATAGTCTTTATCAGGAACCTTTAAACTTTCTTTAGCTTAAACAAAGTTAATTGGCAGTACAACTGTAACAGACGGGTTTTAGTCTCTTAGTTCATTAAAATAATATATTATTGGCTATGCAATAGATTAAAGTAATGGTAGTATTATTCCCTTCTATTTCGATAGCACAGACGTTACTAAATATACAGAAGCATCTAATTTTATTACAGTACAGTTTACGTTATATCAAACTCTTACTGCGAACAAAAATTATATAATTGTAGTAACAACCTAATAAATGGATGCAACAAAAACTGATGGAATCATCTGGCCTTTATAAACTGGTGTCTACAAAGTTGAGATATCTTTCCCAACTTAAAAAGTAAATTATTTTAAGAAAAATTCAATCATAAAAATATTATTTAAATAAAACCCTCCAAAATATATAAATTTTTTTAAACAATGAATTTTGAAAAATAAATTAACTTTTAAAGGGGATCATTAAAAAAAATTTAATTATTTAATAGATTTTCCATACAGAATTCGTTGAAGTTTATGGTTAAAAATTTAACACTTTGAATTTTTATAGCACAAATAATGGAGTTGGGCTAAACAATTTGATTTATATTTCATTTACGCCTGCTGTTTAAATTGCTACCACAGATCAACTAATTATTGAATTTAATACACAAAGTCTTGATTCTATAAACCTCTTTGGTTCTGACTTAGGTTTAGGTATGCTAAGCTATACTTAATTAAATGCAGATTTTTTATTAGGAACTAATGCAGGTACCTGCTCATGCAGGTTATACAACGGCTATTAACCTAGTGGAGTTGCAGTAAAAGTAGTTTGCACTTAGTTTAGCTCTGTAATATCGACAAGTGCTTAAGCAAAAATCTTCTTTTAAATTGTTAATCCTAGCTCAGTACCTGAAGATACTTATATTCCAATATTCATATATTCTATTTACTAAACACCTACAGGCGAATATAAGAAAGACAATTGGTAAATAGTTGAATAATAATTCAATATAAAATCATCTGCAGTTTCTACTTCTGGAACAACAGTAACCCCCACCAGATCTAATTCAGCTATGGGTGCATCTAATATATAAATAACTTTCTAGGTACCTGTAGCCTTTTCTTCTTCAGACATGCTTATTATAAATATAAATGATTTGAATATTCCAACACCATCTACAGTAGATTAAACAAAAGTTTCTTGTACTTCAGGTACTATGTTCTTATTGGTAAATAATAAGATTCTAGCTTGCTAGTTTAATAGTGCAGTTACTTCTGGGTCAAACATAATTTTTTAGGGATTAATTTCATAATATTATTTTTCTAACCTTTTCACAGCTTTATCAACAACATAATTAACTTTTAGTGCATATGCTTCTTTCCTCAGTAATAAATCTACTTAGTCCCTCCAAATTAGCTGTAATTCCATGTCTTAATTAACTCCTTATTCAGCTACAGCAACAGATATCACAATTCCTAATCCGACTTTCATCCCAACTTCAACTATTTATTAATACGTTGATGCACTTTTTGAAATTAATTCAATAAATTTAAATTAGGTGACTTATATCAAATTTACTCATTCACTTACAGGAATTACTCTAGATTCATCTAAATCTGAATGTTTAATGGCTCCAAATTCGTAAATTGAAATAATCTAATGCTACTAAGATGGAACATTATTTTATCTCACTATTAATCCTCCAAATGTAGCTACTACGAAAAAGATTTAATTTATTACTAGAAACAAACCAATGTAGCTTCCTAGCTCTACATCTACTATTTCTTATTAGCCAATTGCTCAATTTTACGATTCATAAAATAATTTGATTTTTTAATCAAACGTAGCGGTATCTAATCCTACCCTTTTTAGTCAACCAACACCTTCCGTTCCAAGTCCTATTGCTAGTTTTACTACATTTTCTGCTGGAGTTCTTGATGATAATTCTGAAACAAGATATTTTGACTAAGAACCCTTTTCTTTAACAAATACTGACTTTGGTCCATTAGTATTTAAATTTTGTCCCTAAGAAAATATTTCAATTGGCTAGACAATATCATTTATTTTTTCAAATAATCTCGTAATAATAAATTCAGCTTCATAGATAACTGGTACAGAAATATATTAATACTCTCTTTATTGCAAAATTAATGGATTAATTTAAACTTCTTGCACTTTTAATACAGGTACTATAGTAGTAACTGTAGCATAGGCATTAACATAATATACAAACTATAACTTTTATATTGACACTACAAATTAGTAGAATTATCCTTCTTTACATGGTATATTTAAATTATTTAAATCATTTAGAAGATTTAAAATTTTTAAAAATTATAATTATAATTAAATTAATAGGTTTTAAATGGAATATGCCTAATAACTCAGTATAATCCATCATGAAAGTTCAAATAAATACACCAACTTTAAAATTTCTATCAGATTTGAACTTTTTTGCAATTAACTAAGCATACAAAGTAAAGGCCATAACATCTACAACCTCAATAAATTATGCACATAAAGTAGCTGGATAAAAAAATATGTTAACACTAAATTTGAATTATGCTGCCGTGTCTGCTCCAAGCATGCTAATAGTTGAATTTGAATCTTATTCTTAAGCTAGTGGCACTTAGCTTTATAATTAAAATACTATGCACGGATTAAGTGATGGAGACCAATTTCCATGTTCAGGAGGTACAGGTAGCACTCCAATAACTTGCTGGATTCAAACTGGTTCTATTGATACAAACTCGATGATTTCAAAACCTATAAGAATTTTCATAAAAGATATGGCTGGCACGACAGGGACTTATTATTTGTTTATTGAAAACCCTTAACAAATAAATTATGATTTAAGAATCAGGATAAGGTCTATTTAAGGAACTAGTATGTTCACATTACAAGGAACGTATGAGGATTATCAGCTATTTAGAACTGTTACTAACACAGACAATGCCTCTCCTCAGTCCTAGACAATTTCAGTAGATAAACCATACTCAGATACCACAGCTTAATATACTCTTCCACTATAAAATACTTCAGGAAATGTGTTGGTGTATTCTTTAATATCAGTTACAGATTGTAATTTAATTTACTAAAATTCTTAGAGTGATATGATGTATTATTATGATGTTTCGTCTTAAACAATTTATCTGATTAGATTCACAACAGCAGCAGTAAATGCAGCTTCTCCATATAAAATTCAAAATATGCAATGTAATCCTACAACAATAACTTATTATGAAGCTTCTTCATCTTAAACATCTTGGAGAGTTAACACAGGATCTTTATCATCAACTTCAATTACAGGTTAAGCAGCAACCACATATTTTTCAATTGTCCCTTCATATACATAATTTTTCCCTATTAGCGGTTATACTAATGTCTATGGTGTCATCACATTTTAATCTTCTCAAGCTATTTCTATTCCAAGTGGATTATAATTTTAAATTACATTTTAGAATGGTATCACATTGATAGCATGCTAGGTAAGAAGGGGTTTATATTAAGGAAGTAATGATCTTTCTTATACTAGTGAATGCTCTGTTACATCAGGTACACAAATCTAAATTACAGGATTTACTGACTTAAAAGCAAATTAAGGAATAGAGATTCTTTTAAATTATGATAATGGTTCTTCTGTAGGAAGTAATCAAGTTAATATTTAGCTTAGTTCAAATTCATACACATTAGCTATAGGTAGTTTATCATTGTCCACTGCCTTAACAACTAATAATCTTGGTAACAATTCTGTAATAATTTAAAGTAGACCCACTAGTAACCAATATTTATTATCAATTTCAATAACCCCTAATACTAATTTGTATGTAGATTCTATTACTAATATTTTAAATGTAGATATAACCCTGAATAGTGAATATTTAACTAATAATTTTTTTGGAATATTCTAATGCTTATCATAATCTTCAGTCTCAATCATATCCTAATCTGCTAGATAATTTATTTATTAAAATAATTTTGTTGTTTAAAGTTCAGCTAGTAAAATAACGTTACAATTTACTGCTCAAGATACTTCTGCTAGCTGGTCTAGTGGTGATACTTTTTCTTTTACCTTAATTCTGGACAATTTAAATTTATAATAAACAACTCCATTCAACCATGTGTCATCATATCTTAGTGTTACAGTCAACTCTTATACCTAGCTTGCTTCATAGTATACTTCTACCTTGGTAGGCATAGTTTAAACACCAACCTTACAATTATATTCCTCAGTTTCTACAAGCTCTATTTCAGCAGAGGCTAATTCTCTAACAGAGATATAAATCACAGGTACTTTACAACAACCAATTTCAAATACAAATAATGAGTTTGTTGTCTTATAATTTTATGGCTAAGCATGGCCAGATGATATCATATCAAATATAGGGTCTTCTGTTTTAAATGCCTAAGTAGATTGTTTGGTGTATGTATAAGGTAGCCTACAAACTTCTGCTAAATGCTATCGTCATTATAAGAGAACTAATTACAGTAAATATTATACTAAAATTGCAAAATTATTTAAAATTTTTCTTAAACATAAATAATAATTTTTGATTTTAAAATTTAGATTCTATCTTACTTTATGATTCAATAATATCAGTTAGAGGCTTTAGCGCACTATCAGGTTAATCTCTAAACATTTACATACCTCAAGTAGCTACTCCTACAGCAAGCCCAGTTTAGTGGAGTTTGAAGATAAATAAATTTTCAGATGCTACTTTAAACGTTAGTGTATCTCAAAGTACAGGTGCTTTGACTGAAGATTTAGTTACTAGTTTTTAAGGAACTGTAGGATCTGTACTTCCTTAATCAGCTATGACGATCTCCAATTTAAATGCTTTTAAAGTAGGCAGTTCAACTCCTGCTATTACCTTAAATGGAAATTTCCAAGTAGGAGACTATATTTATATAGTAATGGTAAAATAGAGTAGTACTTCAAATGTACTTGATAGTACTACTCTTTGTGTAGGACCATCAGCTTATTTAAATTGCAGGGTTTATGGAAGTGTATAAAACATTTTTGTTTTTAATTTTTTGACTGCTTAAACTAATTTTGCTGTGTCATTATTAACTACAACTTTGAATATGATATCTTATACATAATTCAATAACAATTATGAATTCAGTTATTTTTATTACAATAGCTTTAAGTAAATTAATAATTCACCTACTTACCAATTCAAATCTGTCAGCTTTACTACTTAAAACAAAATTACCTCCAAAACTTATGCTTTGTTCCCTATTACAAAATATTTAACTACTTATTTCTATTTCACAATAATAGCTCCATAGGATTTTACATCTAATGCATAAATACAAATTACAATTTCTTCATCAAACTTAGCAATAAGTTCTTGTAGAGGATATTACCAAGCCTCATATACAAACAGAAACTCATTTAAATGTTCTGTTTCTTCTTATACTATTGCAGTCTTTATCACCTAATAAATTTCTTCGGGTTAATCAATTAATTTTCTAGTTTCTGGTATTGTTTAGGACACAAATAATTTAGTATTCTCAGTTAACTATTACAACTCATATAGTAGCTCTACATAATATACTTAAATAGGAATTGATAGTATAACTATAAATAACACAGGTAATAATTTAAGTCCAAATTAAGCTACAGTTAACTGTTTTTAAATACTCTCTTTCTATCCAATTAATTTAGTTAATTCATTATCACCATCGACTTATGCTCCAGTTCGTGTAAAGTTCTCATCTGCAACTGATATAAACTCTTCATTTAATTCATTAATTGTTTATTTTTTTACAAATAATGAATTTACTGATTAGCAATACGCTGCTGGTATAACCACTTAAAATGCTTTTTGTACTTATAAATAAATAAATTCTGATGGAACATTTTCTTTCTTATCAACATAAATTTGTACAATGACATACTCAAATCCTTTGACTTATGTCACTGCTTCATAACCGCTTCTCGGAACTTAGACTGATTCTAAATTTAATTAGAATACAGAATATGAGCTTATAATAAGCTCTTAAATTAGAACAAATAACCCTGGGCTTTCAATAGTCTCAATTTCATCTAATTTGTAAATTTTGACAGGTTTGCTAATAAATTTCTCAGCTACTCTATATGGAGAATTCACAACACCCTTCATAGCACAACAATACACTTCCTAGATATAAAACTTATATTATACTTCAAAGTCATAAGGAAGTCTTTCTAGCATTTACTTATCAATAAACACTTTAACAACAGCAGCTTATCCATCTGAATACATGGAAATAGTTATACCTGATCATGCCTCAAGTGCTTTTATAGCTCTTAGCTCATAAGGTAAATTTTAAAGTTTTATTTATTCAATTAATTAGTAAGATAAAAAGAAATATTAATCAAACTATTTTATTCATAAAAATTTCAGGTAAATAGTTGCCTTGCGATTTGTAATAAGCAACTTCACCGCTTGTACTATAACCTTTCTGTGTAGTAAATAAAAGAGGTAATGATATAGTTATAAAAATACTTTCAGTATCTGCACTCTCAGCAGGTACAATTTCAATTGCAATAGATGATATTACTCTTTATACTCCTTCAAATTTATACAACTTCTAGTTAATATTTAATAGCGTTGCATATGATACAACCTCAGTTTCGAACTAACCTCGTTTCTATAATAAGAATAGAAAGGTTATATATTACTTATTTTAAATTGGAGCCACTGCTACTCCAACTGCTTCAACTCCTACGATGAATTTATATAATAATTAATTTGGTAGCTCAAATGCATATCTTCAGTTCACTTAAAATATAGCTAACATATTAGTGTAAATATTTTCTTAGCAATTTCAAATTTTTTCATTTTAATTTTTATAAAAATTAGTAATAATGTTATCGATAAGGTTTAAATAAGACTATAAAATGGAATGTTTGTTTTACCTTAAAATCAAATAAGCTTAACAAATCAAGCTAATTTTTGTGAATTAAATACGAATTAATTCCTACCTCTGTGGGTTAATAGAAAAACATAAACATTCTATGGCTAAAAAAATACAGATTCTAATATCTAGCCATCTATAAGAAATTTAAAAGTCCCTAATGTAAATTATAAAAATAAATTTTCAACTTCTCCTTCAGTAGTTTACTCTTGGTACGTTGGAAATGTTAATACTTAAGTATGGAATGCATAAATATAAAGTTCATTAGATACAAATAATTTTAATCAAGTGGCCACAAGCTTTTCTATCGTTACTGACACATTAAATACTTTGATAACAAATGGAAGCACTTCTTGGTTAACTATAACATTAAACATAAATACAGCTTCAACTGATTTTAATACAATTAATAATGCCAATGTCATGTAAATTATACTTACTGCATAATCAGGAATAAATAATTTCTTAGAATGTTTATATATTCTAAATACCGGTGTTACTTTTTAAACTCTTCCCTGTGAAGTTTCATCATAAACATCTTTAAAAATTTCATTTGATTCATCAATAACTATAAGTTAAGCTTGGAAAATTTATGTGCGTGCTATTGTATCTTCTAATAGCTTCAAGTACGGATTTTAATTATACTAGTATGCAGACAATAGTGCTACTTCTTTATCTAATACTGTATGGTCATTCACAAGCTCCTCTACTAATATACTTACTAGCGGTGCTTATGATTCTAGTTTTACTCTTTTCACTTAAGTTGCTGCTTCAATTTAGAAATACTTTAATAACTATTATGAAAGATAAATTTAAAACATAGTCCCTGGATTTGCAAATTTAAAAGAAGGTAACTTCCAATTCTTGCCAGATTAAATTATAACTTCTGGAACCCCTATAACTTTTGCTTTCTAAAATTATCCCAATCCTATAATTGATCCTCAATCTAAAACATTATTCTGTGTTATCTAGAAACAGATATCTTAGTATTCATATGGATTTGGTAGAAAAGCAGATTGTACTCATTCAAGTGGTACATTTACAATTACAACTCCACAAAATAATATTCAAGCTAACACGATTCTAATTACAGGTAATACTTAATTGACTGATCAATTTGATTTAGTTTAAAAATAATTTTAGATTTCATTATTTCTGTTTAAATAATTTTTTATGTTTTAACTAGATAATATTAAAATTTGAAAATTTTGATTAATTTTATTTATTTAAATTTTTAATAAATTATAATTAGCGAGACTAGATATTAGTTAATCAGGAATGTTCAACACTGTATACTCATCTCCTTAGAGATAAGAAATTTAGATTTCTTACAACTCAAAAATCAATTCAGAAGTTCTTAATTTAAAAAATCCTTTTTACAAAATTACCTACACTTAATATTCAAACACTTAATTACAATGGGATTATCTTGAATTAAATCTTAGCTTGAAAGATGGTCTTTCTGCTGGAAGTGCTACTCAAGAATCAATAATCTATATAGAATTCCCTTCAGGAGTATATCCTTATGATATTGGTCTAAAATCTCTATATGCATTAGACTCTGTAACTTTTTAGAATGGTTAATAACATGACTTTAAAGGTACATCAGGATTGTCTTCAGCATTTTCTAATGCTCTCTATGGATACACATCTAAATCATAAGGTTTTAAGTTTGCTATATCTGGTTTTTCTACTCTCTCTTAATAGAATAATATGCTTATTAAGATTCCTCTTATCTAAAATGGTGCTGCCAATACATAAATTATGCTAAAAATTAGCACCCAAGTATGGAGTTCTTCTAATTAAAAATATCCTATAACTTATAATGAAATTACAATAATTAAGAACACTATATTCACTAACCCAATAGTTAGTACATGTAATTACGTAGCTGCTCCTACAGCCAATGGTTCTATTTAATAAAGTGGTTCTTCTATTTCTATTCGCTTATAAGTAAACTAAGTTGGAGCTATATCAAATACAAATGGTATTCTCATATTCAAACCAACTAAAACCTTAAATGGATATAATTTGAATAGCTGGTCTTCTGCATCTTTTTCAGGAGTTAGTGTATCAAATAAAGATTAATACTCATAGACTTAAGTAGTAGTTTTGAAATTTTCTAGCTCAACTGCAGCCAACTTAGACATGACTGCCAATGGATTTACATCAAGTGATGAATAGCTTAAGTTCCAATTTTCCTTTATGACTGCTGCATCTAACTCAGCTACTTTAAGCTACTGCGATCTGTCAGCAACATAATCATAGTTTAATTACTATTCTTCACCCTTAGGTTCTAATTCAGTGACTGTGCTTGATCCAACTTCTAACAACAAGAATAGCTACAGTATTGTTAACTTAACTTTCAATGTTAGAAAATTACCTGCTGGCTCTATAATAACTATATCAGTGGGTACTTAAGGTATTTTAAATAATCATTTTATTCATGCTATTTACTGTTCTGGAACTGCTCTTAGTACTTAAACCAATAAAGATATATCCGTTAATCCAACAAATAACGATAGTTAATTAATTATTACAGGATTTAATTAAGTAGCAAGTGGATCATAGATAGTAATACTTTTAGGTCTTAAAACATAATATACACCTTCAGGAACTTATGTTTTCAATTACATGGTAAAATATGTTAAATTATTTACTTTTTTATTAATTAATTTTATACATCTAAAAAATTTTAGTCAGTTGGACCTAACGGAGGAAAGATTGAAATATTTGATATTGGGTCAATTGTTATTAATAATCAATAGCCTATAAGGGCGTTCAGTACAAATTTCTAATTTAATCAGTATGTAGGACCTGGCTAATGGGGGCCTATAATGATCTAGTATAAATTAAGAAATACTGATGTTAATTATGCAAATAGCAATTCTAAACTATTATTAACAGTCCCATCAGGATTTACACTTGCCACAGGTGGAGTTCAAAATATTAGATATTAGCAAACAAACACACTATTTTGGGTAAATTTTTGCTTAAGATTAAAAATATTTATTAATCATTTTAAATAAAGACAAATGCTATATTCTCTTAATTGTCTTCAAATCCTATAAATATTAAACCCCCTAATACGCCATTTGATATGATTCACAACATAGAATACAATATGCTAGTAGAAACCAAAATGTCAGCAAGTAATAATAATGGTTGGTAATATCCTAGCACCTATGGATATTATCAGTTTATATTACAAGTTTTTAATCAAGTATCTAGTTTACCATAAGAAATTGGCTATGATTACTTCTTGGTAGCACCTTAACCTGACCAGAATCTTCTCTTATTTTAGCCCTTGCATAGATAGTCAGGTCACATGAATGTTTTCAGATTCTAATGGAGATTAGCTGTATCTGCTGTTACTGGAGATGAAATATGGATTGAATTCTAAACTAATAATGGTAACTATAATGATAATGGAGCATTCCTAAACTTTTAAAAATCATTTGCTAATGATTTAGGTAAAGTTCTCAATAAAATAATTTAAATAAATATTAAAATAAACTTTATAAAATAGGTACTGGAACTCCGAATAAAATTTTAGATTGTGTAGAAGGAGCTAACGCAAATATTATATCAAATTCTAAATTATTTTGTGATGTACTTTATCCTGGTGATGACACTCAAACTCCTCCTAATGAAGTACCTGCAATAGTAAGAATCAAAATAACAAACAATATTGCTTAGAACTAGGTTGTTGAATTCTTTGTAGGTGGAGTGAAAAATCCTCTTTATGATAATAGAAGATCAGTTGTTAAAGTAAGTTTAAGAAAAACAGCAACTTAAAGTGGGTTTACTTATGCAAGAAAAGTACCATATTAGATAAGTCCAGGAGAGTTTACTACAACTGCTCCTACATCATTTTTTAATGCTGCTTCACCAACTCCAGAAATTAATTATCTTCCCTCACAGCCGATAGATTTAATAAACAATTATTAAACATCGTTTTCTGCTAGCGGTCATGTTTGGGATACTGCTCAGACACATACTTGGAGAGTTTATTCACCAATAACTATGTAAAATGGAGATTGGATTTTAGTAATCTATACTCTTGCTAACAACTCTTAAATGTCTTAAACTTGTGGACCTGTTTCATAATGTTATGTTTTCCCTTCACTTGGATGGGTAATTTGGTAGATTTAAGGTGTTACTGTCCCATCTAATTACAACACCTTTTCGCTTACCAATATGAATAATGCTCTTTATAGATACAATGGTAATTTTTAAGTTGAACATTGGAAAAGCACGGGATTGCTATTGACCGCATATGCTACAAGTGGCCTCACTTATAATTTTGATTCAACAGGTATTACTATTTAGATCCGCCCAACACTCACCCCTCAAGATGTGAATATTTAAAAATATTGGCTTACAGATTTTTGGAATATTGCTTAGTTTAATATAACTGGTATATGGAAATATAAAAATATAAGATCATTTTGGGTTTATAAACCTACTGCACTTGCGTATTTTGATGTAGCTAAAAAATATTGTAATGCTACTATTTCAATTCCAAATAACTAAAGAAAGCCTTACCCATGGCGTATGAATTGCTAAATTTATGATTAAAATAGATTATACTTTGAAACAACAACAGATATAGATATAACTTTAGATTTATCTTCCTATGTAATTTCACTTTTTGCAGATATATTTATAGCAGAATTTACTCCATCAGGTCTCACTGATCCATTTATCATCTATAGTAGTGTATTGCCTATAACATCAGACAATCAAAACTATGGTGTAACATAGATTACTATCAGTATAAATGTTTCACCCTATATATAACCAGATTTGAGATAGATAACTTTTAATTAAGTTCCTTTTATGGATAGTATAGCAAGAGCTGGTGATTTAGTAGAATTTTACATGCTTTTGTAACCAATGACTCCACTTTCTTAAAATAGAATAGACACGATGGTGTTTAGGATTCCTAATGAATTTAATTATCCTGCTATTAAGAGTTTAGATTAGTGCACTATAATAGGAAAAACATCAACTCCTGTCTCACAGTGCAATTTGTAAAGAAGTTATGGTTATACCTACGTAACTGTTATACCTGATGTTACTTATGATAATTCAGTTAAGATTATTAGCTTATCAGATTCTAACATCGCATAGTTATTTTAGACTCCTTCACTTCCTGGAAATTAATATAACATTACAGTCTTCCTTTATGCAAATAATGTTTTGCTTGAACATCAAACAATTAATATTACTAGAATATTAGGTTATGCTTGGACAGTTAACAGTGTCAAAATGATAAATCATATTGACGCTCTTTACAACAACTTATACTATTTCTAAGCTTAATTGGGTTCACAAAATATTCAACCAGGTTATGATACTCCTGCTGCTACTATGTATACTTCGCTGGAATATACATTTGATAATAATGTAAATTAATTCTTACAAGATCTTGGAACTGGTCTTTAAACTGGGTCCCAAATACCTTGCCTTGGAGGACCTACTCTTACTACTTACGTATAAAAAAAACTTACTTGCATTTTAACTGTCGGAACAGGTCCTTAAAATCCTCCTACAATCAATGTATTTGGATATGATTTAATTCCTGCTGGAACTGTAATAAGTATGTACTTCCCAACTATTCAAAATTTAGATGTTAGTCTAAAAGCAAACACATACACTGGTGTACGTATTTACTATAAATGGATTAACTACAGTGCCATCTTCTATGAGCCATATGTATATTTTTATTTTTTTAAATTTTCATTTTCAATTTATTTTTCTTAAAAAGTCTGTTCAAACAGCTCCAGCTACTGCATTGAATAGTTTAAGTCCAAGTATAACTACTGCAACTACTACATCAAATAATTAGGTTGGTTAAACAAGAGATTATACTTTCAGTTTTTCCTTGAGTGGCAACCTTGCTACTACAGACTACTTAATTTTTAATTTCCCATAGTATTATTTTGATTAAAATGCTGATTATTCTTCTGTTAGCTGTACTGGATACAAAGTATTGATCTTTAGAGTTTCTAATCAGATATTCTTATAACCGTAGACTTAGTAATCAGGAACAGTTTCTGTGGTTATTTAAGGATTAATCAACCCTTCGTACAGCTAAAATATAGCAGTCACAATTTAAGGCTTCTAATTTTCAGGGTTGAAAATGATTAAATAAATAAATTATTAAATTAACTAAAACCTTAATTCTCCAATTTTACCTTGCAACAAATTTACTACTGCTTTTGTAGTTTCAGATTCTATTATTGGGGGATAAAATGGAGCTACTCTCACTGTTACATTTGTTACAGGACATTATATTCCCCCTACTACTGGAGCACTCAGTGTATTCTTACCTGTTGGTTACCCTTACAACTTATACGATATGCAAACTCAATGTGTATTAGTGGGATTTGACAAAAATGCGTAGTGTTCAATCGGTTCTGCAACTCGTATGGATATTTTCTTAAATGGAAATACACTCAACCCAACTTTATAATACTAAATTATTATGAAAAATATCAACACCTTCGTAGCTCCTACATCTCCTTACAATATGATAATTTAATCTTATTTCAATAGCAACATTTACTTGTAATAAATAATATGCTAATAGACAATCCCCTATCCATCATTCAGCTCAAATTAAATGGGAAGTTGTTCTTTAATAGTAAATTCATCAGTTCTAAATGTCAATACATAATCAATTTACTCCTTCTTGTTTTAATGCTAAAATATAGTTAGAAATAATACAATTATTGAAATAGTTCTCCCTGTTTAATACTAAGTTACAAACAGGCTCGGATCTAATTTAAAATGCTTTAGTAACCAGCCCTCTACTCTTGGCTCTTCATCTTGTACTTTTGTTTAAAGTAATTTGTAATATGTTATTAGAGCAAATGTTTAATCAATTGAATCTTAAAACCTCTTCTCAGTTTCAGTTTACATTAATAACCCTAAACAAATAATATAAAATGGTTATACTTTTTCTGCAAATTTCTACAGTTACTCTATTCTTTATGCTTAAGCCAACATGTAAAATTCTCCTATTATCTTAAAACCATAGGTAGTCCCAGTTACCCCTAACCAGTTAACTTAAGCGGCATTAACTAACATCCCTAAAAATGCAGGTTAATCGTCTACTTATGTCTTCACTATTCCACCTTCAGTTTAACTAAGCTCTATAACTGAAGTGGATTCAGTTCAGATTTAATTCCCTATCTTAGATAATCTCTTTGCTTCTACCTTAGGTACCAATTTAGAATGTGGTGTATATTTATCTTAGGTTTATGATGTGACTTTCTTGACCTATGTTGGGTTGCTATAGATGACTAATGGCAGAAATAGCACATCTTATTCATATACAAAGCTTACATGTAAATTGATAGCTGATTATACCTTATATATAGACACATCTAAAGTAGTTTATCCAATTTAGTCACCACCAAGCCTTTTAAAAAATATTAATGCTGTTTGGTAGTACTGGATTATTAGAAATGTATATAATCCACTAGAATATAATCCCGCTGGCTAATTTTAAATTACATATTTCTTAGGCAGCACTATCTAATGGTAATTGATGAAGAATCTTGTTTATTATATTACTCAAGCTCCACAATATATGAAAGTTTCAAATGCAACTGCTCTAGATAATAATATTAGGATGTAAACATAATATCTATTTGATTTGTATACTTAGTATCCACTTCCAGGAGATCCAGTAGTTGGCATCAGCTTAATACTTCCCCCCATATACAAAACAGTTGCTTCTCTCTATACTAGCCCTCTTAATAACTGTTAAATACTATAAAAGTAGAATTAAAATTACCTATAGACTCTCTATTGTGATATTTATAACCTAGAAGTTTTAGCTTAAAAGGCAGAGTTGATATCACTTAACTCAACTCAAAATATTAGTCTTGTGTTTAATTAGTTAATCAATCCAAATTTATAATATTCTTGCTAAGCAAATGACATTAATTAATTCAAATTCAAAATTTTTGATTGGAACTCTGGTGATATCTTGTTCGTTACTTCTCCCTCAATTGATGATAAAAATTGTATTTCTTTTGTAAAGAATTATTTCAGCATAGACATTTCTGGGCCTCTAGTTGTTAATCCAGGTTTGTCTTATAAATATACCATCACTCTTGAAAAACCTGCTGATAGCCTCTTGATAATTCCTAATTCTCCTACAGGTTCTATTTTATTCGATCCTTAAGTTATTGACATGAGTAACTTTGTCTCCTCTTAAGCAACTTTTACAATTAAGTATCGTTCTGATTTACTACCTTCAAACTATGTAGTAACATTTAGTATGCAACAAAATCAGTAAAACTAAACTTAAACGTTAGTTCTACCTCCTACCTTCTACCTTCCTATTCTACCCCTAAATATTAATGTAGTAAATGTTGACAGTTCGACATAACCTACAATAAAAGTAGAAAATCTTTCTGCAGACTCTATAGGTTATCCTATTCGTGTACCTGTTACTCTTTCTGCAGCTCCTGCAAGCGCTCTTTATCTCTCTATTAATGTGGTTGAAAGTGTTTATAATTCTATGATCATTATCAATCCCCCTCTTCTGCAAATCAATCCAGGTGTAACTTCTACCTACTTTACAATTTAAATTAACACTGCTACCGTCCCATAACTTCATGCTACTCTTAGTTTCTCTTTAACATCTTATTACACAATAGTCCATCAACTGATATATACAGTTAAGTATATTTCATTCTCATTGAATTCAAGTTACTCAAAGAGTTATTCAGTTTTGACAATTTTAGAGAGTTTTAGATATTTTGATACTGCTTCTAGCCAAGTTGGTTAGGCTATTGTAAGCACTACAATTTAGACAAAGCAAAATTATCAAACACTTTAATAGCTTTCTCCAAAGGTTATGCAATTTACACTAGTATCAGCAGCAGCTAACTCAGCAACATTTGCTATTTATTCTTCTTAAGTCTCTACAATATCTTATGTTTATTCCTTATATGGATATCCAAGCCCAAACAATGTATAGTAGATTCAATAAAAAACTTATTAATATGCTTTAGGCTATGGCGAATTACCTATTTCAAAAGTTATAGCACCTTCTTCTGTGCTAGATCATTTTATCTAATTCACTATCAGCTCTCTCTAAGGTTAAACAAATTATCAGATTTTCTACTATGTCTGGAACCAATTTGGTTAGTCCTCAATTTAATCTTTGGCCTTTAAGACTGCACACATTTCTTATGGATCAATAATTCAAATTCCACTGACAACTGTAACTCCTATTTCAGATATAATAATTGCTCTTTCGAAAGTACTTCAAATAAGTTAATCACGTTTAATTTGCACTACTGATTTAAAAAAAATATAGCAAAATTAAGATTCCTTCAACCCTGATATTATGCTTAAATCTTCAATATACTACAGTTTTGTAATTGCTCCAAATGCAGCAGATGACTCAGTAAAGACCTCTACATTAGTAAATCTACTACAAAACGATGTGAGAACTAGAACTTATCTTGATACTTTATTACCCCAATTCGATATTTATTCTAAAATCTAAAGCTAATAGATTATTACCTCTATCCCTAAAGTAGATATAGCTCCTTATCCAGTTAAAATTAATTATAATAATGCCACGTTTAGCTTAAGACTATGGGACTAAGGTTTTGTGTACGCAGTTGTTATAGAGGAAGTAGATGTTACATAAAACAATCCTCCTGTCTCTATTTAAATTTTCAAAGGAGTAGATTAATTTAATAAACCTATTTCTAACTACAAAGTTTACTAAGGATAAACAGACTCTCTTGGCTACGTAAATATTTTTGTAGATGATTTGACAGATGGAACATATTACTAGCTTTTCATTACAATTAGTAGTTAACTACCATATCAGCCTTTGAACTTATTAGATGACTCAAATATTATAGTAGTTCCATTCTAAACGCCTTTTAATCTAAGTAAATAGATTTTTTCAAATATAAAATCAAAATATTAAATTTAATTATTCTAATTAATAAAAAGACATTGGAGATTTCGACGAAAAGATTCAGGCAGTTCAATAAGTTAATCCACAATTAGCAGAAGCACTTTATAGATTCTTATATTGATTTAAATTTTATTTTAATAATAATTAAACAAAATCTATAAATTTCAATTTTATATTTAAATGTATTTCATAATTCTTAAAAGTTTTTTATTTTTGAAAATTAAATTCTCTAAAATTCACCAATCATATACTCATTTCTTATTTAATTATATATTCTAATTTATTTTATTTTTTCTGCTCAAAAAATTTTTAGTGATTTTATAATTTTAGTCTTCTTAATGAAAAAATTAATTCCACAAGTTACTATCAAAAATCTCCTAGATCCGAATTCTATCAGTAAGATAAATAAATAAAAAATAATAATTTCTATACATATTTGTATGTATAGTCTTGCTATTTTAAAAATATGATATTTTTAATAGTATTTTATCTTGGTAATCTTTTTTGATTAATTAATTTTTTTCACATCTTTTTCTTTATTTGAATTTTTCTAACATCTAATTATTAAATATTTTCGAATTGATAAATTAAGAAGCAAAAACACTTAAGGTTTCTATTAATGTAATCTAAAAAAGACTTATAAATATTTGGCTATTTAATGAATTGGTTTATTTTTTATTACATTTACTAACTTAAATCTTTTTTAAAAAATATTAAATATTGAGTAAAAATATAGATAATCCTTAGGTGTTATTATAAAAAAAAATCTTGTTTTATAAATATAAATTACAGGTAACTATTGATCTATTTTATTTGCTTTAGTTTATAAATTTGTTCATTACAAAAATTGATTTTGATTATATATTTTTTTATTATCTTTTAATGAACTAATTTTTGAACTAAACAGACTTTCAATATGAAATAGCAAAAAAGATTTCATATAAATTTAAAAAATGTTAAAAATTATTATTATTGTTATTTCAATTTATTTTATTTTTAATTTTAAAATATATCTCTTGAAAAAAAAAACAATCCAACAACATTTTATCTTATTTTTGATTAAATTTTGTTATCATTAGATATTAAGTTAGCAATAACTTTTTTATTTTAGTTATTCATCAATATTTAATGCTTATTAAAAACAAAGTAAATAGGAAAAATCAATCTACAAATAATAAAATTCTACATGCATGATACTTTGTTAACTAAAAATTAAACTTTAATAAATTAGAAAATTATGATATAAAATAATTTATTAATAAAAAATGTGAATTTAAAAAATATAATAATACACTTGAGCACAAATTTTAAAGAAGTAACTACATAGATGAAGATATTTAAAGCACAATAAAAGTAATAAACAAACAAAAAGAAGGGATGAAGAAGATCATAAGAGATAGACTTAGACTTATGAAGCCTTTATTAAATAATAATAATAAGGTAAATTAGCTTTATAATGATATTATTTATCTTCATTGTACATTAATTAATTAGGTTATTGACTGCTGAGGGAGGGGGAAAAAACCAGCTAAAAAAATTAATAATCAAGCAATTATTTAAATTTTCATTTCTGGGTTAGATAAAAAATAATAATTAAATAAATTAATTAATTGAGAAGAAAAACTTATAATTTGAAGAGATTCAAAGAAATAAATAAGGATAGTAAAACTTTATTAGTGAACTTATAAATCTTAATTACTACTGAAATAAATTAATTATTCAACGTTTTTCTTAAAACTATTGTATTAAGCATAGATTAACATTGACTGATTAGCAAGCAACAAAGCTAAAAACTATTATAAAAAAAATTAGAATGATAGCCCTCAAGCTATTTATCTTTGTATTATTTGCAAATTATATTTTAGGTGGGAACCTCAAGAAATAAAGTAGCAAAGGATTAAACCCCTACACATCAAACAAAGGAGAAAAGTCTTATTACTCTTTCTAGTTTGTTCCTGATAATAGGATTGAAACTGGTGGTTCAATATAAATTATCTTTCCTCAAGATTTCGATGCCCTATCTTTCCCTAACAATCTTGAGTGCAGAGTGTAAACTCAAGAAAGCAACCCTTTCTAAATTGCAGAATGTTCATCGCTCTCTGCTAGAGTGATTAAGGTGACTTTGGATTAAATTCCAGCAACTCTTATCACTGTTATTGTAGGCGAAGTCACCAACCCTAGATTCACTGATACCTCAAGCTAATTTAAAATCAGATCGTATAGAAATGATGTGTTGATAGATTCAAACGATGGGTTTGGTTTTATATCCTTCTCGCAAAGTCCAGGTAATTATTTAGATCCTATTCATTTTTATTTAACCTGCTTATTTTAAAAGTAGATAAAATTAGTTCATTAATTTATATCAAAAATTTTGAATGTAAAATGATAAAAGCTAAAATGTCATTAATTTGCTCAAAAAATTATTTTAGATTTATTTTTTACTTTAAAAAAAAAAATTTTATATTCCCAAAATATTTTTATGAACAATTTTCATTCTACTTCACCATCAAAAACATGCTTTTACAAAAAATTTAAAATTAATTAATTCGCTAAGGAATAAATAAATCAGAGTTATTTTTTTCCATCAATCACAGAATAAATCAAAGATATTAAATCTTATCTTATGAAAAAAATCTCTTTATATATTAATTAAATTGCAAGAGCGAGTTTGTTTTTACTTTTAATTACTGGACTAAGAATTTTTATTTTTCTACTGCTTTTGATTGATTGATGAATTAATTAATTGAATATAAATACCCCTTATTAATATCTTTTTGCTAAATTAATTTAATAGGCTAAATACTCAACCCTAACATATTCAGGCTGAGTAATTCAAGAATCCGTGAAGGTTCTAGTTGGGAATTCAGTTTTACACCTTCGTAATCATATCCTGCTGGATGTAGTTTAAGATTTACTTTCCCTGAAGGATATACTTCTAAGCAGGCTTTATGCGATGTTTAAGGCCTTGCTGGTTAGAATCCTAATACTTTGCTACTTTTTAACTAAAGAATTGTGACATGCTAGAATGTCAATAAAGATTTGAATGGTCCTCAAGTTGTTAAGATAATTAACATGGTAAATCCTTCATTCAGTAGCATTATGCAAGGATTTAAAATAGAAATATTAGAAGGTCTCTCTTCTATTGTATTAGAGTCTGTGACATTCCCAGGAAATATTGAAATTCTCCCAGGTAATTTAAAAGCTACATATGTCTCTGATGATTAGTTTAAGTGGTCAACAACAAATTATTATTTCTTTGTCAATCTAATTAATCCAGTTTATTTAGGCGATAGACTCTATTTTAACTTCACTAGTGATTGGAATATCTTTTAACCAAATTGCACTATTATTAATGGGTAATTAAATTTTAAAGTTTAAAGTAATAAAAATAATTATTTTAATTATAGGTTTATTGCTCCATTTGGATAAAAAGTCAGATGCCAGCGCATACAAGATTAAAATTCATATATGATTGATAATTTTGTATAAATTGACAATTCTTAAAGACTTGTTTTTTCAGTCTACCTAGAGACTCCACATGTAGAAAACTAATATCCTGTAATTAATCACTTTTTTTAAAACTAATTAATCTTTTTAAAAACTAAAAAAAATAATCTATATATTTTTAAAAATTATTTTTATTTTATTATGATCAAATAGTATTATAAATAAATAATCAAAGGATATACTTAAATAATATTTTTTCAAATATATGAAATTAAATTAAAATTATTTTATTTAAAAAGGTAACTATATCTACTTATAGTACTAATAGAAGCGCAGTTGTTGATTTGAACACTATTCCGATTAACATAAACTCAACTTATGGTATTATTAAAAGATTTACTGCACATGCTTTAAAATCCCCTCAGACATCAAAAGCAGGTGAAAATGGAGCTCTTGAAATGACATTCTTTTTAAAAACTTAATTACCTAAAACAGATGTTGGAACTGAGGGCCACTTCCGTGTTGACATATTCCCTCAAATTCCTGTACCTGATGATAAGTATGGTGTGTTAAAGTGTTTTTTCTACGGTGATATTCCTTCTGAAAATGACTGCAAAACTGATTATAAGGTTGATAAACCAGAGCGTACCTACATTCATATCCATACCCCTAACTTAAGACCTTTCAAAGAAAGTGAAGTACCTATTAGTGTTACTACAATTAGTCCTTTAGGAACTAATAAAGCTGGTATTAAACTTCATGAAATTGTCTAAAGATATAAAATTCATATTAACATTTGGAAAGATCCAAAAAAGGATCTATTCTTAACTCCAGACACTCCTCCAGATGAGGTTTACTTCACAGAATTCATTCCAGAATCATACAAAATAAATGACCCTGCTGCAATTACAACTACATCCACAATTACAAATGCTAATGCATTTACATACTTCGAGGTAAGGTACGTTCATGCTGATAATTACATTGCAACATATGATAAGAGAGCCGCAAGTGATAGAAATTATGTTCTTAGAATTCATTTCATAAGCGGATTTGCCTCTGATTTAGGTTGGGGCAGTTTTTTAACTAATCCTACTGACTAGACAATTAGAAAATTCCCATGCTATCTTGAAGGTACTCTTATTAGCCAAAGTTCAGCTAATAACTCTGGAAAAGGTTATTCTAACTGTGAATTAGTTTGGAAAGATACAGATAATACTTATATTCAGGTAAATGATCTTCCTACCTTGAATTTCTTACCAAATGCTTATCTTGTCGTAGGTGTCCCTAAAGTTAAAATTGTTAACGTTATTGGAGCTAGCGCAATTATCAGCGTTCGTATTGTAGAAGAAACTCCTAGATGTTGGGACTAAATTGTAACCCTTTATTAGAAAGAAAATATTGTTTTATTCACAGTTACAGCACCATTTACAAATTTACGTAAAATAAAAAAAATCAAATTATTTCTAATAAATTAAAATATTTTTAATTAAAGCTGGCAACGGATTAACAGTTACCCCAGTAGATAGTATCAGATTGAACTTTGACTCAAAATACTAATTCAATGTTAACTAAGTCGGAACATCAACTTAAGTTGTGATAGAGTGGCCCAATGAGCTTTAATTAGATTTTGGTCAAGTTTCATGCACAGGAGGTTCTTGCAGAAAATTTAATTACCCAATTAACTGGATTATTTTTACACCATCTTCACCTCAAACAGGTTCAACTGTGAGCTTCACAATGCCTACTGGTACAACACAAAACTACAAGAACAAGGCAGATATTATTTTTAGTGCTTAAACTTGGGTTGGAAACACAATTAGTTCATTATAAAAAACAACATATTCTTATCAACCAGTAACAATGAGTACAACATAGTTCAGTTGTATTGATCCAAATGATTATAAGTTCTAAGTAAATACTTACATTTTATTATTTTTTATTCTGTTTTTTTCAATTATTTTTGAAGACTTATTTTCTTAATAGTTTTTTGTTTCTAACTTTATCTTTATTTATATATAATCACTATCTTAATATTTAATAGGGCTACTAGTAGAAATAAGATATAGAAATAACTTTAGAAGAACCTATGGAAGATAATTGGTACATTAAGCTAGATTTGGTGTCAAATATGATTTTCTAGCAAACTGATAACTTTTATTTCAAAACAGTGAATTTGGTTGGATTAGATGATAAAGGAGTATTAACAGAATTAAAATCTCCAACCTCATTCTGGATTTACAACTTGAAAAGCTTAGCAAAAGGAGTAAAAGTTACTATAACAATATCGATTACAATGGCTACTAGTGCTGTCACATTTACTCCACAGATATAAGTTAAAACTTTACATAATTACTACAGAGGTTCTACTGAAGACAGATCTGTAAATGTTGCAACTATTAGTCATAAATATGGAAGTATTACATTAACAGCTTTAGGCATGGTTAAATTTACAGCAATGAATCCAATTTCTTATAGATATGAGTTGATTTAAGGAAGTACAGGACCTTTTAATTTTAAAATTGCATTTTCAAACACTATAGATCCTAATAATGCCTCAAATGATAAATACAGTTTACTCTTCAAATTTTAATTAGATGATGGTTCTCAGGATGGTTTTGATTGGATAAGTGCAAGTTAAGTTTTTGCATGCACAATCACTGATGATACAACTCTTTAAGCATATTTCCATGAATGCTCTGCTACTAAGGATTCAAGTAAAAAGTAGCTAATTGTAGAGCTAACCCCATATACAATCTTATCTGGAAGCAAGCTTTATTAATATGAAATATCTTCAGATTAAATGCTTTCAATTAATAGTTACTATGGACTTAAGGTAATTTTTTATAAAATTATATTACAATTCAAAAAATTTTTCTGCACCAAAATTAATTAAAAAAAAATTTTTAAAACATTTTTAATAAAAAATCATTTTAATTAGCAGAAGTTTTAAAGTTACCAAATAAATTTTATTTAATAAAAATATATAAATAAATTATAAAAAATAATTTGATAAATAATTAATAAATTGATCTCATCTTGTGTATTAAATAGTTTCCAAAAGTTGGAGGATATTACAATTTTGAAATTTGGGTAAGAAAAATTCCATATGGCAGTTCAACACCTTAAGATTCCTTAGCATACTATGAAGCCCTTTTCGTTAGGCCTCCAGAGCTGAGAGATATTTAAATTACACTTTTACACAGAACTCCAGGTATAAAAAATGTGTTTACATTTGATATGAAAGTGAAAGATGCTGTACCAGCTTATTCAAGTGGAGGTAGAATACGTATTTACTTCCCAGGTTACCAAAATGGGCAAAGAATATTTGATACTAATTTGAATCATGATTCCATATTATATAATGCTGGATGTAGGTTTTTGTCAGGATTTGTTGCAGAAAATTCTTAAAAATTAATGTGTTCGATAGGGCGTGTTAACTCTGACGGAGAATGGAATGATCCTTTCATTGAACTAATGAATTTCTAAGGAATTTCCGCAAATAGTTAACTTGTTATGCAAGTTGGTAATGTTGCAAATCCTTAGCCTGGTATCCAGGTAGGTGTTTTTAAAATACATACTTATAACTATCAAGATTCAGCAGCCACAAATAACATCATTAATACAATAACTGAAACTGTAGTGTTTGATTTACAGAATAGTCCGTCTACTATTATTAATTCAGTGAATGTCTAGTTTTAAACAGGACAAAAATTAAATTCAGGTTAGACCTATCTTAATCATGCTTTCTAGATTAATTAGAGTCTATAAGCAAATGACATAATAATCACCGAAATGCCTTGCCCTCTTAGACTTACAGTTGTTAGTACAAAGAACTAGAATAATTTATTGACTTGCGACTTAAGTAAGTATTCTTCATGCGTTGCATTTGACGAAGGAAATTATATTGTATGGACATTAAAAAATCCTATATCAGCAAATACTTTGTTTGATGCTCGTATTGACATCACTGGTCTTCCTAGCTACGCAGAGTCATTAGATACTATATTTTACTCATATGTTGTGAGAAATTCATAAGTTATTTATAAAATTTAAGAAACTATACCTGTAACAGAATGGGCTAAGATAGTAGATAATATTAATTTTTCAATTTCTACTTTTTCTACAAATACAATTGCTAGTTGCATTTATTAGCGTTACATCTTTGATATTACATTTACAAACACAATACCGGCTGGTGGTTCTATACTTATCACTCCAAATTCTGGCGTGTCCAATACTGATCTTAGACCAAAATGTATTCTACTTCAAAGCACAGGCACTATTTAATATAATGATTTTTCAAAATATGGAGGCATGCTTGGATGCCCAATTTAAAATGGTGGTTGGTATTTCTCTACTCAATACGATATCCCTGCTAATTCTAAGATAAGCGTTGAAGCATACTCTGACAATTTATCTAACCCTAGTTCTGTTAGTTTCACTGTAAAATCGTTTTAAAATACTGATCCCAATAATATTTAAACAACTGGAAAGAAACTTGATATAGGATCTAGTAGTTAAAGTTCGTCAAGTGTAAATATTCCTTGTGTTAGCTAAGTTATTACAACCCTAGATTATAACAGTATAACTAATAGTAATATTATCCCTTTTTCTAACTAAGAAACAATTTGGTAGTTTACAATAACTACAAAAACTGATATTAAGAAAGATGATTTTGTAGTTTTTAGCTTAGTGAATGGGCTATAATCTGATTTTTATGGTGGGTCTGTTGACGTAAGTAACTAATGGTTCTATTAACCAGCTGATTTTACAACTGGTACTTCTAGTATTGGTGGCGTTTGTATGTTTTATGTCCCAAGTAGTAAACCCTATGATACTGATCAAAGAATGTCTTGCACTAACTTCAACAATGATATCACTGCTCTTAGTACTTTCGTAGTATACTTAAGAATAAAGAATCCAAGTTTTAGTACACCATCTAGTTAAGATTTTACCTTTTATACATATCGTAGGGGATCTTTTTTAAATAGATATAATGTTTATGATAGTACTAACTTTTCTTACTAAGGAGTATATGTTAGAAGTACCTTTTAAGCAAAAAGTAATAATAGTAATAAAGGGATCCAGCGTTCTACTGGTGCATTAGATGCAACTAACGTTGATTTGACTCCAAATTATTTTGATTCCTCATTTTCATGTGATTATAGTGAATATACTAATTATCCAACTTAGCTAAGAACTTGCTAACTATTTTCTAGTGATATTGTAGTAGCTTTTACTACACTTTACGATGACTTTATGCCTACTTAACTAGGCTAAACGTTGTATAAAGTTAGTCCATCAGTAGTAGCTGGTACTTTTGATTCTCTTAAAGGTTGTGGAGCTTTAATCGGCAGATTAAATATAAGTTTAAAAGTTAATGAGAAGCTTAAATTCTCAAAAGTAATAAATAACCCTAGTCTCTATTACTTCTCAAGCGAATTGAAATGTACTTTGATATACTACAAGGAAAGTGATTCTTGGACTTCTCCCAATCCTACGCTTACAACTTCAAGTACAAGCTCTTGTAATATTGATTCTGTGGGTGCAGGTTCCGGATTAAGTGCAAGTATGGTGAAAAATGGATTCATAAATAATGAAAGTAGATTTGTTGGGAAGGTTTCATTCAATATTTCAAGAAAACCTCCTTTATATTCAAGAGTATATATCACTATTACAGGTAATGCTAAAACGCAATTATAATTTGCAAATAAAGTTAGCTAAACAGGTTAAAGCAGTTTCCATTCACCTTTGATAATAGTGCCTATAGCTACAAATTAGTATGAACTTATTGGTTTACCTCAACTCAGCTCTACGATTTCTGTTGCTGTCTATTTTGGTTTAAGATCATAAACTTCTTCTTCTATTGGTGGTAACTTAAAAGTATATTATTTTTTTAAAACAAAGAATATTTTATTATTTTAAAAATTAAATAAAAACCTTTAGTATTATTTTTTTATCAATTCTTAAAATTTATTTTGAATATAGATTGTGCATCCGAATGGAAGAACTTCAGAATTCGATTCATCATTTTCTTTTTCTTCAAGTGGTGTTTCTACTACTGGATCTAGTGGATATAGAGGATTATACAAAATGAAGAGATATATGAGAGATTCTAATTAGAAGGGACCACTTCAATTTTAATTTTAGCTTCGCAACTTTGATATAACTTCTGCTGATAAGTTAACTGTAACTATACCTTCTTAATTCTCTGTTTCTACAAATGGAAAATAACTAAGCGATTATCAATTATCTTCACCCCCAAATTAGTACAGCTATTGGGTAATTAATTCTGAACCAAATATATTTTTATAATTTGTTTATTTTTGAAGCTTCATGGAACACCGACATCATTAAGCAATCCAAGTGTTGATATAGCAATAGGATCATTTTCTTCTGTTCAAAGATTTATACACGGAAATGATTATAGTTTACTTTTAACAACAAGATATGCAGATTCTTATGATGGCTTCTAATACCCTGCTAATATTGGCTACTATAAGTTCACACTAAAAGGATATTAAGGAGCTAACGCATAAGAATATGGTACTGACTTGCTATCAATAGAAGCAGAAGGAGATTAGACGCTTTAAGTAACAGCTTTGAATACAAACATAGGCCATCCAACTGTCATCAATTTCTAATGGCAAATTACTGTAGCTGCCTTATTAGGTGACGAAATTTGGCTCGAATTCTAGACAAACAATGGTAGACCTCCTCTAGGCAATAATTACAACATGGGCTTTGAAAACCTTTTAGGTAAAGAATTTATAAAATTTTAATTAATAAATTAATTTCAAAAAATACAATTAAATAGGATAAAGTAATATTCATTCTACATTCGAATGTATAGAAGCAACAAATGTCATCTCTACAACCAACATTCTAACATGTGAGCTTTTCAGATTAGGTGATTCTACTTAAAATCCAGCTTCATAATAGGAAGTACAAGCTGCAATTAGAATTCCAATATTGAAACCTATAACTGCAAATACAAAATTAGAGTTTTATATTTAGGGTATTGTCAATCCAATCTATCCAAACAGAAAAGTCAGAATTACTGCAAGTTTGAGAAAGACAATTACAGGGTTTGAAGATTAACCAAAGTTAGCTTATTAAAAATCTTATGGATAATATTAAACTACAAATGGAAATATTCCAGTATAAGTACTTCCTGTACCTCCTAGTACTACTACTTTTTCTGCTACAAATACAGTACACACAGGAGGCTTCTATCCACCATTTGCTACTGAAACTCATACCTGGTAAATAGGTTCAACTAATAATATAAATTAAGGTGATTGGATAAAAGTAGTTTATACATTAGATAACAATCCAAAAATGGGATCTACTTGCAAACCACTATCTGATGCCTCTCCTATGTGCGTATTCCCAACATCAGGGTTTGCAGTCGCAAAGTATACAGGTACAAGTAGCGGTAAATCAGCCACTTTATTAGTAAAAGGAATGCAAAATGGAATTTACCGTTATGCTGGTTAATTTACAGTATATCATTGGAGTGGATCAGATGGCTCCACAAAGTGCGCCTATCTTGCTGATGGACTTGTAATTTTTATTAAAACAATATCAAAAAAATTTTTTTAATTTTTTAAAATATTAAATAATTACTAACCAACTATCTTTTGTTAATTAATTTCTATGATATTTTTATAATTTAAATAAGAACTTATCTTTAAATAAAATGTATATGTTTTTATAATAGACTTATTAATGGGATGAAGATGTCGCATTTTAACTTGGTTTCTAACCTTATATGACTCCTGTTGAAACATAATATAGAAATACATATTGGCTTACTGATTTTTTGAATGTTGTCTAAGTTAACATAACAGGAATTTGGAAGTACAGCAATATTAAAAGTTTCTGGCTCGATGTACCTCCTGAAATAACTTATGCTGATTAATCTTTCTGTAATTCTACCTAAGTAACACCTACAGCTAATATGAATCCTTATCCTTGGCGTTTTAATTGCCGTGTTGTTGATAAACATAGAGTAGTATTTGAAATTACTGATGACTTTTTAGCATGGGTTGAAGCCAATAATAGAAATGCTGTAATCAATCTTGTTTTTAAGTTTTGGATTGATGAGTTTGTTTAAAGTGGCCCCATAAGCAATTTTGTGCTTTCTACATACCACATGCCTTACTATTAATATGAACAATAAATTAGTACAGTTACTATCGATAATTATGGTGTAACAAGAACTAGAGGAAACATCAATATTTCACCTTATATTTAGCCTGATTTGCGTATTGTTACATTCAATTCTCTTCGTTTCTATGACAGAAAAGCTAGAGTAGGAGATAGAGTTGAAATCTATATGCTATTGCAGCCAATGACAGCTTTATCTTTGCACCGTGTAGAATATATAGTTTTTAGATTACCAGAGGAGTTCTTATATGCGCCAGTGCGTTTCTTTGATGCTTGTGATGTTTAGGGTAAATTCAATACTCCTGTTTTGAAGTGTGAACTTATGAGAGTTAGAGGACAAACATTTGTGAATATGACCTTCTATCCTTTAGATCCAAGCAATCCTAACTACAAAGTAGGTAAGTTACCTTATGATAACACAGTTAAGATAGTAAGAATAAGCGCTAAGAGTAACAATGACTTATTTACTTCACCTATGCTTCCTGGAGAAATTTATAACATCACTGCATCTCTATACTCGCTTAACACAGTAATTGAAAAGTAGACAATTAATGTAACAAAAATTATTGGTTATAGTTTACTAAAGGTAGATGTAAGTAACAATATTCTCACTTCATTTGAACCTATTCGTGATTCTTTACAGCTCGGTTTATTCTAAATGAGATTAGTTCTTGATAATATAGGAGTCATAGCTGGATATGATACATTTGCTGCTAAAATGTACTCATAAATTGTTTTTATATTTGATAATGTGCCTTTTGCCTATCTTTTCGATTTAGGTACTGGTATTCCAAATGGAGCAGAGCTTGGTTGTGTCGGTACAGGTTTGACTACTTTGAAAACAAATAAATTGACATGTAGACTTACATATGGATTTAATGCAGAAAATTTGCCTTACATTACCGTCTCAGGATATGATCCCATTCCCCCAAATGCAGATGTCAGGATTTATATAACTCAAATTTAATCGGTTCCAAGCTTGAATCCTACAAAACTTGATCCAAGAAATATAGTTCCTATTTAAGGTGGTATTTAATATGTTTATAAAGACATTCGTGCCTCAGCATTTTTCTATGAACCATTCGTAAATTAATATTTATTTATTTATTGATATTTTTTCCTTTCTTTCAAAATTGAAAAAATGGTTATTTTAAAATAATCATAAAACATTCTTTTTTAAATATTCTAGTAATATTTACCTAATTAAAACTCTCTTTTGGCAGCTTCTCCTGGAGATTAAAGTAGTGCTAAGGTAAAAACTAGCGGATCTAATAATAAAGTTCTCCAAACTGAAGATTACACCTTTACTTTTAAAACCTCAGCAACCATTAAGACAACCGATTTCTTCGCTCTACAATTCCCACCAGACTATTTCAATAGATTCAGTGATTACTCTTAAGTAACTACTGCTAATTTTGTAACAAAAGTATTTGGAATTTCTAATTTGATTTACTTATCTCCTTTAAGTAATATTTCTCCTGGCACAACAGTTACTGCTGTTATTAAAAATCTTATCAATCCTTCATATAGCTAAAATATACCGATTACTATAGTAGGCTTTAGCATGATTGACTATAAATAAAAAGAAACTTTCAACTTCTAACTCACAGGTCGTCAAATACTTCCCTTTGATAAGTTCACAAGAGTTGAGGCTATTTCATCAACAAATGTAGGAGGTGAAAATGGAATTTCTTACAAGATCATTTTTGTCACTGGTCATAATGTGCCCACTAATGGAGCCTTCAGCGTAACAATGCCATCTCAATATACCTTCAGTTTGTATGAAATGAATGCTTAGTGCTCCTTAATAGGATTTGACCCTGTTGTAACTTGTATGATTGGATCACAAAATAGAATGGATGTTTATTTGAATGGATCATAAATAGCTCTTGATAAAGAATATGCTATTGTTATTCAAAATGTAAACTCTCCTAACGCCGATGTCTCTTCATTTAAAGTAATTATTTACTTATTCATTCAATCTCACAAACAATTTTTTTTTTTCCATGAATTTTCAAAATTTTTAAATTTATTTTTGCAAAGATATTTTCACAAATGATTTTGTTAAATTTTTTTTTAAATAAAGCTAACATTGACCAGCTACTTCAGTGATAATATATATATTAACTAAATGATTTGTTAATAACAAATGCCTATGTAAGCCCTTAATATATAAACAGTTAAGTCTTGTGATCTAATTGTAGATAGTACCATATTAAATGCTAAAGCTTTATCACTTTACACTTTCAAGATTCAATGTTCTACTATGGTTCGTGCCCAAACAGACATAGAAATAATTCTTAACGATGATTACAAGATAGTCAATGGACTTAATAAATCTATATAATGCTAAAGTAACGAACCTTAGACTCTAAGACAAGCCTAGTGTACTTTATAGTAAAATAGTGACTTCTAATATGTACTCCGTATTGCTGTTAATTCTATTCCAAGTCAATCGTTATTTTCTATAAAGACTTATCTCTATAATCCAAAAATTGTTAATAAGCCTTTCACTTTCACTGCAAAGCTTTACAGCCATTAAATTTTATATGCACAAGCTATTTTAACAGGGTAAGCTATTCAAAATGCTATTGTATTATCTCCATAGAGTCCAGCTCTTTCTTCTTCTGTAAGTTAGAGCACAAAAACTTAAGTTGGAATACAAAACATTCCTAAGAATGGAGGACAAGCTGCAACTTATATTCTTACTATTCCTCCATTGGGATAATCTTAAATTGGCAACGTACCATCAGAAGTTCGTATTACATTCCCTTAGAACGATTTTGGAGTAAATATAGGAGATAACCTTTCTTGCGGAGTCTATATCACTCAAAATGATGATAAACAATTCAAGACATATATCGGAATTCTGTAACTAACTTAGAAATCGAATCCCAATAATATCGTCAATTACTTTTCATTAAAATGCTCTGTTTATTAACCATACGAATTAGTGATTGATACTTCTAGCCTAACAATTAATTAGATAAATATTTCAGAACTTTGGTAGCACTGGATTATCAAAAATGTCTATAACCCTAAAGAATATAACTAGAAAAATTAATTCCATATTCAATATAACAACAAAAAGCAAGTTTTGTGGGATTTCTAAGACAATATTCTATACTTCATCACTAAAGCTCCTGATTTCATAAAGGTTTCTGCTTTATCTGCTTCGCCTACAGATATTCGTACTCCATCTATATACACTTTCAACTTAACAGCTGAATCAGCGATTCCTCTAAATCCAATAGTAGGTATCAGCATATAATTACCAGTTAACCTCTATAGCACAATTAATTATCTAGAATCTTCACCTCTAAATTCATGCAATGTTTCTCCGATTGACTTAAAAACAAACAAATTAACAGGCACCCAAAATCTAGCTTGCAAAATTTATGATTAGGAAATTCTGATTGAGTCAGCTAATTTCTAAAACCTTCTTAAAACGGACACTACATCAATACAAATACAAATAAATAAGATCTACAATCCGAATATTGTGTATTAATGCAATATCTAGAATCCTGATCTTAATCAATACACTTTCAAAATTTTTGACTGGAACTCAGGAAATATTTTCCTCATTTCTTCACCTTCTGTTGACAGTTAAAACTGCATTAATTTTGATAAGAAGTCCTATGATATTAATTTTAATGGTCCTCTCTCAGTCTCACCTGGTTTAACTTACTAATACTAATTCAATTTTGAGTAGCCAGCTCATGGATTAAAAATTAGACCTATGTCTCCAATTGGAGGAATAATGTTTGATCCTTAGGAGATAAGTGTTAGTAACTATACAGCATAAAGTGTACCTCTCTTAGTCAAAATTCGTTCAGATGTGCTACCTGGTAGTTACTAAATAAAATTCTAGACATCAGAAGAACTAATTTCAACTACTATTCCTGATGCAGAAGCAGCTCTTAAACTTACTTCTATGCTATCTAGTCGCTCTAATTTCTACTTACCAATATCTCCAATTAATCTAAATGTTTAGGGTATCTCTGAGTCTCCAAGCCCAACCATAACTGTAGGAGATATTACTTAATTGACAATTGGTTATCCTTTGAGAGTACCTGTAACAATTTCTAGGTCTCCCTCAAACATACTAAATATGATGATCAAAATCAAAGAAGATCAGTTTAATTCTATAATAAGCATTAATCCTCCTTTGTTGCAAATCAGTCCTGGATAGACTTCAACTTACTTTGAGCTTACTATCAACACACCAAATGTTCCAAGCTCTTCAGCTACTTTGTTGTTTTCTCTTACATCCTACTACTAAATTGTACACTAACTCACATAAGCAGTAAAGTACTTATCTTTCTCCATTAACAACACCTTCAACCCGAAATACTCTTTCCTCCAAGTAAAACTTACGAAGATCTAAATTCCTACATCTTCTACTGATATTAATAAAAGCGTTTTTAACAAAGATTCTAAATAAGTTTCTCCTACCAACGCTGCCTCTACATCTACATCCCTCTTAGAACTCATTCCGAAGTTTATAGTCACTTAAACAGTCCAAATTCATGCAAATAATGCTACTATATCTGTTTACGGATCTGCTAGTGCTACACTTTACACTGCTCTTGCTTACTTAGGAGAGAAAGCACCAGCTTAATTTTATGACATTATTAATAACAAGCTAAATAATGGCCTATAATATCAGCAAGTGGATGTGAAAACTGTAGTCAGATTCTCTGGAGCTGTTGATCACATTGCAACATTTAATTTCGCCAATTTAATTGCATAAACTAACTATGTCATCCACATGGTTATGCAAAATTCGTTTGGATTTTCTTAAATATTCTCTTACAATTTCAAAACAAGCAGACTCTCATTTGGTAGTATCATTAGTATTCCAGTACGTGATATCATTCCTTCTTCGGACATTATAAAATCTTTGTCTTTAGCTTTGAGAATCTCTGAAAGTCGTATAATTTCATAGACAAACGTCACTCTTTTATAGTAATAAAATCTCAGTTTTAATCCAGATTATATGATTAAGAGAGATTATTATTATGAAATCGTAATAACTCCAGATACACAAAACGATTAAAACCCAACCTCCTTACTTGCAAGTAAACTCTAAAACGATGCTCAAACAAGATCTCTATTAACATCATTGCTACCAAGCTTTGACGTAAACAATCCTGTAAGATCTATCCAAATTATTTAAGGTATCCCTCCAATTGCTAACGAAATATAACCAATATTGATCAATTATAACAATGCCACGTTTAGCATAAAATTATTGGAACAAGGTTATGTATTTGCAATAGTCTAAGAAGCAGCCAATATATCTATTTAGCCAGTTTCTTAACAAATATTCTAAGGTAAAAATCAGTTTAACTAAGAAGTTTAACCTTACTAGAAATTTAGCACATCTACAGACAAAAGCGGAAATGCTATTATAACAATAGATGATTTATAAGACAACACTAGCTACGTTCTATATGTTACTATAGGAAATCACCTTCCTTATTCAACATTGAATCTTTATGAAGATGATCAAGTTAGAGTTTTCAAATTTAGGACTCCTTACAATTCCAGTAAATTAGCAATTTTATTTAAATTTTTATAAATTTCAATATTAAATTGAAAGATAAATTATTCTTTTAAATAAATAGATTTAGGATCTTATGAAGGCAGATTTGATTAACTTAAAGAAGATAATCCAAGTTTAGCTCAAGCTTTGATAAGTTATTTGTCTTGATTTAAGTTTTGAAGAATATTAAAATTAATAAAAAATATATAAGTTAAATATTACTTGTTTTTTTTTGGTTCATTATAAAAATATATCCTGAATGTTTTATTTAAATTATTTTGATTGAGATATTTATCTTTTAAATAAATTAAAAAATGGTTAGCATATTGATAATCCAAAATCTCCAAAACATAAAAACAATTAATTTATTTTTATAATATTTATTAGAATTTAATTTCAATTCATTATTTAAATATTTATTTAGATTCAATATGAAATTAAATCCTTTTAATTTTGTAAAATTAATTACATTTTAATTAAATTATCACAAGAGATCAAATTATCAAAAAAGGTTGTTTCTTTATATTAACTGCAATAAATGATTAAAAAGTTTCAAAATATGAACTATAAACGTTTCTCTGAAAGCGAAATTAGTGATAAAATAGATTAGATCTAAACTATTTAACATGAAGAAAGCTTAGTTTTACATTCTGATAAATTAATATGGAGTAGATGTGTTTATTTTTAAGAAGGTCAATTTGTTGTCGGATTATCTGATGGCTAAGTCTTATTAGTGGACACTTTGAGCTCTACATCAAAAACAGTTAAACTTTAAAACTCACCTTAATTTAAAGTGAAAGATATTGCATTTTTGTAAAAAAACTCGCTCATGGTAACATGTTATATAGATGCTTATATCCACATTTGGAGTTTAAAGAATGATGGTTAATTAATAAAATAATTACCCTATAAAAGTTACAATTCAGTTGCCATTAAAGATCGCTACTTAGCTTTTATTTCATCAGATATGTTAAATGAAATAATTATTTTAGATTCTCATAAATTCTTTAGTATTGTGTAAAAAATATAGGCGCCAATATTTTTTAATGGTTAACTTAATTCAATCAGATTCATTAACAGCTTTCACCCATGTTCTAACTTGTTTGCATTCGTAGATAGACTATATTTCTATGTTTATGATTTCTATACAAAACATTATGTTAAGATAATAAACCTAAAAGCATATGGAAGCCCATATAAAATTAAGACTTACAAAAAAGATAATTTTTATTATGCAGCTGTCTTATTTATGTCTGAAAAATTTATAGTAATAGATATCATTAAAGGAGAAATTATTTATAAAAGCAAAATCTTAGAAAGTAGCTATGACTCAACAGTTCTCTGCTGTGAGTTCGTAAATAGGACAAATATTATTATGGGATTTAGTGATTTGAGAGCATATATTATCAATTTTATAACTGATTAAATTTAAATGATAAACAATGATGATGGTTTTGTAGGGGCGTTTGTTTATAAAAATAAGCTTTTTACAACTGCTGATAAGACAAACAAACTACACACTTACATTTTAAATTGAATCTATTGATTTTCTATTTCAACTTTTTAACATTTAAAACTTTTTAAATACACAATGATGAATGTTTATTTCAATAAAAATACTTAAATTCTTTTAATAAAATAAATAAATTTATTTCTTAATTTGTATGTATCTATATTTATGAAATAAATATAAACAATATTTTAATTAAATTATTGCTATTCTCAATATTTTTTTTGATAATTTTAATATTAAATAATTAAATATTAGAATATTTAATTATAATATTTAGTTTATTTTTAAGTATTTTATTTTAAAGATATATTAAAATGATTTTTTTTAAAATTTTATGTATAAATAAATATTTACATTTAATTTTTTTTTATTTAATTTTCAAAGAAATTCTATATTATTTATAGGTTACAAATAACCTCTAAAATCTTTGTGTTTTATAAATAAAAAGTTTTATATTTTAACAACAACTTGAAAAAATTTATTCCACAAGTTGCTCTTTAAAAGTAATGTAAAATAATTAATTTTAATTGATGACGACAGTACCTTATTTTTATAAAATATATTTTAATTCATAGAAAATACTTGTATTACTGCCTTTAATTTTCCATTCATTCCCCCCTTTAAAATGACATAAACTGTTTAAATTAGGTAATGATGAACTGAATAACTAGCTAAATTCAAGAAAAGGTACCAAATATTGGTATTATAAATTAATATTAATAAATTACAGATCCAAAAAAAGAAGAAACCATCAAAAAATATGCTAATAAACAAGAACTTGAAATATTACTTTCTCTAAATGATTTAAATCTTTTTTTAAAATTTAAGAACAAAATAGACATCAATAAGCTAATTATATTATATTTATTAAATTTTAATTAATAATAATTAATTTTAAAGTGATAAATATTTCTTCAAAACAACTTTTTAATTATTTTAATAAATTAGCTTTGTACTATTATGATATATATAATTTTATTTTTATATTAGAAATCAACAAAGCAAGCAAAGTTATAAATAAATAAATAATTTATTGATAAGAAAAATAAATATAAGATGAGTTTTGTACAATATAGTTGAAGAGATAAATACACTCGAGTGATAATAATTGAATAATAATTTAATAGAATTATTAAGTAAGTTTCCTTTTTTCTAGTTTTTTTAGTGAAAAATAATTTTTTATAAATGTATGGATGGACTTATTTCAGAAAAAATCTAGATATACATCATTTTATTTATCTATTAGTTAGCTAAGGTTTTTTCTTAATACTTTCTTTGTTCTTATTTTTAAAATAGATAAATTAATTCTGCAAATATTTTTATATTTTATAAACTAAGTTTTTATTTTAATGTTAATTTATGGCAAGCGTTTTTTGATTCTATTATTATTTATGTAAGAATAAATTTTTGGCTAAATATTTCTTAGTTGTTTAAATAGGTTTACTGAAGGACACTCTATCTAGAAGAAGAGATTAAAGAGTATGAGTCATATAATGTAGCTTTCTATCTAGTTATTTCATAAGCACGCTGATGTATGCTTGACTGTATAGATAGTTATTTAGGTTGCATCTAATTCTTTCTCAATTGAAGGTTTTAATAAGCTCTTAGATAGCAGCAATATGCTTGAAGAACTCAAACGAATCACCTTGCTTCTTAGTGAAGATGACATAAGTCTTAGAGTCTTTAGAGTTTGTTTATAAGCTAATATTGAAATGGAGGACATTTTCTTCATTACTTTTATTGATGTTAAAGTTGAAGTCTTTAAATATTTCTTAGACTGATTCATCACATGTATCGTAGTTCACTTGAATATGAGAGAATTCTTCTTGTACTTTATCTTGGGCAGTACTGTATTTGTAAATACATTTAAGTTTGTAAGATTTGTCACTCAGGATTGGCACTTCTGATGTAAATTCTTCTTGTTTAACGAAAAGGAACTTGAAAAGAGTTTCACAATCTATATTAGTACTGAAATCATTCAATTTGCCATATTATTCATTGTAAACTTTGGGTTTTCTTTATCTTTTTAAATTGCTTACTTCATATTCATATTTTTCAAATTCTTCACTGATGCTTGTAGAGTGGATTCCTCTATATAAAGCCTTCTCAGAACCTATTTAGTAAATTATAATTGTGTAAATTTTTTATGAATTTAAGTAATTTTTTATTTTTCAATGAATGAAAAATGAATGGTTGAATAAGGTTTTGTTAGCAAAATACATAGAAATTGTTTTGGTAATAAAAAAATTGGTTTACAAAAATATTTCTAAAATTTTGTGGTAAAATATTCTTTATTGAATTTTATTTGGCTTATTAGAAGTAAATTAAGTGCATAAAAGTTTGATAATTAATTTTTCTTTTATCAGTTTTAATCATTTTTATGAGTTTATTTTTTAGTTAATTTGCTGAAAAATTAAAAAAATTACCTTCTGCTTTATTGTTTTATTCGGCATTGAATGTATTTTGGTTGTTGTTGATATTGTTCATAACAATTACAGGATTTATTTATTGGCTGTTTGCTCCAATATAGAAAGGATGCTACTTGATTTATTCTACGGTGATTCTTTTGTCGTGGTGTGGGTGAACCATTTTCATAAATAGATCAACGAAATCCTTTGAGAGATTATCTTGGAAGGCAGGGTTTGGACTGTTCTTTCTCATCAAAGTCCAGAATTGTGCAGGATTGCTAAACAAGATACCGTACGATTGGAATTGCTTGAAGGGGAGGAGGCAGGAGTACATTGAAAAGATAGTAACACCTGCTGCGAAGATATCAGCATCGAAAGCTCTGTAGGGTATTTGCTTGTAAAGCTCAAATATTTGATAAGACGGAGATCCCTTTCTGTAGTTGTTAAGAACTTGATTGGGGCTTGTTAGTTCTTCGCACATACCAAAGTCTCCTAAAATCAAATCAAAATTGGAATCTAAGAAGAAATTTTCTGCTTTAATATCCAAGTGAGCAAGGTTGAGTGATTAGAGTGTTTCTAATATATCAACAATTTAATGCAAAAGGGATCTTACATTTTCTTCATCAAGACCCTTGTTAACCATGATATACTTGAGCAATTCACCACCTCTGCAGAATTCCATAACTATTCCTTTATATTTCTCCTTGAATTAGTCAAGTTATGCGAAAATCTAAACAAACTTGTTATAACCCTTGACTCTTTTCAAAGATGTGACTTCTTTTTCGTACATTTACTATAGATGGTTGATGGGCTTGAAAATTTTAAGTGCATAGCTTTGCTAATTTTTTGTATACTTCACTTTGTATACTCTTCCGTAAGTTCCTTCACCAAGAACTGCTTCTGTCTGGTAATTATCAAAATTTTCACGTTCTGCTTTTTCTATTTCAAGGATATCCACCTTATTATCCTGCTTGAAAACAGAATCAGCGGAGCATGAAGTTGAAGATACATCACTGTAATCCATTTTGAGTTAGTAACTTTAAAGTTTTTTAAGTATGCTTCAATTTCAATTTTTATGTTTATGCAATAGGGAGTGACCAGTCAGTTTAATTGCTGCTGAGACAGTATAGTAGAGTAAGTTTATTAAGTAAAGAAAATATTTATTATTAAGATGATTGATTGAATGATTTTTAGTTATCTTTCCTTCCCTTTGATAGACTCTTTTCCTATTTTTTTTTCTTTAATTAATTAATATAAGTAAATATATTTTTTATATGAATTTCAATAATCTTTGAATCACTTTAAACATTATTTACTATTTAACCAATCTATCTCTCAAATATTCTGCCTAAATAACATATAAACTTTTTTTTCCCATGATTTTTACTACTTTTTGATCATTCCAACCTAATTTCCTTTCTGTCAACTCTAGTCAGTAGTGAGTGAGTGTCTCAAGCTATGCATCTTGTTAATTAATTCTAATACAGCTAAAATCTAAATGGAAATCTCTATTTCTGATTTAAAAATGATAATATTTACTATCACTAATTTATTTATGATACAACCTTTCTTACAGAAAGACAAGCAAAAGTTTATTTATCTGTCTGTCTAATATTCTTTCATTTCTTTTTACTCAAAGTTTTTTTGTTCAATAAAAAAAACAAGCATTATTTTATTGACTTAATCAAATCTAATAATAATTTATAATAAATTCTTCTATCTTTTCAAGCAAAATGTATTTTTACAAAAAAATCATTGATTTTATGATGAAAAATTTGAACATAAAAAAATGCAAATAAATTTTGACTGTCTATATTCTATATGTGCTCTGTAATTTAATAAAATGAGCATCTACCAGAGCTTACTTTGTTATTTAACAAATTTAAATCTAGTTAATATAAATTACAGCTATAATTTTTTAATTTCGTCAAATAGGATTTACTTCAATTAAATTTTATAATTAAACTTTAAAAAGGCTTGTTTTTTATTTTTTAACACTTTCAAAAAAAAAAAATGTAAAAAATAATCTAACATTTTTAAGAAATTATTTAAAATATTTTTTAAAAGCTTATTAAACAATCTTAACATCTAATAAGAGCATTAATAGATTCAATATATATTACAATAGATTGACCATCCTTTCTATTTTATCTAAAAATATTGTTGTGTCTACTTAAAAATTGTATAATAATTTAAATATGAAATAGGATTGCGTATTAAAATTAGGTGTTTATAGCTAATAATCACTATAATTCAATCAAATTATTTCTAATAATCTCAAAATAAACTTTATAATTTCTAATTAAAAAATAAGCCAAAATAGCAAAAGTATATTTCATTTTTATTATCCAGTCTTTTATTTTATACATGCAAAATAGGAATTTAATTAAAAATAAAATTTTTTGTTATAATATTAATTTATTTTTATCTATATTTTATAAAATTATAATCATATTATATGTACTTCATTAATTTTTACAAAAATGATAAATAAATATAAATCATGAAAGAAATTACTATTTTCTGCTTAAAAATAAACAAAATTACATTGTTAAAAACTTTTTAAAAAATGAAAATTAAACAAAATTTTTCTTTCAATAGACAAATATCTATGATTGAATTTAATACCACTAGCTTAAAAATACTGTTTGATCTGATAAAACAATATTTATATTATTATATTTCATTTAAATTATACTTAAAACATTTTGATAGTTCTTTAAAATTAAATGAAAACTTATTTTTTTAATTTTGTAAGGAATTTTAATAATTTTCATAAACTTAATTTTAATTGTGATCTAAATTTTGCATTCACTAATTTATATATTTATATCTTAATGACTTAGATCTTCTTAATTAATTTTTATATAAATAATACACTTTTCATTCACATCCTAATGCCTATTTTATATTTCTTAATTCAAATCTAAGTACTATCTATATCCAAAATATTTTTTATTTATTTTGGTAATTATAATATAATTTATTATCACTTAGCCTATCTCACTAATTAATTTAATTTTAAATTCCCTTAATTTTTATATTTAAATTTAAAATTAATTTAATAGATTTTTAAACTATTTTATAGATAAAAAAATTTTATAATAAATTATTTTTTTTTGGTCTATAAAAATATTTTTTTTAATTTAAGAATTCAATTAAATTACAAAAATTAAAGTGAAAATAAAATTTATTAAAATAAATACTAAAATAATAAAGTTTAGTCATGTGAAAAATTATAAATTTATAAAGCAAATTCTAGTATAATATAGAATATCTTGTAGTCTCCAATAATTTATTAATTTATTTAAAATCATATTATTATTTTTATTTGGTTTTTACAAGTTTGCTTATTTATGATTAATCCATTTGTATTTAATTTTGTAATTAGTTTTCAATAAAATCAATTTAAATTCTCAGTTAAAAAGTGAAAATAAACTATTTATTAAAATTTTGTTGCTACTTTAAAAACTAATAAAAATAATCAATAATTAATTGGTCAAAAGTATTTTATATGTAAACTCAATTTTAATAAAAACAAAATTTAAGTAAGATTTAATACTTAATCCATTAGAGATATTTTATAAAAATTATTTAAATGAAATATTAAAATAAAAGAGAAAATGATTATTGGAGATATTTTACATGCTATCCTAATATATTATTTTATTAAATAAACCTATTTAAAGTCCAAAAATTTTTTTATTTTAGTTTTTAAATTAAATTAATTTTTTTCTATTAATTAAATTACTAGAAATTAAAAGTGATATTGATAAATATATTTAATAGAGTAGGTTTGTTTGATTTTTAAATCTATTTGAACAATCTAAACTATTCATTATTATTAATTATAAAAAAGGTTGTTATTATTATATATTATTCAAACAAATTTTATAATTTTTTAGGCATTTAAACAAATTTATTTTAAAGTAAGAAAACATTTTCAATAGAACAATAAAAATTCTTATTTAATTTAAACTAATTTATTCAATATTTAGCCAAATTATTTTAAGTTAAATTAATAAATCTACAAAACTATTAAATCAATTATTTTTTAGAAACAAACGTGTTTAATCTCATTTATTTATTTATTATTCACTTATCTAAATTTAACTAAAAATAATAAATTAAATTAAATAAAATAAAACAATAGAAAATATTTATTTTTAACATTAACATTTTAAAAACCTATTGATTTTTAATTAAATAATACTTATGTAAATTACTAAATATTTTATCAATCTAATTCAAGCGAAAAAACAAATTATGAAAACGAAGCAATATGAAATTGGTTTCGTTAATTTAAAAATACTAAAATATCTAGTAAGTGATTTAAAATAAATCTAATTATTTATGAAATTAATCATTTATTATATTTGTTATAAAAAATTAAGTTTAATTTACTTTGATTTATCCTCAAAAAAAATTTTATTATTTAAATTAAGTATATTTTAAAGAAAATAAATTTATATTAAAGAAACCTTGAGTGTATAACTTAAATAAATATTACTTTTTCTTAATTTTAATCATCTCATTTATATATTTTTTAAACTTTAAATAAAATATTTACAAATCCTTCATGAATACCTTAAATTTCTGTTAAAAATTTAGTAAAGAAAAGGATATGCTAATTTTTTAAATATTTTAATGATTAATTCATTTAAGTTTTAAATTATTTAACATTTTATAAATTATAATTTAAATATCTTGAACCACTAAACAAAATACTTTATAAATTAAAATTTATTTAGATAAATTAGTTTTTTTTTCTTTTTCTGAAATCTATTTGAAAATTTTACTTTATGAATTTTAGTTTAAAATAAAATTAATAATAAAAATTATTTATTCAAGATAAAAAATAATAATAAATTAGATATAAATGCATGATTAATTATTGATTTTATGATATAATTGGTTTACAATAAATACAAGTGAAATTAGTTATTTATTTAATGTTTACATTTTAGTTTGTTATTTTTTATCATGTATTTATTCATCTTAATAATTAATAGAAAAGAAGGTCTGCAAAAAGTATGAATAGTAAAAGGATTGAATAATTAATATGTTCATATTATTTTTATATATTTTAGTTTTAATATACTTTAATTCATTCGATCGATCATTCGTTTAGTATTTTCTAATTACTTAGATTTCTTTAAAATAGATTATGATAATAATATAGAAAATCAAAGAAGCTTCTTGATATTTGTGTAAAGTGGATAAATCTATTTAATAGCAGAGTTATGCAGGTTTTTTATTAGCAATATTTAGATCAGTTAGTATAGTTGACATCTTTGTGCTCAATAATATAAAAGAGGATTCTATTTTGAGCGGCTTTTTAATGAATATAATCAGTAGTAATGTTCTTAGCTTATTCATCTTTATTGTAAGGTCTAATGTACTTTTATTTATTGGAATCAGTACTCCAAAACTAATTGTCAATACTCTTAATTATTTAGGTCTTATCTTCTAAAGGGTGGTATGAGGATTCTTCGGCTGAAGATTTAACATAGAATTTGATATATGGCTTGTACTTTTAATAATTAATATTTAATTTTTAGCAAATCAACTTAGTGATATCATCTAAAGAAAGTGTCCAGTCCATTTTTAGGATATTAAAATCGAATTGCTTTTACAGCTTATCATAAGGAACAACTTTAATTTAGATATTGATAAATGCACGGTCAGATTTCGATGAAGACGATCCAATATTAAGCAGAGAAGCTCCATTTATAGAGGTTAAGCTACTTTCTTGTTGATGTTTTCTTAGCGACTCCTCAACTTACTTTTCTTTTATTTCTTCCTCAAAGTATTTCTTTTTTTGCACTACATGACCTGGAATGTACTCGTCTCCCTTTTTATTGCCAGACTCTCCAAGGTTATCGAATTTTCTTTTTCTGGTAGTGGGTTATTCATTTTAGCTTTAAGCTCCTTTTTCGTTGTTCTTCTACCCTTAGCTTTGTTAGGAAGATCCCTAGTTGCTATTTGATGGTAGTCTCCTCTTTACAGCAGATGAAAAATTGCTAATTTAATCCTACTAATTAGAGCTGTTTTTGTAAGCTGAATTACTTGTGACTCCTTTGTCTTCCTTAATACTAGAAAAAGTTGGTGAAGACTACTATTGGTTGTCTTGCGCTTTTTCAGTTGTTGAAGTATTAAACTGCCTTCTCCTTTTTCTGGTAGCTCCATCACTATTGGCAAGCTGCGAGTATGTCTTTTATATTAATAACTCGTCATTTGACTACTTAAGTTCAAGGAATTTTGAGATATCTCCGTATATCAAATTTATAATCTCTTGGACATTAAAATCTACTCTAAGCAATCTCTTAGTACCAATAATCCTACGACAAGTGGGACATTATTTCATTTTACTTGAGCGGATTGCTTTTTCAATACATTCCTTACAGAAACGGTGAGAGCACCCCTTTACATAGACGGGCTCCTAAAAGATATCAAGACATATGGGACAAGTAAGCATATAATTAAGTTTTTTGAGAGGGTCCATATCAATTAGTTAGTCATCATTAGCATGTATTTTCTCACGTTTACGAAAAACTGAGATATTTTGAACATCCTAGTTCTATTCTAACTCATCAAGATCTTCACTGTCAGACATTTCAGCACTTTTGTTTTCTAAAATTAGTATTTATTTCTTTTATTTGCTCTTTTAATTTTTTCTTCTTATCTTTTTCTCTTCTCTCTTATTTTTTTAAAGATTAACTTTATATAATTTTTAATTTTTTGCTCAGTTGATAATAACAATAAATCTAGTTATCTATCTGCATATCTCCGAAGTATTTATTTTTTGAATTAAATTCTGATTATTACACCATCTAATTTTCCTCAAAGCATTTTACACTCGTTTCTTAGTGCATTCACTTATAAATTAATTAGTTAACCAACAAACAAACAAGCTAGCTATAAATAATAATTAAATTATAAAATAGCTTTCGTAAATATAAAATAAAACTAAAATTAAAATGTGCCTTAGTACAGCACTATCTTCAGAATTATGTTAAATACTTTTTAAATGATTAAAACTTTCTAACTTTATCAAATCTAATAATTTTCACACTACTCTTTAGCCAAAAAGTTCATTAAAATTTTAATTTCCAATTTGCATTTTTTTAAATTTCATTAAATATTTTTGCCCAATAAAATATATTTTTAAATTAAAACAGCTAAATGGAAATTTGAAAAATTATTACATAAATTTATTTTATTGAATTATAATTTTACTCTTAATAAAATATTTTTTTTCTCAAAAATCATTTTAATTACAATTTTTATGAGAATTAATTCATACAAGCTAAATAGAATTTAAATTTAAAAAAAATGTTTTATTATTATTTGAATTTATTTTATATTGATTAAATTTTATATGTAATAAAATTAGGTATTTTATTATTACTAATCTCTCCCTAAAATTAATAATTTTTGGCTTATTTGATAAATTCAAATAAAAAATATAATACTTACATCAATCAGAAAGATTCAAATGCCCCAACATATATATTTATTTGTTATTATTATATAAAAATATAACTATAAATAGATAAATAAGCTCAATTTTCATAGATTTTTTAAAAGCTTTTACTCAATTATTATGTTTTTCAAACAATAAATAATAAATTTGCGTGTTTTTAAAAGAAAATTCAAAAAAAACTGATAAGTTTTTGTAAATATTAATATTTTGATTAACTTTCAAGCTCTTTGAACTACATGAATTTCCTCTTGTTCGTAACATGTTAAGAATATAGGAGTATTAGCTGAGAGTTTGTCTTAGAAATTAGCTCCTACTATGCTGAGATCATTGATGCTTAAAGAAAAACTCAATGAAACATCATTAGTTTTCGACTGAATATTCCAAACATTAACATAGGAATCTTCAGAAGCAGAAAGAATTTCATTTGTTGCATGATTGCAGTCTATGGAAGAAATTAGTCTGACATGAGAATTAATTGTGAATAATAGATAATACTCATTTAAATCATACAAAGAAATGCTACCTGTGTAATCACCACAAGCTAGTATGTTAGATATATTGGGATTAGTTAATTTTCTTTCTAATACGCTCATACAATTTATTGGAGATCTGTTAGTGTTACTATTAAATTTCTTTATATAAACCATATCTTTTAATTAATTTGCCATAAAAAGAGATATGTCACCCTCTTAATTACAAGCAATCAAAGTGTTATCTGTCTAACATGATGTCAAACGATTAACTTTTTAATTATGATCCAAAGCAATTCCTATGTAGCATTAAAATTTCTATGGACCCAAATATTCAGAGAAATAAATATGCCCATTTGTTGATCCAACACAGATTGTTTCTGCCCCATCATTACACTTAAGAGTACAAATACCAGTAAACATAGTTTTTGCATCTGAAATCATTTTGCTATCTGCAGCGTTTTGAGCTATTTTATTTGTTTATATCAAATTCTTACCATCTTCACTATAAATTCTGTATCCCTACAATCCTGTGATTATCAATTTCCATTCATTTTTAATTTAAACATATTTCAAATCTGTCACCAAATCAGGAAAATCATTCAAAACAACCTCACTATCTCTACTTACTCCACTATTTTAAATAAATATTTTAGTTTTTTAGTTCTCATTATAATTGATATTCTAATATATTTATCATTTTAGAATATCTAAAAACAATTATTTCTTCTTAAACTTTAAATTATCTATCTATATATTAATTTATGTATTAATTACTCAGATTTGAGTCTGATCACCACTACCCTTTTAGTATCTCCGTTTATGTTTGCATATGCTATATATTGCTATGAACAAGTAAGGTTCTCCATCATATAAGAGGGAGTTATCTTGGTCTAAATAGTAGATGTCTTAATATTAAGAACTTTTTGCATCTTGGAGCTCTAAATTTAAAATATGCTAATATATTTATATATCTGTATCTATATAATTACTTAATCCTTGAAATTAAATCAAATCTAATTTATTTATTCAAAATTTATAACTATTAAATAAATCACCAACAAAAATATTAAATGATTTATTTATATATCATATCCATTTAACTAGAAAGATTTTTATTAATTATAATACTATCAGAATAAAAATATTCTTCAAACATTAAAAATTATTTTCTAAAAAGAATTGCTAATTAAATTCAATTTTCTAAAGAATATTTTCATTAATTTATATAAAAATATCAAAGTTATCTATCTGCTTGAATACTTTTTTTAGTTACCTGATAGTTTTGAATAACTTTTTAAGATTTTAAATAATAATTTTTTATTTATTTCGAATATAAAGTGTTTTCTTTCCCTTAAATTTATAAAAGAATAGACTAAAAAAGTTAAATTATATCATCAATAATTTATTAACTAATTGTATCTACAAAAAATGTATTTATTTTTCATTAAAATGAAACATTGATAAAGGTAATAATATTAATTTTTTTTAAACTCTAAATTATTTTAAATTTGTTTGTATGTATTTTTATTAATATTAATTCAAAAGATTTTTTTATCAAAAATTTAGTTATAATGATAATTTTTATAAATTTTAAAGTATTTAAAATAATAGAAAGCAAATTTTAATGTTTAAAATTTCATAGAAATTTTTTAAATAATTTTAAAATTGTTTCACCTATAAATATTTGAGTTTAAAATTGTTCAACCAACAATTAAATTTGATTTAATTTTTTAATGAAAAACTAAATAAATTATCAAAATGATAAAGAAATTTACTTTATTTTTGATATAAAACATACTGATAAATTTAAATAATTTATTCCACTTATTTTATTAGCGATTACAGTTGAGAAATTTAGAATATTTTAAAACATATTTTATTATGTTTTTTTTACAATATTAAAAAAATGATTATTATAAATTTAAAGTTGAAATAAACTATTTTTTTTTTGAGCACAGAACAGAGTCCATATAATGTTCAATTTTTTTGTATAATATTTATTATACTCATTTACTATTAATTCTGCATGGATAATATGATTTATGTCAGTTTAATGAACTTAATTTTTTTAAAACTATAATTTTATCAGATATATAATTACTCATTATTTTAAATTTAAAGATTGCTCAAAAAATACTTGAAAAATGAAAATAAGTCTAATTATATGCTTCTTAGGCGAATAAAGATTATTCAAGGAATGTAGAGTTTTGCAAAAATAATGAAATAAATAAATAAATAAAACTTAATTGGATTTATTCTTTTAGCTATTTTTTTTTTTATGAAATTAATATAAACAGGAATGATAAATAGATAGATAGATATGTTTGCTTATTATTTGAAAGTTTCTATCAATATTTTGAGTATTCTAAATTTTAATAGTTATCATTCATTCATTATAAATAATAAAATTTAAATACAAAACAGAATCAAAAAAATAAATTTTATCATAAATGAAGAAAAGCTAGGTATTTTCGCCAGATGTTCGCAACTTAGGTGGTCGCAAATTGTTAGTAAATCAGATTTACAATCACAGAGTTTCGCTTGGAAATATTAAGCCAATTATAGGGTCTTTTGATAGTCCTCCCTCAATGGCAAAAAAAGGAAAAATAGTTTCATTTAAAGAGATAGAGGACTAATAGAATTTGATCATTATGCATAATAAGATTTCTAAAGTAAAAAAGAGCATAGATAACAATAAGCCTGTATCTTTTGATTTGATTAGGCAAGGGTAACCAGGTGGTGCTACTTCAAAATAATATCAATTCATGTAGGAAGAGCATTACAAGAATTTGCTCGCATAAAAAAGATAGATTGAATCATTTGGTACCATGAATGATAGAAAAAAAAATATAAATGACTTTATAGCCTATCCACCTAAATTTTTTAGAAGATTAAACAATAATCAAATGCATTAATACAATCAATTCAAATTTTCTTCAAAATCATTGCAGAGCAGCTCTTAAATTTAGTTAAATCGACCAAAAACAGCCTATGCAAAACCTTATTGTAGTAATAGTAATATTTTTGAATAATAAAATAGTGCTGCAATTAATATTCAGGACTCAAAAAGTTAAATTTTACATCAAGATTACAATCCACAATTATCCAGCGAATAGTAATAGTTGATATTTTAATAGAAAATGAACTAATTTGAGGAGAATTCCCATTAAATGAATAATTAAGATATATATTTGCAGTAAATTTCGTATGGAAGCGATGGTTAAAATGAATAAAACTATCTACAATAAAATAACCAATAATAAGAAACCGTTAAAAAGAATATATAGCAATTGAATGGAATGAATATTTAAAATAATTCAGTAAGCAGTGCTGGATATGCACTTATTTCACCATCTGCAACAACTGCAACAGCAGGATTTTCTTCTCAACTCAAAGCTTCTCCTTTTTAGGTTGAAAATTAGCAAAATAGCTTTAATTAAAGTAATAAAAATAACATGTTGCAAAGTTCTCCTTAAATAAGCACATTAATGAATTAAATAATTAATAAGAGTGCAAGTAAATCGAATAATCAAAGCTAGAAAAAAATAAAATCTGCTAGTGCTAAATCAAAACAGAATTTGAGCAGTATAAGTAATATCAATAAATCTGCTCTTCATTCTCTATCAGAAAAAAGTAAAAAAAGTGCTAACTTGAGCTCAAATAAAAAGGAAGCCCGAAATTAAATGGATATTGATTTAGACACTAACAAAAAGTATATGGATGAAGAATAAAAATGGACAGCCATCATAGAAGAAGTGCCATAATTAGAAGACATCAGCGAAGAAAGTCTGAAAGTTTTAAAAATGCATCTTATAAACATGATAATTGAATTTAGGTTATATCGTCTAACTGAATATGAAAGCATGAAATAAATTTTTATTGAGAAAAACAAAGAAATCTCTTTAGATCTTGTAGAAGAAATATTCTCAGAAATAATCGAAGCTCTTAACGAGTGAGTGAGTGAATAAAATTAATATTTACTGGTTTTATTCAAAACCTTTTTATCTTCTTATTAGCTCTTACTTAGTTTTTGCTTTATATTAGTTGATTGCTTCATTAAAATAAAGCATACTAGGTTACTATTACTGAGTTAATCATTTTTGCTTACAATAATAAATAGTATATTTTAAGTAATGATAATTTATATTAATACAATAAATAAATATATTAAAACCCTCTCCTTAAAGCATCTATCAAATAGTTTATTAACTAAATTAAAACTCTTTAGTTTAACTTTATTTTATTTGAAATATTTTAAACTAAAGAAAAAAATAGCCTTGAAATTTGATGTATGTATTATTCTTTTTTTGTTTATTTTTTTTACTTAGATTTGTTAATTTTGTGTTCGTCTTTTTTATAACTCAATACAATTTTGTATTATATTATGTAAATAAAATGTCTTCATTTTCTTCTTCTTCTATGACTCAATCACTTTCTTCATTGAATAAAAAATATACTTATTTTTTCAAGGATTTGATATAATTTTTTTTATTTTAGATTTCTCTTATAAAGTTGGCTAAAATAAATTTAAATTTATTTAAAATTATAAATTTTTTAATTTATTTAATATTTAACACTCCTTTCTTCAAAATTATTTATTTTGTTTTCACTTTTTTTTTGATTTTATTTGTAAATATTAAAATAAATTTATATGAAATAAAAATTTCAAATTTTTTAATAAGGTTGGTAGGTTTTCTTGTAAAATTTTCAAAAAAAATATAGATTTCTATATAGAATTTATAAAAATTATAATAACACAAAGAAAAAATATGGCTTGGCCTGGCTTCAAACATCTTGAAAATATATATTCAAACATTTAATTTATTTTAGATTTCATCTAAAATTTAATAAGATTTATTTCATACATACATACATATTAAAAAAAATTAAACAAAAACTTAATCTTTTCTAAATTTTATTTTTCAGCTAGTTATTAAATTTTTCAAGAGTATTTTCTTTCTAAAAAATAGAAAATCATTTTTAAGAAAGGTTGATTTATTCTTTTAAAAGATTTATTTCTCTTAAAATATTTAAATCTTTTGTTTTAAAATTAATTGTTTTGTGAAGTTTTGATTATTAAAGAATTTGTTAAATAAATTTAAAATGCAAAGCTAATAATTGTAATTTAAGTCTTTTTTAATATATTTTTTTGTTTAATTCATTAAGTTATTTGTAAAGCCTACAAAAAAACAAAAATGTATTTTTTTTATTTAAAAATATTTTATTTTAAACTATTAATTTAAGTTTGATACAATTGTTTTATAGATTAGCAATATATATTTACACATAGAACATTTATTTCTTATTTTAATTAAAAATTTTTAAACATTTGAAATTCACTGAGAGCATTCATTTTTACTTTTAAAATTAATTGATTTTAATATTTTAAAAAATAAATTTAAATTACTTTATTATTATTTTATTTTTTTGTTATTAATTTATCATAATTAGTTTAATTTATAACTTGTAAAACTCAATAATTAAATAAAAGTTATTTTTATCAATTTTTATGCTTTTCTAAATTTTCTAAATCAGGGATTTCAATTTTTGGGAGTTAATTTTTTTCCATAAGTTAATAATGCTTCATGAAATGAGTACACTTTTCTATTTGCTTGGAATTAGAGTTTTTGATGCAAGTAATTTTTAGAATGCAAGGTATGCAAGCAAAGAATTTGCATTATCTGCAACGATAAGCATTTTATTTACGCCTTTATACTCTACATATGCAACAAGTTTCATCACAATCTTAGCAAAACAAGTAATTACTTTCTTATTTATCCTATGATTCATTTTTTTTAATTTCTAAGCATGCAAGACAGCGACATTTGCAATATTCCTATCTTTTTTATTGCCTGTCGATTACCAAATTACAATTTTTACACTTCAGAAATTTACAATTTTTACATTGTAAATATTTAGATCTTTCTACAGGAGTTAAATCGCAAGATTTACATACAGGACATTTATTTTTATTAGTTTCCATTTCTTTTTTTTCCTTACATTACTTACAAATTTAGTTATTATAAAAACTGAATGGAGGCTTGCATGTAATATTATAATTTAAAGATCCTAAAAACTCGCTAGAATCGCAGTTTGAGCATTTTATATTTATAATTTACTCTAAGGAATCTAATACTCTCAATAATTCATTATTAGTTATTTTTGTCATGCAATTTTTAGATAAGCAAGTATCAGCTGAGGTTTTCATAGGATCAATTAGACACTCCTTACATAAATAGTGCTTGCATCTATCAACATGCAAAAGTTGACTCACTTCGATTTTTCTCTCACAGCAATTTGTTTAAACAATGCTGTTTGGATTATAAAGTCTGTTAAGATGAGAAGATTACTCAAATTAACTAGCTTGACTAAAATAAGATTAATTTTCCTTTATCTATTGCATTTAAAGTGATTATTCTTGCTACTATTACGGCTTTTTGAAATTTCTTTATTAGCCCTTAAGAAGAGTCTAGTTGTCTTAATTTTGAAAGGTTTAATTCTGATTTGATATAATTTCATTTGTAGAAGGTATTTCTTGTTTAGGTAATAAAGTTGTTAATCTTTTTTTTAATTTGTCGTCATAAAGAATATAAATTTCTTCTTCGTTATCAATACTTTTTTCAATCAGAATTTTAATGTATGTTTTCCCTTTATTATTCAGGTCAAAGTGCCAGCTTTTCATAATTTAAAACAAAAATTAATTTTTATTTAAAATAAAAAAAATTGCTTTTAAAAAATAAGAACTTGTCATATTTTCCTTTAAGCATGCATTTTAAGAATTTATAAAAATATTAAGGCTAAAAATATATTACTTATTTACTTATTTATTAATTTTACAATTTTTAAATTTAATCTTCTTCGTTAAAATCTAATTTTTGTGCTTTAAAAGTAATAAATTTTTACATAAGGGAGTTTTATTAAAAGAAAAGCTATCTGTTGAAAAATTGAATTACTTTTCATAATCATGAGTGACTGACATTTTCATATTAAAATGTTTAAGGATTTTATTTATAGTTAGCATATATTTTCTTAAATTTGTTTAATTAGTCAGCAAATTATCAACATCATTTAGTTTTCTAAAATCTCCTAATATTGTGATTAATAAAATAAATTAATATAGATGCTAAAAATAAGAAAGATTAAATGAAAATAATCAATAACCTAAACAGTTAAACTAGTTGTCATTCTTTGAGAAAAAATTTTCAATTAAGAACTAGATATTTTTTTTGTTTAAAAAGCAACTTTATAGAACAGCCTACTCTAATAAGTTTTAATTTAAGACATCATCACGTTTAGATATAATATTATTATCAATTTTATTAATAAAATTATTCACGATGTTAAAAAAGTTATCAAAATGCTTCTTATATTCTTCTTGTTAAATCTTCTACAAAGAGATAGCAGATGAATCAAAATCCTACAACTAATTTAAAAAGCTTTGAATCTCTTGAGTTTGCCCATAAAGAATCTTCTCTTCTATACTTGTAATGAAAATGAGATTTTAAAATAACTATTTAGTGTTTTTTATCTTCTTTTTAAATAAAATATTTTCATCTATAGCCATCTTATTAATATATTGATCCTAGTTTACATACTAAGCCTTATTTTAGTGTAAGTATTCAGAATAATACAATTGTTCTTCCACTACTAATTGTTATTTTTCCTCTATTGTCATAAATATTTATTATATAAACCATTAAATTTATAAATTTAACTCAAATATTTTTAATAATTAATTCTTTCATTTTTAAAAAAATTTAATAATATTTGTAATGAGGGTTGATTATTTATTATATTGCAATATGAATACTTAAAGTATATTAATGTATTCAGTTTTTTATGAAATACTTCTTTTGTCTTTTATAAATTTTGGTGCTGAAATAGAATAATAAAATTAAATAGTAATCATCAACATTATATATTTCTTTATAAATTATATATCAATTAAAATATTACTGTCAGGGTGTTTATTTATATCAAAATGAACTGATTTATTTGACTTTGGAAGATTAAAAGCTAAGTCATTAGGATCTAATTTCAAATCGTTTGGGAGCGGCAGTCTCTTTGGTTCTTTTCCTTATATTGTTTTGTTATTAAAGTGCTTAATCCTGATTGTTTTTTTAATTCTAGAATCATTTTTTATTATTTCAAAATATTTTTTGTAATCATATTTTTCAGCAAATAATTTATCTGGATAATCTGGGATAACTTCCTCTTCTTCTTCTTCTGCTTTGTATTAAATATACCTATCACCTTTATCTAATACTTTTTTAGAGCTTGATTAGCTCTTTTATTATTAGTCTCTTACATTATAGTTAATTTTGAATATAGAATGCGTATTAAAATCATCGTCATCATAAATACCATTTTCTTATTAATTAAACCTTGCGAAAGTAGTATTCTGAGATCTATTGTTCAAGTTTTGTGATCTAAATATCGTGCTACTATTTTAGTCAGATTAATCTAGAAAACTTATGTTTTAATTACCATTTCTTGAACTATTAAATTAGTTAGAATCTGCCATCTTTTCCTAATTATCAATGTGTCAGACTTTATTTTTTTTAAAATTGATATCTATTTTAAGTTTTAGGTTTATAAATGTCTTCTTTTAATCACTTTCCTTAATTTTTTAATTTAATAGTGCTAAAAAATAATTTTTAAGCTTAATAACTAAAATAATTTCTTTTAGCTTTCAGACAAAGTTGTTTATAGGCTTTGATATTAAACAATTTCTTTTTTTTGATCTTATTATTTTCTGATAAGTAAAGATAAATGATAGTTAATAAATTTTAATAAATTTAAGCATTTATTAGAATATAAATGTGTTTTTGTATCTTTTAATCAGAACAACCAAAAGCTTTTGATTGTGACTGAATAATAATAAAAATAGAATTAAATTAAAGATTATTTGTAAGATATTTTATTAAAAAATTATTTTAATTTATATTTATTTTACATAGAATAAAGTATATTCCAAAATTTAATAAAAATAGCAATAAAAAAATAATAAAACCTAATAATAAAAAAAATGGTAATTTAAATAAATAAATATGCTCTTAAAAATTTAAAATAAGGATAGTAATTAATTCATTTATTTTATTAACATTTCTATAAATATTGATTAATTACCATCTTAATTGGAAATTTAAGACTATAAATCATTGGTGTAACTGAAAATATTATCATGTAGTTTTTTTAAATTTTTCTTAGAGTTATTATTAGCAAATTAAGCAGATTGAGGAGTTGAATGAATTTTAAATTGTAACTAGCTCATTTAATCTATTTATGATAAAGTTTATTATAGGTAATTTACTTAATTTAAAAGAAATAAATATATTTTGTACAATAATAATGTAAACATTGTTTATATTCTTCAAGATTAAGTGATGTTTTAAAATAAAAAATTACGAATTAATAATATGAAACAATTATTTATTAAGTATTTAAATTTTTAAAGATTGTTTTGTTGAAATAATTATAAATCTTACGTTTTAAATATATTTATCTACTTACAAGTAACAAACATATACTTAATAATCACCATTATTATAAAAATGTGTATAAAAAATTAAATATTATATTTTGATATTTATTTATCATGTTATTATTTGAATTTATAGTGAAATTAACTTTATTTTTTAAAAATATTTTATATTTTTGCTTATTTACTTTGCTTTATTTAAACTTTTTTAGTTTAAAAATTATAGGTTTCTTATAATATATTTTATACTGTTTCTCTTGTTGCTGCTTATTTCACTATATTAAGACTTGTAGAGAAGATTCAAGAAATTTAATTGTAGGAAATATTGATTTGGAGTGTGTTTTAAGATATATATATATATGTATTTAATATTATTTATTATAATGCTTTAGGAGATTTGGATAGGTAGAAAGAAAGAAAAATAGAAGTAGGATATATAATTGATAAAACAATCAATCAGATTCATAATTTATAAGAATATCAAATTATTTCTAAATTTATAATTAAATATAAATAGCCCTTATTTTTTTGTATGATATTAAGGAAATTTGTCTAATAATTAAGCCAAGTACAACTCTTGAATAAGCAAGTGTACCAATTTGGGAGACCATTTAGAATTAAGGTCAATAAATTTACTGGTGGAGCACTACAACAAAATAAGAAGGAACAGGAGAATGAATAAGATGAGGATATTAATTATCAAGAATTAGAAGATCCCGATTTTGATAAAAATAAACAAAAGCAAAATAAGTTTAAACATATAGATGAAGATGATTTGAAAGATCTTTAAAATGAAAAATTTGATATATCTTAGTTTGCTGAATCAGCAAATCAAGTTGTGCTTGATTCTTTTTAAAATCCTGAACATGATCCTTCAAAAGCTAATACAATTAAGAAATTTAAAGATCTAAGTGATGGTGAAGAAGAAGAAGAGGAAAGATCATAATTAAAATTGTCAAAAGAAGAAGATAAGCAATTCTCAAAAGAATAAGTTTAGTTTATTAAAGAAACACTAATGTATGAAGGAGAAGATCCATACTTTGAAAAACTAGTTAATCGTCCTGAAAAAGGAGTAGTTTGGGGTCTTGGTGGTCAACTTCTTAAATAGTAAAAGAGTAAATAAACAATTATTTTTAAGATTTTAGATAGTTTAACCAATAGAATTAAATTGTTATTTAACCCATTCACAAAAAAATATGTTTTTTATTAATCTTTGCTACATTTAAAATTAAATTTTTAAATCAATTAAAATTATTATAAAATAGACTTCTTTGAAAAGGGTAAATATCCCACTCCAGAAGCAGTTATAAGCTTCTTAGAATTAGAATAAGGTAAGGATATTATTTGTGTTGACTTAGAAAAAGAGTGCAATAGATATGATCTCCCCAGATTTGGTATTATTCTTTCCTCTTTTTCATGCAGACATAACTACAGGATAGCATAAAATCTCCTGAAAGCAATTAGAGAACTAGAAATTCCAGATATGAAAGATAAAAACTTCAAAATAAGTGGTAGAAAAGATGACGAATGGCTTATGGTTGATTTTAACGACATTTAAGTACATTGCTTTGTTGAGGAATCAAGAGAAGAAATTGATCTTGAGTGGAAGTGGAAAAATCCTCCCTCTAAAGAAGAAATGGCAGAGTTTGAAAAAATATAAAACCACAAATCGAGAAAAACATTCTTTGAGCCTTTAGATGATTATTGACTTATGCTGCTGCCATCTGTATATAGAAATCAAAACAATAAATTAAATTCTCTATTAATAAATAAATAAAATTTACTCATTATATTTAATTTTTATATTAATGTAAAATTATTTTTATTATTCAAAAATTTTTAATTTTATAAAAATAATTATTCTATTAAATAAATAAATAAATAAATAAGTAAACAAATAAAACCTTTTAAAAATTTTTGAAAAATATAAAGTCAACTACTGTTATTCATTCTAGTTTAAGGAGTTCATTTTAAAAAAATTTTTTAAATAAGCATTATTTTCTAAAATAATTTTTTTAATTTCATATTTAAAAATTCACTAAAATTAGAATGAATAAGGTAATTTAAAAGACAAAAATCATATTAAAAATAATAATTTCATCTTAGATTTGATTCAAAAATATATTTAAATTTTGAAAGCAGTATTTAATTTAGGTTATTTAAATGTAATAAAATTATTTTTATTTTAAATAACTGTTCTTATATCTTTAACATAAGATTTAAATTTTTTTAAGAAAATAAACATTTTTTTAATTAATAATAGCTTATTTGCTTTAATTTATAAAACATTAATTACTATACTACCTATATTTGAATAAAGTTTACTAGAATATATAAATAGACTAAACATATTTCATCTTTTTTATTTTAAAATGTTTATCTAAAATAAATGCTAAATTATAAAATACTCTATTTCACATATCATTTAAAAATAAATCAATGTTTATGTAAGTTAAAATATAATTTGAATATTTTTTGCACATTTATCAATTTTAATTAATTTTTTCTTTCTTTTAAATTTTTTTTTAATTGTATAAATTTTATTTACATTTATATGAGGCTCAAATTATTATAAAATTCTAAAGATAAAAACTTGTTGATCTACTTACTTTTTTGTTGCTGAAAAGCATTTTAATATGAAAAGATTTAATAAAATTTAAAAAACTAAAGATTACCTTAAATTTTTTCATAAAAATATCTAGTAAAATAAAGTTAAGAAATTTAATTACCACTGAAATTAAATTTTTATCAGTATTTTGAGTAAGTATGAAGTAATAGATTGACAATAGAATAAAATGTACTACTTTTTGAATTTAGTTTATCTAATTTTATCTATCTATTTATATTTAATAAAAATGTATTAAAATCAATCAGTCTACATACATACAAGCATGCATATCTGTTTATAATTTTTTTTGATAATTAATTGAAAATATTAAAGTAAGTCTAATTAATTATTAAAAGCAGTAACAAGCAATAGCATAAAGCATTCGCTTATCTAATAATAATTTTTAAAAAATACCATTACAAAGAATAAAGAATACTCAGATACCTTGATATTTAAGTTTATTTTTAACTTCTATTACTGAATAAATAAAAAATCAATTCATTTTATTAGCTTATATTTTTCTTATAATTATTTAAATGGACTTAAACAAGTTGATTATTATTTTACCTTCCTGCGCTGGCCTCATAACATAATTACTCTACGTATCAAAGTTAACAATACAAAATACTCACATTAAAACAAAAGATAAAATTCTTTTGAATGTCTTCGTGAGCAGCATGGTTTTTAATATTGGCCTAATTTTAATGAGTCTAACAAACAGTTAGTGTATAGTATCTCAAGCATTAATTACCTTTGGATTTAACTCAGCTATTTTGTTTACTATTTTCTACATTTATACTGAATACTAGAGTCTTAAATCAGCTCACCTATTTTCAAGCAAACGAAAGACAGCTTGTCTATTCTTGACTATTGCAATTAATGTCTTATGTGTTGGTCTTGGATTTGTGTAAATTGTTTAAAAAAATTAAACTTTTAAATCAACTTTTACAAATTTTTTAAGACATTTTGTGTCAATTTGCTTAATAAATTTATCTTTAAATTTTTTTGCTTAACTTAGACTCTATTGATTAAGATCTAAACAACAAAAATTTAGTTATTGATCAAATAAAAACACTGAAATTAATTAACTAAGTATTGTTGAAAAAGTTCGAGATAAAATCAAAAGATATTCTTAAGATATTTTTCTCATTTTAAAATTCATTTTAAAAACTTCCCAAAATCCTTTCTTTATCAAATTTAAAAAAGAAACATTTTATTTGAGGCTTAATAAAATTTATTAATAAATAAATTATTTAAATTAATTTATTTAAAATAAAATATAGATCGATGTTTTAGATAGGTGATGATTTAAACGATAATTAAGATAAAACTTGCTTAGAATTAGTTAATTCTTCATTTATTAATAAATAATACGTATTAGTTATTTGCCATTTGATACCATTTACTGTTGCATTTGTTCTAATGACGATTTAATTATACAACATATCTGTAAAGCTTCATAGAAAATATTCTGTAATAGTATCCTCAAAAAAAATTCTCTTGCCTACATTCTGTCTCCTTTTTTATTTTGCAATGACTATTTAGGTTACCTTATAAATATGTTATCCACAATCTACTACTGAAGAGGATAGTAAGAATTCAAAAAGAGCAGAGATGTGGAGAAAATTCGGACTCTATGCACTTTCTTTCTATGGAATCTTCTATTCTACTTTTTAAGTATTCTTTAATAGTAAAAAGATAATACCACAAAAGAGATTCTAGAGTTTCTCTTCAAATGAAGAAGAAGATTTAAGTTTAGAAAAAAGCAAAAAAAGTGTATTGTGTAGGCATTTTTTATCAGATGATGAAATTTTAGCTGGAAAATAAATAAAATTAAGTGAAAGTTAATAAAGTAATAAAAGTTGATACTTACTTTTAACCTCAAATAAATTAGCACAGAAATAATCTTAAAATATATAATTTAATTAAAAATATATTAATAAAAATCTATAAATAGTTAAATAAATAGTTAGATAAACACATATATTAATGATTAATTATTTTAAATTATGAATAATAGATATTTATTAAAACATATTAATTACATTTTAATTCATAAGTATGTACATAAATAAATAAAATTAAATTAGAGGATAATTAATTTGTATTTATTTATTAAAATGATAAGAAAAAATATTAAAAATATATTCTAAGATTTCCTCTTCAATAAGCAATGTAGATTTTAGAATAGTAGTATATATTTTAGTATTCTAATTTAAATTAAAAATGCTATGCAAATAGAAATAAAAATATTCATTTATCATCAAATGCTAATAATTTATTCTTGTAATTAAATTGTTTTTTAATATTAAAATTGAATATTATGTGTTGTTTTATTGGAAAAACTTTAAAATATATTAATAAAATAATTTTTGATTTTGAATTTAAAAGAAAGAGCTGTTAGTTTTTTTAGTTGATATTTATTTAGAATTCGTTTATGATGATTTTACTGATTAATTGTTATTTTTTTTTTAAGTTTTAGATAAGTTTTGGTATGTTTGTTTTTAACTTTTTTCAAATTTTATCTTAAAATAAATTAAAATATCAAGTTAGAATCAACGTAGAATGGAAGGTTTGGATAAAATATAAACAGATTTTTTTGAGGATGACATTAATTATTAAGCTATTTTAAAAGAAATAGTCAAATAGTTTAATGAAATCATACCAAATGATAAAAATGAAGTTTATTTAGGATACTCCTTCAGAACTAGATAAATCATCATTCAGCTAAAAAAAATATCTTCTATTGTTTATAAGCCTTATGACTAAGAGTTTAGGGAGATTATAGACACTTAGAGTTTATGCTCTGAATTCATTCATACTTTTAAGGAGTCTATTTCATAAATTATTTTAGAAGTTCCTGAGCTTGAAAAGATTCTCCAAAGGATAAGGATATTTTCTTTAAAGCGCTCAAGAATTTATCAATTTATAAATTACGGAAATAGCATTAGGCAATCATTCATTATGCTTAGAAACCAATGGTAAAATAATTCTAATCAGTAAGAGGGATAGAAAGATTATCAGTTTCATAATAGTTTCAATTTGAGCTCACTTTTTTAAAGAGAAAATGAAACAAAACATAACATTCATGAAAATAAACAAAAATAATATAAAAAAAACATTTATTAATTTGATGATATTTTCTAACTTAATTCTGAATCACTCAAAGATAAAGAAATGAATTAGGATTTTGTTAATACTCTTAATTTTACAGAAAAAGAATTCGCTAAAACTTAAAAAAGAATTAAAATAGAATAGCTAGCAAAAGATCAAAATTACTAAAAAAAAATTGGATTTCCTTTAATGTTTTTAAGCTATGAAGATGATTTACCTTGGAATTTATCATAAGTTATTAAAGTTGACTAAGATTTTATAGAATTTATTGGTACTGATTTGCAGAAAAATGAAGAGATTAGCATTTGTTTTTTCATAAATAGGAAAAGTGAATTCATGGAGATGATCAACAATCATTATTAGCTGCAAAAAAAGAATATCAAAGGAATAAGAGAACTTTATGATTTTTATTTATACACTGTGGAAAGTGGTGATACTTTATTTATAGTTACTAAAGAGTTAGTTAGCTGCGATATAATGCATGTAATAAAAGAAAGAGAAAAGAAATTTCAATAATACACCAGTTCAGATTTACTCTAAACATTTAAGTTTTTAACAGGCACTCTTATCAGAATTCATAATTAAAATATTTATCTTAAAAATATTTGTTCGTCTAACATAGTTTTCTCTTTCAAAGATTGCTGTTGGAAATTCGATAATTTAACAAATTGTGTTTAAATTAATTTAGAGGAGGCCTAGGCAAAGTTAGAGGATTATTCATAAGATTTCTTTAACTGGAATTACATTGACTTACACAGTATTTTCAAGCCTGAGCAATATGAGTGCTTTAAAGTTGAAGGATACTTAGGCTACTTGAATAGTGATTTAAAGCACCTGATTAAATGTTAGCATTCTTAAATTTCATACTATGATTTGTAGGCAGCTGATAGGTATGCGCTAGGAAAGATATTTGAAAAAATACTAGACAAACTTGTTTAACTTATTGAAATTTTAGAAATTAAATCATAGCCAGATGGCTTTGAATCTAAAGCTGTAGATTTCTGGAATAGAGACTCAAATGTTATGTTGTGCTAATAAATATCTCAGAATTTGATTTCTTAAGATGGAAAGTTAAATGAAAACCACACAACAGGAAATGTTGTGGCTTCAGAGGATGTTTAATATGTACCAAAAACCTTTTCAAATAAAAATAAATTTTATTAAGAATTATTCTTGGCTAGAGGATACCAGTTGATTTAAAGTAAAAGGAAAGCAGAACAGCATTTTAAGAATGCTTTGCAAGAAATTCAACACAAATCTATTGAAGGGAAACTAGAATAAATCCTACTGCTAAGAGAAATTTCTAAATTTTATAGCGATTTTTAAATGAATTACTATGAAGCTCTTTAAAAAACAACCGAATCACTTTATCTGTTTAACCAATTGAATACCCCTGGTAGTCTAAAATTAGTTATTTAACTAGACTTAAAAAAGTTGCTTTTGCAGCTGGGAAAGTATTAAGAATGCATTTAATTTGTGATTCTCAACAATAATTCAATTGAACACGAAAGCTATTTTATATTTTAAGCACTAAATATCGAAAGCCAAGCTTAATTTAAAATAGGTAATATAGATTTAGCTTCTAAGACTATGAAAAAAGCTTTAAATATTCTTTATTAATATGAGAAAACTAGCCTTGATTATTTATTTGAAGTTGAGAAAGCAGAAGCCTTGTAATTCTTAGGAATCTACCAACACTTTGAGGGTAATCACTTAGAAGCCATTCAAAACTTAAAAAGATCAGCTAAATTATATATGAAACACACTCTTCTTGAAGACTTTTGTGATTCACTAAGTTTAGCAGCAAAGTCAGAATTGTCTATATTAAATTTTAAAAATTGCATTGCTACACTCGAAATTTGCTTAAAACACTAAGTCTATTCTTTGTAGTAATAATACCTTAAGTTAATAGACTTATTATTTATGGCAAGCGAATGCTATAGACACCTTAATATTAGACAGGAAGAAACAAGATATATTTCTGAAATTATAAAAATTATCAAAGAAAATGACATTTATATAGATAAGTGTCCTGAGCGTATTTAGAGACTGCTTAAATTCGAAAAATAAATTGAGGACTTAAGCAACATTTATCTCCCCAATACGAAAATAAATGTCAGTCCAATCTTACCTGACACTAACTAAATATATTCAAGATTTTATTGAGCTATTAATAATATAAAGAAAAATATGATATAAATTAAATTTCCTTTGTTATTTAAATATAAAGTAATACTTTTTCTATGTTAGCACATTACAATTATTTATGATTATAGCAAAAAATAAATAAATTAATAAGTAAAACAGTAGTTACTTTAAAGAGAAAGCAAAATTAATTACACTGACCTCAAAATTTGAAAGGAAATATTAGTATTATCTTTAATAAGTAAAAATAGAACAAATTAATTTATTCTAAATTCTGGTACGAACAGAGTTAAATAAATAAACAAATAAATAAATAATTTATAAATTCAAAATAAACTATTCGTAAACAATTTCTTATTATGCAATTTAATCAAAACGAAAAATGATTTTGTTAAACAATAAAAATATAAAATAAATTATATGCAAGCAAAAGGCAAAACTACTTATCCAATACTTGTAATTATTGCTTAATATATTCTTTTCTATTTTACATTATTATCTCATAAATTATTAATTGATAAAATTCTATTTAAATTTTTTGAGATTACATATCATTGATTAGTGTAATTGATTTCTTATAAAATAGATAGGTTGAATCAAAGTCTCAAATTCGATTTATAAGTGTAATTTACACCTAATTATTTTTTTTCTTAATACAAACAAACTAGATGATTGCCTAAAAAAATTTATTTGATCATCTTTTTAATTTTTAAAAAATTTTTGCAAATTTACATTAAATAGTTTAAATGAATTCAATATGGAAAATGCGTTCCATATAAACATTATTAACTATTCGTTTATTTGAAATTATTCTCTTGCTTGTAAGATAATTAATATAAATTTAAAATTCTTTGAATATCTAACCTTCAATCTAGTACAGATTTGATCTTACATTCTAGTTATTATCATTCAAAAAAAAGACTATCCCAATTCTCAATATAAATGGAGAAAAAAACATAAACAAATAAATAAAAAATATATTGATTAATCAAGATTTGTGATTTAAGTTATAGTTTATTCCATTATAAAAATCTTATCTTCTATAAGTGCGTTTTGATGAAAGATTTCGAAATGAGATATAAGTTAGATTATCTTTACTATAGTGTCTTAAGAAATTTAAATTTTATTTATCGCAAGTTTTGTGAGACAGACAGACAGACAGAAGAATTAGATATATACAAATTTAGTATAAATGATTTATTTATTTTTTATTTATTTGTTTGTTTATTGATTTGTATGATTTAGAAGAGGATTGCGAATCTGATTTTTTTACAATTAGCTATTAAAAATAATAAATAAATAGTAGAAGTTTTTTGATCTTGTATTTTTTTATAATTAAATTAATAGTTAGTAATTTAATTACTAAACAAAAAAGAAGCGAAAAATACTGGAAAATACATCAATCAATCTATTTACTAATCATAAAATTATTAATAAACAATACCATGGAAACTTAGAACTTTGGTTTAACTTAATATGCATCATATTTGAATGGAATCAGTCATCTTACTAGTTCCTATAATTGTCAATCACCAAAAGGCGAAAATGTTGCAAAACTCTCTGAAAATAACCCATTTTTTAATGATCCTCTTATCAATTCTCTTTTGAGTAAATATAATCATGTCTCTTAGTAAGGTGACAGCAGCATTAGAAACCCAGAAATTTCATCAATATCTACTTAGTTGTCTCCAAAAAGCAACTATTCTCCAATAATTTTTGGGTAGAAGCAAATTTAATTCTAATAATCTCCGCTTGATACAAGCTAAACGAAGTACTCTGATATTCTTAGCGAATAGGCATCTAATCAAATTTTTAACTCTTACTATTTGACAGATGCTCAATATGCTAATTCTTCACCTTAGAAAGATGCTGAAAAATATAAAGAAGAGATGTAATAGCTAAATAAAGAGATATTAAGATTGAAAAGTGCCAACAACGAACTTACTCTGCAAAATGAGTAGTTAAATTAACGTGTGAAACAAAGTGAAGTATAACATAATTTAGATTAATAATCCATATTAAAATACGAAAACGCGATACTTGTCTTAGACTAAAAAGTTAATTAGTTAGAATTAAATCTAAAATAAAAGAACGAAGAAATACTCAATTTACAAGTATCTAAGTAAATAGCTATAGAATAAGAGTAAACTAAATTAAACGCTGCATTTTAAATGGAAAAATTAGCACTAAATTAAGAAATTCTAAATTTAAAAAATTCAATTATGAAGAAAATTTAAATGAATAATCCAGACCATGAAATGCACACAAATTTATACATTGACTAAAGCACTGAAAAGTAAAAAATAGATTTATTTAATTATTTAATTAACTCTTCGTGGGGATAAAAACTTTTTAAAAAAATTCTGGATATTTTTATTATTTTTTGATAATTATATAACTTTAATTAATAATCAATGTGATTAATTTATATTTTTGGGTCAAATAGGGATAAAGAAATTTAGAGGCTCAAATAAGAGTACGAAGAGCTAAAGATAGAAAATAACATTTTAAAGGACGAGCTCATCAAAAGAATAGAATTTTAAAACGAAAGCAAAGATATTTCTAAAATGCATGAAATGTTATCATAAAAAAACTAAGAAATAGATCAGCTTTAAAAAAGTATCTTGATAATTCACAGTCAATTAGAGATTTCTTAGTCTCAAACACAACTAAACAAATCTCAAGTTAATGCTGAAATAAGAGAATCCTTATAGGAATAATTGACAGAATAATAAGAAATGTTGTTGGACTAAGAATAAACAATTGAATTGTTAAGGTCCTCTTTGGATAATTTAAACGAAAAATGCAAGTATTAAGAAGAAGAATTGAGCAAATGCACCAAAGAAAGGGATGAGCTTAGAGAAAAATATGATTAAATGAAAGAAGATAATCTAGTATTGAGAATATCTGTATCTTGTAAAGAAAAGGAATACTAAGAATTAGCTTAACAAATGTAATAAAGCCAAAATAATAAATAAAATGTAGTTCAAAGGAAAATATTAACAGGTTCTCTTGATTTAAGAGACTTACTAAAATGAGTGAAGAAATAAGAATTATGAACAAAAAATCAATCCACTAACTAACTAACTAAAAAACTAACTATTTTACAAATTTACAATATATATAACATTATATTTTTATATTATAGAACGTTATTTTAAGATTAAAATATAGAAAGATAAAAATATTTATTATTTGAATTCATTCATTAAATCATTTGTAATATTATTGTTTTAATTAATTTGCCTTAAAATTTTAGCTCTAAAATTAATTCAAAGGCCATAAATTATTTATCATTTGGTTAAGCTTCGAACAAAATTAATTTTTGGAATATTTGATTTATTCTAAAAATATCAAAAATTTAAACATGAAATATAATTTAATTAGAATAACAAAAATAAATTAAATTTATTTTTCTAAAAATTTTTATCCTAATTTTAGCAATATTTACTTTTTAAAAAAGTAAAAATTAATTTAAAAAAAATGAATAAAATCAAATAACTCACAAACACTCACCCTTATGATTACACTTTTGATAAGGGAAGATGGCTTTTATAATAAAATTTTGGTAAAAAAATATTTATTTTATTACAAATATTTTAATAAGTATTTTCTCAATAACTTAAAATTAAAATCTAACTACCTTTGTTAATTAAACGCTTTCTTAGCTTTCTTATGCTTATCAAAAAAAACCTTAGTAAATTAACATAGAAACTGAATTAGCAAAATAGACTTATATAAAAACATAATAAATTAATAAATTGTTTTTTTAAACAAAATTTAAAAGCAATTAAATTTACTGTTCTTAAAATGTTTAAATTACATCAATTTAAATATTGAAATTTATAATTTAACCTTTAAATAACTTAAATTTTATAAAAATTTTTTATTCAACAGAATTATTATTAATTAAATCAAATCAAATCAATCAATTAAATATTTTTTATTTAGTTTTTGCAATTAAATTAATTTTAAATAGTAGAATTATGATAAAAAAATAAATTAAATAAATATAGTTGCATTATTAAGTAAACAATTAAAATTAATATAATATAATCTTTTTTTGTTATTATGCTTTAAAGAGAGTAATTTTTGTGATATTTGTTTTAGTTTTATAAAACGAAATTTAGACTTTAAAAATGGAAAAGCTGCCTTGCCTATAGTTAACTAGTTGTTTATAGATATGCTATCACAGAGAAAATCATACAGCAATAAGTTGTTTGCTAGTTAACAGATTTTTTAATTTAGCTATTTATATCAATTTGCATTTATCTGATTGCTAGTTAGCTAACTTACTTTCTAGCTCTGTGTTTAATCAATAAAATAATTCTTAATTTGCTTCAAAAGCCATCTATTAATTACTATTTATTGATCAATATTATTAGTTTTTTTTTAACTTACAAAGCCGTTTTTCTTTTCAAAATATATGGAAGAATATTGCTGAATAAATGAATGAATAAAAATTATAAGCATTTAAATAAACTATCTCTCAAAGCATAATATTAAAACAAAAATAAGGTATTCGAATATATTATTTGTTATTTTGTACTTCTCTCAAATCAAGAAGAGTTGAGTTAAGCAATTAGGATTGATTGTAGTGTGATATATATATCATTAAATAAATTCATTGTATGGCATAAATATTTTAATTTATTATTCTTTGAAATGTTATTTAATTGAAGATGTGTTTTTAATACGATCATTGGCAATAAGCATTTCGTAAGGATCACTAAAGTAATACTGTAACTTGTAACCCTTTTAATCAATTTTATCACATCTTTCGATGTTTAAACCTTCAAACAGTTGATCTATTTCTTCTTTAAGAACTTCTCCTTAAGCAGGATTAATATTATAAAGATCAAGTTATTTTTAAGGAGTTACTATTTCAAATTTATTTTCAAAGCAGTATGATTTTAAATTGTTTTTTTCTGCTAACATATTATTCTTAAAATCTTCTAAGTCTGCAACACTGTAAACAATTCTGTGTTAGAATTGAGGACGAGTGTGTTATATTTTACGATCACTCATCAACTATTCTAATTTCTTTTAATATTCGTCACGTCTAGAGGATAATGAATTGTTAACAACGACTAAGTTTGCGCTATTATGAGGAGGAAGACGGCCTTTTCCATCAACAACAACTTTCTTAGCTCCTAAATCAGAATACATTTTAGCTTCTTTTTCCTTAGCAAATTCTAAGACACTTTTAATTAAATTAGTTGGAACTAATCTTGATTCTAAAAAGACATGCTATCCGTGTTCTTCTGCTTGTAAATTGAACTTAGAAAAAATAATTTGTATAATTTTTTTTCTATTTTCAGCAATAGGAATATCAAATATCTATAAAATATATGGGGAAAGAATTAATTCAAAAGTAGGAGGAGGATAAACAATAGGCTATGCTAAGGGCACTGGATTACGAGCACGAGAGATGATCTCTTCTTCTTACTCAATATAATAAATACGCTTATTCAATTCTCCGTCTCTCTTATAGGAAACGATAGATTTATTTTCTGCTACAAAACGAGAGTTACTGTGCTAACTGACTACACTGCTAACAGGATCAATAGAGTAGGGCCATTTGTATAGACGATCGCGTAATTTGCCTTAATTTACTCTCACCTTGAGGACATACATGTCTTGAATTATAATTTATTTATTTTCGTAGCTTCTAATTGGGAAGTAGTCTATGCCGATTTCGTCTTCATCAACTTAAGGATAGAATTAAGAACGAATATTCTTGACACAGAGAGCAAAATTCTCTCTCTAAGAATCAGTTACTCTAATACCTTATACAGATTTTGTTTTCTTGTTAATACCTAAAACTATAACACCTCCTTCTAAGTTAAGAAAAGCACAAATAGTCTTATGAAGCTCATATTCAGACTTATCACCTTTTGAAATTGGCCAAATAGTGAATGGAATGGCTAATCTACTATCATCATTGCAGTCAACTATTTCGTTCATGAAGAAGTAACCTCTTTCATGAATTGAAACAGTACCTTCTCTATTTATTTTAAATTTAAAATTCATTAAGCATTTCTTGAAATTAATTCTTGATTGATTAATAGATTAATTGAGGCATACTTCAAGATTGCTCACTAAAAATATAATTTGAAAAGCTATTATATAGTTTAAATTATGTTTTATTGACTGAAATATTCCATTTAAAACTTGAAATTTTTAATAAGAGAGAGTTTGAAAATATCTTAATTGAAAAAGTTTTAAAAGTTAGTTGTATTTATTATATTAAACAATTGGACTCTGATAGAAGAGTTTTTATTATAACCAAAAAAAAATATTTTGTTTATCTCTGAATTGATAAGTTACAAATAAGATGAAAAATTTATTAAATTATTATTTTATACTAAGATTAATTATTAACAGGCTAAGTTTTAAAGCAAATCTTTTGTGCTAAATTCAAAAAAAGTTTTTTTTGCTCTTAAAAAATTAAAAATAAATTGCAACTAAGAGTGACACAATAGATTTAAAATAATAAGTTTTAAATTTAGCATCAAAAAATAGCAAATAAAGTATGAGCAATCATTTTAAAGTAATAATGTTAAATTTATACGGAATATTGCCAGATGAATTATTCTTCTATTCTTCTATTTCTTCTTGTACCTAAGGATTAGATTAGTGTCTTATCATATCCTTTGCTGTTAACTCCTCTATACCATTGCTAGATTCATTATTATATTTGGTCGAAACGTGATTACTATTAGAAGTGTGCTTATTATAAGGTTTTTTATTATTGGGTTGATATGATGACATAGCTGTTTTTAAATATTCAAAAAAAATGTAAATGGATGGCTAGCTTTCTACTTGCTAAAATTTTAAAATGAAGGCCTTTATCGCTAAATAAATATGATAAACAGCCTCTCTTCGCTAAAAATATCTTGAATCAATCTATTAAATTTATACATTTATTGGGAAATGCGCTCATTTTAAATTATTTTTTAGGTATTTAACTACTCTTGGTTGAGGTTTAGCTTGTTTGCTTCTTTTATATTTGCTTGTTTGATTTTTAAAAGATTTCTAATTTTTTTATATTTCAATTAATTTATATGTGTCATCAATCAATCAAATCATCTATTTATCCGCATGTCTATCTATCTATTTATATGACTATCTGCCTGTATCTCAATCTATCTATATATCTTTTTAACTTTCTTTTATTTTAAAATATCTTCATTTTTCCATTCAAATTTATAAATTCTCCCTTAGTATTAGCATCTCTCAATTGATTAGCTAATTAATTAATAAATAAATACATTAATTTCTTTTTCTTCTCCTTTTTGTGTTTTTCGATTTGTTCTCCTTTTCCAGTTTCTCCTCATTTTTTTCTCGACTTAACTTAGTAATAAATAACTAAAAAAAGTACACTCAACACCTATTGCCATGTATGATAAGCATTTCTAAAATTAAAGTTTTATAATATCATTTAGGCTGATTTATTTAACTAATGTCTGTGATGAAGTGGCTACCTAATTATTTCATCTTTTGTTAATAACACGAGTATTAAAATCTAATTAAATAATCCCATACATAAAAGAAATAGAAATACTTTCTTTGACAATAAAATAAATAATTAGATTAAATTTACTCAAAATCTTACAATTTTAAATTGCTTTTATATTTATAAAAAATCATAAAGGCAAATAAAGAGCTCTTGTTATATTTTCAATTATTAAATGAATGAAACAACAAACAATAATTTATATGAAGATTTTTGCTATTTAAATATTTATTTTAATTGAGATTTGTAAAAAGTTGCACAGTTTTTTAAATAAATTCAATCAATATTTTTTATTGTTTTATTCAATTTAAATCATTCCAATCTTATTTAAAGGATATATTCTGAACAGTGGAACTCCAACTAATAAGCTCATGTAAAACTATTAAAAAAAAAAAGTTAAACACAATTCAAAAATATCATTTTAAAAATAAAGTTATAAATTATTTACCACATTCTCATATGGGTTAGAATTTTAATTTTTTTCATTTTATTTAATTTTATCCTATAAAGTTTCGCTTCCTATAATTTCACTTAAATTAGCATTATCCTTTAATTTTGTTTGCTATTCGCTTTCAACATACATTGTTCCTTAGGGAATCTGTTTTCATAATTAAACAATAAACTTATAAACCTAAAAAATAAATATTTACAAAAATATTTATCCTTGATCCATAATCTTAAACAAAATCATTTGGGATTCCTTTAACTCTCCTAAAGATATAGCTCTTTTTTATGGGCTCACTATTTACATATAAAATATAAATGATCTTTTAAGTTTAAAGCTGGTAAATGTTAATTACTAAATAAGAGCTATTTTATTTTTGATTGCACCATGATCTATTCCCTTGAATGAAATTACGATATCTCCTTTTTCTAAATATGGATTCATTTCATCATCTTAAACTCTTGCTTTTCATTTTATTATATAATATCAATTCTAATTTAGTGCAATTTTAATCTATGTTCTACTTATTAAAAAAGAAAGCAGCCTATTTAATGGCAAGAAGGCAAATGCCTACGCCAGAGCCTATGGCTATGTTATAAACATATTTAGGGTTTTGAAATAATTGTCTTATCCTGTTCATCTTATTATTGTATTTATTTACTATTCTAATTTTACAAGTTTCTTATCAAAATATGAATGATTTTATTTATAACTCAATATTTTTAATTAAAATAAATGCACATAAAATAATTGTGTAAATTTTTCCAGAAAATTATCTAAAAAATTTATAAATTTTTCTTAAACTATCCTATCAGTTTTTAGATATATATTTAGTGATGATAATATCTAAAATTTTGTTAAATTTTGCATTTAATTTAAAAAATAATAAATAAAATAGAGTATATAACTAAATATAAAACAATTAAAATTAATAACTAGTCTAATATTTTCATATCCATAAATGGGATATTTTTTAGTCTTTTGTAGAAGCATCCTCAAATACCTTTTTTATATTTTAGTTTATTAAATCGAATACTTCTTCCTTTGTTCCACTAGCATCAATAAAAACTACATTATCTTCTTTTTAGAGCAGATTATCAAATGCTTCCCTTACTTTTTATTAAAATTCTTCTTTCTCATACACTTCACCACCAAATCCTGATCTTTTTGAAATAACCTCTTTAGGAGCGTGCAAGTATAAAACAATATCAGGCTTTATTAAACCTTTATCAGGATTTTTGCACCATTCTATGTCATAACCCTTTTGAAAAAAAAGAATAAGATCAATCATTTCAATTTTTTATTAAATAAAAAATGCAATAAGAAATATTATCTACCTTAGCTGATGTATAAACTGCTCCTGAATAACAATACCTATCACAAACAATATTGGTTCCTTCATCTAAAATCTTCTTAATTTCTTCTTATTATTCCCAACGATTAGCTGAAAAAATCAAATGAATTGCCTAGTCGCTTAAATTCTACTTTCCTTAAAGATAATTATTGATAGTTTGGCCAATGGTTGTAGTTCTGTCAGGATATCTCTTCATAATTGCTTTTTTTCCACTTTCTTTTAAAAAGTTAACTAAATTCTCGCATTAGGATGTCTTTCCACATCTATCTAATCCTTCAAAAACTATAAAGAGTCCTCTTTTGCTCATTTATAATGTTCGCTTTTTTTTTTTTTGATATTGGTAACTAAAACTTTGATTTCGCGCTTTGAATTTTTATTAAATATATTTAATTAAATATGTAGCACATTAGCAGACACATCGAGGCTTACAATTTTTAATACTATCAGAAACATTAAGATAAAAATATATTAAAATTAAATAATTGAAATAATCCAGCAAGTCTTTATTCTAAAATTAATTTAAAATACCATCTACTTCAATAATAAATCTCAATAAATAAAAAGATATTATTCGCGTTAAATATTTCTTAAAATATTCTGATAAATAGGTAATTTATAAAATATTATATTTAATTTCTTAATACACTGAATTAGTTGATATTTATTGAATAATCAAAATATTTGATTAAAGAATAGTATTAACAAAATTAATTAATTTTATTTAGGATTTGGAAAGTTGTTTAATATCAGAAAACTTACACAACAAAGAAAAAATCTTTTAGAACAAAATTATTGCAGGAAAATTGATTAATTATTTAGAATATCAAAATAAAGCAATTTAAAGTAAAAATATAATTATAAATTTAATAAAAGAAAATGCCTTCACACAATAAATATGATTTATTTTGAATATTAATCTCACTTTAATTTCAAGAAAAATATATAAAGATTTCTTTAGTTTTATTAATTACTCTTTGTTATTTTCAACAAGGTTCATATTTGTAATAGCCAACTTAATATCCACAGAAGGGACAGAAATGTTATTTATCTTAAAAGTTATCAATACATAAAATAGGTAAAGCGCAAATACCAATACAACAACAAGCTAACAGACAGCAAGTATATGTTCCACTTCCAGTTTGGGCAACAACTTAGCTTGTGCCCACTCTTTGGCAAGCAGGGCATTTCATTTGCTAAGGATACTGACAGTGATCTAAGTTTGTAGGGAAAACATTAGCATTTACTTATCTTTAAGCTGCATAAATTTACTATGGTTGACCATTAGATAAGGGCTGTATCATAATTGGTTAACCTTGAGGTAAGTTAGGATTACCCATATTTGGCCCTATTGGGGCCCCAACTGGATATGATGGAGGAATATACTAACCTTAAGGGTTCATTTTAATTTACTCAGCATGAAGTTAAGGATTGCTAGGATTATAAGGAGGATTAACTTGCTGACCAGGAATATAATTTTAAGCTTAAGGCAAATTTATATTTTGCCCTTAAAATTAGTTATTTTAATAATTATTCATGTCTTAAGGGTATTGGTTTGGTGGCTGCATATACATTGCTTAGTTATCCATGCTAGGGAGAGCAACATTAATGTTAACTGCTCCTCCAATAGGATTACCAGAACCAACTGCATGTTCACTTTAATAATTTCCTTTTTCCATTCCTTGATTGTTATTGTAATTCATTTCTGGTTTAACGTACTCCTTATGCTATTCATTTTAAATTTATGGAGCGTAATTCATGGCAGGAGGGTACATTTGAGGAGGGGGAGGCTATCCAGACATGTCAAATCTATTTTACTGTTATTAAGGGTTTTCAGGATTCATGTTGTTGTTCATTAAAGGTTGATTCATATTAAATCTTTAGTTATCCATTTGATTGTTTGCGTAATTGTAACTATATTATTATTGAGGTGGAGGAGGAGGAGCAGGATAGTTGACATTTTATGGGTTATTACCAGATAAGTCAAATCTTCCGTTATTTTGGTTGCCTGCACCGTTTATGTTATCCATTTTAATAGCTATTCTAGGATTACTTAAAAAGTATTCTTTTGCTTTGTAACAAAAATTAATTTTTTTATTAATTTATAATTAGAATTTGAATAAAGGATTTAGATAATCAGACAGACAGATAGTAGGGAAAGAGACATAGAAACAAAGAATAATCAATTTTCAATTAATTAAGCATTTGTTTTTTTATTAATGGTAAATCTGATGATATTCACCATTATATCATATTTTAATGATTGTAATATTTATTTAGATAAAATGCTGGGGGGTAGTTTCGAGACTTTAGCTTAAAATTATAAACACTGAATTATATTTTAATTTGAAGAAAAAATATTCTCTGAATTAAATTAGATATTTATCAAACCCTCTTTAATTTAGTAGAGATATTAATTATAAATAATTAAGTTATCAAAAAATTAGGTGTTAGGTTTTAAAATTCAGTACCTTTTAAACTGTAATAATTTGTAGAGATACATATATTCATTCATACATTCATAGATACATACATAAATAAATACAGACACACCTTATATATTTAAGCTAAAATTAAAAATTATTAAAATATGTTCTACGGGTAATAAGATATTCATTCTATTCAAGAAAATCAATTTTAATAGTCGTAACTGTAGCAGGATTAATAATAGCCATAGTAGTAGTAATAATAGCAATAATAATAATAAGCTGTATTAGTTGAATAAAACCTAATTGATTAAAATGGGAAAATGTTAAGATAGAATTAGGACACAGATCTAACTGATTCTAGAAAACTAAAAGAGTAAAATTATCAGCTAGCAAATGAATAATTTGCATAAATTTAGAAGCAACAAAAAGCATCATTGAGACCATAATCAGCAGGGGGAAATTTAATTTCTTCTATGTAATTTTAGCACTAAAATCAATAACTTTATCAACAAATGAACAAACAAGCTGCATTAGAATAATAATAAAGGTAACTGTTGCAATAATAAAGACAATTACTAAATCAACAGAAGTTAGAGCAATATAGGTTGTAGCAATAAGAAGAAGAAGAGTATGAAGAACAACAAGTGCTATTATAATAGTAAAAATAGGAGTAAATTTTATAGGAATAATAGTTATAATAATAGCAACCGTTACCTTAAAATTCATCTTAGCTAAAATAAAATGAATAAAATAATAGCTTAGTAGAATAGATAGACGATGCACTAATTGATTTGAAAATTGGGTTGGTGCAAAGTTCAATCACAAAGTTCGAAAATATAATACAAAAAGCACTGATAGAATTTTCTGATGAATAATTTGCTAAGACATTTATAAAAATCGTCAAAAAGTTAAACTTTATTTCTATTGATTATCTAAACTAAGGTGACATAAGTTCTTCTTTGAAAATTCTAACAAAATGTGAGCAGTGGACATAGCCTTCTGATTTTGGCTTCTTTCCTGATATGAGGGCCCTTACTTTAAATCATATTGGCTGCACACACAGAAGATAAAACAATTTTAAGAAAGCCATGCTCTTCTTCGAATAAGCACTTAAAATATTACTGAATGCAAATCAAAGAAGTTATTTAGGGATTACTTATTTGAATTTATCAGCTTTATGCTCATAAATAGGGTAACACAAAAAGGGACTTGAATATGCTAGAATGGCATTAGTAGAAAGTTAGCATGAATTTATGCAGCTGGTTAGGAGCCAATCTCACAAAAAATTTCAAGGACAGCTAAGATTTAAGAATAATGATTCTTAGGGAAACTTGTAGGATGAAAATTTAAATGATATAGACGATGAGGAGGACTTAGATTACTAAAATAAGATCAACACTTTAGTTATTAGCTATCACAATATAGCAGCAGAAGAAGAATACTTTCTCAATTACGAAGAAGCTCTTATTCATTATCAAAATTCAGTAAACACTTCAGAAGAGTATTTGGGTTCTTAGAGTAAAATTACGTAGCATTTTAAGCAGGAATTTTCAAAATTCTCATAAAGGTATGCTCATTTCAAAGTTCATAATAATGGAGTAATGGTAGGCGGAGCAGGGCTTTATCCTCAATATTAAAATCAGCTATTTTCAAATACAGATTAATTTTTTGTTGTGTAAATACCTAAAGGCATGTATTAAATCTCTGAAGGAAAGAAAACCAGAATACTTTCTGCAAACGGAAAGAGAGTAATCAGAAAAAAATCTTCTAAAAAAAATAAGAAGAAAATGATAATGATCTCAAATGGAAACAATATTCCACTTGGATTTAAACAAGCAAACCTCTCTCCTTACTTGTAGCCAGTAATTCCTTTAGAATAAGTTCAAAATCACCCTTAGATAAGTTAATAGCAAGCCTATTATGGTATCAATGGATATACTTAGGTAAATTCTTAAAATAATACAAACAACCAAACAATATTGAGTTAGAAAGGGATAACTCCTGGTAGCAGTAGCAGTAATCTGATGAATTCGGCAGCTAATTATTAGAATATTTCCATAAGCAATGCTGTAAATCCGATGAATTCAACAAGTGTTGGTTTGATTTCTTCTTAATCTACAAAGGCCATTAATCGCCCTATGAGTGCTGCATATGATAGTTATTATAATAACCAACTAAATACAACTACTAAATCGAATATGGTCAATACTTAAAGGACTAAATCGCCTCTTGTCATGAGAAGTATGGTTCCTTCTTAATAATTATCTCCAACAAAATATCAGTAGTAGTAGTAGTAGTAGTAAACAAAAAAAAGAAAAATTTTGTCTAGTAAGAGCAAGGGACTGAAAATAAGCAGTAATAATTTAGATTATATTGCTCCTTTTTATGAATCAAGAGGTAATCTATCTTATAAAAGTAATGTTCCTTTGCTTTCTTCATAAACCCCAACAATGGGAACATAAGTATCTCCTTCTTTAGCACTACCTTTTTATCCTTAAACAACAGTGAATACTCCAAACCAATAAAGTATTTAATCAAATTTCTCAAACAAAGCTCTATTTGGATCAGGTTCAGTTAAAAATATGAACCCTATTTATTAAGACTAAAACTCGTTCTAAAGCTAAAGAAAACTGATAACATTTTCACAAAATTAGAGTGTTTCTAGATAATTGACTTCTGAATTCCCTCAGAATGATTAGACTTTTTACAAAACAAGTAGATAAAATAGCAATTCGAATGCCTCAGAATTAGTCCAAAATAATAACTAGGTAGAGACTTTGTCAAGGATACAGCTTTTAGAAAATTTAAAGTAGTAGTATTAGAGAGCTTAAAGTAATGTATAAAATATTCAGTAGAAAATACAACAAGAGATGCAGAAAAATGATAATAATTATGTACCTAATCAAGCTTTCGGGAATTCAACTTTAAATTAGAATAATATGTTTGATCAAAATTTTATGCAAAGAAAATACTCGTCTCACAACGGACTTGGATAAATTAATCATAAGAAAACTCCCTCTTCTGCATCAAATTAAAACTACTAAAACCAATAAAATTAAATTTAGCAACAAATAGGGTAGCCGCCTTACTCTACCTTAACTAAGAGATAGCAAGATAAATTTGTAATTAGAAATCCAAAAATTTCTCAGATTGCTGCAGGAAACAATATAAAAAAGGATTAATAAAATAAATAAAACAATTTATAAAATAATAGTAACTAAAATATCTCTAAGCAATCATCACATAATGATTAAATTGATGAGGTTTAATAATAAAATATACTAATCTAGAATAATAGTGAAGGTATTGCTTAATCGATACAAATGTAGTAATAATATAATCCTAGTAATATATATAATCAATAAATATAATAATTAAATAATACAAACACAGATTAATTATAAAATTAGTAAAACATTTAAATGAGTTAAAGTGTTTTACTATAGCAATAACAGCAGCTATTATTATAGCAGTCTTCTTAATAAGCTATTGAAATTATTCTTGAAATTCCTCGAATTTAGCTGAAAGAATTGAGAGATCCTAAATTCAAATCCTTTGAAGGAACTCTTAAATTTACTCTCAACAAGCAAAGATTTTTTATTTCTATTTAATTTGAGTGTGAAAAACTAAGCAATTTAACTATTGAGCATTATATTAATGTAAGTGATATTTTCCATACAAAAGATTATGATTACTCACAAATTTAGCAATTAATGCTTGCTTTCTGTAATGAGATAACTAAATATTTATATGTAAACCTCTTGTAAGAGTGTTTGAGTATCAATTTCCAGCCTTTATAGTCTGCATTAAATGCCAACAATAATAATAACAAGAACTCTAATAACAGCGACAATAACCTTAATACTCAAACTTAAAATATTCAAAATATGATATTTTTCGACAAAGTCCCAATTAAGCTGGATTTAAAAAATGTATAGAGAGAGCTAGATATTGTTGTTAAAAATAATTCAGAAAGTATTTTATTACTTTGCGATGATCCATTAACAGCTATGGCACTCAGGATGCAAGAAAATACATAAAATATCCAATAAGTTGGTGAAGACGATAATATTAAACCTCTAGTTAATACTTATTTGATGTAGATCTAAAGTGATCAGGGGGATTTAGGAAAAATAGATCAAAGCTAAGATTCGATTACACCAATCATACTTGATCCAAATACTCTGATGGATCAAAATCTATAGGACTACTCTGATGGTTACAAAGATTTTTAATTGTAGAATCCATATTAAAATAGCAGGAATAAACATAACAAAATGAATGGTAAGTAGAATATTTATGCAGGAAACGATATGATTCCAGAACTTGAAGAAGCTGACACATTTTCTTAAATGAGAAATAATAATGCTCCTTATAATAACAATGGAAGTAGTACTATCAGCAAACAAAATCAGAATTATGATGGTTAAGCAAATAAAGATAATAATTTAAATGATAATTATGATGAGGAAATCTTAGATGATATCCAAGACTACGGAGACGATTTCGAAGATAATTTTGAGTAGCAAGTTATTAATGCCAAATAAAAGAGCACAAATAAAGGATTAGGATCATCAAGACCGAAAAGCTCATACAAGAACAGAGCTGTACAAGAAAAATAAATAAAAAATGAGGAACCTTAAGATGAATTGGAAAAGGGGGTTGGATAAAGTAAATATGGGTTTTAAAACATTTACTAATTAAAAAAATAGCAGCAAAGAGATAATCGATTATCTTAAATTGAGAATGAATTCGATATACCTAATGATGATGAAAGATTTGGTAAACAGAAACTTGACAATTTTGAGTTTGAAGATATTGATAAAGATTCAGCTTTTTAGCAGAACAAAAACGAGTAAAGATTTGATGATTCTGCTAACTAGAGTTTGGAATAGATAACACATACTATGGAAAATGGAAATAACAGCGGAAGAAAGCATAGTACATTTAAATCTATGAAGGATTCTACACCTAAAAATGATATTGATGTTAATATCTATAAAGTAGATAATAAGATAAGAGATAGCAGTGCAAAAAACTAGAGCTTTGGAGAAGATTTAACTTCATCGAAAGGCAAATAGTCAACTTAAAACAGGAGAAATACCCCTCCACCAAAGATAGTTATTAATAATGGATTTGATAATGAGGATCCGTATATAGCTTATGACAGTGCTTAGAACGAAGAGAAATAATAAAAAGAAAAAGAAGCTTAGGAGGCGAAGGAAGAGTTTGAAAAATTGATACAAGAAAAGGGAGAAAAAAAGGTTGCTGATGCTGCCACATTTATTCAGTTAAAATATAAAAAGAAGAAAAATTTGAGCAATGAGCATCCTCCAGATAATGAAAGTAAGGACTAATAGAATTAGCAATAAAAGTAACAAGTTGAAGAAGAACCACCAATAGAAATAAATGATGAAAACAGATAAGATTTTGAGAAAGCAGCTAATTTGATTGGATCTAAATTTAGAATGAGATAAAAAAACAAGAAGCTAGAAGGCGAGTAGCAAAATAAAGAGTAAGGCAAGAGCGAAGAGAAGAAGAAAGAAGATTAACAGAGCAAAAATAACTAAAATAAAGAGGAGGAAGTTGTTCTAGAAGGGCCAATAGAAGAATATGAAAAAGTTGCTTCTCTTATTGGAGGAGCTTTCCGTAAAAAGAAATAAAGGGAAAAAGAAGAAGAGTAATAGAAAATTAAATAATAATAAGAATAGTAATAAAAATAGTAAAATTAAAAAAATGAAGAACCAGCTGTTGTGTTAGATGGTCCAATCGAAGAATACAAATCTGTAGCTAGTAAGATAGAAAATGCGTTCCTTATGAGAAAGAAGAGGCAAAAAGAGAGATAAGAATAAGAGTAAATGACAAATGGCTAAAATGTGAAAACAAATGAAGATAATAATGATGCTTTAAAAAAGACAAGTCCCTCTATGTTTATATCATTTGGTGTTAATGGTTAAAATAATACAAGCTAAATGTCAAGCCAATTTCCGAATAATATGGAAGAAAGTAACACAATGCCAGTAACAATTATAGATGTAGGAAAATCAAATTAAAATAATGAAATTAAAAAAATTACTAACTCAACAGATATGCTATTAGATAAAAATTCTAGCAGTAGTCATTCAGCTAGTAATCTTAATGAAAATTTGAATAATTTAAAGGAAGAAAATAACAACCCCGAAGCAGCTACATAAAAATAAGGTGGAGCGACTGAAAAACAGAAGAAACCTGTTAAAAAGAAAGCATAAGTACAGGCAAATTTCAAATTGAATGCAAGATACAATTAAAAATTAGGATTTAATGTCTGAATGATCTTTTTGTATGTTTAAAAACAGCGAAAAAAAAAAAAAAAATCTAATTTGAAGAAGCATGAATAAATTATCTTAAAGATAATAAAAAATATATTTAAAAAATAAAAATTAAGCATGAATACTCAAAATAATTATTTATTATATTATAAATAGAACATTATTAAATTAGATATATAGATAGATAGTCTCTTTATATAGATATATTATTAAAACTTTTGAATACTAAAATTAAGTAACTAAGTAAATATATAAGTATGTAAAAAAAAAAATAAGTAAGTAAGTTAGTAACTTAGTGAGTAAGTAAGTTAGTAAGCTTGTTTATTTATTTATATTTTTATTAAATTTCTAGGCTTTAAGGATTATTTTTTAAATTAAATCATAAAAATTTTTGGAGAATGAGTTATTTATTTTGTTTATAAATTTCTTCATTATTTCATTTATTTATTAAGATCTACTAGAAAATAAAGAATGCTTGAATTAGTTTGGTTTGATTTTTATTTGTTTGTAAAAAGAATATTTTATACAATAATTACATTCATAAATTGATTTGTTTATTTTAATTAATAATTTCTATAACATTTTCAATTTAGAATGCTTGAAAATTATTTATATTATTTATAATTATTAATTTATTCAGTCATTCATTATTTTTATTTATTTATTGTTACAATTAATTTAGAAATTCATTCACTTTATAGTAAATTTTCTTCCTATGAAGCTTTGCAGATTTCCCCACTAACTAAATTATTATTTTTTAATACTTTTATTTTATAAAATTCTTATTAATTTATTTAGCAATCTCAATTAGTATTATTATTTTATATTTTTTATTTTTATGGAGATTTTACTTACTTTTCTGAAAGTTTTTTATTATTTAAAATTTTTTTAAATTATTTGAAAAGTGTTTAATAGTAATTACTATCTTCAAAAGTGTTTTCGTTCATTATCATATTTATTATTATTATTTTAAAACTACTAAGTAATTAATATATATATATTAGTATTTGCGAAAGGCAATTATTATAAGCTATTCTTTTCATTTTAATATGTCTATAAATAGAATTTAAAACTTATTTTTATTATTTTTTAAATATTATAATTAATACAGTTCTATGTTTATCAAATAGAATTTTTTTTTATGATCTAATCTGCAAGAGCAAATGAGCAACTTTTTAATTGTTTAATCTAAAATTTTGTTTTGACGAAAATTTAATTTGATTATTTGTATGTCTTAACAAACAAGCAATTCTTTCAATTTTTATCTTTTTTCTTGATTTTTTTATTAATTTAGAAGAATTTTCTCTTTTTGTGCTTTTATAAATTATCAAGAAGAGATTTATTTTCGTATGAATGTAAAAGAAATTGAATAACTTTTTAATGTGATTATAGATCCTAAATTTTGCTATTTTGCAGCCACTGACTAATAAAATTCTAAATAAAAAACTTAAAAATAGAAGAGTACTATTAATGTTTAATTAATAAACAAACTGTCTAATGGTTGAATGGCTTGTTTTCTATATATCTCTTAAATTTTTAGTAAACTTCAGACAAGTTGTTTTCTTTATCTTATTAATTTTAATTAAACATGTTTTTGATTTCACTTTAAGCGTATTAAACGACATTCTATAGGTTATCATTGCTACTAAAATAGTCTTCAACTTTAGGTTGTTTAAAAAAACCAGCTCTTTCGTAATGTTTTTTACCAATACCGCTGTTTTCTGCTTAGCTGATCTATTATTGCTATGTATTTTCTTCTGGATTTAAGATCAAATACATAAACTTTTTGAATGAGTACATTACATTTTTAATAACATTTTTTCTTTTGGCCTAATTAATTAATAATAAATCATTTTAATTAGAGTTATCATTCATATTTTCTTCTTCATTGCTTTCATTAACCACGCTAATATCGTAAATCTAAGAATTTTCATTCTAATCTTCATTTTAAACTTAATTTAAGTTAAGTGAATGCTCTTGTTTCTCCATAGCCTACTAATCTTACTCTAAGTTACTGTTTTCACTTTTATTTAAGGTGCTTTAACTTAAATTACCAAAAGATCTCTGACTTATTTTGTTATTTATTACAATCACAGTTGAGTGATTGCAGTCCTGCTTCTTACTAAGAAACATCATGGGGCAATTATAACAATATTCGTGTTTGTAATCATAAAATACAGTATTTTAATTCTAAGAAATGGTAATTTAAGTTGAGTACTAAAATTTATTTTTGGTTTAAGTCTAATCGATATTGGTATCCTATTCACTGTTTTACTTAATTTATTTCATTTTTTACCTTTAAAATGTAAGAGTGAAATTAAATTGTATTTTCTTTATCTTATTCGAATTTTCAATAACCTAAGAAATTTCAGAAATAAAAGTTTTTATGCAACAATATATTACTTGCTATTAATTTGATTTATTTAAAATATAAATCAATCAATCAACTAATCTTTAAACTCATAACTATTTTTTGGAATATAATTTTTTTAAGTAAATAATTCAATATTTTGTCTTGAATTATAATACAAGCGGTTTTTAAGGGAAAGTTTTTTTATTTTTTAGGTTAATTTGGAATTAAGCCTATTTATATTATTTTATAAATTCATTTTTATAAATCTTCCACTTTAAATTCATTTACTATGTTTAATTTCAAAGCTTATTCAATGTCTAAAATTATGCCAGATAAATCGTTTTATTATTTTGATTTAAATAATAGAAAAAAACTAATTTGTGAGGATATACTTTTGTCTATGAGTGATTTTCTTACTCAAATAAACAATAACTTCTTTTAGTAAAACCTTAAAAATAGGTTGAATTTGGTTAAAATGAAATCAGTGCAAGAAAGAAAAGTGAAGATATTTTATGGATTTTAAAAAATTAATCAGTAATTAGTAATTGAAAGAAATTGAATTTATTTATTTTAATAGAAAAAGATGTTATTCATTTCTAAAAGAAAACGTGATTATTTTAAGTTATTTAGAACTTATGATAATTACTTGTAAAAATAATAATTTGAAGATTAATAAATTTTTATAAATCAGCCTATTGATTGTAACATTTATTATAAAGTAGTTTTTTACTTAAGATATAATCAAAAGAGGATAAATTTTTAAAAAAAATATTAATGACAATAAAAAAAACTGATTTTTCTTATCTTCAAATGTTCATTTTTTCTTAGTTTTTATGGAATTATATATGTATTTATAAAGAGTTAAAAGCTCTTTTTTATCAACAAAAAAATAAAATATATTTAGTTTTTTCACTCAACAAAGTGATTGTTTATTTGTTTTAATTTATATTTAACTAAATATACATTTTTAAGATGTAAGTATTTACCCCTTTATTTGACCAGCTGAAAATAAAAGCAAGCAAACAAACAAACAAACATTTAAGTTCTTATCTAAAATCAGTTTTATTGTATTGTATATTATATATATTTTACTAAATGGTTTCAATAATTTTTATTATTTTAATTATTATTTTGAAACATTTCTGTTTTTATATATGCTTACAAATTGTTTATAAGGTTACTATGTTGATCTAAATATTTTAAATAAGAAATTAATCTTAATTATTATATTTTGTACTTGTAGCTAAAAGTAAACAAGTATAACTATATTAATTTCTGTAAAAATAAGCTTGCTAACTCTTACGATATTATAATATTCTTATTTGATTTGATTAGTTAAATAAAGGTTTTTCTTAATTTGAAATATATATTTTAAAATATTTATTTTTAGTTAGTACAATAAATATAATATATACACTATTAGCTAACACTTATATAAAATTTAAACAATAGAGTATATAATTAATTCACACAGAATGATTTCTTATAAATAAAAATTATTTCTTTGTTTGGATTTTCTGATTCAAAATACTCTTGATAATAATTAACTTTTTAAATTAGTTTGTAATTTGTATGTAATTTTAAATTATTCTATTATTTTGTTTGATGTTTACTTTTTTTATTTTTTAAAGTAAGTTTTCATGTTTTGATTTCACTAATTATTTGATTATTTGACTCTAGTCGCTATAAATAAATATAAATCTTATTGTATATTTATTAGTTTTTTTATATCTCAGTGAAATCATATTAAAATAAAAGATTTTTTACCTTTTTTATTTAAATTTTTTAGTTATTTACTTTTTTCTATTTCATTTATCTTACTTAAATTAAAATTAATTAAATTTGCTAGAAAAATATTTTCAAAGAACAAGCTCCTCTTTTTAATATTAATTATGGTGGAGGTTTTAGACTAATTAAGGCTAAGAGTAAGATTTTAGAAGAAATTCAACCATTAACTAGTGAGAGATACGATCATTGACTTTTGAATTTATTAACCAGTTGGATACAAAGTTTTCTAAATAATATTTAAAGATCAGCGCATACTGCTTATGTTTAAGAAGTAGTGATAGAGTGTAGTGATTAAATAGCTTGTTATCTAAATATCTTTTGTATTTTTTCAGAAAATTTTGTTCGTCTTATTATTGATCCTGGTTTTAGTAATTGTAATAAAATGATAATATTTGGTTTCGAATCTAAGATAAAACTTCAGGATTTTGTTGCTAATTTTAATCGAAGTAAATTTTTATGCTGGATTTTTTAAATAAATAATCCTTTTTAGTTTTCTTCGAGGTTTACTACTCATTTTCAAATAAACTAACTACAAACCTTTTGAATGATGTCATCAAATTTTTCACTACATTTTTCTTTTGTATCGTATTAATATTAGTAAGTAATCCTTTAAAATCGGGTATTTTTGACAGATTACTAGTTTGATTATCTTCTGTGTATTCCCTTTAATTGCTTGTAAAGATTTATGAGTACTCTTTGTTGTCTTCAATTTCAAAGTATTCCTCTTGATTTATTAAGAAAATATAAATAGATTTAAAAATTTTATTTTATTAAGGGAGTAACTTAATTACGTTAGTTACGATCTTGGTGTATTTCGTCTTCATTCTAGCTCATAATTTGGCTATGTAACAAATTTTAATGAAAGTTTATATCTGAATTGTTTTATATTGGTTAAATAAACTAATTTTGATTACTCAAAGAATTTTCACCCATTTTTAATTAATTTTGCATAAAAATTGATGAATTCTGATAATTTAAATTGCTTTTTTGTTATTGGCTATTTTATGTATAATAATAATTATTTTGGTTAGGGTGAATTCCAAGACGATTAACTGTAACAAGATTTTGGGGAATATCTTATTCTAATTATGTTTGATTGCAATACAGAAAGTTTTAGTGATCGTTTGGATAGGAATTTTATTAAGAAATTTCTTCATTTAATATTTCTTTTATTTATAAATGTGTTTCTATTTCATGATTTTGTGTAATTGGAGATTGATTACTCTCTTGAATATACCTGTTTTTTTAATTCTAATTTTCTTCATTTTTATTCGGGATTGTTTTTTAAGTAGAGTCCTGCATTTTTACCGGAGTATTTTAGCCTGTTTGGCTTCTCAACACTCTCTTTGGATAAGAGGAAATTTTCTATTAAAAGGCCAGTTGTTTTTGCTTCTTTTTTTCCATTCTCTTTATTTTTATTTCATTAGATTTTTGTAAGCTATCTATTAAATCTCCTTTAATTTCTAATTTGTTATCTATTTTTCCTATCGCAGTTTAATTTTGCTTAATACCTTAAATCTGGGTAATTTCTATGTATTGTTCCTATGTATTTTCAAACAATAAATCTTGATTTATGTCTTTCTAATTAGAACCAAAATTTTGTAATATAGTTTATTGAATACCACTACTTAAAGCGATACCTCCTTAATTAGCATTGTTCATTTGCAAATAATCTTCACCTTAATCTCTTAAACCAAAAATTTTTGAATTAGGAGAACAAAATTCTTCATAGATTTCCATCTGAAAGTTTTTTAAATTAGATTGCTGATTTTCAATAAAATTGTTATCAATGACATTAAATTTGATATTATTGCAAATACTGCTATTGTTATTATTAATATTGCTATAATTATTATTTTTGAGAGAAAAGGAACTATGTTGCCTTTTAATTATATATAATAAATAATTATAAGATAATTATGCTAATTATGAAAAGAGTATTAATAAAAAAGGTTATTCAGGAATTACCTCTGGATAAGGTTAACATAAAAATTGCTTCCTGTCTAATTATTTTGAATACTGAGAGTGCTTTTAAAATTAGGATAATAGGTTATCTGTCATTTATGTATATATAAAAGGTTGGCGAATCTTAAAAATAATTTAAATATCATAGTAATGTTACTCTTGTTTGAGTGTGTACTATGGAGTTTAAAGCTGCTATTCAGTATTATTTAAACTTTATTCAGAGTACAAATAAGGTGGTTCTTGATATTAGAAGTAGGATTGAGGGTATTTAACTTATTCCTTTTAATAAAATTTACATCTGAGTTTTAAAATAATAGAAAAGCCTTAACAAGCAATTAATAGATACATATCAAACTAATACAATATGGTAAAAAATTTATTTTCTCTCTTAAAAAAGTAAGTTACATCTCTCAGGTAATTGGAATCATAAAAGATATTTTAATCTTCATCACAGATACTATTGTTCATATTAGAAAACAAGTTGAATTGATAAAATCTTTATTTGCTCTTAAAATATACAAAAAAAACTTTGTTTTGATTAAATAAATATTTAGCGTAAATCAAGGCACAATAATCTGAACTTTTTTTATTTTAATTAATCATTTTTACTCATTATAACCTAAATTGATATGGCGTGAAAAAGCAATTTTACAATTTATTATCAAAAATTATTACTTAAAAGCATAAAAAAACTGTGTATTTAAATATATTTCTTGTCCAAAAAAAAAAATAAGTGAGTTTTAGAGGTAATTAATTGATAAGTATCAATAATATTTGCACCATTATATATACTCTTCCATTGAAATAATGACTAAAAGGGGTTATAACAATTAACTCAACTAAAAGCACTTAATTCTTAAAAACCCATTAGCCTATTAAAAATGATTAGTTAATTTAAATATTTTTTTAAAAACAAAAAATTTGTCATACCAATCATAAAAAATAATTTTACAGTTAAACATAGTCATTTTTTGAAAAAATGGTTTTATGTTGAAAAGTATTAAGGTTTTATAAATATGTTTTTAAATTATTCCAAATATCATATATCTTAAATCGCTACCATTAGAAATATAAAGGAATGGTCTTTTATAATAAGTATAAATTTTTTAATTGAGTAAATTTTTTTGGGGTACTAATAATGAGTGAAGCTTGAAGCAGAAAAAATATAATATTAAGCATTTGCTAATTATCTCCTTTCTAATAATTTATTAATTAAAATTTTATTTGAGTAATCTCAATTATAAGAAATTTCTTTATAGATTTTAAAGCTCCATCAGTTCCTATTAAACGCTTATATAATTCATCAAATAATATAAATCTGACTAATAAAATAGAATATTTGTTCGAGATTTTGCTTTAGTGGAAAAAATAAAATGAATTATGAGATATCATAATAATGTTTAAAGAATATTTTGATCAAAAATAGCAAAAATAATTTTAAATAAATACTAAAAATTTTTAAAATTTCATTTTTACCTTATCTGTAAATTAATAATTACAATTAATCTAAAAAAGATGATAATTATTTGCACACTTTATGAATAAATCATATGAATATAATTAAAATAACCTGATCTTAATTAAAATAGGACTAAATCAATCAAAAATATAATTTTGTTCTATAGGATATCATTTAATCTTTTGTTTATTCTCACAAAATTAAGATTTATAATAAAATCTAGTTTATGTTAGTTAAAAAAATAGTTTTTAAAGCAGAAAAAATCTTTTATAAAATCTATTTAACGATTCGAAATGAATAAAAAGCATATTCATCAAAATATAATTTATAGATAGCTAGTACATATACTTAGAAATCTTTTATAATTAGATATTTTTAGGGAGAGGAAAGGCATATAACGTTAAGAGTAACTTTTAAAATTAAACAAAATAAAAAACAATGAATAATTTTGCTTTTTATTTTTTTCCTTTAATAATTAAAGAAGTATAAAATAATTTTTCTCTAAACATAATATTTAAAATAATTTAATAAATTTTATCAATATAATTAAAATGAAATTTATTTATTGTAAAATTATGATAATATTACTTATAATAGTTTAGCACTCACTGCTTCTTGCAACCTACTAACTAAAAAGTTTTTTAATGAAATTAATATTTTTGTAAATGATTATTTTATTGACGATCTGATTGACAAAAATAACAACAATTATATTTTCTTGATAAACATTTAAAAGTAGCAAAATTATTTAACAAATTTAAAAGTTATCAAAGTAGCATTGTTTTTTATTTATTTATGAGCTAATCTTCAAAAAATTATTTTTAATATAAATGAAATTATAAACTTTTTCATATTATTTGTTTGATAAATGAAGATATTTAATTATCAGATCAATATATAGATAAATGCAGAATGTAATATAGGTTTTTATTTTTTAAAAAATTAATCTTAGCTATAAATTCTAATTATTCAGCTAGTTTTTACTTAAAAAAATTTTGAAAAATTTTAAATGGTATATTGAATAAGCTTAAATTAAATATGATTCTATTAAAAAAATTTAATTAAGTGTTACAATTTTTATAAATTTATATTCTTAAATCTAGTTGAAATATTCTGATATGATTAAGCTATCAAACATTTTTAAATTATTGTTAAATAAATTATGATAAAAAATAATTTAATTTTAGATTTTATTAAATTTAATTGGATAAAAAAATATTATTATTTTTGCAAGTAGAAAATAAATCATTTACTATTTTTAAAATTTTATAAATATTCATTGAATAATTTATTGTTAGCTAGATTAAATTTTGCTGACAAAGCTGATTTAAATAAAATTTCATAGATTTTTGTATTTGTGCCTTTCTTTTAAAATGAAAAAATATTACAAGAAATTCTTTCCACATATTACAATTCCTTCCTAACTTACTTCCCTATTAGATTTTTATTTCAGATATCAAGTTATTTTAATTCAGCTGCACTATCAACATTTATAAAATTATTCTGAATTATAAACACACAAAAAAAAAATTTAGTTGGTACTTTATTAATAATTTAATTTACACTTCCTATTTCTATAAAAAGTAATAATAAAATTAACAATATAGATTTATGTGTTAAAGTAATTATTAAATTTAAAATTTTCAATCTCTCTTTTTTAAAAAGTATAAAAAAGTCAAGCTATATTTTCTGTTTATATGATTGTTTATTTATCTTATTTTTATATGGATTATTAAGAATTTATTTATTTAGAAATAAATTAGATCATATATTAGTGCGATTAAAGATTTTTTATTTTTGAGTTTATAACCCAATTTTGAGCGAAATTTTACAAAAAATAATTGAAAATTTGCGAATATTGCTTGTGTTTTAAGAGAAGTGAGAGTGTTTAGTTGTTAAAATTTTTGTGGCAGATATATCTTTTAAATTTTTTTAAGAAGGACTACTCATCATCAATTTAATCTTAATGTTCATTTTTAAGATATATTTTTAAAACTTCTTAGCGGATGTTATACACATTTTCTTATTGCTATTCTTGAAAGTATATTGAAATGCTAGACTTCTAAAACTAGTGGTCTTTTTTAACTTTTTTCAGTGGTTGAATTTCCTTCTAAAATAGAATAGTTATAAAATTTTTGAAAGATGTCATTATATTTTTGACAACATTCTTCTTTTAAATATTAGTAAGTTCACAGCTAAATTTCCTTAAATCTAGTTGTTCATAGTAATTACTACTTTCATTTTATATCAATTATTCTTTACTTAGATCAGTATAGCGCAAAAATTCAAAGTCATTATTAAGCTATTCTAGCTCGGGAGAATATTCTTTATTATTTAACTCTAGTCCATAAATTATATTTTCATCAGTTTGCATCAAAAATTTACTGCTCTCTATTACTTCTTACTCTAAAATTTGTGAACTTTATTAACTATTTAGCTAAGAAAAACTTTTTTCGTAAAAGTTACATACGTCTTCTTCTTTAAAAGATCCAATATTATTATTTTTATTAAATTTTAAAGGAGTAAGCTTATTCGCTTAAAATGATTCATCATCATCTATAATTTAATTTTCTTAATAATTAATGACTTGCATAGTCTCTTAATCAATTTTTTAATTGCAAACAAACTAGATGTTGTTTGAATTGGATTATTAGTTTTCATAATTAATATGTTATTCAGTATTTTAATTATTTTCTGTACACTCATTTTATTAATTAGTTTGATCACAATTTTGCCATTGTTAAGAATAATTATTTGAGTAACATTATTTAATTTAATTGCTTAATGATTACAAAATATTCGAATCAGTGCTTTCATTTTATTAGTTAATTTGATTGTTTTAATCATATTACCACTAAACAGAGTAATTACTTGAATAGCTATGCTTATTATTACAATTTTGAGTCAATAGTTAAGTTTTCAAATTTTCTTCGTTTTATAGATAAACTTAATTCTTTTGAAAACATTCATATTAATTTGAATAGTTGTTTGTATATATTTTCTAGTTTTAGTCATTATTTATTTCTTTTATTTAATTTTCATTATCTGTAATTTCATTTTGTGTCTAGATACGATTTTCCTAACCATAACATTACTATTAAGAATAAATATTTGTATATAACTATTCATTTGCATTTATATCTTATTGCTCAACATCTTAATAATTTTTATAAATATTTGAACATGTCAATTCCTTATTATTTATATTTGATTAGTCTATATCATAAATATTTTAATTATTATTTGAGTGTATCTATTTACTTATATTCTTATTTTGTTAGTAAACATCTCTTCTATTTTAATAAATATTAGTATACTCCTACTTACTTGAATTTACATTGGATTGATCAACATCTTAATTAATTTAATAACTATTTGAATAAACCTATTTATTTGTATTTACATTTTGTTATTAATGTAAGTTTGTATTAAAATTTGATTGCTAAATATCTGAATTATTTTAACAAATATTTGAATATATTTACTGTGTTGTATTTATATTTGATTATTGTTAATCTTCTTAGATATTTTAAAAATACTCATTTTTTATTTGATTTTTAAATATTTATTAATACTATTGTTATCCATAATAATTATTTGAGTAATATTAATTTTATGTATTATCATAATTAATCTATTTTTAAACATTCTATTCTAATTCAAAAAGCTGTTGATTCTAAATCAAGCTATAATTATTTGAAGGGTATTATTATTCTGTTTAGTTAAAAAGTAAATTGTTATTTATGCAATTTTTATTTGAATTATATTCATCACAACTAATTACATAGGGGTTCTAGAAATCTTTAAAGCATTCATTTTTATTATTTGTTATATTATTTTAACCATTTTAAAATGAATTATTGTTTGAATTGCTACTATAATAAACTAGACCCTATTTATCTGTTTTTGAAACATTTGTATTATTTTAAAAAATACTATTTTAGATGTTAATTACATTGCCTTAATTATATGGCTTTTGATTGTAATCCAAAACAGTATTATTTAATTTTTTTACATTAGATATATTTTGATTATTATTTTATTAAAAAGAATTTTAACAATTTTTAAATGACTAATTTCTCATCTCAATTTTTTCATCACTTAATTTCTGATTATATATTTCTTAATCTTATTGTGCAAAATGTTAGTTATTATGTGCTTCTTATTTTTGATTTTATAAATTTTTTAGTCTTTTGTATTAGCAATGCTTAAATATTTCACTTCTTATTTCTTGATTATTTTACCTTTGATAATAAAAATATTATTGAAAAATTAATTATTTGTGGATTGCAATTATTAAAAAAATCTGATTTTATTTAAAATAATCTAATTGGGAAAGAAATTTACAATATTTCAATTTATTGTTGACCAATTCGCTCATTACATGAATTATATTAAAACTAATTTTCTTCTCCAGATTGAGGAAAGACTTTTTTTAAAGGTATTTAATTTGAAATCTGCTTTGTGTGCATTTACAATTAATTTTGTAAAGTTATCTTTTATTCTTCTAGGTTCTGCTATTAAAGATATCTTTTTTGATAGTAAGTAGAGTTATCTAATTATTTCAGCTAGGATGGACTATAATAATTTCTTTCTCTTTCTCCGTTTAGCTATTGCTTATAAATACTATTGTCAATATATTGAGCTTCTGCTTTAGGATTTTATTAATAAAGATAGGTATCATTTAAATAATTATTGTGTTTAATGTCTTAATTTTTTCCATTAGCATTTATCTAAAAACAGCAATATTCTTAACTAATATTTTACAAAATAAATTCATTTTACAATCAAATTAAAAAAGTGAAAGTTAAAATTTATTGTTTATATTATTCTATGATAATAAAAATTTGAAATTTTTACTCTTAATTACTCATATATTTTAAAGTGATAAATATGTAATTTATAAGCTAAAGAGATCAAATTTCTTCATGAAATGTAGAAAACATATTAACATATTTTCAACTTTGAAATTAGTAAATACCTATCTAATAAAATTTACTTTTGTTTTGAGTAACTCTGTGATGAATCTAAGCAATTGAACGTTTAGTTAGTTGACTCATTTAAGAAAACTGACTCTTCGAGATTATTATTTTAGCAATTATTTACTATTTAATCCTAAACAAAAAGAACTTTGAAGATGCTTTAAGCGCATTTTAAAATATCAATAACCAAATATTCGAAAAGAAAGCTATAAAAGAAAAAAATTTAAATGATTTTACATGTAATTAATATTTGCTATGATGAGCATTCAAAGATTTGAAATGATTTTCCATAAAATTAGATATGTTTTTTGTGTTTTATACTTTTAATTTGGAAATTTTGTTTGCTTTTTACTTTTAGATTGATTAATAATTAAATTTAAGACAATAAATAATTAAATTAAAGGCCTTCTCTTTTCTTCTTTTCCTAATGTTAGAGCCAAAATATTAATAACAGGTAATGTTTCTTCGGTTTCTAGCAATTAAATTTAATTATACCATTTGTTAATTGATTTTGACATTACTGCAATCAAGTAGATTTAATTATCTCTGAATTTATGCCATATAGATGTTTACAAACACTCTTTTTTGATTCAAAAATAAAGGTATATTCATATTAACTAAAAATAATAATTTGAAGCAATTTTAATACATTTGATGAGGTAAGCTCGAATTATTTGTGAGTCGAAAATATATTTTCATTATACAAAAAAATCATTAAATTTTTAAAACTTCAAATTAAAATTTTTAGCATTTACTAATTTAAAAAATAAGTTTTTTCATTTAAAAAAATCTGAATAAATTTAATAAAACAGAACTTAATAAAAAACCTTTAATTATTATTTATTTAAAATATTTTTCATTAAAAAGCAAACAATAAAAACTAAAAAAAACTTTGAATTTTTTGTTTGATTGTTCTTTTTTAAGATTTCAATTTAATTATTTGTATAGACCCAATTACATCAAATTAGTAAGATATTTGTAATATTTTTTGACCATATCTGATAAAAGCAAATTTATATAATTCAAACAATCTTATTTATAGATAATTACAAAAATCTTAATGATAAATTTTATCCTAAATTTCTTTTATTAATATTTGTAAATTATAAGATAGCATAATCACACAATTTTTAAAAATACAATGATTTAATTTTTTCTAACCAATGCTATCTTAACTTATTAATTTTTTAAATGTATAAATGTGTAATTAAATTAAGCATAAAATTATATAAAGAATATTTTTGACTCTTTCAATCAACCATTTTTATATTAAAAATTAATATGGATACTTTTTATAATAAGTAAATTTAGACAAATTGTCATTAAAAAAAACAAAAACACTTATTTTTGTACCTTTAATTGAGTTTTTAACTTCAAATATTTATATTTCATAGCAATCATCATGAAAAATAAAATTTTTTATATGAATTTCTTTCATAAATAAATATATTAATTATTTTTCTTTTTAATGATACTTTTTGGTTTTTTGTTTAAAATTACTTGTGTATTTTTTAATTTTTGAAATCTATTTTTCAAAGAATGCCTAACTTTTTCTTATTAAATACTGTAATTAGAAAAAAAGTATTCTTAATACTTCTTCAAAAACAATATTGTAATATTTATCATTAATAATAATAAAGAGAGAATTTTTCAATATTTTCATTCAAGACTTAGGTTTATACATTAATTACTTTTAAATATTTAATTAATTTTTGTATTTTCTTTCTAATTTATGGGATATTTTTAGCAATTTTACTCATTTATTTAATAAAGATATAAAAAATTTTATTAAGAGATCAAAACTTCAATATTTTCATTCAAAAATGTTCTTTGCATTTTAATTACCTTAAAATTTTTAAGTAATTGCTATTTTTCCTTTTTAATTTAAGTGATCCTCTTTGTGAAACCAAGCTTTTATTTTACAAAAATACAAAAAATTTGAATTTATTACCATTTTGATAATATCCTTTAAAAGATAAATGTATGGTAAAAAATTTTTAGATTCAAACCTAATAAAAAAAATAAGAACACTTGATTGTTTGCTTACACAATTTTAGGCAAAAAACAAAGTATTTTTTACAAGTCATGATATTTTAGTTAAAATTAAAAGAATGGTAAAAATTCTCTCATTTTTTGTATCGATTACATTCAAATTAAATTTTTTGAGAAATTACGTCTATATCAAATAATGAGTAGTGATAATTAGAAATATTATATAATTATTCGTCTAGATTACATAATAAATTAAATTAAATGTAAATTTTCTTGTAAATATATTTTGTTTTTTAATATCTAATTAAATATTGCTTTTTTATTGCCATTGAGTGTATATTAAATCAATTTAAATTATACTGCAAGCAATTGATGTAACAAAAGAAATAATGGGTAAATACATATTTTATATAATTATAATAACCTTTATGGTACTATCGCGCTTGATTTTAGAACATATTTTTTATTGTTTATTCACTAAATTAAGTTTGTTCCATTTTTAAAAAATAGTTTTGTATAATCTAATTTGATATTTTTTAGGTCATTCAAAAGTTACTCTTTCAAAGAAAGTATACTTACTCTATTTCTTTTATTTATAAAATGCAATTTTGATTTGGATACAAAGTCTAATAAAATAATCTATTTATTATATTACCTTGACTAGACATTAAAGCATAATAAACATACAAAACTTAACTTTTATGGTATTAAGAAAAGGAAAATTCTTTTTTTTATTCGTTCTTAAATTAGATCAATTTCTTCTAAGAGACAAACAGTAACCCATTCATTTTATAAAAATATAATGTAAAAAAATTATAGGTACATATGCTTTATTTTCTTGCTTACCACTTTAATTTACATAAAAATAAAATATAGTTTCATAATTCAAAAATACTAAATTATTATTTTATATCTAATTAAATTTAGCCACAACCCTTTAGAAATATTTATAAAAATTTAGATGCATAATGTATCATGCTTAAATTATTTAATGATATTATAAAATAATCCAAATAAGAATAGTTTTTTTAATTGATGGATATTTTCTTTTTTTATTTTAAAAATCATATATTACTTTGTAATTTTAAACTTGAATAAATAAAAAATACAAATAATAATTAAATAAAAAAATGAAATAAAAATAATTTTTTTTATTTTTTAAGCTAAAATTAATTTCTGATTTGCAATAATTTTTGTAACAAATTGATATAAAATTAATGTTTTTCAAAATATTAATTACTGCTTTAATCATTCAATTAATTTTATCATTATAATTAATTCAAATATATTGAAAATATTTTTATTTTAAAATAAATGAAATTATAAAAATTTATAACAAATTGTTAAGTTTACTTATATTAAAGAATATAAAGATGAAAAAATATACTTATTTATCTGAAAATCGTTTACAAATAATCATAAAAAACTCTACTAGACCTATTTCCTGATTGTTAACTAAAGCTTATCAAAAATAATATAAGAGTGATTAAATGATAATAATTAAAAAAAGATATTATTTAGATTGATATTTTGACCATCAATTAATCAATTATAATATAAAATTAATTTAGGATTAATTAAAATTTTGGTCTATTCAATCATAATTAGAAAAAAAATATTAATAATAAAATCAAATAAGAACCAATCAAACTTTATAATTTTTTATAAACTAATTTTTGTTCTTCTTAATCAAAATATATTATTTATGAAATAAGTAATATTTATCACTATGATTTCTTAATGATTTATTTTCTGAAAAAAATCATCCAAAAATAGTGATAGAACCAAAGTTTAATAAAAATAAAATTGATGATACTACTCATATTAGTATTTTAACCATAAAGATGGGGGATTCTACTTTCAATAAAAATGTTCAAAAAAGAATTATGATTATATCTTTTTGAAATTATAATTTTAAACACTTTATGAAATATATATTTAAAAAACTCCCTCTGCTTAGTGGTTGGCTAAATGTGATAGCTAAATTTTTGATACTTAATATATACCCATGATTAAATATAACAATATTATGAAATTAAATTACAAAATTATTTCAATTAATGTGATTTTATTTGAAAAATAAAATTATCTAAAGTAAGAAAAAAACTTATAAAACATTTTTTTTATAATAATCTTTTTGCCTCTAGTTTTTTAACTATCTTCATAAGGTACTCTTTCATAGATAATTTTGTACTTATTACATCACTTTGATTTTTTTTTCAATATTAATTTTTTCAATTTATTTCATTAATTTATTAAACTTTACTTCATAACTATGTACTGAAAAGTTTTAAAACATTTTAATATTATAAAAAAGAAAAATATTAAGAGTAATTAAAAATAAATTCAAAATGTTGATCGAAAATGCAGATAAGAAAATTTAAAAAAAGAAAATTAAATTTTTTATCTTAAAAAGAGCATTCGAGCTGTTTTGATATGCAGATGAGAGTGTTAAAAGCTATTTGTTTTAAATTATTATATTTTTTGAATGAATAGAATTCCCTATAATAATTTGCTTATTATGTTTTAATCATCTTAGATTTTAGAAAAAACAATAAAATTTAAGCTAGTTAAACATGATTTTTTTTTAATGTTTTAAACAAAATAAATAATTTACTTTATGTAATTTTATAATAAATATGCAATTAACATCAAAGAAATTCAGATTTGAATAAACTTCTTTGAAAAATAAATAAAGTCAAAAATTGAAATATAAGTAGGAATTTATTTATCTATCTATTTTAATAGGTCAATCGTATATTTATTTAGTTATGGAGACTAAAATATAAAATTAAGTTATTGATTAAAGGCGATTTTATCATGATGCAAATCACATTCTATAACCAAAAAACTCACTTCCTACTTTAACAAAAAATAGCCCCTCAACATTATATAATTTCCAACCATCTTCTCCAAAAATATCTCTAAATAAAAATACTTCTACTTTTTAAGAGTACATCAAATATATTTTAGCAGAGAGACTAAAGAAAAACTAAGAGGCTTTAAACAATTCCAAAGAAGACAATAAATTTAATTTTGGTAAAGCAATCCATTCAAAAAATTAAAGCTATGGAAAACTACACTTCTAACGAGAAGCTAGCTTCTAATCATTAACAGATCGTGAAAAAATACAAAATTTAATAGAGAAACCAACAATAGAAAAATTATTTCCAGATATTGTAAATAAAAATATACAAAAGTAAAGTTTCTCAGCAGGCAGAAAACCATTCTTTTAATCAAGCAATATCAACAGCAATAAAAGTATCAGTTAAGAGAGCTTCAAACCTGAGTAGATTTAAGAATTTGTTAAAAAAAATAGCAATAATTAGGACATTTCTCCTATTTGTAATAGTCCTAATTATTAATCAATTCAGATATATCAGCTTAGGAAATCTCAATAACAGATAAAAAAAGAGTAAAACATAAACCAAAGCATAAAAAGTTCTTTTAGTGAGGAATATGGAACTATCAAAAATAGGTACTTTTAATTCGATACTTCTAAAAATGAAGGTATCAAAGAAACAAATGTAGATAATTTTATAGAAGTTGATGATAAACAAGAATAAAAAAGTAGTGTAAGCATTATTGACTTTGATTAAAATGAAGATAAAGACATTTATTAAGAAGATGCTAAGAAATCAGAGCAAGGATAATGCCATAAGAATTCGTTTTCTTCATAATTTTCTAAAAAAATTGAAAAAAATCCTTAAAAATAGATAATAGTTGTAAGAAAGCATAAGAATAAAATAAAATAGGATCTTCATACAAATTAATCAAATAATATTTAAGAGTGTGATTCAAAACAACAAGAAGTTCATAACGCTAAATTAATGACTTAAAATAATAATAGAAATAGTTTAAATGCTACCTAATAATTTTATTTTCAGGTAAATCATCGCTCAAACATTCATAATTCAAAGTAGTTTCAGTAAATTGATATGATTTCAAAAAATTATCCTAAATAATTTAAAGGAATGAGCAATTTTCTTGAGAAAAATGAACTTGAAGCTCAGTTGGGTACATACAATCAAAAATAGCAATTAATTTGTGATGATAGCGGTTTATAGGAAATAATAAAAAAACAATAAGAAGGAGAACCATCCTTATAACTGCAAAACTAAACAACATAACCATCTTTGAAATATTTAATTGACAAGAATTATAAAAAAGAATCAAATAAACTAGAATAATAATCTTAAGTTGCTATTAGTAAAGATAACAATAGCTTATCTATAATGATAAATCAAACTACCTCACCAAAAATGTAGTCAGCAACCAATGGAATAGGAACTTCATAGACTTAAATGGATGATACTATCACATAATCTGATAAGCCAGTTTAAGGATTTGCAGTAGACTTATAAAAGAGTTATTTAGATCATTCAATCACATTCAATAACAAAAAACAACTTTAAGACGAAAAAAAAAATCATACAGCAAACGCATAAAAGTTGTCTTAAATTATTAAATACTAATCAGATAAACTTAAACTGTAAAATTATAAAAAGTAGGTTTAAATACTTAAATTTTCTATTCAAGAAGAACAATTTTAGCTTAAGAAAGCATTTGATTAAATACTATAGATAAAAAATTCCAAGAACAAATTTATTAAAACTTTTACTACAACATCCAGCGTTCAGTAAATGCCAGTTGCAGCAGTAACTAATTCTCAAAAATAATTGTCAAAAATTTAATCAGATTAAATGGATCAGCCATAAGTTTAAAAAATTTATCAAAAAAGAATTTAAACCAAAGCTAATGTAAAAAATCGCTAAAAGTTAAACTAAATAAATTAAGAAAATTCGTAATCAGAAGATAATTCAGAAGCAAAAGAGTATATTATGGATAGTTCAGTCAAAGATTATTTTAATCAAAGAGTTAAAACAAAAGATGAATCAGAAGAAAACAAGAAAATCAACTCATAAAAAAATGAGAAATAAGATAAAATTGACTTTTATAAGCTCAGACTTTATTATGGTAATAAATATGAATCTAAGTTATCAACAAAAAATATTAAATAAATAAACCTAAACACCTTCCGTGAAAGGAGTTTTACAAATAATACGCCCGAAAACAGTAACAATATGCAATTAGATCCATGGGAAAGCAATCATTCAGAAACCTAAGAAGAATATGAATAGTATTATCTATAATTATGATAGTCATTTTTATTTAAATATATACACAAAAACCAAAAAATTAATGTTGTTTTAAAATAATAATAAATTTATAAATTAATTAATTATTAAATCATTTTATAAAATGTTTAATCTTTTGAGATATTACAATTTGTAAGATTTAACATAACAAGCACAATTTTCATTATATTTATTTTATAAAATTAGCTAACATTAATATTACTAAAAACAAACTAGTAAATATTTATTTATGTCATCGATTTAAGCACATTAAAGATAAGTTAAAATATCAAAATAATATTAAATTTAATGATCATTTTTACTAAATATATATATATTATCAAATTTTACTTGGCTTATTATAATTTTTAAAATATAATTTTGCATAATAAATTAAAGAATTCTAAATAGTATTAAAATTTATTCACTTATTTTGTAATTTATTTTTAGTTTACCAAATAACTTAAATTTGATTAATTCCTAAGCGTGTGATATAATTAGGGGATAAATTAGTGAGAAATTTGGTTGAACTAGTTGATACTTTTTTAAGAATTAATTAGTTTTATTGAAAATGTTAATAGTCAAAAAATAATTGTTCTTTTCATATTTAACTTCTAGCGAAAGTATACTAGTAATATCTAAATTTTTACTCGCTTAATAGTAGAGGTAATAGGCATTTTAATAATTTTTAGATAATTAGATCTATAGTGATTAATTAATGATAAATATTAATATAATTATTATAAGATGAGAACAAACAAAATATTTTACCTATATAAATTAATTTGGAGAAAGATAAAAAAATATTTTCAATTTTTGAAAACAAATGAGAATATTTTTAATAATTTGGTAACTAAATAAACATCTAAAGATTTTTATATAATTTAATAGCAAACAAATACAATTAATTTTTAATAAATAAAATTTTGCATTCATGAAAAATCCCTGTCAGGGAAAATAGAGGGAGCCACGAGAGTCCAAATATAGAGAAGAGAGGAAGCCCAAGAAACAACTATTTTCACCCAATAGCTGCTTTCAGATGGTTTGTACATGTTAAAGGTGCTTGCATTCATATCAGGAGAACCCCAATTAGTAAGTAACATTGATCCGTAGACTGATGAAGTTAGCATAACAATGTGGAAAATTATGTAAGTGTTTGAATAAATATATGGACGAAGTTTTTTATCACATTTTTGATACTTTTCAAATTCAATTTCTTCAGGGCTCAATTATTTTTGTTCTTGAGAGTTTTGTTGGATTGGCTCTTTATTTTATTTATTAATTTAATGATGTGAACCATTTTCTTCATCATCAATATCGTTTTCTTCAGATTCTTCTTCCTGATCTTTATCAGCTAAAATGGCTCCATTCAACTCAACATTTTAACTTACAGGAATACGCTTTTAGCTACTTTCTTTCGTTCCAAATGTTAAATATAATTAAACTACAATCAAAATGATTAATCCAACAACTAACTCAAGGGTAAAAATAGAGTTGTTATCTATAGCAAGATTGCATGAAGATTCTCCTGAAAGCTAAGCACTAAATGTCAAAAATGTCATGTATAAACCCTATGCTCCGCTACAAATAAGAGAGCCATGAGGGTTGTATCCTAGGAGTTAGACAACAGTGATAGCAATGACCAGAATAAGGTTAGCAACATTGATGAATGTATTCAATCCACAGCCATTAAACCATATAAAATTAAGCACAACTAAGGTTATAGTTAAACCATAAAGAACTACAGCAGTACCAATCAATACTGGTGCCATCCACTGAGCACCTTCATCATAGTATGCTTTCCACTTTTAACCCCACATATAAAAAATATCTATTAGCATAACTGATTATATTACTAAAAAGATAGCACCAAAAATACGAGCGAAGTCTCTATACCCGTCAAAGAAAGAGTAATCAACATACATAAAACCAATAAATATTCCGACTATAAAAAAAATTTTCAGTAACCAAAGACCTTCATTGATAAGCTTGCTGCATTCATTTCTAGCCCACACTGCTAACAATATTATTGCATATAAAATAGCAAGCGAAAAGCTTATTCTATAAACTGAACTTACCTAATTTGACCAAAAAATGTTTATATTATATGATTTAAACTTTTATCTAAATTAATTAGGGTGTTTGAAAAACTAAAAAGTGAAAGTATAGAATTAACTAACTAAAATTAATAATGAATTTAGTTACTCCTAAGCAATTTAACTTGCCTCCTGCTTGTTCTGGACAATGAATATAAGAAGAAAAATAGTCGAAGAGACTTTGGACATAGTGGAGAACTATGATAGCAAATAAAAAGAAAAGTATGTTCATTAAGACATAACTTAATCTGATTTGTTGCTTCATAGTCATTTTACAACAACATTTAAAGCATGCACAACAAGCGCTACATACTTCTCTTCCTGCACAACAAACAATTTCAGTGCACATTGTTAACTAAATTCCTATTTAACCTAAATAATTCTAATTAAATACTCTTTATAATGATAATTTTTTTGTTGACTATTTAATTATTTTTTGAGATTGAAGATATCAATTTAATTAATCAATTAAATTATAATGAGACTCTTTCAAATGATATCATTGATATATGATTTACCTCCAAACACTAAATATTGTAGAACAAAATTAATTATTTTAGGAAAGCATTATAATTTAGTTAGAAATTAATTCATAAGTAAGTAACTCACAACAAATTTTTTTGTTAAGCTCTGATCAGTGTCTCCTTTCTACATTTTTTGATTTATAAAATTTAAACTTTAAATTTTAAAAAGAATTTATAAGAATTTGATGTGAGTTGTAATTTAATAAAAAATATTTTAGGGTATTTAATTAAAAAATGAATTAATTCTAACTTTCATATTTATTACATATTTAAATATTTAAATTAACATACCTATCTCTCTATTTATTTTTACAAATTTCTTTCAGTTTAATTAATAGTATCTTGATAGAAAATTAAATATATTAATTTTTTTTTATTTTATATATAAAGTCATCAATTTAAAGGGTGAATCCTGTTTAATGGACACCTGTATTTAAACTTAGCAAATGGACACAAAATATTTATTTGATAATAGTTTTTTAGGTATCTGTGTTCAATATTATTGAACTAATTTAATAGACTAATTTATTTACTAAATAATTTAAAAAACTTTTGAAATTATTGTAAGTAATATTTCATTTTATTTAGCTATATTTTAAAAATTAAGCTCTCTCTCTCTTAAAAAATAATTTTATTATTTACTAATTTATTAAAATAATCATCAGTAGCAAGATAAATAAATAATTGATATAAAATATTTATTTTAAGTGCCTGCCTCTCATATCTATTTTAATTTTATGATTTTAAAAATCTTTAATAACTGCTTACTAAATTAAGTATTATTAATAAAACTAAATTAATAATTATGTTTTACAAGATTTAAAATTTATCATTAAGATAAGCTAAAAGAAAAATTAATTTTTTTTAAGCTAAAAAATAGTATTTTTTGATTTGTATTAAAAAAAATATATTTTATTGAATAAAAAAATCTTTATATAAATGAAAAATAAATAGGAAAAAATGTATTTTAGTATTAATAATTTAAGTATATTTTTAAAGGAAAAAGTAAAATAAAATTTTTTTAAAAATCTAATCTCACAATTAATAAGAAAGCACCAATTAATATTCTACTATCAATTTTTTTTAAAAAAATAGAAATACATTATTTATTTATTATTTAGATAGATAGGTTAAAAAAAATTTTATAAATTGAATTTATTAATTTGTTTATTAATTAGTAAAAATATCTCATAAATAAATAAGAAATTAGCATTAAGAAGGATTTTAATGAGTTTTAATTTTGGTAAAATTAATTATTTTGGCGGTTCTAATAAGAACAAAAATGGCAGCAACAACAACTCGTAGAATGGTTATCAATCAAATTCACCTCAATAAAACTAATAATAGAACTATTAGCAATAACAGCCAGAGCAAAATATGTAAAATTAATTTTCACCAAATAATAATCATCAGTAGCCAATTCAAAAACCATAGCAATAGGAGTAGGTAAACAATACTTCTTAGCCATAAATACCTATTCTAGCATAATATTAATAACAAAATTTAGCACTTTAATAATAATAACCATAGACAATAAAACAGTTTTAGAATTTTAGTATCATATTATCGCGTTTGCTAGGTAAAGGTTAATATGGTGAAGTTTATTTATGTTTTGATAATATTACCAATCACCAATTTGCTTGTAAAATGATAGCTATAAATAATTAAGAAGATGTTTTAAAAGAACTATAAGTAGCTCAGGAAATTAGAGGTGAGTTCATCTGTGAACTAAAATATGCTGGAGCTTCAGCAAACTTCCTATACCTAATTTCTGAATATTGTCCAGAGGGTACACTAAAAGATTATTTTAAGAAAGAAATTTCACCATCTATAAACGATATTATGCGTATATTTTTACAGATTGTGAAAGGTTATAGATAGTCTATATATAGTAAAGGTTGTATTCATAGAGATATAAAGCTAGATAATATTCTTATGAAGGATGGCAAGCCTAAGATTTGTGATTTTGGCTTTGGAAAATTCTTAGACGATGTCAATGCTTAAATAAATCAGTCATATAAATGTAAATAAATATTAAAATTTGCAATATTTTATTTCATTCATTTCTTATCTTAAAGGTACACCTCTCTATGGATCTCCATAGATTACACACGTCTAGGGAGTAATAAAATACAGCTATAAAGCTGACATTTACAGCTTGGGAGTTTTGCTTTACTAAATGACTAATAAATTGAATAATCCTAATTTGATGAAAAATACTAATGACTTGAAAAAATTTCATGAGTCAAACTAAAAACTTGGAATCAGAAATACCTTATAATTTTATGAATTTGTTGATCCTAATATCAAAGAAATTATATATAAAATGATGGAATATACAGAAGAAGCGAGAATTTCAATTGATGATTTAGAAAAGAGAGTAGAATAGATTTGTAGATATTTAAGAAATCCTACTCAAACCGAATTTTAGGGTTTCAGTAAATTTAATAGTTAATAGAAAATAGAATGTTTTTCTTATACAAAGTCTTGAATAACTTTTCAGAATCTAATCTTTATTATATATAAAAAAGCAATTAGAATAATTAATTTTAATATCTGTATACTAACTAATATCCATTTAAGATTGTTTGAATTAATATATTAAAAAATTAATTTCATTTATCACACTTTTATTAGATTATTTTTTTATCTTTATTTTAAATCTTTCTTTCAATCCATTAATTCACTTTTATTTAGATTAATCTAATTAAACCGCACTCATTTATATGCCCTAATTCAATTCTATAGATTATTCATTAAAACTTTATTTATTTATTTTTATGCTTTTTACTTTTATTAGGAAAAAATAATTACATCCAGCCACTTTTAATTATGATTCTTTTGTTTATTCATTTTTTGATTTTTGAAATCAATTTGCTAAATTATTTAAATAAAATATGAATATCTGAAACCCTAAATTTGAAATGCTTCATTTAAAATATTATTATTTGATAAGGAAAAATAATTTTTATTTTTAATTTTCTTAATTTTTTATAAAGTAAGTTCCAAAAAAAGAGCAATTTTTAAAATATTAAATAAAAAGTGTTGATTTATTTATTTAGAAATAATATAATAGTATACATCATCAACAATCCATAATTTATTCTTATTTGTTGAACAGAAAATTTGTATGTAAATTAATAAAATTATTAAATCTAGGTTTACATATTATATATAATATGGAGATTAAAAAGTGACATAAGCTAATTAAAATTAATATGGAAAAACAAATAAAAATGAATAAGAAAGGACTATAATTTTAAATTGAAAAAGAACAAGAGATCTTTCAATAAAATAATTGCAAAATTAATAGTACAATATTTCTTTAAAATGAGGAAATTTTTTTGAACTTACTTTTGAAACTTTTGTAAGTTTATTATAAAAATTTTATTCAATCAGATATAAATCAATTCTAAATTAGTAAGTTATCAACATAAAATTAATAAAAAAATAAACGTTTACCAATATTTATAAAGCATTTGAAATAGCAAATATAATAATTTAATAAAACAATTTTTTAAATCATTCATAAGAAAAGTATGAAATAAATATTGGATAATTCTATTTATTTAATTATTAATTTTCATAAGTTATCTTTAGCACTTCAAAAATTGAATTTTTGGCAGAAGCTTAGAAAAAAGTATTGAATTCCTGTTTAAGCTATAAATTAGATTGATAAAATAAATATTAATTTTTTGAATGTTGGTATTAAAGTATTATTTTACCATTTATAAAATTATATTTTTAGTTTAAAACTTTTTTTATTATTTTTTAATGAATTTATTTTTTTTTAAGTTTCATTTTTAATTTTTTAGAATGAATTTCAAATGATTTAAAATATATTAATAAAACTTGTTTAATTTTCTAAAAATTTTAAAAATTTACTTTCATTTGATATCGAAATATTATTTAAGTTCAACTCAATATTTCCTTTTTCTTAATAATATTTAAGAAAGGAGTAAAAAATTAAAATTTATGTTTTGTAAAAAAAAATGTTTTATTTTTAAATATTTCATGCTTAAAACTATTGAAAATTTGTTTAAACAAAATGGAAATTAAAAAAAATATCATTTTTAAAGTAAAATTAAATAAAAGAGAGAAAAATTTTTATTTATTTGATTTCATACAAAAATGGTTTTTATTTTAATATAAATAATTTTAAAATCCAACAAAGAAATAATATTTTTAAAAATAATATAATTAAATAACAATTTATTTTATTATAAAAAGAAATCTTAAATTTATTTCAAATAGTAAAATTTATTTCTATGCTTTAAAATACAAATTTAAAAACTATGAACCAAACAAACAAACGCATTTTCAGATTATTGAATCAATTAATTTATTTTAGTAATTTTATTTTTGAATAAATAAATTGTTTACATCATCAAAACTTTAAATCATTTGTCTAGTAAAAGACTAAATTTATGTTTCGTCATTTAATATCTGATCTATTTCTTACTGACTTACTGATTCCACTGTTTCATGAGACCATTAAGGTATATAGTTTCTGTCGATTACAGCTTTTTTCAATCCTTCCTAGCAATCAGTAGAGAGTTTAGTCAAATTGATAGCTGATCTTGCTTGTAATAACATGAATTAGTTAAAGCTTATAGAGCTATCAAAAGATGATAAAATCATACTGTAATTTACTCTTATTGAAATTTTACTACTCAAATTCATCTATTTTAAGCAATGCTAAGCAAACTTTTAGAGTTTAAGATCTTAATTTTATGATGCTTTTTAGTTTATATTTTACCAAAATGTATTGAAATCAGTCAATTAAAACAGATCTTTTATATATTCTTTATTTCTTATTTGATTTACATCAATATTTTAAGCATATTTTTTGCAAATTTTATGACAGCTTTCTAAGTTTTCTTACATTTCAAGCTCATTTTAGAGATCTACTAATTTAGAATGTTCTACAAAGTAATCTGCTAATCCATATTTCACACAATCTTCTCCCTTGATGAAATCTCCAGTCATCATTAAATAGACTCCAAGATTATCCCTTAAATTAGAAAAATACTAAATACTAGGCACTAATAGTCCGTTCTTACATTCTTTTAATTAAAAATTAATAAAGTTAGCACAATTGAAGTAATTATTGAATCAAATTATGCCAATTAAAATCTATTGCATTTCATACTACAAAAAATATAATCTAAATAAAACATTAAACTGCTTTAAAGAAGTAACTCTTTACCTGGTAATGAAATTAGGGTATTTTCAGAGCAAATTCTAATTTTAGAATAGATGCTCATCGTTATACTTCCTCCAATTGCGATTCCATTGTAAATAGTAATCAGAGCGCAATTAGGTATTTGATTTTGTAAAAAGTAAGCGTAATCCATTTTGAATTCAGAATCAAAATATTACATCAAGGATTCGTCATCCTTTTAAGTTATATATTTGTGCAGACTTTTAACATCTCCTCCACAGCTAAAAGCCTTATCACCAACACCTCTGATAATTATGATCTTATGATTAAAGTCTGAAACTACATCGTTAAGCTTTTTAAACATGTGTACATCAAGAGAATTCAAGCGCTTTGGATTGTTAAGCAAAACTGATACTGTTGACGGATGCTTGCATTTCTTAATAATAACTTTATCTTCCTTGATTTATTTATTTAAATTATCTACTCTTTCCATTTTTTTTCTTAGTTGCTTTTTAATTTTAAGAGTGTATGTATTCTTATGAATTTACTTTTAAGATAATAAAGGAAAGTACTATCACTCTATCTATTTATTACATCAACCTAAGATAATCAAATAGTCAAATTAATTTTTGTTTACATTAAACGTAATCAGCTTCTACTTGATGTCAAGTATAATTTTCATGCTAATTAGCTAATTTTTTTTTTAAAAAGTTTAATTAGGAAGTAAACATAATAAGTAAATCTCTCAATCAAAGCCTTAATTAATTATTTAAATTTACAATTTTCTAGAAAATTTCTTTAATATTAAGTAACTTTCACACATAACTAATTTTACAAAACAAAATTTGATTCTTAAATCAAATGATGAACTAAAAAAATTTTTTAATTTTTAGAATTGAGGTGATAGATGAAATAAATATGGATTTTTCAAGTTATATTTAATACATTAATAAATTAATTGATTTAATTACAATAAAAGTTTATTTTATTGATCAAAATTATATTTTTTTTTTGAAGGATTGTTAATTAGATGGTTATGGCTGCTTAGCTTCATTAAATATGTCTTAGTTTTAGTAATTGCTTTCAGATAAAGAAGAATTTTCCTCTTCTATTGAGAATTGTTTTAAATATTTTTCTTATTTGATTGAGTTATTTTTGAAATGGTTGTATGACTAATTTTAAGGAGATAGTTTTGGATTACTGTTTGATTTACTAAACTGAGAAACATTATTTATAGGTGTTTATGAGTTTTCACCATTGCTTGTATCTTGGTTAGGACTCTAATTGCTTGAAGAATCTGTCTTCTTATCTATTTATTCTATGTAGTTTATTTATTTATTGATGTTGCTGATCACATCTTTATTTAATACGTTATTATTGCTTGCATATTCTTTTATGGAACTCAATTCTTTTCTGTAATTAATCAAAGTGTCTTTTATATCACCATATAACACCTGCCTTACATCAACTAATTTTTATGTAAATTACTATTTCAGCATGCTATGTGTTTTTTTGTCTTAAGCCTAGCTATTTTTCATCCTTGAATACTACTGTTTTATTTCATCTGACTGCAAGTGATGATCTTAATTTAAGGTGTGTATTTCTTATATGAAATGCTATTAGATACTATCAAGTCTCTAAAACACTGCTTACAATAAATCTTCTTTAATTTTGCTTTCTGCTTAGGCTTTCTTGTTTACTTCTGAATTTTTTGCAACGCCAAGTATATCAACTCTAGGAGATGTTTACTCACTTGATTTTTTTGAGGGATCTACTTCACTAATTCTTGGAGATAGAATTGAATTATATGACAAATGCACTGGTTAATTTTCATCAAATGTGCGCTTACTTGTTGACTCTTCTTAATTCAATTTAATGCCTTTGTTAATTTCTTTAAGGTGTTAGTTCTCTCTTACAATAGCCTCATATTAAGAAGGTGAATAATTGTTTTTTCTAGCTTATATTAGTTAAAGTAGTTTATTATTTAGCTGCTAATTCATTTCTTTTAAGTAGGTAATTTCTGCGAATTGTTTGTTTACCAAGGATTCTTGTTCTTATATTTCTACTTGGTTGTCTTTGAGCAACTGTATTAACTAACTATTTGATTAATTAGCATATACCTGCAAGTGTTTGGCAATTCCTTCACTTATTTATTAATTCATCTTCTCAATTTAATTTTCATAAAATTGTTTAAATATATTCTCCTTATGATCATACTCTTCTCTAACATGAAGTAATTCAAATTCTAATTACTCTACTCTACTAGATAGCTGCATTATAACATCTTTCTATTAAATTTCTATATCTCTTAGTCTCCTCTCTTCTTCTTCATGCTAAAGTAGTTTCTGCTAGTTCTAGATATTCATCTCTCTGCATATCTCCATTTCTTTTTAAACACTCCTAACTTCTTTACTTACATTTTTCAATTCACTTGCTTTATTATCCTTTTACTCAATTAGCAATTTAATTTGTTAATTGAGCTATGCAATAGTCGCCTCGTAAGTAAATTAAGATTTCTCCTAGCCTGAGAGAGATTTTTGAAGTTTTTGAGTTTCATCTTCTAACCTCTTCATTTCTTTACTTTTCGAATCTAGCAATCTATATAAATTATTCTTTTCTTCTTAAACTTCAGCTGATCTCTTTTCAATTTCTTCAAATTTTTGTTAAGCTTTAGATAACCTCTTAATAATCTCTTAGAATTCGCTATTTTTTTATTTTATTAATTCATCTTTCTCTCTAAGCTCCATTTTATTTTTCTCCCTTTCGATTTCAAATTAATCTATTTCTTTTTAACTCTTTCTTTGTAAAATTTCAAGCTCCTCTATCTTTCTCCTTAACTAATTAGTATCTTACGAATCTCTCTCTTACAAAATTTAAATCCTATAATTAAAAAGATAGCTTACAAAATAATATCTTATAAATATGTCAAGGATAAAATTCACATGTTTGTTAAAAATACTCTCTTATAATTTAAAAATATATATCAAAATCGACATAAATATTTAGAATTTGGATGAAAATTTTGCTTTTACTATTTAAATAATCAGTTAAAAACTTTCAATTTAAACCTTGTAAAAAATTTTAATAAAAACAATTTTAAAATTCTTGAATCTTTCCTTTTTTTATAAATATTATGTCTTCTAATTTGATTAAATGCTTTCAATAATTTCAAAAAATTTTATAGCTTTTTTTACATCAGCAATATTCTTACTTCAATTAGAAAATATCTAAAAATAGGTAAGATTTCTACAAAAATTATTAAATATTGATATGTATTTATTTTTATTCTAAATGAAATAACATCTTAGAAATCTTATTTGAAACACTTTTAACTAACTAAATAATATCATTAAATTAAATATTTAACAAAAAAATAATCTTATTATGAAAGAATTTAGGAATATATTTCAAACAATAATTTACCTATATAGCAATTTTGAATTTTCGCTCTTTTCTTTTTCTAATATTTGAGTAATTTCAATTATTTCTTTTCCAAAAGACTCTTTTTGTAGTTTTAGTGTTTAAAGTTCAAGCTAAATTTTAGAAATTTAGTCATTCAATAGATGTTTTTCTAGTTAATGCTTTTCATTCATACTTGCTTCGCTCATTTGTTTAGATTACTTTAGAAGCGAGTAATCTTTTTACAAGTCTGAGTTAAGTTATTCTATTTTTTCTTATATTTTCTTCATATCATTAATTTCTGATTTATGTAAAAGTTTTAGTTATTCAATATTTGTTTTGTGCACTTCCTGCATATCTTACATTCTTGACTAAAGATTCTAATACTCTTGTCTCATAAGTTGGTTTTCATCTTCTAATTCTGATAACTTAGATGAAAATTCCTAGATTTAGTTATTTAATTACTCAAATTAGCTACTCTAGCTCGTATTCTGTACAATATTTAAGTTATTTCTTTCCTCCAATATTTTTTCATACATTTCTTTTTCTTTTTTTCTTTATGTTTTCATTAATTTCAGTTCTTTTTCGTAAAACTAATTAATTTCTTCAATATCCTTTTCATATTTTTCATTGGCATCTTACAATTTAGTTTAAATCCTTAATATTTCTTGTTCTCTTTACATAATATCGAGCTGCAATTTTTCCATTTCGTTCTTCATCATTTAACTCTAAACTACTTATTCTTGATATTTACTCTTAACTTCTCCAGTTTCTTACTATTTTTCTGTTAATTATTATAATTAAACCTATAACTCATGATTCTTCTTATCTAGTTTATTATTTTACTCCTAAAGAGCCTCATATTTCTCAAGCAAAGATTTTTCTGAGTTATTTCTCTCTAAATATAACTACCTAATTTCCTTACTTCTCTCTTCATCTTTCTACTATATCTGAAAATATAAATCAAATAAATATATGACTATATTAATTTAAAATAAGTAATTATATGTTTTACATCTGCTAACATATCTTCAAGTTAACTACATTTTTATTAATAACTTTGCAATTAATCATTGTGATATTACTATTTTTCTTCTTAGTTTACAATTATTTCTTGTAATCTGATGTTTTCACCAACTTGATAATTGAGCTACCTTTGCATTTCTTTGAGAGTCTAAATCAAAGATTTCACATAAGAATCTTAAAGTATTTCCTATACTCTATAATGCAAATATTCTCTAGAAGTCTCATCACTCTTGAGAGTCTGAAACAAGCCATCATTTTATATTTTTTTATAAATCTCTCCAATTACAAAGAAGAGATTATTATTGTCAAAAACAAGATAATTTTCACTTTCTTAAGACTCCAATTTTTAAATCTAACTTTTTTGGTTCTTTTCAGATATTCTAAAAGGCATATTTTGGTGTTATTCTTGCTATATAAATTACTCTTATAAAGACTTGCTGCTTTTACCTTGAGTAAGAACTTCATCTTAGTTTTTTGCTGCCTTTTAGCTAACCCTTAAACTATTTGTTGTTGTTAATGGAGTTCTCATTTAGTAATTTGCATTTAAATTTACAGTCTTTTCTAAGTTACTTGAAAAGCTATTTTATTTGCTTCTGTTATTTTAATTTAAACCATTCTTATTCTATTAGCAATTAGAATCAAGATAGTCTCTTACTTTCTAATTGTTATCTGATTCACTGTGCATATTATTATAATTTTAAATATTTTCATAATATTCTTGTTATGAAGTGAATTCGTTATCATTCTCATGCTGAAAGTAATTTTATTCATCTAAATTATTTTATATTTCTCTTTCGCTTAATAAATCTTCGTTATAATTATCGTGCTACTAGCCCTTTTAGCTCTGACTATACTAATAAATATCTGACATAATTAATAATTAAACAAACAATTTTTTATAGGTTTCAAAGTAATCAAATAAATAAATTAATAAACAAAATATCTCTTTTCAAAGTTTTAAATTTTTTTTAATATCTATCTATCTATCTATCAATCAATTAAATAATAAAATTGCGAAAACTAATTATTTGAGATTATTTTGATTTTAAATTTTATAAACCAGCAAATAAAGGCAAATCTACTTAACTATTTTCAATTGATCAAAAATTCAACAATCAATTATATTTAATAAACATTTCTTAATTCCTTTTTTATTATTATTTATTATATTAAGTATTTTAGTTCTATTGAATAAAATATTTGACTTTTGATATTTATTTGAATATTCTATGTTAAAAATATTATCATTTAATTCTTATAAAATATTAAATAGCGATTAATCTTCATTATAAACATTTTTTGCTAACACTGATTACTTGCTTTTTATAATTTAAAATTAGTTAATAAAATAATTAAAAAAATATAATAAAATTTATTAAATTTTCTTTTGATTTTAAAAAACTGTTTATATATTATCTAATTTATTTTTTAAACATGCTACTTGATTTTTAAAAAAAACTAAGTTTAAATGAATATGCTTTCTTAATTTAATCATTAAATATTAAATAATGATTAACTCTCATTATAAAAATGTTTTCTAAAGCTCTTACTTACTAACTATAATTTAAAGTATTTTAATAAAATAATTATATAAAAATAAAAGTAAGTTTATAAATAATCTAATTTATTCTTTAAAAATGTAGTAAGATTTATAAAATAAAATTCCAACTCATTTATTTCTAAAAAATAAAATTTATATATCTTTACTAATGGCGATTTAAATAAAATATAAATTAATTACAGTAATTCCTCGATTCGTATTAAATCGTACATACTCTAGTGAGGAATTCATTAAAAAAAAAAATTTGCCTAAAAATATTTATTCCTCGTACGCGATTCGTACAATCTTATAGAGGAATTAAGGTAGTTTCTTTCTAAATTTTAGTATTTAATGTAAAAAATTTAGGATATCAAGACATTATTCGGAAAAGTTAACACTATTTTTATAATTAATTCAAGTATTTACTTTATATAAATTTTTTCATTTATTCTCTATAACAAGAGAAAATTCTTTAGCCATGCTATGCTAAAATTATTTAAAGATATTAATATGCATTTTTTGATTATGAGATACTAATGTAAAAACAATTTAAATGACAACAAAAAGAAGAGTTAAAAATATATTTTTTGTATTATAAATTTAATTAATTTGATCTAATAAGATTTACTCTGTCTTTTTACTATTTTAGTTTACAGTTTTTAAATAAAATTAATAAAACAAATCTTAAGGTAAAATAGTATTATTGATGAATATAAACTATTCATAATTTTATTTATTTTTTTAAAATAAAAAGAACTTCATCATCATCATGAGTATTATATAAATTATTAAACAAACAGTAAGAAATAATATTTTTTAATTTTGTTATTTTAATAATACTTAAATTAGAGAGGTATGAGCAAAAGAGAAAAATATTACTTAGAAATGATTTTTTAATTTATTTATTAATTTCTTCTAGCGTATATTTAATATACTATTGTTAAGTTGAATTAAAATGGAAAAAAAAAAAAAATTGCTTGTTAAAAATAAATGCTATTTTAAAACTTGTTACTTTGTTTACATATTTTTTCTATAAAATGAGTTAATATCCTAGAAAATATAGATAAAAATATTCAATTTTTATTTCGTGCCAGAGTAAATTAAAACTAATAGAGTGATTATTTTTTTATCATTAATTACGCTTTGATGATGTAAGGATTTTTACAGCTGAAGCAGCGAATTAATAAAAATAATAAGTAAATAATTAACTTATCAGAATAATAAATTATTTCAGTGATTGCTATTATTAATAAATAAATTTGAATATTTAAATAATGTTTGTAAATATTATTAGTAATTGATTATTTAATGTTATAAATAAATAAATTATAAATATTTACTGCAAAAATATTTCTTTTGTTGTGATAAATCTTTTTTTTATGTATATTATTTTAAATTTTGAAATGCCTACTGATCTAAAAATGCTCCGATTGTAAATTCTCTATTCATTATAAATAAATTACAGTATTTCAATTAGGTTAATAATATTTAGTTTTTAATTTAGATAGTTGGGTAATCTAAATTACACTAAATCCCCTTTATTTGAGGAAAATTTGCTAAGTAATAAATTATTGATAGGCTAAAAGATAAAAATAATTAAAAATTAATAATAATACAAATTCAATTACGCATTTTTGGAATAGTAAAATTTATTTCTCAAATTAAAAAGTTAATTAACAATTATTTAGTTAAATTAAAGAAAAATCTTATTGCCAACTTTCAAAATAAAATTTTTTAGTTTGATTATATTTAATAAAATTAAATAATTCTTTTATCATATTTAAAGCTTTTTCAGGAAAATCATAGTAATAAACTAAATTTCAGATTCATGTTTACGCATTGATAGTATTTAAAAACAGTTTATTTATATTCATTTTTAAAGCTTTTACTAGCTGATAATTTAATTTTATACATCAAAAGTTGATTATTAAATATACAGTTTAATGGAGTAATATTGAAATAATTTAACTAAATAAGCATCAACTTTACAAAAGCAAATAGTATTAGTAATTAATTAAATTTGTTTAGATGATATCAACAAATGAAATCATTTTTCTGGTTACTTACTATAGTATAAATTACTATATATTCATTTTTAATGAAAAATATAGAAAAAATTAAGAAATAAATATAATTTAAAATTGATTATCCATCCACCAAATAAAAACCAAGACCACTTTCACTTTTGAGGGTATTTTATTTGATTATGATATACTAATAATTAAAAATTTTATTCTCAATATTTTATTTTATATGAATGAAATTATGAAAAATATATATAAAATTAAAAAGCTTATTATCTATATTTTGACATTAAAATTTAATAATTTAAGAGCAAATGAGTTAAGATCAAGCATAACATATAAATGTTGAAATCAGTAAACCTTCTAGCAGAAAATCTGGACTTATAAAAAGAAATTAATCTCAATTAACATTAATTTTTTTAGGGTTATTACCTTCTTTCATTTTAATAATATCTACTTTCATTAGTTTGCAGTATTTGGAGTAATAGAGTATACTAATAATATAGCAATTTTCTGATTAGTTATACCAAGATTAAATAAATAGCTCTAAACAGCATAACCATGCAGTCATTTTTTAAATTAATTAGTAGGTTTAAAATATTCCATGGTAATTGAATATGATAAATGAATTTATAGGGTATGAATTGTTGGGTTAAGTAAAAAATAGTAAAAAATATGTACCTGCTTTGCATAACATTGATAGAACTTATTTAAACAAAGAAAATACTACAGTCATAAAAATGTTTAAGAAAAACCCAATTCTTACTAGCGTTTGGTAAATATTATATAAAACAATTTTCTTAAAAGAAATTATCATAAATCGTTTTTCAACTATTTGAGAGAGTTTGGTTTAAATTCCAATTTCTCTTAACTCGCTTCATAAACAATAAAAATTATACTAGAAACAAAGTTAGGAGAGGAATATTTAAATTCCAATAATTAAAAAACGAAAACTCTACCTTGTTATTTTGCAATTAACTATTTAATAAATTATTAATTTTCAAAGCATTTAATTCACTGTTTTTAACAATCTGGCAAATAATTTTTTCTAATTAATAATAGGCATTAGGTTAATAAAACATATTTATAACAGTTAAATTAAATTGAGCTTTAATAATTAAAGTTGCTAACAAAGGCTGACTTTTTATAAAAATCTTTTAAATATGATAATTTGCATGAAGTTACAAGATGGATGAAGACAGATAATACATTTAATAACCTTGCTTATGATGGAATTATTTACATGCCAGGTACAAATAAAACATATTCTAATTATTAACCACCAGATGATTGCCCTTATAAAGGTACTTATAATTTTGATCCAAGATGCAGATATTATTATCAGCCAACTGTAGGAAATATATCAACTGTTGTCTTTCCTCCTAATATGAACCTCGGAACAACTGGTACTTATTATGCAAGTATGTTTTGCTAGAGAAGAGTTAATTTAGGTTCATAAAAATAAAATGACATTTTCTCAGTTCTATGTATAACACTAAATCTACAAGCCTTACCTGCTTACTTTTAAAACTTTGGTAATAACTCTATATATTAGATGCTAGTTGATCCCTCAAGCTTGACAGTAGTTTACAATTCATAAGCATAACTTTAATAATAAGTTACTGTGATGCAAACTGAAACTGACTACCTTTAAGATTAATCTCAAGCAAATATATTTATATAAAATTTAACTTAAAACTCAAACTATATCATATTAAATACTAGCTCTTATCAACAAACGTATTCATTAGATAACAGCCAACAAACATTTGAATATAACAGAAATGGTACTGATTGTCTTGTAATACTTAATGTAATCTCAATGATTGATAAAGTACCAAAAATAGAAAGAAATAGACTTAATAATCCAGCTCCTAAGTTCTAATTGAAGAAAGTTTACCTATTTTTGGATGTACTGACAAAAGAAAATTTACAAATTTATGCCACAAATCTATAAAATACTATTTATTTTTATAATAAAATTTTTGCTTACACAAGTTACGGATTAATTTCTATAATTTTAATAATTCAAATTTACTAAACGATAGTTTTGGGGAAATACATATTAAATCCCATAATCCATCTGACATAAATACTGAGCAAGATAAGAATACAAAATTTAAATCAAACTCAAACTACAAATTTCGACTAAAAAGAAAAAATGGCAGAAAAATTATAAACTAGGTATGTAAGCTGCAACAAAACTACTTTCAATGAAATTAAAACCGATTAAGTCAATCAAATCCTCATAGATGAGTAAATTGATGCAGATTTTGAAGGATTGTGTCATTCTAGAGATACACAAGATCTTTTGAATAGCTTTCAAGATATGTTTAAGGTACTAAGGTTTACAACTTAAAATTTTTACAAAGAAGATGCCAGCTTATAGCTTTTGAATCTAATAAAATAAATTCAACACTTCTAACAATTTGGTAATCATAGAGCACTTGGAGTTTGTTATAACAATATGGGAGTAATTCACTATAATTGTGGTAGATTTCAGGAAGCTTCAGAAAATTTTCAGTAAGCTATTATTTATGCTAGTTACGAATTAAATACCTATTCTCATCACCACCAAGGAGAAACAGTTGAACTTAGTCAAAACCTGAAGAGATTGACAGCTCATTTAAGAAGTTCAATATAAAATAATTTAAATCTAGAATTTACTGAAGATATAAGCAACCTTAATATTTCTATTCATCAAGAAAAATAAAGATAGACAAAATAGTATAGTCAATTGTAGAGTCATCAAGTTGAGCTTTACTGGAGTCTATTTAATAGAAAAACAAATTTAATCAAAGCTATGTATATGTTTATTTAAAATAATAGCAATAAATTATGGGATATAATCGAAGATTATGCATATGAGAATACAATAATCAGCTAAATATATTTACCTCCTTCAAATAAAAGAGAAATGATTAATTATTACTTTTTATCTAATGTGTTACAAAAATAAAATTTGGATAATGAAGCTATTTAAGTGTTAAATAGACTTAATTATTTTTATGTAAAAATATAAGAAAGCAAATAGGTAAAATAGTTTCAAGAAAACTAAAAATAAGTTGATTTAAATTTTTCCTAAATTATTAACAGTTAATAAAAAAGAGAATTGTATTCAGATAATTTCATAGATTAAAGCAAAAATATGTAAATCAGTAATATCAATCAACCCAACGATATTATGAGTTTCAATAATGATACAAATAACTCTTTTATCTTATATTCTCCAATCAATATAAAGAAATCAAGGAGAAAAAAAATAAATATTCAAGATAAAATAAAAGATAAAGTTTAGAATTTATTTAACACTCAAAATAACAATTTTCTAAATAAATTATAAACAAATTTTCAAAAAATTGACAAAAATCATAGTCAAGAATAAGAATTAAACTAATATAATTAGAAAATACATTAATTATAATTAAGAAATTCTATTTTTGCTTCTAAAAAAAGCAAAGGAATCTACAACAATTAGATGAAATCTGATTCAAATAACATATTTTTATAAGGATATGATTCTTTTAGTCATAATATTTCAGAAGCAAATAATAAAACGAATTTTAATAGAATTTTATTTTTTTAGGAGGAAAATGAGAAAAATTATGATAAAATCACCAATCACATCTCATAATAACCTCAAAATAAATATCTAGCTGATTAATAAATTTAAAATGGATTCCATAATATTCATTAGAAATAAAGATTTTCAATCTTTAAAAGTACTTTACCACATCAAGAAGTATCAAAATCACCAAATTAAAAATCAGACAAATAAACAAAGTTTACCCAAAAAAAGAAGGAAAAAGCAAATAAAGCTAATATGTTGGAAAGTAATAAATTTATTTTCTACCCAGTGAGAAAACATAAAAATAACGATAAAGTAATAAAATATGAATATAGTTCAGATATCTACTTTCAATTTTGCTCAATTGAGCATGCTTCCTATTTAATTAAACAAAAAAAATTTTATAATGCAGCTATAATTCTAACTAGCTCTTTTGAGACGTGTTAATATTATTTACCGAATTTAAGAAAATTACAAATGGATATGCTTTTCAATATATTCTAAAAATAAAACATAAACAGCAAAAGTTTTGAAATAGCAAATAAAAAATATGCTAAAATGACATCATTTATTTTCAACATCTACGTTATTTCAGCATGCTATAAGTAATGCAACAAAGTAAAATTATATGCAATTTGTAATGATTTAGTAAATGAAATCCTCTTTAAAGAAAATGATAGTTTTGGATTGATTTAATACAGTTTCGAAGAACAAATATTCATGCAATTAATTGCCTCAACTTATACAAAACTTATATAATAAACTCCATCATTTTTTGAGTAGATTTTACTTTCTTTGCTGCCAAAAAAATAAGTCGATTGCACATAAAATTTAAAAAACGATAAAATTTAGCTTTAACAAAAAAATACTCTTGTTAATCCTTAATCTACTAGTAATTTACCATCACCAAACTAAATTAGTATTTTTTAAGATATAAATTTGCAACCCATTTAAAATTTAAATATGAACCTAAAAACAGGTTCTATATTTAAATCAAATAATTGCCACTCTAATAAAAAGGCATAAAATTAAAAACTTGACTAAGAATCATTTAATACCAGAGAATGTATCAGCTCATACCATCAGAAATAGAATCTAAATTATGCTACGAATGAATTTTTTGAATAAATAGAATTAAGCTAAGTTTCCTCATAAACATCTTTAGACACTATTCCTAATTAAATTGAAATCTACCAAACTAAAGAAAATATTTAAAAACACAATCTTACAAAAATGTTAAATTAATAATGTTTCTAAATCTTTAGTAATTTGAACAATGCTTTAACAATAAAGAGTAATTCTAAGAAATAATCCCCATAATTTTAAAGTATTAATTCAAATATATCATTAAAAGTAGATAAAATGCAATAAATATATAATAAAATGGAAGATCGTTATAAAGAAGATTCTATCAAAATAAAGAATTTTTCTAAAAAAACAGATTAAAATAAATCAGATTAGCTAAAATCTTACGACAATTAATTTGTTGACTAGAAAGCAAGCTAAGACAGAAGAATAAATGAAAGGAAAAAATAACAATGTAAATCCAGTGAATTAATATTTCATTTAGGACTGCACGCATGTTTAAAATAGTTTATATTAAATTCTGATGAAAAGCTAAGTATTCATCTAACTTAAAATCGCCATAAACACTAAAACAATAAAAAATATGAACCATAATAAAATAAATAAACTTACATGATTTATATTACAGACTAATATTTCCAAATTACGCAATCAAATATAATGCAAGAATTGATTTAGCTACTAAATAGCATAGGCTCTGAATTGTTAATATTAGTTCTTAATGATGTTTAATAGTTTGATGAGAGTAGTGATTTAGACAATGTATCTATTGATGGCAAATAAGTTATAAGCTTTTTCAACACAGAAGAAAAAATGCTGTAATACATTTATAATAACAGAGAGCATCTAAAAAACTACCTGATGCCAATGGTTATTGAACATTTTTGAATGATTAAATTTTCTCAAATAATCAAATTATTTATGTTAAATTGCAGTATTTTTGTGTTTAATTTAAGCATTTGATTTATTTTAAAACAATTTAATTTTAAAGTATTAACTTTTTTTACAAAAAAAAAAATTAGTGTTGTTATTTAGAAATATTGATAAATTTTAATCAAAACAACTTAAATTTTTGTATTTTATCCTACAATGGTATTTATTATCTTTAATTTATTTTTTTTTTTTTGAGATTGGTAATACTTACCCTGATTTTGATAAGCTTTAGTAAACTAATAAAAATTTAAGAAATAAAAATCAGCAAGGTTTTGTTCAAATTATAATGGAAAAATAAATTTGTTTGCGATGGAATTCATTTTAATAAACTACGGCAATTAAATAAAATTAATAATATTTTTTTTTAAATTTAGGTATTTAATTTATCTAAATTACACTAATTACCTTTTACTTGAGGAGAAATTGCTTAAATATTAAAGATGTTACTGATATGCTAAAGATAAAAACAACTAAAAATAATTTATCACACAAATTAAATGATCTAATTTTGGGAATATTAAATAAATTTCTAAAATTAGAATGTTAATTTTAAATTATTTAGTTATATAAAAGAAAAATCTTGTTGCCAACTTTCCAAATAAATTTTTTAATTTTGATTATATTTTATCTTATTTTAAAGTTTTTTTATAGTAGTAATGAACTAAATTTCAGATTCATGTTAACATATTTATAGAATTTAAAAACAATAAATGTTAATTCATTTTTAAAGCTTTTACTAGCTGATAATTTAATTAAATACAGCAAAAGTTATTTATTAAATATACAGTATAATGGAGTAATATTAAAATAATTAGATAAGTATTAATTTGCCAAACAACTTTACAAAAGCAAATTGAATTAATAATTTATTAAACTTATTTAGACATAATCAATAGATAAAATCATTTTTCTGGTCTCTTACTAGAGTATAAATTACTATTTATTCATTTTTCATTATTAAAATATAGAAAATATTATGAAATAAATATAATTTAAAATGATATTTAACAAAAGAAAAACCAAGACCACCTTTGAGTGTATTTTATTTGATCTGAGAGAAATTACGATTAACATATAGAATTAAAAAATTATTAAATATTTTTGATATTAAAATTTAATAATTTTGGAGTAAATGAGTTAAGATCAAGCTTAAAATATAGATGCTGAAAACAATAAACCTTCTCCAAAAAAATAGGGACTTATAAAAAGAAATTAATCTCAATTAATATTAGTTTTTTTAGGGTTATTACCTTCTTTCATTTTAATAATATCTACTTTCATTAGTCTGTGGTATTTGCAGTAATAGAGTATGTTAATAATATAGCAATTTTCTGATTAACTATACTAAGATTAAATAAATAGCTCTAAATAACATAACCGTGCAGTCATTTTTTAGATTAGTTAGTAAGTTTAAAAGATTCCGTGGTAGTTGAGTATAATAAATGAATTTTTAGGGTCCTAATTGCTGGGTTAAGTAAAGTATAGCAAAAAATATGTACCTCCTTTACATAATGTTGATAGAACTTATTTAAACAAAGAAAATACTACAGTCATAAAAATGTTTAAGAAAAACCCAATTCTTACTAGTGTTTGGTAAATATTATTTAAAATTATTTTCTTAAATTAAATTATCATAAATCATTTTTGAATTATTTAAGAGAGTTTGGTTAATATTCTAATTTCATTTATCTCTCTTCATGAGTAATAAAAATTCTACTTGAAACAAAGTTGGAAGGAAAAATTTAAAGTCAAATGACTAAAATGGGAAAACTCTACTTTGCTACTTTGAAATTAATTATTTAATAAAATTACTATATTTTTAAGACGTTTAATGCACTATTTTAACCATCTGGTAAAGAATTTTTTGTAATTAATAACAGGCATTAGGTTAACAAAGCATATTTATAATAGCTAAATTAAATCGAGCTTTCATAACTAAAGTTGCTAACAAAGGCTGACTTTTTATAAAAATCTTTTAAATATGATAATTTGAATTAAGTTACAAGATGGATGAAGATAGATAATACATTTAATAGTCTTGATTATGATGGGATTGTTTACATGCCAGGTACAAATAAAACCTATTCTACTTATTAACCACCAGATGATTGCCCTTATAAAGGTTCTTATAATTTTGATCCAAGATGCAGATATTATTATCAGCCAACTGTAGGAAATATATCAACTGTTATCTTTCCTCCTACTATGAACCTCGGAACAACTGGTACTTATTATGCAAGTTAATTTTGCTAGAGGAGAGTTAATTTAGGTTCATAAAAATAAAATGAAATTTTCTCAGTTCTTTGTATAACACTAAATCTACAAGTCTTACCCGCTTACTTTTAAAACTTTGGTAATAACTCTATATATTAGATGCTAATTGATCCCTCAAGCTTGACAGTACTTTATAATTCATAAGCATAAATTTAATAATAAGTTACTGTGATGCAGACTGAAACAGACTACCTTTAAGATTAATCTCAAGCAAATATATTTATACAAAATTTAACTTAAAACTCAAACAATGTCATATTAAATACTAGCTCTTATCAACTAGCGTATTTGCTTGATAACAGCCAACAAACATTTTAATATAACAGAAATGGTACTGATTGTCTTGTTATACTAAATGTAATCTCGATTGTTGATAAAGTACCAAAAGTAGAAAGAAATAGACTTAATGATCCAGCTCCTAAATTCTAATTGAAGAAAGTATACCTATTTTTGGATGTGCTGACAAAAGAAAATTTACAAATTTATGCCACAAATCTATAAAATACTATTTATTTTTATAATAAAATTTTTGTTTACACAAGTTACGGATTAATTTGTATAATTTTATAAATATAAATTTATTACTCGATTATTTTGGGGAAATACATATTAAATCCTATAATCCATCTGTCATACATACTGAGTAAGATAAAAATACAAAATTTAAATCAAACTATAAATTTCGACTAAAAAGAAAAAATAACAGAAAAATTATAAACAAGTTATGTAAACAGCAGCTAAATTGTTTTCAATGAAATGAAAACCGATTCAGTCAATCAAATCTTCATAGATGAATAAATTGATGCAGATTTTGAAGGATTGTGTCATTCAAGAGATACACAAGATCTTTTGAATAACTTTCAAGATATGTTTAAGGTACTCAGGTTTACTACTTAAAATTTTTACAAAGAAGATGCCAGCTTGTAGCTTTTGAATCTAATAAAATAAATTCAACACTTCTAACGATTTGGTAATCATAGAGCACTAGGAGTTTGTTATAACAATATGGGCGTAATTCACTATAATTGTGGTAGATTTCAGGAAGCTTCAGAAAATTTTTAGTAAGCTATTATTTATGCAAATTACGAATTAAATACCTACTCTCATCATCACCAAGGAGAAGCAGTTGAACTTAGTCAAAACCTTAAGAGAATAACAGCTCATTTAAGAAGTTCAATATAAAATAATTTAAGTCTAGAATTTACTGAAGATGTAAGCAACCTTAATATTTCTATCCAACAAGAAAAATAAAGATAGACAAAATAGTATAGTCAATTTTAGAGTTATCAAGTAGAGCTTTACTGGAGTCTATTTAATAGAAAAACAAATTTAATCAAAGCCATGTATATGTTTATTTAAAATAGTAACAATAAACTATGGGATATCATCGAAGATTATGCATTTGAAAATATAATAATCAGCTAAATATATTTACCTCCTTCAAATAAAAGGGAAATGATTAATTATTACATTTTATCTAAAGTGTTACAAAAACAAAGTTTGGATAATGAAGCTATTTAAGTATTAAATAGACTTAGTAATTTTTATGTAAAAATATAAGAAAGCAAATATGGAAAATAATCTCAAGAAAATTAAAAATAAACTGATGTAAACTCTGTCTAAATTATTAACAGTTAATGGAAAAGAGAATTATATTCAGATAATTTCATAAACTAAAGCAAAAATATGTAAATCAGTAATATTAATCAACCCAACAATATCATGAGCTACAATGATGATACAAATAACTCTTTTATTTTATATTCTCCAATAAAAAAAACGAAATCAATGAGCAAAAAAATAAATATTCAAGATAAAATAAAAGATAAAGTTTAAAATTTATTTAAAACACAAAATAACAATTTTCTCAATAAATTATAAATAAATTTTCAAAAAATCGACAAAAATCTTATTTAAGAAAAAGAGCCAGATTAGAAAGTAAATTAATCGAAATTAAAAAATTCTATTTATGATTCTAAAAAAAACAAAGGAATCTACAACAATTAAAAGAAAAATGTAAAAGATTCAAATAACAAATTTTTATTAGGAAATGATTTTTGCCATCATAATATTTCAGTAGCAAATAGTAAAACAAATTTATATCCATTTTTATTTTTTTAGGAGGGAAAAGAGAAAAGTTATGATAAAATCACCAATTAAATATCCTAATAACCTCAAAATAAATATCTAGCTGATTCATAAAGTTAAAATGAATTCCATAATATTCTTTAGAAATAAAGATTTTCTATGTTAAAAAGTATTTTATCACAACAAGAAGTTACAAAATCATCTAATTAAAAATCCAACAAGTAAATAAAGTTTATCCTAAAAAAGAAGGAAAAAGTTAAAGCTACTGCTTTGGAAAATAATAAGTTTATTTTCTATCCAGTGAGAAAACATAAAAATAACGATAAAGTAATACAATATGAATATAGTTCAGATATTTACTTTCAATATTGCTCAATTGAGCATGCTTCCTATTTAATTAAATAGTAACATTTTTATAATGCAGCTGTAATGCTTACTAGCTCTTTCGAGACATGTTAATATTATCTACCTCATTTAAGAAAAATACAAATGGATATGCTTTTCAATATATTCTAATAATAAAACATAAAGAGCAAAGATTTTGAAATAGCGAATAAAAGATATTCTTAAATGACATCATCTAATTTCAATATTTACCTTATTTCAGCATGTTAAAAGTAAAGTGTTCAATTAAAATTATATGCAATCTGTAATGATTTAGTAAATGAAATCCTTTTTAAAGAAAATGATTATTTTGGATTGATTTAATACAGCTACGAAGAACAAATATTCACGTAGTTAATTGCTTCAACTTAGGTAAAACTTATATAACAAGCTCCATTATTTTTTGAATAGATTTTACTTTCATTGCTGCCAAAAAAATAAGCAAATCATACATAAAAATTAAAAAATGATAAAATTTAGCTTTAACAAAAAAAAACTCTTGGTTATCCGTAATCTACTAGTAATTTACCATCATTAAACTAAATTAGTGTTTTTCAAGATATAAATTAATAATCCTTTTAAAATTCAAATTTGAATCTAAAAACTGGTTCTATCCTTAAATCAGATAATTACCACTTTAATAAAAAGGCATAAAATTAAAAATCTGACTAAGAATCATTTGATGCCAGAGAAGATATCAGCTCATTTCATCTGAAATAGAAGCTGAATTTTGCTAGGAATGAATTTTTAGAATAAATAGATTTAAATACCTCATAAACATCTATAGAATCTTACACAATACCTAATTAAATTCAATTCTTTTAAACTAAAGAAAATATTAAATAACATAATCTTACAAAAATGTTAACTTAAAAATATTTCTAAACCATTAGTAGTTTGAACACAACTTTAACAATAAAGAATAATTCTCAGAAATAATTGCCATAACCTTAAAGTATAAATAATTCAAATATACCATTCAAAGAAGATTATATGTAATAAATATATACTTTTATGGATGATAAATTTAAAGAAGATTCTATCAATATTAAGAATTTATCGAAAAAAAATGGCTAAAATACTTAAAATAATTCAAACAATTCTAATTACTACAACATTTAACTTTAGAAATCAGACTCTGAAAAGACTTAAAATTTAATGAATTTAGAGAAATAAGAATAATAAATTACAGGTTTAGATTAACTAAAAAACTAACAAGCTATTTAATGTTAATTTAACACTTCTCCTAAATCCTCCTAGTATAAAAATAGATAATAATCAATTGATTAGGCTCAAAAAAAAGTAAATATGCAATATTAAAAAAGCTTTTTACCAAACTAAATTTAGATTTTCAATGCTTCAAATCAGAAATAGCAACCAATTTCAGATAACACATTTTAAATGGATTTATTTATGTTTAATAGTAGTCCTACCTCTAAATAAACTAGTCCATTAAATTAATTTTAACACTTACATGATGATTAAAATAAATCATATTAACTAAAATCTTATGAAAATTAATTTGTTGACTAAAAAGTAAGCTAAAATAGAAAATATCATGAAATGAAAAAATAATAATGCAAATCCAGTGAATACTTATTTCATTTAGGAGTACATGCATGCTTAAAATAGTTTATATTAAATTCTGATGAAAAACTAAGTATTCATCTAACTTAAAATAAATATAAACACTAAAGCAATAAAAAATATGAACCTTAAAAAAATTAGTAAGCTTACTTGATTTATATTACAGACTAATATTTCTAAATCACTAAATCAAATCTAATGCAAGAGTTGACTCAGCTACTAATTAGCATAGGTACTGAATTGTTAATTTTAGTTCTTAATGATGTTTAATAGCTTGATGAGAGCAGTGGTTTAGAGAATGTGTCTATTGATGGCAAATAAATTATAAGCTTTTTCAACTCAGAATAAAAAATGCTATAATATATTTATAATACCAGAGAACATCTAAAGAACTACTTAATGCCAATGGTTATTGAGCATTTTTGAATGATGAATTTTCTCAAAAAACCTAAGTATTTATTATAAATTACTGTATTTTTGTGTTTAATAAACCCTTTCATTTTTTTAAAGACATTTTAATTTAAAATTATTAAAAATTTACAGGATTTTAATTAAGAAAATAATATTTTTTTTCTAATTTAGATAAATTACACTATCTACCTTTTATTTGAAGAGAATTTGCTTAAATAAATAATTTATTGATAAACTAAAAATAACAATAATATAAAAAAATAAAAATTCAATTATTTTAACATCTTAAATAATTTTACCAAAACATAAAAATAATTTGCAAATATTTAGTTAAATTAAAGAAAAATTTTATTTTACACTTTAAAATAAATATTTTTAAATTTGATTATATTTGATAATATTAAATAATAATTGAATAGTATTTTAGAGTTTTTCAAGAAAACTATAGTACTTAACTAATTTTCAGTTTCAGACATTGATATTATTAATATAAATAAATTAATTCTTTTTTAAGTTATTACTAAGCTGATAATTTAATTAAATATGACAAAAGCTGTATATAAAATATACCTTTTAATTAGTAATATAAAAATAAATTGACTATTTATTTAAGTTGTTTAGAGATAATCAAAAATGAAATAATTTTACTAGTCTCTAAGCAAAAATATAAATTACTATTTATTTATTTAGTAATTAATTATTAAAAATACTAATTATCTAAAATTAGCTTCCCATAAAAGAATAAATAATCTTAATAACCTTAGAGTGTATGTAAGAGTTAACAATTCTTGAATATATATAAAATTCGTAAATCAATTATTTATATTTTGATATTAAAATTTAATAATTTAAGAGTAAATGAATTAAGATCAAATATAACATAAAAATGATTAAAATAATAAATCTTCTAATAGAAAACATGAATTTTTAAAAAGAAATTATACTCAGTTGATATTAGTTTTTTTAGGGTTATTACCTTCTTTCATTTTAATAATATCTACTTTCATTAGTCTATGGTATCTGCAGAAATAGATTATGTTAATAATATATCAATTTTCTGATTAGCTATATTAAGATTAAATAAATAGCTCTAAGTTGAATAACAGAGCAGTCCTTTTTTAAATCAATTAATAAGTTTAAAAGATTCCATGGGAGTTGAATTTAATAAATGAATTTGTGGGTTACTAATTGCTAGGTTAAATCAAAAATAGCAATAAATATGTACCTGCATTACATAATATTGAAAGAACTTATTTAAACTAAGAGAATACTACAGTCATAAATATGTTTAAAAAAAACCCAATTCTTACTAGCTCTTGGTAAATATTATTGAAAGCCATTCTTATAAATTGATATATTTTAGAGGATTTGGTTATAATTCAATTATTCTTACATCTATTCATAAATTATAAAAATTCTACATTTAAAAAAATAAAAAGTTAAGAGAAGAAAATTTATAGTACAATCAATATTTAAAAAGAAAAATTCTACTTTGTTATTTCGCAATTAATTGTTTAATGAAATTACTAAATTTTTACAATATTTAATTCACTTTATTTAATCATATGATAAAAAACTTTATTTAAATAATAATAGGCATTAGATTAACAAAACATATTTATATTAGTTAAATTAAATTGAGCTTTCTTAAATACAGTTACTAACAAAGGTTGACTTTTTCTAAAAATCTTTCAAATATGATAACTTGAATGAAGTTACAAGGTGGATGAAGACAGATAATACACTTAATAACCTAGCTTATGATGGGATTGCTTACATGCCAGGTACAAATAAAACATATTCTATTTATTAACCACCAGATGATTGCCCTTATAAAGGTACTTATAATTTTGATCCAAGATGTAGATATTATTATCAGCCAACTCTAGGAAACGTATCTATTGTTGTATATCCTCCTACTATGAATATCGGCCCAGGTGGTACTTATTATGGAAGTATGTTTTGCTAGAGGAGAATTAACTTGGGTTCATAAAAATAAAATGACATTTTCTCAGTTCTTTGTATAGGACTTAATCTGGGAATTATACCTTCTTACTTTTAAAACTTTGGCCATAATTCCAAATATTAGATGCTAGTTGATCCGTAAAGCTTGACAGTACTTTATAATTCATAAGTATAACTTTAATAATAAGTTACTGTGATGCAGACTGAAACAGACTACCTTTAAGATTAATCTCAAGCAAATATATTTATACAAAATTTAACTTAAAACTCAAACTTTGTCATATTAAATACTAGCTCTTATAAATTAACGTATTTTCTTGATAACAGCCAAGAAACATTTTAATATAACAGAAATGGTACTGATTGTCTTGTTATACTAAATATAATCTCAATTGTTGATAAAGTACCAAAAGTAGATAGAAATAGGCCTAATAATCCAGCTCCTAAATTCTAATTGAAGAAGGTTTTCCTGTTTTTAGATGTACTGACAAAAGAAAATTTACAAATTTATGCCACAAATCTATAAAATACTATTTATTTTTATAATTAAATTTTTGCTTACACTAGTTACGGATTAATATGTATAATCTTAATAATTCAAATTTACTACTCGATTGTTTTGGGAAAATACATATTAAATCCTATAATTCATCTGACATACATATTGAGCAAGATAAGAATACAAAATTTAAATTCAACTACAAATTTTGGTTAAAAAGAAAAAATAGCAGAAATATTACAAAAAAATTATGTAAACAGCAGCTAAATTGTTTTCAATGACATAAGAACTGATTAGACAAATTAAATCCTAATTGACGAGTAATTTGATGCAGATTTTGAAGGATTGTGTCATTCAAGAGATACACAAGATCTTTTGAATAGCTTTCAAGACATGTTTAAGGTACTCAGGTTTACTACTTAAAATTTTTACAAAGAAGATGCCAGCTTGCAGCTTTTGAATCTAATATCATAAATTCAGCATTTCTAGCGATTTGGTAACCATAGGGCATTAGGAGTTTGTTATAACAATATGGGAGTAATTCACTATAATTGCGGTAGATTTTAGGAAGCTTCAGAAAATTTTCAGTAAGCTGTTATTTATGCAAATTACGAATTAAATAGCTACTCTCATCATCACCAAGGTGAAACAGTTAAGATTACTCAAAATCTTAAAAGACTGGTATCTGATTTAAGAAGCTCTATATAAAATAATACAACTCTAGATTATACTGAAGATAATGTAAGAAACCTTAATATTTCTATCTATCAAAAAAATTAAAAATCGGAAAATTAGGATAATTAATAGAAGAGTCATCAAGTAGAGCTATACTGGAGTTTATTTAATAGAAAAACAAATTTAATCAAAGCAATGTATATGTTTATTTAAAATAGTAACAATAAACTATGGGATATAATAGAAGATTATGCATATGAAAATATAATAATCAGCTAAGTATATTTACCTCCTTCAAATAAAAGGGAAATTATTAATTATTACACTTTATCTAATGTGTTACAAAAATAAAATCTGGATAATGAAGCTGTTTAAGTATTAAATAGACTTAGTTATTTTTTTGCAAAAATATAAGAAGGCAAATATGGAAAATAATCTCAAGAAAATTAAAAATAAACTGATGTAGACTGTACCTAAAGTTTTAACAGTAAGTAAAAAAGATAATTTTTTCCAGATGATTTTATGAATTAAAGTAAAAATATGTAAATCAGAAATATTAATTAGTCCAACAATTTCATGAGCTACAATAATGAAACAAATAAGTCTTTTATCTTACATTCTCCAATTTAAAATATGAAATCAAGAATCAAAAAACTAAATATTTAAAATAAAATAAAAGATAAAATTTAAAATTTATTTAATAAACAAAATAATAATTTTTAAAATTATTTATAACTAAATTTTCAAAATAATAACAAAAATCTTAGTTAAGAAAAAGAACCAGACTAATAAAATTAGAAATTAAGTTAATTAAAGTTAACAAATTCATTTTTTTCTCCTAAAAAAAATAAAGAAATCTATAATAATTAAAAGAAACCTCTTGCAAATATAAAAGATTTAAATAACAAATTTTAATTTGGATATGATTTTTGCAGTCAAAATAATTCAGTAGCAAATAGTAAAACAAATTTAAATCTATTTTTATCTTTTTACGAGGAAAAAGATAATAATTATGATAAAATTACCTATCAAATATCTTAATAACTTCAAAATAAATAGCTAGCTGATTCATAGAGTTAAGAAAAATTTGATAGTATTTTTTAGAAAAAAAAATTTTTAAACTTAAAAAATATTTTATCACTGTAAGAAGTTTCTTAATCACCAAATTAAAAATCAAACAAATAAAATATCATAAAAAATTAGGAAAAAATTAAAGCTAATACATTCGAAAATAATAAATTTATTTTCTATCCAGTGAGAAATCATAAAAATGACTATAAAGTAATAAAATATGAATATTGTTCAGATATCTACTTTCAATATTGCTCAATTTAGCATGCTTCATATTTAATTAAATAATAAAATTTTTATAATGCAGCTGTAATGCTAACTAGTTCTTTCGAGATGTGTTAATATTATTTACCTCATTTAAGAAAAATACAAATGGATATGCTTTTCAATATATTCTAAAAATAAAATATAAATAGCATAGATTTTGAAGTAGCGAATAAAAGATATTCTTAAATGTCATCATCTAATTTCAATATTTACCTTATGTCAGCGTGCTAAAAGTAATTCAACCAATTAAAATTATATGCAATCTGTAATGATTTAGTAAATGAAATTCTCTTTAAAGATAATGATAGTTTTGGATTGATTTAATACAGCTTCGATGAACAAATATTCATCCAATTAATTGCTACAATTTAGGTAAAACTTATATAGAAAGCTCCATTATTTTTTGAGTAGATTTTACTTTCTTTGCTGCCAAAAAAGTAAGCATGTTGTGCATAAAAATTAATAAACGATAAAATTTAGCTTTAACAAAAAAATACTCTTGATTATCCTAAATCCATAAGTAATTTATTAATATCAAATTATATAAATATTTTTTAAGATATAAATTAGCAATCCTATTAAAATTTAAATATATAATTAAAGACTGGTTCTATCTTAAAATCAAAAAACTATCAATTAAATTAAAAACCTGACTAAGAATTACTTAATTTCAGAGAACGTATCAGTTCATATCATCTGAAACAGAAATTGAATTCTGATAGGAATACATTTTTAGAATAAATAGAATTAAGCTAAGATTCATCATAAACATCTTTAGAATCTTACACTATACCAAATTAAATTGAATTGGACCAAACTAAAGAAAATATAAAATAACATAACCTTAAAAAAATCTTAAATTAAAAATTTTTCTAAACCTTTAGTAATTTGAATACAGCTTAAATAGTAAAGAGTAACTCTAAAAAATATTCCTCGTAATTTTAAAGTATTAACTCAAATATATCTTTCAAAGAAGATAATATGTATTAAATCTATCATAATGAATTTAAAGAAGATTCTACCTCTTTAAATAATTTTTCTAATAAAAATGGCTTAAATACTTAAAATAATTCAAACTACTTTTTTTCGAATAGCATTTAACTTTAAAAAACAAATTCTGAAAATACTTAAAATTTGATGAATTTAGAGAACGAAGATTAATAAATAACAAGCTTAGATTATCTAAAAAACAAAAAAAATTCTTAAAGTTAATATGGTACTTCTCTTAAATCCTCCCATTATAAAAATATTTTTGAATCAAATGATTTGGCTCAAAAAAAGTTAAATATGTAAAATTAAATAAGCTTTTTACCAAACTAAATTTAGCTTTTGAATACTGCAAATCAACATTAGCAACCTCTTTCTGATAATACATTTTAAATAGATTTATCTAGGTTTAAAAGAAGTCTTACATCAAAATAAACCAATTAATTAGAATATCTGCAAGATGATTAAAACAAATCAGTTTAGCTAAATTCTTACGATTATTAACTTATTGACTAGAAAACAAGCTAAGATAGAAAAAAACATGAAATAAAAAAATAATAATGTAAATCCAGCGAATATATATTTCATTAAGGACTACATGCATGCTTAAAATAGTTTATATTAAATTCTGATGAAAAACTAAGTATTCATCTAACTTAAAATAAATATAAACATTAAAGCAATAAAAAATATGAACTGTAATAAAATTAATAAACTTACTTGATTTATATTACAGACTAATATTTCTAAATCACTAAATAAAATCTAATGAAAGAATTGACTCAGCTACTGATTAGCATAGGTTGTGAATTGTTAATTTTAGTTCTTAATGATACTTTATCGTTTGATGAGAGCAGTGATTTAGAGAATGTATCAATTGATGGTAAATAAATAATTAGCTTTTTCAACACAGAAGAAAAAATACTATAATATATTTATAATAGCAGAGAACATCTAAACAATTACTTAAAGCCAATGGTTATTGAGCATTTTTGAATGATTAAATTATCTCAAAAAACATAGTTATTTATTTATTAGAAATTACTGTATTTTTTTTGTTTAATTAACCCTTTTATTTTTTTAAGACATTTTAATTTATAAATATAAAATGGAAAACTAAAAAAAATAGTTTATGATGGAATTCATTCATTATAAAAAATTACAGTATTTAAATTAGGCTAATAATATTTAGTTTTTAATTTAGATAGTTAAATTATCTAAATTACACTAATTCCTTTTATTTGAGGATAATTTTCTTAGTAATAAATTATTGATAGGCTAAGATGAAAGTAATTAAAAATTAATTTTAATACAAATTCAATTATTTATTTTTAGAATTGTAAAATATATTTCTCAAATTAGAAAGTTAATTAGCAATTATTTAATTATTTAGTTTAAAGAAAAATCTTATTGCAAACTTTGTATTGATAGCATTTAAAAACAATATATGTAAATTCATTTTTAATGCTTTTATTAGCTGATTATTTAATTTTATACATTAAAATATACAGTTTAATGTTGTAATATTGAAATAATTTAACTAAATAAGCATCAACTTTACAAAAGCAAATTGAGTTAATAAATAAATAATTAAATTTGTTTAAATAAAATAAAAAAATGAAATCATTTTTTTAGTTTCTTGCTCATTTATTTACTCATGTATAAATTATAATATAGAAAAAATTAAGAAATAAAAATAATTTAAAATTCCTTTCCATCAAATAAAAACCAACACCACTTTTGAATATATTTTATTTGATATGACTGACATTATGATATATAAATTAATTAAAAATTTTATTCTCAATATTTTATTTTATATGAAAGAAATTAAGTACAATAAATATATTATTAAATAGCTTAAGTTTTAACTTTTGACATTAAAATTTATTAATGATGTTTAATAGTTTGATGAGAGCAGTTTTTTAGAGAATTTATCAATTGATCAAATAAGTTATAAGCTTTTTCTACACAGAAGAAAAAATGCTTTAATATATTTATAATAAAAGAGAGTATCTAAAAAACAACCTGATGCCAATGGTTATTGAACATTTTTGAATGGCTAAATTTTCTAAAATAATCTAATTATTTATTTATTTAAATTAAAATACTTTTTTGTTTAATTAAAGCATTTTATTTATTTTAAGACATTTGAATTTTAAAGTATATATTAACTTTTTTTACAAAAAAAAAAAATTAGTGTTATTATTTAGAAATATTCATCAATTTTAATCAAAATAACTAAAAATTTTGTATTTTATCATACATTGGTATTATCTTTAATTTTTTTTTTTTGAGATTGATATTACTTACCCTGATTTTGATAAGCTTTAATAAACTAGTAAAAATTAAAGAAATAAAAATCACAAGTTTTGCTTTTATTCAAATTATAATGGAAAAATAAATTTGTTTGTAATGGAATTCGTTTTAACAAACTACAGCAATTTAACTAAATTAATCATATTTTTTTTAACTTAGGTACTTAATTTATTTAAATTACACTAATTACCTATTAATTGAGGAGAAATCGCTTAAATATTAAAGATGTTACTGATAGGATAAAGATAACAATAATAAAAATAAATTATCATACAAATTAAAGGATATACTTTTGGAAATGTTAAATAAATTTCTCAAATTAGAAAGATAACTTTCAATTATTTAGTTATCTCAAAGAAAAATCTTATTGCCAACTTCCCAAATATAAAGTTTCTAATTTTGACTATATTTAATCGTATTTTAAAGTTTTTTTATGGAAAATTATAGTAATAGATAGCTAAATTTCAGATTCATTAACATATTTTTGGCTTAAAACAATAAATATTAATTCATTTTTAAAGTTTTTACTAGCTGATAATTTAATTAAATACAACAAAAATTGTTTATTAAATATACAGTTTAGTGTTTTAATGGAGTATATTAAAATCATTTGATAAGTATTAAATTACAGAACAACTTTACTAAAGCAAATTGAATTAGTAATTTATTAAACTTATTTAAATATAATCAAAAGATTAAATCATTTTTCTGGTCTCTTACTAAAGTATAAATTATTATTTATTTATTTTTCAATAGTAAAATATTGAAAATAATATGAAATGAATATAATTTAAAATGACTTTTTAACAAAAGAAAAACCAAGTCCACCTTTTGAGTGTATTTTATTTGATCTAAGCAAAATTATGATGAACGAACACTTTTGATTAAAAATTATTATCTATATTTTTATATTTTGATATTAAAATTGAATAATTTAAGAGTAAATGAATAAAAGTCAAGCTAAATATGTAGATGCTGAAAACAATAAGCCTTCTAACAAAAAATATGGACTTATAAAAAGAAATTAATCCTAATTAATATTAGTCTTTTTAGGGTTATTACCTTCTTTCATATTAATAATATCTACTTTCATTAGTCTGTGGTATTTGCAGCAATAGAGTATGTTAATAATATAGCAATTTTCTGATTAACTATACTAAGATTAAATAAATAGCTCTAAATAACATAACCGTGCAGTTATTTTTTAGATTAATTAGTAAGTTTAAAAGATTCCGTGGTAATTGAGTATAATAAATGAATTTGTAGGGTACTAATTGCTGGGTAAAGTAAAGAATAGCAAAAAATATGTACCTGCTTTACATAATGTTGATAGAACTTATTTAAACAAAGAAAATACTACAGTCATAAAAATGTTTAAGAAAAACCCAATTCTTACTAGCGTTTGGTAAATATTATTTAAAATTATTTTCTTAAATGAAATTATCAAAAATTCTGTTTTCAACTATATGATAGAGTTTGTTTTAAATTCCAATTTCTTTTACCTCTCTTCATAAATAATAAAAATTCTACTTTGTAACAAAGTTAGGAGGGAAAATTTAAAGTCCAATTACTAAAATAGGAAAACTCTACTTTGCTAGTTTTAAATTATTTATTTAATAAAATTATTCATTATTTTAACCATATGGTAAAAAAATTCTATAATTAATAATAGGCATTAGGTTAACAAAGCATATTTATAATAGCTGAATTAAATTGAGCTTTCATAATTATAGTTGCTAACAAAGGTTGACTTTTTATAAAAATCTATTAAATATGATAATTTGCATGAAGTTACAAGATGGATGAAGATAGATAATACAATTATTAACCTTGCTTAAAATGGAAATGGTATTGTTTACATGCTAGGCACAAATAAAACATATTCTACTTACTAACCACCATCTGATTGCCCTTATAAAGGTACTTATAATTTTGATCCTAGATGCAGATATTTCTATTAGCCAACTGTAGGAAACATATCTACTGTTGTCTTTCCTCCTACTATGAACCTCGGAGCAACTGGTCTTTATTATGCAAGTTAATTTTGCTAGAGGAGAGTTAACTTAGGTTCATAAAACTAAAATGATATTTTCTCAATTCTTTGTATAACATTAAATCTACAAGTCTTACCTACTTACTTGTAAAACTTTGGTAATAATTCTAAATATTAGATGCTAGTTGATCCCTAAAGCTTGACAGTAGTTTATAATTCATAAACGTAACTTTAATAATAAGTTACTGTGAATCAAACTGAAACAGGCTACCTTTAAGATTAATCTCAAGCAAATATATTTATACAAAATTTAATTTAAAACTCAAACTATGTCATATTAAATACTAGTTCTTATCAACAATAGTATTCGTTAGATAACAGCTAACAGACATTTGAATATAACAGAAACGGTACTGATTGCCTTGTAATACTAAATGTAATATCAATGGTAGATAAAGTACCAAAAATTGAAAGAAATAGACTTAATAACCCAGCTCCTAAGTTTTAATTAAAGAATGTTTACTTATTTCTAGATGTACTGACAAAAGAAAATTTACAAATTTATGCCACAAATCTATAAAATACTATTTATTTTTATAATTAAATTTTTGCTTACACTAGTTATGGATTAATTTGTATAATTTTAATAATACAATTTTACTACTCGATTATTTTGGGGAAATACATATTAAATCCTATAATCCATCTGACATAAATACTGAGTAAGATAAGAATATAAAATTTAAATCAAACAACAAATTTTGAATTAAAATAAAAAATAACTGAAAAATTATAAACTAGTTATGTAAACAGCAGCTAAATTGTTTTTAATCAAATGTAAACCGATTAAGTTAATCAAATTCTCATAGATGAGTAAATTGATGCTGATTTTGAAGGTTTGTGTCATTCTAGAGATACACAAGATCTTTTGAATAGCTTTCAAGATATGTTTAAGGTACTCAGGTTTACAACTTAAAATTTTTACAAAGAAGATGCCAGCTTGTAGCTTTTGAATCTAATAAAATAAATTCAACACTTCTAACGATTTGGTAATCATAGAGCACTAGGAGTTTGTTATAATAATATGGGAGTGATTCACTATAATTGTGGTAGATTTCAGGAAGCTTCAGAAAATTTTCAGCAAGCTATTATTTATGCAAGTTATGAATTAAATGCCTACTCTCATCATCACCAAGGAGAAACAGTTGAGTTTAGCCAAAGCCTTAAACGATTGACAGCTCATTTAAGAAGTTCGATATAAAATAATTTAAGTCTAGAATTTACTGAAGATGTAAGCAACCTTAATATTTCTATCTGTCAAGAAAAATAAAAATAGAAAAATTAGTATAATCAATTACAAAGTTATCAAGTAGAGCTATACTGGAGTTTATTTAATAGAAAAACAAATTTAATCAAAGCAATGTCTATGTTTATTATAAATAGTAACAATAAACTATGGGATATAATCGAAGATTATGCATATGAAAATATAATAATCAGCTAAATATATTTACCTCCTTCAAATAAAAGGGAAATGATTAATTATTACATTTTATCTAATATGTTGCAAAAATAAAATTCGGATAATGAAGCTATTTAAGTATTAAATAGACTAAACTATTTTTATGTAAAAATATAAGAAAGCAAATATGGAAAATAATCTCAAGAAAATTAAAAATAAATTGATGTAAACACTGCCTAAAGTATTAACAGTTAACAAAAAAGAGAGTTGTATTCAGATATATTCATAAACTAAAGCAAAAATATTTAAATCAGTAATATTAATTAACCCAGCAATAATATGAGCTACAATAATGATACAAACAACTCTTTTATCTTATATTCTCCAATCAAAAAAACGAAATCAATGAGCAAAAAAATAAATATTCAAGAAAAAATAAAAGATAAAGTTTAAAATTTATTTAACCCGCAAAACAACAATTTTCTTAATAAATTATAAATAAATTTTCAAAAAATTAACAAAAATCTTAGTTAAGAAAATGAACCAGATTAAAATAATTAGAAAGTAAATTAATCGAAGTTAAAAAATTCTATTTATGCTTCTAAAAAAAACAAAGGAATCTACAACAATTAAAAGAAATCTATAATAAATGTAAAAGATTCAAATAATAAATTTTTATTAGAAAATGATTTTTGTAGCCATAATATTTCAATAGCAAATAGTAAAACAAATTTATATCCATTTTTATTTTTTTAGGAGGGAAAAGAGAAAAATTAAGATAAAATCACCAATCAGATCTTTTAATAACCTCAAAATAAATTTCTAGCTGATTCATAAAGTTAAAATGAATTCCATAATATTCTTTAGAAATAAAGATTTTCAATCTTAAAAAATATTTTATCACAACAAGAAGTTTCAAAATCATCAAATTAAAAATCAAAAAAATATACAAAGTTTATCCTAAAAAAGAAGGATAGAGCTTATAAAGCTACTGTGTTGGAAAATAATAAATTTATTTTCTACCCAGTGAGAAAACATAAAGATAATGATAAAGTAATAAAATATGAATATAGTTCAGATATTTACTTTCAATATTGCTCAATTGAGCATGCCTCATATTTAATTAAATAATAAAATTTTTATAATGCAGCCGTAATGCTAACTAGTTCTTTCGAGATGTGTTAATATTATTTACCTCATTTAAGAAAAATACAAATGGATATGCTTTTCAATATATTCTAATAATAAAACATAAAGAGCAAAGATTTTGAAATAGCAAATAAAAGATATTCTTAAATGACATCATCTAATTTCAATATTTATCTTATTTCAGCATGCTAAATGTAAAGTGTCAAATTCAAATTATATGCACTTTGTAATGATTTAGTAAATGAAATTCTTTTTAAAGATAATGATAGCTTTGGATTGATTTAATACAGCTTCGAAGAACAAATATTCATGTAGTTAATTGCCTCAACTTAGGTAAAACTTATATAACAAGCTCCATTATTTTTTGAGTAGATTTTACTTTAATTGCTGCCAAAAAAATAAGCAAATCATACATAAAAATTTAAAAACGATAAAATTTAGCTTTAAGAAAAAAATAATCTTGTTTTTCCTTAATCTACAAGTAATTTACCATCATTAAACTAAATTAATGTTCTTTAAGATATCAATTTATAATCGTTTTAAAATTCAAATTTGAATTTAAAAACTGGTTCTATCTTTAGATCAGATAATTACCATTCTAATAAAAAGGCATAAAATTAAAAATCTGACTTAGAATCATTTAATGCCAATGACCTTATCAGCTCATGTTATCCGAATTAGAAGCTGAATTTTGCTAAAAATGAATTTTTAGAATAAATAGAATTAGGCTAGGATACCTCATAAACATCTTTAGAATCTAACATAATACCTAATTAAATTTAATTTTATCAAACTAAAAAAAATATTAAATAACATAATATTACAAAATTGTTAACTTAAAAATATTTCTAAACGATTAGTAATTTGAACTCAACTTTAAAAATAAAGAGTAATTCTCAGAAATAATTCCAATAACCTTAAAGTATAAATAATTCAAATATACCATTCAAAGAAGATAATTTGCAATAAATATACACTTTTATGGATGATGAATTTAAAGAAGATTCTGTTGATATTAAGAATTTACTGAAAAAAAATGGCTAAAATACTTAAAATAATTCAAATAATTCTAGTTGCTACAACATTTAACTTTAAAAATCAGACTCTGAAAACACTTAAAATTTGGTGAATTTAGAGATATAAGAATAAAAAATTACAAGTTTCGATTAACTAAAAAATTAACAAGCTATTTAATGTTAATTTAGCACTTCTCCTAAATCCTCCTATTATAAAAATAGATAATAATCAGTTGATTAGGATCAAAAAAAGGTAAGTATGCATTAATAAAAAAGCTTTTTACCAAACTAAATCTAGATTTTCAATACTTCAAATTAGAATTAGCAACCTCCTTCGGATAACGCATTTGAAATAGATTTATTTATGCTTAAAAGTAGTCCTACCTCTAAATAAATTAGTCCATTAAATTAATTTTAACACTTACATGATGATTAAAATAAATCATATTAACCAAAATCATACTAAAATTAATTTGTTGACTAAAAAGTAAGCTAAGATAGAAAATAACATGAAACGAAAATATAATAATTTAAATCCAGTGAATATGTATTTCATTTAGGAATACATGCATGCTTAAAATAGTTTATATTAAATTCTGATGAAAAACTAAGTATTCATCTAACTTAAAATAACCATAAACAACTCTAAAGCAATAAAAAATATGAACCTTAATAAAATTAATAAACTTACTTGATTTATATTACAGACTAATATTTTTAAATCACTAAATCAAATCTAATGCAAGAATTAACTCATCTGCTAATTAGCATAGGTACTGAATTGTTAATTTTAGTTCTTAATGATACTTTATAGTTTGATGAGAGCAGTGATTTAGAGAATGTATCTATAGATGGCAAATAAATTATAAGCTTTTTCAACTCAGAATAAAAAATGCTATAATATATTTATAATAGCAGAGAACATCTAAAGAACTACTTGATGCCAATGGTTATTGAGCATTTTTGAATGATTAAATATTCTCAAAGAACCTAAGTTTTTATTATAAATTACTGTATTTTTGTGTTTAATTAACCAATTTATTTTTTTAAAGACATTTTAATTTAATATTCAATTACTTTAAACAGGATTTTAATTAAGAAAATAATATTTTATTTCTAATCTAGATAAATTACACTATCTATCTTTAACTTTGATAAAATTTTGCTTAAATAAATAAAGAATTATTGAAAAACTAAAAATAACAATAATTAAAAAAAAATAAAAATATAAATTCATTTATTTTAATATCTAAGTAAATTTTGCCAAAATAGAAAGATAAATAATTAATAAATATTTAGTTAAATTAAAGAAAGCTATTATTGTATACTTACAAAATAAAATTTTTTAAATTTGATAATATTTAATCATACTTGAATCGTATTTTAGAATTTTTTTCTGTGAATTAAAGTCCTTAACTAATTTTCAGTTTCTGGTTAACACATCAATATTATTAATATAAATAAATTAATTCTTTTTAAAGCTATTACTAGCTGATAATTTAATTAAATATGACAAAAGCTATTTATAAAATAATCCTTTTAATTGAGTAATATTAAAATTAATTATTTTATTTATTTAAGTTGTTTTGAGATAATCAAAAATGAAATAATTTTTTCAAGAAAAATATATATTAATATTACTTATTTATTTAGTAATTATAAAAAATACTTATAATTTAAAATTAGAATCCTATTAAAGAATAATCTTGACCGCCTTTGAGTATGTATGAGTGAAAAATTTTCATGAATATATAAAAAATTAATTCGTTAATCAATTATTAAATTTTGATATTAAAATTAAATAATTTAAGAGTAAATGAATTAAGACCAAATATAACATATAATTGATTAAAATAATAAGGCTCCTAATAGATAATATGGATTTTTAAAAAGAAATTATACTCAGTTGATATTAGTTTTTTTAGGATTATTACCTTCTTTCATTTTAATAATATCTACTTTCATTAGTCTATGGTATTTGCAGAAATAGAGTATGCTAATAATATATCAATTTTCTGATTAGCTATACTAAGATTAAATAAATAACTCCAAATAAAATAACAGAGCAGTCCTTTTTTAAATCAATTAATAAATTTAAAAGATTCCATGGTAGTTGAATTTAATAAATGAATTTGTGGGTTACTAATTACTAGGTTAAATCAAAAATAGCAATAAATATATACCTGCTTTAAATAATGTTGATAGAACTTATTTAAACTAAGAGAATACTTCAGTCATAAACATGTTTAAAAAAAACCCAATTCTTACTAGCGCTTGGTAAATATTGTTGAAAAAATTCTTATAAATTAATCTATTTGAAAGCATTTGGTTTATTCTTACATCTTTTCATAAATTATAAAAATTCTACATTGAAAAAAATACAAAGACAAGAGAAGAGAATATAAAGTCTAATATTTAAAAAGGAAAATTCTACTTTGTTATTTTCTTATTAATTGTTTAATTAATTACTAATTTTTTTCAATATTTATTGCACTATATTTAACTATATGATAAAAAACTTTATTTAATTAATAATAGGCATTAGATTAACAAAACGTATTTATATTAGTTAAATTAAATTGAACTTTCTTAATTTTAGTTACTAACAAAGGTTGATTTTTTCTAAAAATCTTTCGAATATGATAACTTAAATGAAGTTACAAGATGGATTAAGATAGATAATATATTTAATAACCTTGCTTATGATGGACTTTCTTATATGCTAGGTACAAATAAAACATATTCTAATTATTAGCCACCAGATGATTGCCCTTATAAAGGTACTTATAATTTTGATTCAAGATGCAGATATTATTATCAGCCAACTGTAGGAAACATATCTACTGTTCTATATCCTCCTAATATTAATGTTGGTCCAGGTGGTGCTTATTATGGAAGTACCTTTTGCTAGAGGAGAATTAACTTGGGTTCATAAAAATAAAATGACATTTTCTCAGTTCTTTGTATAACGATTAACCTGGGAATTATACCTACATACTTTTAAAATTTTGGCAATAGTTCCCTATATTAGATGCTAGTTGATCCATAAAGCTTGAAAGTACTTTATAATTCATAAGCATAACTTTAATAATAAGTTACTGTGATGCAGACTGAAACAAACTACCTTTAAGATTAATCTCAAGCAAATATATTTATAAAAAATTTAACTTAGAACTCAAACTATGTCATATTAAATACTAGCTCTTATCAACTAACGTATTTGTTTGATAATAGCCAACAAACATTTGAATATAACAGAAATGGTACTGATTGTCTTGTTATACTAAATGTAATCTCAATTGTTGATAAAGTACCAAAAGTAGAAATAAATAGATCTAGTAATCCAGCTCCTAAATTTTAATTGAAGAAGGTTTTCCTGTTTTTAGATGTACTTACAAAAGAAAATTTACAAATTTATGCAACAAATCTATAAAATACTATTTATTTTTATAATAAAATTTTTGCTTACACAAGTTACGGATTAATTTGTATAATTTTAATAATATAAATTTACTACACAATTATTTTGGGGAAATTAATATTAAATCCTATAATTCATCTGACATACATACTGAGAAAGATAAGAATACAAAATTTAAATTCAGCTACAAATTTTGGTTAAAAAGAAAAAATAACTGAAAAATTACAAAAAAATTATGTAAACAGCAGCTAAATTGTTTTCAACGACATCAGAACAGATTAGGCCAATTAAATCCTCATAGATGAGTAATTTGATGCAAATTTTGAAGGTTTATGTCATTCTAGAGATACACAAGATCTTTTGAATAGCTTTCAAGACATGTTTAAGGTACTAAGGTTTACTACTTAAAATTTTTACAAAGAAGATTCCAGTTTACAGCTTTTGAATCTAATATCATAAATTCAGCATTTCTAGCGATTTGGTAATCATAGGGCATTAGGAGTTTGTTATAACAATATGGGAGTAATTCACTATAATTGTGGTAGATTTCAGGAAGCTTCAGAAAATTTTCAGTAAGCTGTTATTTATGCAAATTACGAATTAAATAGCTACTCTCATGATCACCAAGGAGAAACAGTTAAGTTTACTCAAAATCTTAAAAGACTGGTATCTGATTTAAGAAGTTCTATATAAAATAATACAACTCTAGAATATACTGAAGATAATGTAAGAAACCTTAACATTTCTATCTATCAAAAAAAATAAAGAGAAAAAAATTAGGATAATTAATAGAAGAGTCATCAATTAGAGCTATACTGGAGTTTATTTAATAGAAAAACAAATTTAATCAAAGCTATGTATATGTTTATTTAAAATAGTAACAATAAACTATGGGATATAATTGAAGATTATGCATATGAAAATATAATAATCAGCTAAGTATATTTACCTCCTTCAAATAAAAGGGAAATTATTAGTTACTACACTTTATCTAATGTGTTACAAAAATAAAATATGGATAATGAAGCTATTAAAGTATTAAATAGACTTAGTTATTTTTATGCAAAAATATAAGAAAGCAAATATGAAAAATATTCTCAAGAAAATTAAAAATAAACTGATATAATCTATACCTAAAGTTTTAACAGTTAGTAAAGAAGAGAGTTTTATCCAAATGATTTTAGAAATTAAAGCAAAAATATGTAAATCAGAAACATTAATTAGTCCAACAATTTAATGAGCTAAAATAATGAAACAAATAACTCTTTTATCTTACATTCTCCAATTTAAAATACCAAATCAAGAATAAAAAAAATAAGTATTTAAAATAAAATAAAAGATAAAATTTAAAATTTATTTACTTCACAAAAAAGTAATTTTCTAAATAAATTTTAAATAAATTTTTAAAAAATTAACAAAAATCTTAGTTAAGAAAAAGAACCAGACTAATATAATTAGAAGCTAAGTTAATTAAAGTTAAGAAATTCATTTTTTTCTTTTAAAAAAAGCAAAGAAATCTATCACAATGAAAAGAAACCTCTTACAAATATAAAAGATTCAAATAATAAATTTTAATTAGGGTATAATTTTTGTAGTAAAAATATTTCAGCACCAAAAAGTAAAACAAATTTAAATCTATTTTTCTGTTTACAGGAGGAAAAAGAAAATAATTATGATAAAATTACCTATCAAATCTCTTAATAACCTCAAAATAATTAGTTAAAGGATTCATAAAGTTAAGAGAAATTCGATAATATTTTATCACAGCAAGAAGCTTCTTAATCACCAAATTAAAAATCAAACAAATAAAATATCATAAAAAATTAGGAAAAAATTAAAGCTAATACATTCGAAAATAATAAATTTATTTTCTATCCAGTGAGAAAGCATAAAAATAACTATAAAGTTATAAAATATGAATATAGTTCAGATATCTTCTTTTAATATTGCTCAATTGAGCATGCTTCATATTTAATTAAATAATAAAATTTTTATAATGCAGCTTTAATGCTAACTAGTTCTTTCGAGATGTGTTAATATTATTTACCTCATTTAAGAAAAATACAAATGGATATGCTTTTCAATATAATCTAAAAATAAAATATAAATAGCATAGATTTTAAAATAGCGAATAAAAAATATTCTTAAATGTCATCATCTAATTTCAATATTTACCTTATGTCAGCGTGCTAAAAGTAATTCAACCAATTAAAATTATATGCAATCTGTAATGATTTAGTAAATGAAATTCTCTTTAAAGAAAATGATAATTTTGGATTGATTTAATACAGCTTCGAAGAATAAATATTCATGCAATTAATTGCCTCAACTTAGGTAAAACTTATATAGAAAGCTCCATTATTTTTTGAATAAATTTTACTTTCTTTGCTGCCAAAAAAGTAAGCATGTTGTGCATAAAAATTAATAAAGGATAAAATTTAGCTTTAACAAAAAAATACTCTTGTTTATCCTTAATCTATTAGTAATTTATTATTATCAAACTATTTTAGTATTTTTTAAGATATAAAGTAGCAATCCTCTTAAAATTCAAATATAAAACTAAAAAATGGTTCAATCTCTTAATCAAAAAATTATCACTCTAATTAAATTGTATAAAATTAAAAACCTGACTAACAATTACTTAATGTTAGAGAACCTATTAGTTTATATATGAATCAGAAGCTGAATTCTGCTAGGGATGAATTTTTAGAATAAATAGAATTAAGCTAAGATTTATCATAATAATCTTTAGAATCTTACACTTTTCCTAATGATATTTAATTGGACAAAACTAAAGAAAATATTAAATAATATAATCTTATAAAAATCTAAAATTAAAAATATTTCTAAACAATTGGTAATTTAAAGACAGCTTAAATAGCAAAGAGTGACTCTAAAAAATAATCCTCATAATTTTAAAGTATTAATTCAAATATATCATTCATAGAAGATAATATGCAACAAATTTATCCTTCTATGGAAAATGAATTTAAAGAAGATTCTATCCTCATAAATAATTAATCTAATAAAAATGGTTAAAATACTTAAAATAATTTAAGAAACTTTTTTTAGAATATCCTTTAATCAGATACTGAAAATACTTAAAACTTAATAAATTTAGAGAACGAAGAATAATAAATAACAAGCTTAGATTATCTAAAAAACAAAAAAAATTCTTAAAGTTAATATGGCACTTCTTTTAAATCCTCCCATTATAAAAATATATATGAATCAAATGATTTGGCTCAAAAAAAATTAAATATGTAAAGTTAAATAAGTTTTTTACCAAAATAAATTTAGCTATTGAATACTTCAATTCAGAATTAGCAACCTCTTTCTGTTAACACATTTCAAATAGATTTATCTAGGTTTAAAAGCAGTCTTTCATCTAAATAAAACAATTTATTCAATTAATTTGAATACCTATAAGATGATTAAAACAAATCGCCTTAGCTAAAATCTTAAGAATTTTAACTTATTGACTAGAAAACAAGCTAAGATAGAAAAAAACATGAAATAAAAAAATAATAACGTAAATCCAGTGAATATATATTTCATTTAGGACTACATACATGTTTAAAATAGTTTATATTAAATTCTGATGAAAAATTAAATATTCATCTAACTTAAAATCGCCATAAACGCTAAAGCAATAGAAAATATTAACCGTAATAAAATTAATAAACTTACTTGATTTATATTACAGATTAATATTTCTAAATCACTAAATAAAATCTAATGAAGGAATTGATTCAGCTTCTAATTAGCATAAGTTCTGAATTGTTAATTTTAGTTCTTAATGATACTTTATCGTTTGATGAGAGCAGTGATTTAGAGAATGTATCAATTGATGGTAAATAAATAATTAGTTTTTTCAACACAGAAGAAAAAATGCTTTAATATATCTATAATAGCAGAGAACATCTAAAAAACTACTTAATGCCAATGGTTATTGAGCATTTTTGAATGATTAAGTTCTCTCAAAAATCATAAGTATTTATTATAAATTACTGTATTTTTGTGATTAATTAGCCTATTTATTTTAATATATTTTAATTTATAATTATTAATTATAAAAATTGACATATTGTGTAAATTAATTTTAAACATAGTTTATATTGAAAGGATTGAGGTATTCTTATATTTTATAAATTATGAGTTCAAATAATTATTAATTGAGTTAAATTTATAAAGAAAGTAAAATGTTTTATTTTAGTTTTCAATTTTAATATTTCATATTTAAGCTGATTCTACCTTTTTCTGAAAATTATTTAATAAATTTATAAATTACAAAAACACATTTTTAATTAATATAAAACAGTTGAAAAGAATAGTCATTAAGAATTATCTGATTTCATAAAATTTGTTAAAAAATATAAAAAATAATTAAAATTGATTGTGAATTTTTTAAAGAAAAACATAACTTTAAATATAAGATATTATTAGCCATAATTTATCGATAGTATTATAATAAATATGCAAACTACAAGCGTTTTAACTAAAAAGAATTTTGCTCCTTTGAAGAATGAAAATGAAAAGCTAAATTTATTTGCAAATTAAGTAGATTAAATGAGAGATGACTTCGAAGATATGAAGCGCTCTAGAGAAGAAGCTAAGAAGTAATTAGAAGCAAAATTTTAAGATGTCCATAGGTAAAATAATTATATTGTCATTAATAATCTTAATATAAATGATAAAATTAAATCAAATATTATGAGTTAATTTAATTTTGCCTTATAAAAACAAAAGAAAGATATAAAATACTAAAGAGTTTATTGCAGCCGAAGGAAAGAGAATTAATGACACTCTTTTGGCTTTTTAATCAAAATTTGAAACTGAAATGAAGAATATAAAAACATATTTCCAAAAGTAACACGACGAATATACTGTTTAAGTTTAGCAGAGATTTGAAAAAGTAGAAGATGAAACAAAAAGATTAGATAAAAAAATAGATGATGAACGTGAAGAACGTTTAAGATAGTCAGATGAAAATCTAAGAGAAATAAGAAAGCAATTAGAGAGTAAATTTTTATTTTAAAATAATTAAACATGATTAATAAGTTTTTAGAGCAAGCCTTAAAATGATCACATAATTAACATATATTTAATGTATTAAATAGCTTTGTTTTCATTATTTGATACTGAAAAAAGAGAAAGAATAGAAAGAGAAAAAGAAATTTTATAAAAGCTCGATGATGAAGCTTTTGCACTTAAAGAAATGCTTGATAAGGAAAAAACTGAAAGAATATTAAAAATTAAGGAATTAAGAAATCACACTGATTTTGAATTAAAGGCTTAATAAAAATTCAATGAAGACTTTCATGCTAAAACTATTGACGAATTTCATCATGTTGTTAACAACATACAAGTAGAAATTGACAATCGTTTCAATCATTAAGATTAAATCATAGATAATCTATCCAAATTAGTTAAAACACTTCAAGACACCCTTAAAGTAATTGGAAAAGATGTTTGATCAAATAATCATTTTAAAATATTTATTATTATTTCTCACTAAAAACCTCTTATTATTCTAATCTATATATCCTCTTTTATTTGAATATTTGACTTTTATGGTATTATATTATAATCTAATCTCCTAATATTTTTAATTTAATTTCATTTTAATTTCATAATTTTATGAATGATATAAAAAAAAGAGAAGAATATTCATCTAATTTGTTAATAATTAGACATGTTTTATTTATGACTAATCTATATTTTATTAAATATTAAATAAATTAAAAAAAGATAAAAACTTACAAAATATTTTATGATTTTTGACAATTTAGATAGATTTTATTCATAAAATAATTTAAAAAATTTAAATTTAATAAAATAGTAATTCTTAATTTGACATATTTTTTATTCCAGTTAATATCTTTATTGATTATATGAAAATTGATGTTATTGAAGTTAATGAAATTTATTTTTAAATTATTTTCATCCTTATTAAAAAATTTATAAGATGTTAAGTGTTAAAAACTATGAAATAAATTTTTTGTACTAAAATGTAATGTTTTATTTATGTAGAAATTTTATTTTATTTTTAAGTTAAAAAATTATGAAAAATATGTTAAATGCCTAAGCGCTACATTATTTTATAGGACTAATTAGTTTAACTTTTTATAATTAATTGATTAAATCATATTGCCTTATAAAATACTAGGGAGCCATAAAATATTCGAAGCGATTTCAAATTTTATTAAATCATATTTTTCTAGTATATTATTTAATATTAATATTCCTAATATTATTAATAATAAAAATGGTAGCTTCTTAAAAGATATTTTCTAAATGAAAGACAATATCTGAAAAGATAAAAAAATTCTTAGAAAAATATAAAGAAATGAAATAATTTGAAGTAGTTTTTGGTATTATTGCTTTGAGGTAGTTTATTTTGAAAAATTAAGTATTATTGAAATTAAAAATGGATGCTTAGGTTTTTTAATTCTTTTGAATAAAATATATTGAAAATAAATGAGTTAAGATTTAAAAAAAATAATAATAGCAATAAATAAAGGGAGATATGATTTTGGTGTTAAAACTTTCAGAAATTTCGAAAAGATATACAAAAAATTTATAAATATCACTTTATGCAAGATCTAAATAATTCAATAATTTTTGTTATCTTCTCAGTACCAAATTCTTTAACTGTATGTATTAGAATTGTAGAAAATTAATATATGCAAATTCTTAAACTTTTGAGCAGAAACTCAAAAAATGCAAGCTTATTTTTGCTTTTGAGCTCATTAGAAAAATCCTTCCATATTAGAACCCATGCTTCCCATAGCGTTAAACATGGCTTGTTCAACTTATTAGATGAGGATGATAATATCAGTGTTTTCAAGTACACTAGGTTATGCCATGATTTGCATTTAGTCTTCTTCTTCAACTTAGTACTCCTTGTAAATGTAATCGTTAATAAGAGTACCCAAGATGACAGGGATCAATTAAACAGTTTCGTTTTATTAGGAGAGCTTTTTGACAATTGATTTAAGAAGTTCAGGTTGTTGTTAAAGAAGGTTGAGTTAGAAAGTTATGATATTTTTAAGGTCATCAATTCCTAAATTTTTGGTAGGTTTAATCTTTTCCTTGATTTTTTGACGGATAGCAGCCTAAAACATGTAAATTTCTTAATAGTGACCCTTTTCCATGAAGGAGATGACAGACTCTTCAAAATCATCATAAGAGATTTCCAATATCTCCAAAATAGCAGTTTAAGCTTTCTTAATAGTGTTTTCAACATCTTCGTTGTATTATAAAACTAATTTTTCGTATTCGTTGATATCAGTATCCATCTTTTCTCTTCTTTCAAATCTATTTTTTAAGGTGAGGTCAACATATTCTTAATCAGCAAGTTCGAGAGAATATTCCATAACTTGGGAGATAGTATTCATGTCGTAATTCTTAGTATCTCCAAGAGTTTTTACTGTAATCTTCTTTGCGATTTATCTTGCCTTTTATAAATATTATGATTCATTAGTAGATCCTGCTTCATCGTCTTATCTTTAGGTTGTTTATTCAACTTTTTCTCCCTTTTAAGTTAAGTAATAGATGAGACCTACAGCAGCGGCAGCAGCAGCGGTCAAACCAACTAATTTCTTATTTTTCTCAAGTAATTAAACTATTTTTTCCATTTTAATAACTAAATTTGTTTATTAATTAATTAATTTATATACTTATTTCTTGATATTTTTTATCTTTTAATTTATTATATATATATTTTAATTTGAGGTATTTGCTTTTTATTTCTTATTTTCCTTAAGTATCTCTTTTTAAAATCATATCAATTACTTTGTTATTTCTTAATAAAAATCTTTCTCTCCTCCCATCACCTCTCCACCATATTGATTGAAATTTCTATTTAGTTCAATACTAACTCCTCTACAACTTGATGACATTTATTTCATACTCTTTTTATTTTTTGTTTAAAAAGCATAAGAAAATAAATAGCTCATCTACTCAATTTTCAAATCAATCATAAGTTATTTGTAATTTTGAAAATACTTCAATTTAAAAATCAACTTTATAATATCCTTTAGTAATCTTTACATATTTATCAATAATTTAAAAAATTTAAATTTATTAATATAAAACTTCAAATTTAAATTTATCAACTAAGCTTATTTTACTTAAACTTTGTTTTAAAACAAAATGTGTATATTTTTTTAATTGATTTATTTGAAAATTATAGAAATTGATGTAAATATTTAATCTTTTTCAACTATAAATCTCTTGAATATTATAAATGATCAACCTCTAAAAGATAAAGCTTAATTTAATTTATATTAAAAAAATTTAATATTTAATTTTAATTTATTTTCCATTTTTTAAATTTATTTTATTACCAATTAAAAATTCCTCAAATTAACTAATTGTAAAAATTTAAATTTAAAAAATTTTATTTTAATAAATTATTCGTTTAATAATAGGGATGGGATGATATGAAGATGTTATTAAATTAATTTTATTTAAACAATATTTTTAAGTGATTGGTTATATAAAAAAAAGTAACATAAAATAATACTTATTTCTTTTAAGATTCACATAAAAAATATTAAAATAATTACCATAATTAATATATTAAGACTTAACTTTTATTTATTTGTTGTGTTGTTTGTTGATGCATTTTATTTATCTTGTATACATTTACCTGTTGAATCAATTGTTAAAAAGCAAACACAGTCATCGGAGATACTACTCTTCGAAAATCCCTATTAAGTGCATGCTATCATATTAGCTGCACAGTAACCTTTTCCCACAGAATCACATTAAGTAGGATATGAGCATATTTAATTACTATTAGTAACAAACCCTAACTAAATACATAAAGTAGGACATTAGCTTTATATTTCTTAGCATTTGGGTACTTTACAAGAAGAGGATTAATTTGAATCCTAAATAAATCCATAATTTGAAATACAATAAGAATCTTTTCCATAACAAATATTTTCATTATAACAGTTTTAATAAGTAGGAGTAGTACATGATAGATCTAAAGAAGATTTAGGTATTAATCCAAATTAGGTCACACATAAAGAAGTAGCCACACACATTCCACTATTAGAGCTATTTAAGCAAGAATCAATTGTTGTTTAAACACAAACACCATCATTTTTTGTAGGGTCTTGTATATATCCTTATAGTTAGCAGGCTACAAATTCTTTTGCACATTATTTACCAGTCAAACAATTAGTAGGAAATTCGCAAAATAATCCTTAATTTGATTTAACAAAACCCATATTTATGCAATATTTGGTTGTTATTGCAGGGTCACAGTTATTTTATGTAGGATCATAACAATCAATTGCAGTAGGAATTTTACATGTAGTTGGATTAGACTAATCACTTATAAATCCTATAAATAAGATCATAAAAATAAATATAATTTAAATTTATTTTTACTTATTTTTAAATACCTTAAAGTGTGCAGGCAGTTATATAAGGTGCACACATTTTTTATCCTAAACAGTTTGTAGGATATTAGCAAGTCTTTTAATTTTACACTTGAACATACCCTTTTTAACTACAAGGACTTTCTTGGTAAGAACAAAGTTATTTTGTTTAATCTAAACACTGTTCATCTGTAGGAGCAATACATGAGTCGCTGCTATCACTCTTTATATAACCCTATTTTTGATATATATTTATTAAAAATGAATAATATTTTTTAACTTCAATTATTTATTTACAAGCAATATGCATGCTGTAATGTTGCTTGCACACATACCTCTTTATGATAAGCAATTATTAGGTACAGTGCATAAATTATTAGTAGGAACACTGATATCTCTTATCCAACCTCTAGAAGGGCAAGGAATATTTCCTTTTCTACAAAGATACAAATTATTCTGGTTCTAATATAATAAACAAATTTTAAATTAAAAAAAAACATTTTTTATTTTCCTTGATTACAATGCATTGATCATCTGTTGGACTTATGCAAGTATCGTCAGTTGGACTCTTTAAGTATCCACCATACAGACCTTATTAAAAATATATGAATGTAAAAAATAAAATAATTAGAAAATTAAATATACATGCAGTAAGATTTGCTCCACATTATGGATTCTATTAGTCTAAGCAGTTTGGTAAAACGCAGAAATAGTCTGTAATCTTATTTTTTACTTGTACATACCCTTTTTATCCACAAATATTTACAGGAAGACCTGGCCTGCAAAGAGATTGTGTGTTGTCTAAACAATCAGCATCAGTAGGTGTAGTACAAGAATAATCAGTAGCAGATGTTACATAACCTTAATACTTGCAAGCTGTTAAATTAGGAGCACATTAGTAACCTGTAAGACAATTCGCTGGAGGTAAGCAGGTATTATTATTTGGATTTTTAACCCAGCCTCTTCCAGTACAAAAAGTTGAGGTAGCAGAGCAAAGCTATAAACCTGTTGATGAAGATGCTGCACAATCATAGTCTTATGGATATTAGCAAGAATCATCAACTTGACTTTTTACAAAACCCTATTTTAATAAAAGATATATAAATTAAAAAGTTTAATAAATAGTAATTATCTAATAAAAATTTGATCTCATTAAAATTAAAAATAAACATTTTTAAAAAACATTTAGATTATTAATCTTCTTATAAAAACTTACTTAAGAAGTGCAAGCTGTAAATTATACGGAGCACCATTCACCTTTAAGACAATTAGGAGACTAACAGGTAAAATTATTAGGTCCAGTGGCAATCCAACCTTTTAAAATGCAAAACGAGTTAGGCACGCATGCAAAAATATTAGAAGTATTCATGCAATCCGAATCTTCTGGAACTATGCATTGATTAGAAGTTCCTTATACGTATCCAAATTTATATTAACAAGCAGTAATAGTAGAAGAACACTGGTTTGATAAGTTAATGCAGTCTTGTTAATTATTATATGCACAAGAGTATTAATTTGGTTGAGTAGTTAATTACCATCCCTTTTAAGAGCAAACAAAAGAAGGCAAACGGCATGCAAATAAATTTTTATTTTGGTCATCACAATCTGCTTCTGTAGGAACAATACAAGTGTTATCAGAATAATTTTTTATCAATCCTTGTGTGTATTAGCATGCTGTTAATCCATAAGAGCAATTAGGTCCCACTAAGCAATTTGAAGGTGAAGTACAAGTATCATTTGAGGAGCTCTTTTGATATCCTATTGATACGCAGTATTAATTTCCAGATTTGCACAAATATAAGTTATTAGAATTCATGCAGTCAGAGTCTGATGGAATTATGCATTTATTTGTTGTTGAATCTGGAGCATAACCATAAACAAATTAGCATACGGACATAGATGGACCACAGTCTGAACCAACAGCACATGTGCTTGGTGGTACACAGTAGTCATTAACAGTATCTTTTACCCAACCAAAGCTTTAACAGAGAGAAATTAGAGAATCAGAAGAGCATTAATATTTATTTAATGTTGTATTACTACAATCATAATTGCTTGGTGTTACGCATTTATTATTACTAATGCTCTTAACATACCCCAGCTTGTAGCAAACTATCTTTGTAGTACCACATTAAAAACCTGTAGTGCAACTAGCAGGAAAAACGCAGTTATTACCTGAAGATGATTTTACAAAACCAATGTTGAGACAATTTTATTAGTAGATACCTGTTCTGCACAGTTATGTATTTTATGGATTTTTACAATCATCATATTATGGGATCATACATTAAAAATTAGTTGATGAAGTTGGTATATATCCATTATAAAGACAAGCTTAGGAAGCCTAATTGCTGCCACATTACTGCCCAGATAAGCAATTACTTGGTACTTGGCATTAACCAGCTGTAGAACTATTCAAAACATAACCTAACTAAGTGCAGAAAGGATTACCTGTACGGCATACATATAAGTTTGCTGAATTGAGGCAATCAACAACTGTCGGTTAAACACATTAATTCGAAGTAGTGCTTTGTATATATCCAAAATAGTAAAGACAAACTACTAGTCCAGAAGCACATTAATTATTTATGGTACAATCAGTGGGTAAAACACATGTGTCGTTTACTTAGCTTTTGAAAAAACCTAGATTTGTACAATATGTATTACCTACTTTGCATGCATATAATTAGGTATTATCATTGCAGGTATTAATATCAGGAGCCACACAAGTATTGCTAGAGGAATTTTTTATTAAACCAAAAGTAAATTAGCAAGCTGATTTACCAGGGGCACAGTCATTTACCCCTGTGCAAGAAGTAGGTAGATTACAACTATTATTTGTTGATGATTTAATATATCCTTTACTAGTACAAAAAGTTATATCAGCCCTGCATAAAAAAGGATTATTTACTGTATCAGCACAATCGTAATCACCAGGAACAACACATATATTATTAGTGCTTGAAAGATATCCAATATATTAGCCTTTTATATTTTATTTTTTTTAGAATGAAAAGAATAAAAATAAAACAAAATTGAAAATAAATAAAATATTTTATTAGAAATGATTATATGAAATATATTTAAAATGAGTTTAAATTTATAAATTATTTTGTGTCAATATAATTCTAATTACTATTTCAATAATGTAAGAAATATTTTAAGTAAATAAATAATTTAAAATAAATATTATTTAGTTGGTAAGTTGGTTAATTAAAAATATATTTAATAATTTATTTACATGCTGTTAATCCATTTCCACAATATGGCTAATTTAAACAATAAGATGGAGCAACACAGTAAAAAGAATTTTAAACTGAAGTTTATATAATCCATCCTCTGCTAGTACAAAATGTAATATCAGAGCGGCATAGATACGTATTTGAGGTATTAAAGCAATCAGAATCCGAAGGCACAACGCAGTTATTTCCTGAAGAAGATTTTATATAGCCTATTTTCAAATTTGAAAAACAGATTTTAAACTATTTTTGAGAGAATAATAATTTACCATAATATTAGCAAGCTGTATATCCTGATTAGCATTAGTTTCCTGATAAGCAATTGGAAGGTACTACACAAGAAAAATTTGTTGAACTTACTGCTAGCCAATTTTACTACCTACAAGCAAATGTACTTAGTCTACATGCAAATATATTAGTTTAGTTAGAGCAATCAGAATCTATTTAAAATAATTTTTCTTTTATATATATAATATCTTAAACTAAAATACCTGTTGGTTAAATGCATTAATTAGTGGTAAAATCATTGACTAATCCATAAACATATTAACAAGCTGTCAGTCCCTATTAACAACTATTATTGGATTAGCAATTAGTTAATGTTGGTGCAGTACAATAATATTAATTAGTTGCTGTTGTTTAAATATAACCCATAAGCATGCATGTATTACTTGATTAAGCGCATGCATACTAGTTACTTTATAAAAGACAATCTGAATCAGTTGGAGTTATGCAAGTCCCTGGGTTAGTTGTGCTAGAAACGAACCCTAAATAAATATTTCAATAAATAATGATAAATAAGAAAAAAAATTTTTAATTTACCTAAATATGGGCACGCAGTCTATCCTGAATTACAATAAGAAGAATTCAAGCAATTACTTGGAATAGAACACGTATATTTATTAGCATTAATATTTTTAGGCCAACCTTACTTCTAACAAAAAGAATTAGAATTCTAACATGCATAAATATTATTTGTATTCACACAATCAAATGCTATTTTAAAAGTAAAAGTGTATTAACAAATTAATTTTTTCAAATTATATTTTACGAGTTGGAATAACACAGTCATTCGAAGACTAGCTCTTGACATATCCATATAAATATTAACATGAAGATTGCTAGTATTAACAATAATTTAATCCCGTATTAGTACACTAAGCTTAGAGAATAGGTATGCAATACAAATTTGAAGTGCTAGCAACAATCCATCCATAAACATTACAGAAATTTGTAGTTTAAGCACAAGCGTAAATATTTGAAGTGTTGCTACAATCTTAAGTTGTTGGAATTTTACAGCTATTATTTGAACTGTTCTTAACATATCCTAATTTATTTAAATTAAATGATAAATAATTTTTATAAAATTTATAAAAAAATAATTTTTAAATGAAGTTTTTGATTGAAAAATTTATTTTTTTTAAATGCCATAAAAAGAAAAATACATTAACTTCTTTTTAAAATAAAAAAAATTAAAAAATTTACCTTAATATAAGCAAGCTGTATATTGAGATGAGCAGGCACTACTATTAGTTGAACAATCTGTAGGTAATACACAACTACCATTTGAATTACTCTTCTTGAAATATAACTACCTGCAATAAGATGTTGCTGAATTACAGCTGTAAATTTTAGTTGAATCAAGACAATCAGTAGCTTTATTAGTTAGATAAAATATTATTAACTATTATTAAAAAACTATAAATTTTACTAGATGGTGCCAGACAGTTTCCATTTTGATCATAGTTAAATCCATATTAATACACACAAGCTGTTTCATTTGAACTGCAAGAAGGAGATTACTAGCAAGTGCTTGATGATGGAGGAACACAGTAAAAATTATTAGCATCTTTTTACCATCCATATAGAATACATTAGTTTGTAGACTAAGCACATGCTAATGTATTAGCTTGATTTAAACAATCTGATTAAGATGGTACAATACAATCATTAGAATTTTGACTTTTAACAAAACCTAATATACAAATAATTAAAATATCAGATTAAGAAAAATAATAATTTATACCCTAAACTGTACAAGATTGGTATGAAGGCGAACATAGACCTGCTCCTACTTGTCCACAATTTGATGGCACTTTACAAGAGTCATTTGGTGTATCTTGTTAAAAATTTATTTATCTACAGTAATGGGTTGCCAATCTGCACCCATATATACCAGCCAAATGCTAGCATTAATAACCTAATTATAAAAAAATGTTTAAAACATTATTTTAGAGAATTTATTACTATTTGGAATAGAGCAAATATTATTAGAATTTACTAATCCATACAAAAAGGAACATGCATTTCCATCATTTAAACATTATGAAGAACCTTAACAAGCACTTAATGTGGGTGGATCACAATAATAATTATTTGAATTACTATTTTTAACCCATCCAAATTGTTAAACACAATAATTAGTTAAAAGAGCACATGCATATAAATTAGTTTATTATTAGCAATCATAAGAAGTTGGTTGTTAACAGTTATCATTTGAAGAGGTTTTAACATATCCTAATTTATTTATTTTTTTTAAATATTGAAAAAATACATTTTTTAATTAATAAAAAAACCTTAATAAGTGCAAGAAGTGTAAGCCGCAGCACACATATTTAAATCTGTAAGGCAAGTTGTTGGAAGTGTGCAAGTTTCATTTGATTAATTCTTCAAGAAGTTTTATTATCCACAAAGAGTTGTTTAATCTCTACAAGCGTAAATATTTTAAGTATTTAAGCAATCAGCAGCTAATAATAAAATATAATATAGATATAAAAATAATTTCAAAAATTTTAAATTACGGTATGGTTAACTACAAATATTAGATGATTTTATAACAAATCCATAATACCAAACACAAGCTGATTCATTTGATGTACAATGTGAGCTTCCTGTACATGAAGCTATACTTGGAGGATTACAGAACTATTATGTAGTGTCTTTGACCCAACCATATTAGGCTACACACATATTTGTTGACAATGCACAAGCATAAGCGTTAGATTATTTGCTACAATCTGAAGATAATGGATTAACGCAATTATTACTTGAAGTGTCTTTGACATATCCTTCAAAATTTAATAAATATTTAATATTTAAAGCTTGAAATAGAAATTATACCTTAATAAGTGCAAGAATTATATCCTGGAGTACACAATCCAGGATCTGTTAAACAAGTTGTAGGTAGGGTACATGATCCACCTGAGCTTAACAAAAAGTTTTATTATCTACAAAAAAAGCCATCTAATCTACAAGTATAGATGTTTGAAGTATTAACACAATCAGAAGCTTTAGAAATAAAAAATACTTAAAATTAAAAGAGGTTATTAATTTATTTACGCTAAGGAATGTCGCATTTACCATTAGTGTTATTAATATATCCATATAACCATACACATGCTGATTCATTATAATTGCAATTTGAAGTATCAAAACAAGAACTCGAAGTTGGGGCTACGCAATATGAAAATGTTGAATCTTTAATCCATCCATATTTATTTACACAAGTATTAGATGACATAGCACAAGCATATATATTTGTTTGATCTGAACAGTCTGAAGATAGAGGTTCAATACATTAATTGCTTGTAGTACTTTTAACAAATCCTATATTTTATTTGGTTTCATAATTTTCAAAAAAAAAATATAGTTATACCTTAATATGTGCATGAAGTATAACCAGGAGTACATTTATCTGAAGCTGAAAGGCAAGTAGTGGGTAATTTACATGTGTAATTAGGGCTATTTTGTTCAAAATTTTACAAGCGACAAAAAAAATTTGATGCTCTACAAACATATAAATTGTTGCTATTTATGCAATCAGAAGCTTTTATAATTTAAAATGTTAAAATTATTTTATTATAATTAATATTAATTACGAGCAGGTGTATCACAAACGCTACTAGAATTATTTATATATCCATAAAGCCAAACACAAGCTGATTCACTCTAACTGCAATTGTTCGTACCTTAACACTAAGCTGAAGTAGGAGGAGTACAATATGAAGAATTTTAATTAATCCATCCATATTATTGAACACAAATATTTGTTGAACGAGCACATGCATAAAGATTAGACTGTTTTTCACAATCTGAAGAAAGAGGAGCTACACAATTATCGCTTGTTGCATTTTTGACATAGCCTAATTTTATAAATGTAAAATCATATATTTATTTTATTAAAAATGTCTTACCTAAGTAAAGACAAGAAGTATAACCCGAAGCACACATATTCTAATCAGTTAAACAAGTTGTAGGAAGATCACAAGTGCTGTTTGAGTTATTTGATTAAAAGTTTTATTATCTGCAAAAAAAGTTTGAGTTTCTGCAAGCATACAAATTACTGCTATTTACACAGTCAGAAGCTTTAAAAATTCAATAAAGGTTAGTTATTTATATTCTAATAATTTTAAAAATATTACGTGAAGGAATATCGCAAACACTATTAGAATTATTAATATATCCATATAACCAAACACAAGCAGATTCACTTTAGCTACAGTTATTAGTGCCCTAACATTAAGCTGAAGTAGGAGGTGTACAAAATGAAGAATTTTAATTTAGCCATCCATATTATTGAACACAAATATTTGTAGATAAAGCACAGGCATAAATATTGGACTATTTTTCACAATCTGAAGAAAGAGGAGCTACACAATTATCATTTGCTGTACTTTTTACATAACCTAGTTATCAATTAGTTAAAATTAGATAAATTTATCAAATATTACTATCTTACCTTAATAAATACAAGAAGTATAACCAGAAGCACACATATTCTAATCAGTTAAGCATGTAGTAGGGAGAGCACAAGAACTATTCGAATTATTCACTTAAAAGTTTTATTATCTACAAAAAAAAATTGAATCTCTACAAGTATATAAATTACTACTATTAACACAGTCAGAAGCTTTTGAAATTTAATAAAAATAAGTTTTTATTCTAAATTAAAAAAAAATTACGTGAAGGAATATCACAAACTGCACTAGAGTTATTAACATATCCAAAAAGCCAAACACAAGCGGATTCACTTTAGCTGCAATTGTTAGTTCCTTAACATTAAGCAGATGTTGGAGGAGTACAATATGAAGAATTTTAATTTAGCCATCCATATTATTGAACACAAATATTTGTTGTTAGAGCGCATGCATAAAGGTTTGATTGTTTTGCACAATCTGAAGAAAGAGGAGTTACACAATTATCACTTGTTGAACTTTTTACATAACCTAATTTTCAATATTTTAAAATAAAAGAAATTTACCAAAGATATCTTACCTATATAAAGACAAGAAGTATAATCCGAAGCACACATATTCTAATCAGTTAAGCATGTTGTAGGAAAAGCACAAGAGCTGTTTGAGTTATTTTGTTAAAAATTTTATTTTCTGCAAAAAAAATGTGAATCTCTGCATGCATATATATTACTACTCTCAGCACAATCAGAAGCTTTATAAATTTAATAAATATTAATTATTTTATAAATAAATTAAAAAAAATACGTTTAGGAATATCACAAACACCACTAGAGTTATTTATATAACCGTAAAGCCAAACACAAGCAGATTCGCTTTAACTGCAATTGTTAGTACCTTAACATTAAGCTGAAGAAGGAGGAGTACAAAATGAAGCACTTTAATCTTGTATCCATCCATATTTTTGAACACAGATATTTGTTGTTAAAGCACATGCATATAAGTTAGATTAATTTTCACAATCTGAAGAAAGAGGAGTCACACAATTATCATTTGTTGAGCTTTTAATGTATCCTATTTTTATTCAAATCAAAAGTTAAAGAAATTTAACTTATGTTTCTTACCTATATAGAGACAAGAAGTATAACCAGAAGCACACATATTCTAATCAGTTAAGCATGTAGTAGGAAGAGCACAAGAACTATTAGAGTTATTCACTTAAAAGTTTTATTATCTACAAAAAAAACTTGAATCTCTGCAAGTATATAAATTACTACTATTAGCACAATCAGAAGCTTTTGAAATTTAATAAAATTTAATTATTTTTTTAATATAAATCTTTAAAAATTACGTTAAGGAATATCACAAACACCACTAGCATTATTAATGTATCCATACAACCAAGCACAAGCAGACTCACTTTAGCTACAGCTATTAGTACCCTAGCATTAAGCTGAAGTAGGAGGGGTACAAAAAGAAGCAGTCTAATCTTTGATCCATCCATATTATTGAACACAAATGTTTGTTGCTTGAGCACATGCATAAAGATTGGATTAATTTGCACAATCTGAAGAAAGTGGAGTTACACAATTATCACTCGTTGAACTTTTTACATAACCTAATTTTAAATATATTAAAATCAAATTAATTTATAAAAAATTTTATTACCTAATTCAAGACAAGAAGTTAAACCCGAAGCACACATATTCTAATCTGTTAAGCATGTAGAAGGAGGAGTACAAGAGCTGTCAGAGTTATTTGGTTAAAAATTTTATTATCTGCAAAAAAAGTTTGAATTTCTGCAAGCATATAAATTACTGCTATTCTAGCAATCGGAAGCTTTTTAAATTTTATAAAAATAAGTTTTTTTTTCCTAAAATTTATAAATAAATTACGTTAAGGAATATCGCAAACACCACTAGAGTTATTTACATATCCATAAAGCCAAACACAAGCAGATTCACTTTAGCTGCAGTTGTTAGTTCCCTAACATTATGCAGATGTTGGAGGAGTACAATATGAAGAATTTTAATTTAGCCATCCATATTATTGAACACAGATATTTGTTGTAAGAGCACATGCATATATATTAGTTTGTTTTTCACAATCTTAAGAAAGAGGAGTAACACAATTATCGCTTGTTGTACTTTTTACATAACCTAATTTTTAATTAATAAATATCAAAGAATTTTTAATTAGACTTTTTTACCTATATAAAGACATGAAGTATAACCAGAAGCACACATATTCTAATCAGTTAAGCACGTAGTAGGAAGAGTACAAGAACTATTTGAGCTATTCACTTAAAAGTTTTATTATCTACAAAAAAAGCTTGAATCTCTGCAAGCATATAAATTACTGCTGTTTGCACAATCAGAAGCTTTAAAATTTAATAAAATTTAATTTTCTATTATAATTTTTAAAAATAAAATACGTTAAGGAATATCACAAACACCACTAGAATTATTTATATATCCATATAACCAAACACAGGCAGATTCACTTTAACTGCAGTTATTAGTGCCTTTGCATTAATCTGAGGTAGGAGGGGTACAAAATGTAGCACTTTAATCTTTTATCCATCCATATTATTGAACACAAATATTTGTTGATTGAGCACATGCATATGTATTAGATTATTTTTCACAATCTGAAGAAAGAGGAGTAACGCAGTCATCAGTTGTTGCACTTTTTACATAACCTAATTGAAAATATTTAAATACCAATCAGAAATGTATTATCCAAACTTTTTTACCAATATAAAGACAAGATGTATAACCCGAAGCACACATATTCTAACTAGTTAAGCACGTAGTAGGTAGACTACAAGCACTATTCTAGGTATTTGGTTAAAAGTTTTATTATCGGCAATAAAAATTTGAGTTTCTGCAAGCATATAAATTACTGCTGTTGGCACAATCGGAAGCTTTTGTAATACAAAGATAATTTTATTTATAATTTATAATGGTTAATTAATTACGTTAAGGAACATCACATACTCCACTAGAATTATTAATATATCCATATAACCAAACACAAGCAGATTCACTTTAACTGCAGTTGTTAGTTCCCTAACATTAATCTGAAGTTGGAGGAGTACAATATGAAGCATTTTAACTTATCCATCCATATTATTGAACACAAATGTTTGTTGGTCGAGCACAAGCATACATATTTACCTGCTTTTCACAGTCTGAAGAGGTAGGAATCACGCAATTATCATCTGTTGCGCTTTTAATATAACCTAAATCAAAATTAGTAAAAATGAAAAATAATTAACAAAATTATCTTACCAATGTATAGACATGAGCTATAACCTGAAGCGCACATATTCTAACCAGATAAGCATGTAGTAGGAAGAGCACAAGCACTATTTGAGTCATTTGGTTAGAAATTTTATTATCTGCAAAAAAAATTTGAATCTTTGCAAGCATATAAATTACTATTGTTTGCACAATCAGAAGCTTTTTAAGTTTAAAATAATGTAGATATTATTTAAATATAATTTTTTAAAAATTACGTTAAGGAATATCACAAACACCACTTGAGTTATTAACATATCCATAAAGCCAAACACAAGCTGATTCACTTTAGCTGCAATTATTAGTTCCCTAGCATTAAGCAGATGTTGGAGGAGTACAATATGAAGAATTTTAATTTAGCCATCCATATTATTGAACACAAATGTTTGTTGCTAGAGCACATGCATATATATTCGTCTGCTTTTCACAATCTGAAGAAAGAGGAGTGACGCAATTATCATTTGTTGTACTTTTTACATAACCTAATTTTAAATAAGTAAATATCGAAGAAGTATAAGTTAGGATTTTTTACCTATATATAGACAAGAAGTATAACCGGAAGCACACATATTCTAATCAGTTAAGCAAGTAGTAGGAAGAGTACAAGAACTATTCGAGTTATCCGGTTAAAAGTTTTATTATCTGCAAAAAAAACTTGAATCTCTACAAGCATATAAATTACTATTAACCACACAATCGGAAGCTTTTGAAATATAAAGAGATAATTTTTTTTCTTTTAATTTTGAATAGTTAATTACGTTAGGGAATATCACAAACACCACTTGAATTATTTATATATCCATATAACCAAACACAAGCAGATTCACTTTAACTGCAGTTATTAGTACCTTTGCATTAAACTGAGGTAGGAGGGGTACAAAATGCAGCACTTTAATCTTTTATCCATCCATATTATTGAACACAAATACTTGTTGATTGAGCACATGCATATGTATTAGATTATTTTTCACAATCTGAAGAAAGAGGAGTAACGCAGTCATCTGTTGTTGCACTTTTTACATAGCCTAATTTTAATTTTATCTAAATTAGAAAATACTTCAAAAAATTATTTTAACCTTAGTAAAGGCAAGAAATATAGCCAGTAGCACACATATTCGAACCAGTTAAGCATGTAGAAGGAAGAGTACAAGTATTACTTGAACCATTTTATTTAAAATTCTATTACATGCAAAATGTACTTAAATTGCTGCATGCATATATATTATTTTAGTTCAAACAATCAGAAGCTTTTAAATAAAAAATATATTACAACTTATACTAATTTTAAGTTAATTACGTTAAGGTTAATCGCAAATATTATTTGAATTATTTATGAATCCATAATAATAAACACAAGCATGTTCATTATTAACACAATTTTAACTTCCTTAACAAGATTATTATGTTGGTGGATTGCAAGTGAATGAATTTGTTTCTATAACCCATCCAAATGAATTTACACAAGTATTTGTAGGTAAAGCACATACATATTTATTCTACTTGTTGTTGCAATCAGATTAGGTTGGAGTTACACATGCGTTACCATCTGAATTTAACACATACCCTAATATAAAAAACAATTTTTTTGATTCAATTAAAATTATGAAGAATAAAATGAGTATAATAATAAAGTAAATAAGAGATCTCACAGTAAGGAATACTTAAAATTGAATTTATTTCATTTTTTTATGAATAAATAATTCCCTTTATAAAAAAAAAATGATATTTTTTAATTTATCATGTTATAGAAGGATTCAGAGCCTAACGTTAAAAAGTTATTAAATTATTTTGATATACTTCACGCGTTAGTATTATAATTAGAAAAGAGATTCTTTGCTTTAATCAATGTAAATCTATTTAATAATTATAATTACCATTAAATAGACATGCAGTTTAAGTTTACTAACATTTATCCTTATTCAAGCAATCAGTATCTATAATACAAGAACTATCTGTACTATTTTTCACCCAGCCTTAAATACTACAAAAAGAACTTGAATTTGCACAAGTATAGGGAAATAAACTATTTTTGCAGTCTAATGGACCTGGCTTTTTACACATCTAAGAATCAGTATCTTAAATATACCCATATGCATATGCACAAGCATCAGAGTTTTAAGAACATGATCCTGAAGTTGTAGTGCAATAGCTCTAAGAAGGGGCATAACAACTGTAATCATTATTTTATACTCCTTACAGCCAACCATTAGTAACACAAAAGCCTGTTGCAGAATAGCAGGCATAAGAATTAGAATTTTTATTACAATAATCTAATGTTGGTGTTGTGCAGTCTCCATTAGAGTCAGGAACGTAACCTAAATATAGACCTTTTAGATTATTTATTTTAAAAAATATTATAATAAAAGTTTTTAAAGTAGAAGTTTAAATTTCAGTATCCTTTTAAAAAATATATTCATTTTTATCTCTAAAAAAACTATGTTTTTATAGAGTAATCAAACAATCATTTTATTTCTTACACTTTGTCAAAGGTAATTAGCAGTTTCCTGTGGTTGAACAGTCATCTACTGATATACATTAGTTTGAAGAATCAGATTTAGCAAAACCTCTAATTTAGCAAACATAGTTAGTAGAAGCACATAAATTTCCATCACCTACTGAATTATTAGCACATTCATCATCTGTCGGTTTATGACAATCTCCACTGCTTGAAATTGTTGTATATCCGTATGCCAAGCATCTTGTTTTATCACCAGTGCAATTTGCGGAGTTATCCTATAAGCACTCGCTCTCATTTGGATCTCTACATGCTCCAGAACTAGAATCAGTAATATAACCTACGTTAAGACAATCTGACGTGCACGCAGAATCAGAAATGCACGTATCTGAAACTACTAACTTCAGTAGGGCTAAAAATAAAACATTAAAAAGAATAGATATTTTCATCTTACAATTCTATGATAATTGTTAAAATAATTAAAAGGAATTCTTTAATATTATGAATGATTATGATTAATCAAAATTTTTGTTTCTTTTGTTATTCAACTATTACAATTATTATTAAAAAAGAATGGGTTTATTATTTTTTTTAGATTATTCAACCTAAAATGCGTTAAATATATAAAACAGTAACAAGAACTTCATTTTTAAATAAAAAAATTTATTGTATCTAGATTTATAATCTTATAAACTCATTTAATTGTATTTTCCATTTACTTATTTTAATAAAAGTTAATGATTTGGTTGATTTATTGACATAACTTTATTTATCATATAAAAATAACATTTTTTAATTGGAGCCAATTAGCTTAGAAATTTAAAAAATTTAGTTATTTAAAATCTCTACTTTCATTTTGTCAATCATTGAATAGAATAAAAAAATTTTAAAACATAAAAATATTTGTAATTTAAATTAGTTGTCCTTCTGATTTAAAATCTTTTAAAAAATAAATATAGATATTTTTCTAGTTTTAACTAAAACCTTGTTTTAAAATTACATTAATAAATATTTTTAACCTTAAATTTCAATAACTTTTATAAATCAAAAAGAAAATTTTAATTTTATTGATATAGACAAATGAATTATAAAAATGTTAACTCCTTATAAAAATCATGTTACTTTATAACTGATCCTAACTTAGTTATTAATCAAATTCGAAAAAATTTATTCAGTATCTTTTAATTATAATAAACATTACTACAGTATTAATAAATAAATTCGATTATTAAGAAGTAATGTAAATTTAAAAAAACTAGGTATTAATTGTTTAAAATTAATTCAGAAATTTAAAAAAAGGTAATAAATTTTTTGTAACTAATATTTAAAATTGTTTTTATTAAATTAATAATTTCTAATATTGTGAGCTATTTTACACAGTAAAATTCTTCTCAAATTCGAGAAACAAATGTTTTGATATTATTAAACCTACTTTATATCAAAAAAATTTAAAAAAAAATAATACCTAAAGTCTTTTATGTGAATGTAGTGATCTTAATAATAATCTGTTTATTTTATGGATAAAAAAAAATCCTATCAAATCTTAGTTTACAGATGGAGTTGTACTTATTTTATGAGGAATTATAGTATTTATATTAAAAGTAAAATTATAAAAATCAAAGATTAAATATTTTTATTAAATCTATATATTTTATGTTAAACTAATTTACATAATATTTTTTCATTCTTTCTTTTTAAAAAATTTTCAATAATAAATTATAAATTTTTATAGCACTTTTTGGCGCTTTTGCTCAAAATGTAATTATCAAATTTAATTAATAGCTATCAAAAATGATATTTTAACTCTTAATCTTCTTTTTAAACACATAATTTTACTTATTTTTTACATTTGCAATTATTTAAAATGATAAATAATATTAAAAAAATATAATTTAGACTTGATAAATATATTTTTTGTCAATATCAAATAAGTGATTTTTTTATTAAACTTAATAAATAGTTTTTTTAAAATAAATTATAACTAGATATTTAAAAAAATTATTTTTAGTCAGATTTAATTTATTTAACTTTTAGATCTCTTTTTAGTTTTTACAAATTAAGTATTTGATTATTCAAAATTTTGTTTAAGAGGATCATTTTTTCGTTAAGCATATTCTTGCTTTTTTATTTCAGTTGTGTAAAAAAACTATTCTCTAATAGGTCCTTGCTCTGTGTATACAAAATAAACTTTTGAATCTTGTTCTAGATCTTCAGATTAAATTTCTTTAAGGGAAACTTAACTTTCATCAGATCTTCTCATATATTTACCAGTCAAATTTTGAATAGGATATACCCAATTTTGTTATTCTTCACTATACATAGCTTTCTCCTAATTTTATTTAATGATGAAAATAAGACTAATATTAAAAAAAAATATTTACTGATAATCTTTTTAATTCTTTTTAAGGAATGAAATAATCTAAGATAAATCTTTTTAATTTTAATTCTTTCTGTAAGTCTCTGTAACTTTCTTATAGCTAGTCTATTTCAGAAACATAAAATTCATCAATATCTTTATTTTATTATTAAATTTAGCACAATCTATCAAATAAAAGATTTATTCTTTTCTATTTTTCTTATTTTTCTTCAACTTGGTTCTTAAATTTCATGTTTATCTCTAATATAAAATCTTCATTTTATTAGATTTGTAAAGCTGCTTAGCGATCTCTTTCATTTGCTTATTGCAATTCTTTATTCAGTTATCTTTCGTTTTCAAGAACTCTCTACATAGTTTCTTCTCCTTGTATTACTTTATGTTACATTTTCTAAAGTTTACCAAGTAGTTTTTATTATTGCTATTTTTATTATTGCTACTTTTGTTCTTTTTCCTGAAGCTAATAAATAAGCTGCTACTTTTCTTTTTCCTGTAACTACTTATCTTCTTCTATTTTCTTTACTTCATTTTCATAGTTATTTTCAATATCAGATTTTTGTTATTCAAGTTTTTGTTTCAATTTTATAATTTCTTCGTCATCATATTTAAAAACAATTTTTTCTATCTAATAAATATTAAGTTTATTAAATCTTAAAACTATTTTCTTTTTAATAAAAAAATATCTGAATTACCTTTTTAACTTCAGCATTCATATTAAAATCTCCTCCAGTTTCAAGTAAACCTGATAACTACTATTTTAAGCTAGATATTTCCTCTTAAAATTTTCTTATCATTGCTTATTTGGGATCCTCGTTAATTTAAGCATGATTTTATATTGATTTCGCTCTGTGAGCATATCTTAAAGTAGATATTGTTTCATCTTAGTTATAATCAGCAGGACCTGTTAAAAAAAAAAGTACACACAATTTATAAAAAATATTAAAAAGTTAATAAAAATTCTTTTAAAGGAAAATTTATAAAATAAATGGTTTGATTAAACTTTCGCTATTTCAGAAAGAAATTATTTTTGTAAAATTAAAGATTATATTAAGAATTTTAATAATAAATTTTAATTTGTTATGTTTTATTTTAAATCGCTTGTTACCAATATTAGCGATCATCACAGTTTTGGTGTTGCCACCTAGAGAGTCTTAAAGAATTCTAGTCAATTTAGAATCTCTATATGGAATATGAGAAGCTTTAGGATCGATGAGAGAGGAAATAACATTACCTAAAGTAGTTAAACTTAAGTTAATATATACTCCTTCTTTAAAACGAGAGCCTGTTGCTTGAGTTTTACTTTAACGTTCAGATCCAGCGAGGTCAACTAAATTTAACTTACCTACTTTAATATGGTTTTCCCCATTCACAACATCGCACCTCTCAATAGTTACAGAAAGGATAGAGTGAGAACGAGATGAACATGAACTCATTTTAGTTTAACCAACTTTACGATTCAAAATACCTTGCTAAAATTTATCATTTAATTCCTATTCATTTTAAACTAAAAAACTAGTTAAATCTTTCACAAAGACGCCAGTCTCTGCTTTTTCTCTTAATTCTAATTTTTTATTCTTGGTGGAAAGCAAGTCTTAAATCTCTTCATTATATAATTCAAGAAAACTAACATGTACTAAAAATTAAGTGTTTGGCGAGCCTTTAATAGAGTGGAAAATATGTTCAAAAGCCCTAGGAATGATACCTCTTTCATTAATTGGCTCATTTCTCCCTTAAATAGTATGCGTTTTTCCAGTACCAGTTTAGCCATAAGCGAAAATTGTTCCATTGTAGCCTTCTAAAACGCTCTCAACAATAGGGTAGGCAATACATTTATACACAACCTCTTATTAAATATCAGGTTCGAAAACTTAGTCAAATGCAAAAATCCTATGTTGTTCAGCTTAATCATGCTTTTGTTTGATTTATATTTCTCCTCTTTGAGGGTTTACAGAAACAACTGAACTTCTTTCATTTTATATTTCATCATTATTTAGGGGTCTGCATCTTACAGCTACCTTAAAGCATTCGCTGTTGTTTTTACTTGTAGTCATGATTTTATCTCTTTTTTTTATTCTAAAAACATTTTAAGAACAAATAACTTTTATTCCTACTTGATTATATATCGATATATTTTTATTAAAATCTGATTTGTATTTTTCTATATTTAATTCAATATTGATAAAATCTGATTATAATTTTCGATATGAAATATATTTCTTCATTAAGATACCAAATTCCAAATTAATCTAAAAAATATTTTTCTATTAAAATTTTTTTTGCAGATTAATAGACGAATGAATTCCAAAAAAAAATTTATTAAAATCAAGCTAAATTATTATACAAATAGTAAATTTATTTTATTATTTTATAAAGTTTAAATTGTCTAAATAAAATCTTTTTAACTGAGATTTTTATTTTTATTTTCTATTAAAAGATATTTTTGTTGTTTAATTTTAAAATTATTATTTTAAATTCAAACGAAATAATTTATTTGAGTTTGATTCTCTTTAAATACCAATAGCTAAGTTTATTTAAAATTTTATTATTACTTAAATACTAAGAAGAAATGATTATAATTTTTAATTCAAAATTATCAAAATTTGAGAAAAAAATAAATTTGTTTTTAATTGCTTATCTATTTTATGCAAATTTAGCTTGAAGATACCCTTTTTATTAATTTGATGAATAAATTTATTAAAAGATATTTTTGACACAAAATAATTTTTTTTATTGCTTGGTTAATTTTATTCGATTTGTATATCGATTTATTGATTCATATTTTTTAAATTAATCAAATTTTATTTATGATTTTCTTACATAAGTTTACAACAAAAAAACATTAAATTAACTACTGATGCTTTTAAAAATCTAATTAATTTTTTTTTAACATTTAATTTGGGATCATTCTTTGAAAAAAGTAAATTTTAAGATTAAATAGAAGAGCATATTAAAAAGGATTAATAAGTAATTGAATAATCTAATAAACATATTATAAAGACATGTATTTTAATCACACAACTTTTTTGAGTATTTAAAATCTTATATAACTTTTATTATTTAAAATATTGTAAGTGTTACTGAGCTAAATCTATTAATTTGATTTATTTAATTACATATTAATTAATATTAATTACATAAGTTTACAATCAGATGGATCATAATAATAAAGATATAAAACAGAGCGAAGCATATGAAATTATCACAAATAGATGAGTAGTTTAAACACAATTCTATCCTCTTATTGAGGAGTAGCCATCTTAGCAGACAGTACAGTCACTCCCAGATATTGATTAAAAATTATCTCCACATAATAAGCAAGGTTCTCCGCTTAGTGAATAATGATTTTATGGACAATTGATACAGGGAGATCCAGCTACTGAGGTTTGATTATTGGGACATGCATCACAATCTGCACCATTTTAAGAAAATTAATTGTCATCACAAGGTACACAAGACGAGCCACTATTTGAATAGTAGTTATTTGGACAGACTTAACAAGGTCCCCCACTTATTGAGAAGTAATTTTTTTAGCAAGGCTGGCAATTTTACCCTCCAGTTGATGAATAATTATTTTAGCATGGTTGGCAAAGCCCTCCTGATGTAGAGTAGTAATTATTAGGACAAACAGTGCAATCACTTAATTATTTTGCACCTTAATTACTTGAATAGTTGCTTGGACAATTAGTACAAGACGTAGTACCATATTAACCTGCTGGGCATTAGGAGTATACTAATGATATTATTGAAGCTTGAAAGCATAAAAATATAGATTTCATTAAATTTGTTTTTTTCACTTATTTTTAGGATAAATAATTAAAATTGTAAATGCTATTTGCTTATTTTCTGGGTTAGTGAGTTTAATGAAAAAATTAATTATGTTTAAAATGTAAAGATTAATCTAACTAAAGCTTAAATAATTGAAAAAGAATGAATGCAAGTTAAATAATAAGTCTATAGTTTATAATTTTTTCTTTTCTAATTAGTCAAATTTTTAACAAATAATTGAATACCATGAAATATTTGTTACAATTATTCTTTATGTCCAACATAGATTAGCTATAAAGCTTAATTATTTTTTTTCTTCTAAATGAAAAATTGATTTAAATAACTTTTTTACTAAATTAGTTTTCTTGATAGACTTTGCTCATGTATAATATAAAACTTAATTACAGTAATATGGTTTGATAAGACTTAATATTATAAAAAATAAAATTCAAGCAAATATGCTAATTTGTAATAATTACAACTAAATACTTTAATTTCATCCGCTTCTAATTCCTATTTGCTGAAAAATTATTTTTTTATATTTATTTATAAATTTGTTATGATAGATTGCAATCAATATATTGCATAGAATAAAATTTTCCTAAACTCTGTTAAATTCACATTTAACTTTTATCTCTTTAAATAATTTTTAGATAAAGCTAATGTGTATGGTTTACACTACGTTGGTTTGGGTATTTTCCTTCTATTTTAAAATGATTCTATCAAAATATCATTTTTTTTTCTTCAAAAATTCTTTCTTTATTATTAAAAACAAAGTGGTTATTATTTTTATTTTTGGACATTAATATCCTTTATTTTTATTATAATGAGATTAATCTGCTTAAGCCTACATTTATTAGGAGTTACTTTTTAACCCTACTCAATACCATTTACTAAATTCTAAAAAAATAGGCAAAAATGAAAAAATATTATCCTATTTTATTCATTTTTTTTGACTTATGCATTTTGCTTTTTTTAATCATGAATTATATAACAATAAACTAACTCAGGTAAAAAATAGATTATAGATTTCAATTTAAAACCAGAATTTTTATTTCTTTTTAACGATTTTAATTGAGGTTATTTTAATATGTTCTTAAAAATTTGCTTAAATTTTAACCAGTTTTTGCCAAAGTTGCAGCCATTATAATGCGTTTGTAAAAGTTGATTTACCCTTTCAGCAAATTAATAATATTTAGGTATTATTACAAATAATTACTAGCTAATTATTAATAAATAAATTATATTACTTTTTTATATATTTTAGTTCAATTTTATTTAAAAATGTTCATATTTTTTTGAAAAACCTATCACAAGAGCTTCTTCAATTTCATTTTGAAAAAACTGCATTTTAGTATTTTAGAAAATAAACAATTTTAGTTTTAATAAAAATAATTTATTGACTTAGGAATTCTTCTTAGTTTTTGCTCAATTTCTAAGTTAATTAAATTTTTTAGTAATCCCGAAATAAATTTTAAAAATCATTATTATTTTTATTATATTATTAAGAATGAGTAATGGAATAAAAATCCATCACTTTTCCTGGATCAAGTAATGGATTTATTTGTAAAATATTTTAGGAAAAAGATAATAAGAAAAATTTAAGCATACTTTTGAAAAATACTACATTTAAGTTGATTATGTTACAAATAAATAATAAAGATTAATTTATAATAAGAAGAATAACAAGCAGCTTTTTTTAGTTCAAACAATCAGACAATCATGTATAAAATCAAAATAGAATAAATCATAAGAGCCTTATTAATACTAGAATATGTTGTAGATGAACAGCTTTATCCACTTACAGATGAATATCCTGATTAGCAAGGAGTGCAAGGCTATCCTCCGATAGATTGAAAATTATCACCGCATAAAATACATGGTTCACCATTTGAAGAATAATAATTATTGGGACAATTCTAGCAAGACTAGCCTGAAACAGAAGTTTAATTAAGGGGGCAGGCTTGACAGCCCTGTCCACTAACTGAATATTAGTTATTATCGCAAGGCATACAAGCTGATCCAGGGTTAGAATAATAATTAGCAGGACATGCAGTACATGCTGAAGATGTAGTAGAACCAGCTGGGCTTGAATAATTAGCTTAGCAATTAGTGCATGAGCCAGTAGTTCCATATGTTCCAGCAGGGCATTAAGCTTTAACCAATATAAGTAAGAATAAACTTCCAAAATATATTTTTAAATTCATTTGCTTATATAATTTTAGGTAAAAATGAATGTGTGTGATTGTGTGTTCTTTGTTTTTTTATTAAAATTTGAATATTTTTTTCCAAGTCTTTAAAATATCAGATATGAGTATTTTATAAATATATTAATAATTATTAAGGAAATTAGTCTTTGACTCTGTTTTTACCTGAAGGGATATTTATCAGTGTATTTCACGCATCAAAAGCATAAGCATACATTTTATTCATTAACTATCATTTTCTAATTAATAGTTTGTTAATTTTTTGATTTGATTTCTCTTATTTATTTTTAAAAACTTAAGCCCATTTATTTCATAAGAAAAACTAAGATAGAAATCTCATGAATTATTTTTTTATTTTTTTAACTATTAAAAATATTGCATTTTAAATATTTTATTTTTATAATTACCATAAAGTTGATAAATTTAGAAGCAATTTAAAAAAATTGAAAACTCAAAAATTGTATGAAAATAAATATCCTAAATTTAAATCAGTATATTTTTTAATTCTATTAACAAAAAAGATCAAAAAAAGTTTAATCATGTTAGAAAAACATTAATTTGAAGCTGAATTGTTAGCAAATTTAATGGAATTTATGTAGTTATAGCAACAAACGATTTTATTTCCAAGTATAGAGCTTATCATATTAATTGCTTTACTTACTTTGCTATGAAGATTAATAGTAATATTATTTAAATATAATCTTTTAAAAATTTATCAATTTAGCTTTTAAAAACTAATTAATCAATAAAATAATTAGTTATAGTTTAATGATTTAAAATAATTTATCCATTATCTCTTTTACCTTTTTTTCAAAGCTGCTGATTACATCTCATTTTGATTAAATTTTAAAAAATAAATAAAAACTAATTTATGTTAATATGTAAACATTGATTATTTTATTTATTTAGTAGTTGATATATTCTGCATTTCTTTTATAATAAATTTACAATTGATTGATTAAACACTTCATTTTCTTTTAAAAGGATTTAATTAATTTTGTAATAATTTACAAACAAATATGTATATAAATTTATGTGACTTTTAGAAAAAATATTAGCATTTATTTTCATTATTAATTATTTTGATTTTAAAATAACATAAATTATTGCATAAAAAGTAAAAGATTTTAATCATATTAGGAAGTAGTAAATCTTTTTTTAGCCAATAAAATAGATTTTATCATTTTATTTAAAGCTAAGCTAAAGTTTATCTATCATTCAAGTTATTAATGTTGTAATTTTTATAAAATTAGTATTAAATTTATTCAATTATTCATATCTATATTTCTTGGATTAAGCTTATTTATTTATGAGGTATTTTCACCTCAGATTTATTCTGTTGTCTTTCATGCTTAAGAGAAATTTATTTTGATTTCAAACATGGTAGAACAAAATAGTAAGAATTAATAATATCTAAGTTAATTAATTAGTAATTATCTTTGAAAATTATGAAGAGCATCCATTTCCACTCGTTGATGATTAACCAGCAGGGCATTATGTGCAACTTTATCCTCCTATTGATTATTGATTTGAAGGGCATGGTTAACAACTACCACCTTAAACTGAATAAAAATTATTATGGCAATTTGTGCAAATACTACCAAAAGAAGATGATTAGTTTTATGGGCAAGGAAAGCATGATGATAATAATTGATTAGATTGTTTTTTGCTAGATGTATTTTATGGGCACGGATAGCAAATAGGAGTAGAGCCATCAGTTTTTTTCAACCCATATTATCCATTCTCGCAGTAATTATCTTAGCTATATATTTAAAAGACTAAGCTCAATAAAAATAAAAACTTAATCATTATTGTATTCATTTTGAATGATAATATTGCATAAATTATATTAATTTAATTGTAATTATAAAAAAAATCTTTCAAATATTCAAGAAAGTTAATCAAGTATCAAATATTTTTCAAATTTGGAGTATTCAACAGGCAAAATAAGCAGAATTAAATTATCTTTTAAAAATTAAAATTGTATTTTAAATACCTCTCTAACTAAAATAGTTAAAAATTCAACAATTAAGTAATAACTGGCTTCAAAATATTTTTATTTTTACAATTTATTTATCCATTAATTTTGTAAATAAATAGTCATAAATCTTATTTTTAAAATAAATATTTAACGTTTAAATTAAAAATGATCCTTTCTTATTTTATTTTGAGTAATATTGTTTTATATTTTCTTCTTAAATAATTTTTTTTCCTCAAAAATAAATATGAATTTAATTAAAAAATAGAAATTATAATAGTTCTATATTGAAAATTTTATTAATCTAAAAATATTTTTTTTTAAATAAGAACAATAAAACTGATAAATTTCAGATTTAAAAATATTTTTAAATATAGAGGTGATGAATTTAAATAGGGAGAGGAGTTGTTACCATCATTTTCTTTTAAATTTACTCACCTCTTTGTACAATTTGGTCAATTTTAAAGGCGGCCATTTAATTTATCTATGTTTTAACTGTAAAAGTATATTCAACAACATATAAATATATTTTTTATAAATTAAATTTCAATTCTTAAATAATTGAAAAAATAATTTTAATTCATGATATTAAAAACATACTTATCAAAACAGATTTTATAAAAAATTATTATAAATTTTTAGAAAATGTAGTTGCAATTTCACAGCTTGTTCCTGAAATAGATGACTGACCTGGAGGACATATAGTACAAGATTAACCACTGATTGATTATTAATTATCAGGGCAAGCAATACAGTATTGACCACTATAAGAGTAAAAGTTGTTTGGGCATGGTGAGCATGTATTTCCTGATACAGAGGTTTAATTTTCAGGACATGGAAAACATGAAGAAGAGCTTACATTTGAACCTTTAGTTCTTGAATAGTTATCTTGACAGTGAATGCACAATTTTCTGTTATGACCATATTATCCACTAGGGCAAAAATCAGCAATAGCTGCTCTTAAAAATTAAACTAATAAAAGACTAAATAGAATTTTCATGTCTGCCAGCCAAAATAAAATTTTTTTTTGTTTTTTTATTGAAATAATTAGTAGATATTAAACTATATTTTTATGAATTTTTTTATATATTATTTTAAAAAATGATGTTATTAATTTATAAAATAAGCAGAACAATAAATTAGTAAACTGCTCTATAAAAATGTAAGAAAAACTAAAAAAATTTTGAATAAGACAGTGAATTTATTGTTTATAAAAATAAAAATAGAAATCAATTTCTTAATATCTTAATAAATTACTGATTGATAGTAAAATTGCAAATAAAAGATGTATTAAATTATCAAGATGAAAATATTTTTTTAGAATTTTTTTATGCAATAAATTATATTATTAAAAATTCAGGATTTATATTAATTTAAAATGTTCAGAGGGATATTTTATCTTTTATTAAATTAAGATTAATGCATTTAAAAGTAACCAATAAAAATAACTATCTTTTGTATTGATAATCAAAACTCTTCTTATATTCAAAATTAAATAGAAATAATATCGTAATATATTTTTTTTATCTTTGAATTATTCTTTAAATTAATAATTTAACTTTAATAATTAAGTAAGGTTTAGTTATTAATGATTTACAGTCCTTACAAGAAACTTGTTAATAATTTTTGAAATAAACTATTTATTTATTTATTTAATCATTTTATTTTTACAATCAGCATTTTATTTAATATTGATTAGGAATAATATTTTTATTTAAAAATAAATATAATCCTTCCTTTCTACTTCTTATTTTTATGGATTCAATAATAAAAGTAAATAGTTGATATTTGTGATATTTTATATTTTTTATTTAGGGATCAATTTTATTAGTTCCTTTATAAGTGTTTGATTTTATTAATTCACAATTAAGCTTCATTCATCCACAATCTAATATTAACTTTTTTATTTTGCGGTATTTGTATAAAATGATACTTGTAATATATATCTATTAACTATAATTGTCATACATACATAGTATTAAAATTTAGTTAAAATAGAAAGATCATCCAAGTTTTACTTGAACTATCAACTTTTAAATTTAATTTAACATCTTAAAATAAAATAGGCTCTTATTATTAATTCTACCATATTTAGAAATGCCTTAATTTAATGAGGATTTACAAAAAATTCCAATAAAAGAATAGCAAAACAAGTAAAACAAAAGATAAATTTTACAAATGCATTATTAAAATAAAGAATGATTTTATTTTCATCAAAAAGAAGAGTTTCTTGCCAAAATATTCTATTTTCAGAGCAATAAATATATAAAACTAGCTAATCCTAAAGAAAAAGAAATTATTTTTGAATAAATTAAAGTGCAGGAACTTCCACTTGCAGATTAATAGCCTGAAGCACAGCTTGTGCAACTAGCACCAGAAATTGATTATTGGTTAGCTGCACAAGGAACACATTTTTAACCAGATGAAGATGTATAATTACTTGGGCAATTCTAACAATCTGTTCCAGAAAGGGAAGATTAATTTGCAGGACAATTAGTGCAAGATTAAGCACTAGTGTTTTATCCACTAATACTGGTTTAATTTGCTGGACAATTAGTGCAACTTCCACTACTTGGTCCATATTAGCCTGGAGGACAAGGTGTTACTTAAGCTGCCACCTATTACACTAATATTGATAGAAATACTATAGCAACTATAAGAAAAGCCTTTAACATAATTTAACTGCTAGCTAATTAGTAAATATATAAATTAAATTAACTTTTTTCAAATAATTTAATCAAATGAAATTCGGTTTAAAACTTTGAATGAATATAAAATTTATAAGTAATAACAAAATATTAGTCTTATTTTTCTAAAGAAATGTCTAATAAAACAAAAAATTTATTGAAGTAAATTATTAATTATTATTATTTCTTTTTTTATCATAAACCATAATTTATATGATAAACATTTGTCCAACAAAATACCTGGGTTTAAAAATTTTTTATAAAAGTTAATTTTAAACCATTTTCCTCTTTTAATGATGAAAAAATAATCAAATTATAAAAAAACTTGTTTAATAGAAACCCCCTTTTTCATATTAAAATAAATAATGTTCATCCAATAATAGAAAAATAAAATATTGTTTATACAAAGCATTCAAAAATGCATATTTTATTTAAATTTTTTAACAAAGTTTTATCGAGTATCTTATTTAGTAAGAATCAAATGATAATTAATTTTTAGCAAGGTATTTTTAATTATGGGTTTGTTTTAAAATCTTTAAAAGCAATATTAACCATTTTTATATAAATTATTTCTATTGTTTTAATGTTAAATTTATTTATTGATTAATGATTGAGCTAAAAAAACAGAACAAATAATCGATATATTTATCTATAATTTTATTAATCATACAATGTATATTAAGAAACTTATGAGTATTGCTAAAGAAGATAAAATATTTGCATTTAATTTGGGAGGAATAACGCCACAACCATAGCCAGGAACTGATGTCACTCCGTTTGGACATGGAACACAACTTTAACCACCTGTTGATGATTAATTTGCAGGGCATGCAACACAATTATTTCCCTAAGTAGACTGATAGTTATCAGCACAAGGAACGCAAAGGCCTCCAGATATAGAGACATGATTTGCTAAGCATGGAGTACAAGATTATTAAGTTGTATTTGATCCACTAGTGCTAGAAGTATTTGCAGGACAATTTGTACAAGAACCAGTAGTTCCATAAGTACCAGCTGGACAACTTTAAGCATATAATAGGCTAAAAGTTAGCATTGCTACTATTGAAAATTTAAATAACATTTTTAATAGAATTGTTTTTTTTTATTCAGCGCTTAATACTGATTAATTAATTTTTTTTTTTTAATGATTTATAAGCTTTTATGATAAAGAAGATCTTTACTTCAAGCAAAAAGGCTATAATAGAAAGGTGTTTGGCTTAAACTTTAAACTTCTATACTAAAACCATAAAGATAGAATAATTATATTCGTAAAATAAGGAGTTTTAACTCCAATCTTAGCTTTGATAATATTTAGCCATCTAAAAATAGATATCTACTTATTGTTAAATTAGAGCAAATTTATATTATGTATTAGATAGTTATTTTTAAATTAAAAAAGAAAAAATAATGTAAAAATAATAACAAAAAATATCAATAATTTTAATATTCACAACATTTTATTATCTCAATAATTTTCAAAATTATTAAATTAATGCAAACTATTCTTAGACATCTTTGCTTAAGTATTAAAATTATATAAAAATAAACTTATTTTATACTAAAAGAAATCAAAAAGCAAAATAATTAAAAATTTTTAAAGTTTAATAGCTCAAAAGTAAGAAAAAATATTTTAAAAATACCTTATTTTTTGTTATTTCAAATTTTACATTTTCTTTTTTAGTTGATTCATAATTATATATAAACAAAGAGTCACCATTTATTGCAGAAAATTTATGAAAATAATATCAAAATGCAAATTTTATAAATTGTATTTTAAATAAAAAAATTAATTTATTTAATTGAAAAAAAAAAATTTTTAATAAGTTCATTTTAAAGAAATAATTTTAAAATCATATTTTTTCTTTTTGAAATAAATATTTTATATTAAAAATGCATTAATTTTAAAAGCTTTTAAAAAATCTTTCTAGAAACTTTTTCTTTTTGTCTGTAAAAGATTTCTAATGAGATATGTATGATCTGTTAATTTTAATAACAATAATAAATCTTTAATATTCAATCAGAAACAATATTTAAAAGTAAAGTAGCAATTAAATAAATTAACAAATAAATAAATAGGAAATGATGAACAAATTCTCTTTAAAAACTAAATCAATCTTTTAAGGATTATGCAAACTTAATGCAAAATAGAATTATCAGTTCTGTTGGTAGAATAGATTCCCAGAGGTTTATGCTAAAATCATATTCCCAGAAATTATTCAAACTAACTAGACAAGTAGCCAAAATAGAGTATTTGTAACAAAGAAGGTTAATGAATAAACTGTTTCCAACAGCTTCTAATTAGATCAACTCAAAAAAAATAAAGCTGAGTGGGTTTATAACTCTAATGAATTGTAAACTCTTATCAACTATGTTGGTAAAGAAGAAAAGGAAGGAGAAAATACTGCTTAAAAGGATTAAGATACTTTGAATGCATTAAAGCAAAAATAATTAGAATCTTTAGTTGCCCAAGGCTCTAAAATTGCAAGATCTCTTCATGCTCGTAAAATAACCGAAAGCGATATCGTCTTTGATGCTGATCTCACTGCTGAAGAAATTTAACATTATCTCAAAGGATTTTTACTTGCAAATTACAAATTCAAAATGAATGGAATTGAAGAGGATAAGTTGACTGAAGAAGAAAAGAAAGCTCTTTTTAAGCCAATTTCTAAAATAAATGTTAAAACTGACAATAATCAAATTTAGCTTACTGATGAAGACTTCTAGTTTGTTTAAAAAGCTGCTTATTACACTTTATATGCAAGATAACTTGGAAATTTGCGTGCTGATATTGCTAACACAGAATTCTTTTTAAAGGAATGCAAAAACATTGTTGCTGCTAATCCTGGAAAAGTTATTTTGGAATATTTAAAGGGTGAAGAGTTAGTTGAGCAAGGTCTTAACCTAGCTCATGCTGTAGGTAAAGGTTCAAAGAATCCTCCAATTGTAGCAAATTTAACTTACTTCGGTGATTAATCTCGTCCTAATGAAGTAGATATTGCTTTCATTGGTAAAGGTGTCTGTTTTGATGCAGGTGGTCTCAACATTAAACCAACTGGTTTTATGGAAACTATGTATATGGATAAAGGAGGTAAATAAAATATTATTTTTAGAAATATTTTATTGTATGCCAATTTATTTTAATATATTTTAATATTATTTAGGTGCTGTTGCAACTTTGACTTCATTTAGAGCTGCTGTAGAACTTGGTTTGAAGGTCAATTTAACTGTTACTATTGGTTTGGTTGAAAATTTCCTCTCTAGCACAAGCTATAGACCTTCAGACATCATTAAGAGTCATAAAGGTTTGACTGTAGAAATTGGCAATACTGATGCAGAAGGAAGATTAGTCCTTGCTGATTGCATGAGCTGGACTTAATAAAAACATAAGCCAAAAGTAATTTAAATAATAAATTTTATTTTACTAAAATAAAACTTTTTAAAATAGACAATGATTGAGTTATCAACTTTGACTGGAGCTTGTGTTGTTGCTCTTGGAGAAGAATAAGCTGGTTTGTTTACAAATGATGAAGCATTAAGTAAGGAACTACAAGAAGCTAGTAAAGTTAGTGGTGATAGTCTATGGAGACTCCCAATTACTGATGCCCACAGAGAAGCTATGAAAGGTACATACAGTGACTTAAATAATTCTGGCAAAACTAGATATGGAGGTGCCTCTTAAGCAGCTGCTTTCCTTGAAAGATTTGTAGAAAAGGATGTTAAATGGGCTCATATTGATATTGCTGGTCCTGCAGAATCAAAATCAGATAAAGGTAAATAAAAATATGATTTCCTAAGTTATTTTAATTATAAAAATATTAAAAAGGATAATGGACAACAGGTATGACAGGTTTTGGAGTTTAATTACTTCTTCACTATTTAAAAAATTAGCAAAAGAAATGAAATGAAAGAATTAATTGAAATGAAAAATTTAATAAATATTAAAAATTTGATAAAAAAATGTGAATATTTATTTTGATTTAGTAAATAATAAGACACGTATCACTAATATATAAATAAATATTAGCAGCTTATAATTATAAATCTGGAATAAATGCCATTTCTGATTAAATGCTTTTCTTTTTTACTTTCTTCTTTTAGTTTTTCTAATATTTTATTAGCAAATGTAAATATTTATATAAATTTGAAAATTATAAAATAAATAGAAATATAAAATTTAATAAATGCCATTTCTGATTAAATGCTCTTCTTTTTACTTTCTTCTTTTAGTTTTTCTAATATTTTATTAGCAAATGTAAATATTTATATAAATTTGAAAATTATAAAATAAATAGAAATATAAATAAATAAATAATATAATTTCATTTAAATTTTGTTATTATTCAATTTATTCTTGTTTCTTTAAAAGTTTATAAAGAAGTACAAATATTTATTTGTTTATTTTAATTTGAATTAGTATTAAAATATTTATGAGATATATATAAATAAATAGAAATAAATTTAAACAAATTTTAATTATAAATTTAGAAAAATTCCATTTATGATTGGATTTATTTTTTTTCTTATATTCTTGATTTTAGTTTTATTAACATCAGAGAAAATTAAATATTATTTGAAATTATTTTAATTGTATTTGAACAATATTATTTGTAATTTTAATCATTCTTATTTTTCTTAAGGTTTGTCATTTTATTTAAAAATATTTGAGGTACTGAGGCTCCACAAAGTTAGGATCTTTTTTTAAAAAAATTAAGTTTATATAAATTAGCTATGATTTAAAGGTTACCTCTTTATTTTATTCTTATAGATCACTCTTTAAGATAATAGTTAGTTATTCTAATTTCTCATTGAAATTCTTATAAAAATAATTCTGATTATGGTTGAAATTAGCATAAAAGAACTTAAGTCTCTTTTCTTCTAATTTAATTTATTCTTTGCACTCCTCTATTTCACTCTTTATTTAAATAATTTAATCAATTTACTAGAATAAAATTTGTTTTTTTATCATTACTTAGTTGAGAGAATTTTAGTGTTAGCCTAATTCTTTTTTAAGTTCATATATTTTTTTTAAAATTTCATCTCTTGACTGAATAATTTAAACACATAATTGCAGCTGTCCGACTAATTACTATTAAAGAATGAATATTCATCTTAATGAAAAACTAAAGCTTACTTGAAGAGGAAAGTAGAATTTTTAGGAAAACTCTCTGGCATGCTGAGATTCTCTAATTCCCTATAAATGTACTTTTTTATCTAAATTCTCAGGAATTTCATCTAACTTTTCTAAATTTTATTATATTCAAATATATTATTTATTGCTTTATAAATTATTTTAATCTTTATAATTTTTATCTAATGAAAATTTTCATTTTAAGCTACTATGATTGATAATAAATTTTAAATTTCTTCTATTTAAATGCATACTCTGCTACTTGATTACATTACAGAATTTTAAGAAAGTAAAATTATTTTGACTCAAAAATCAGTAAAAACAATTTTTTACTAAAAACTTCTAAATTAAATTTTATTTATTTAGATTTATAAATTGCTTTTTTAAAAATGAAATTTCATTATAAATAATAGATTACTTAGCTCTGAAAATATTGAGGATAGAGATGCCATGTTTTCTGCTTATCTTTTTTTGTTTTCTATAATTTAATTTATGCTGTCTGAAATTTCTTTTAGCTTGTTGTAATTGTTTTAGTAATAGGTGAGGTAATTTTGAAACTCTTGATAAAATTCATCAGGAATTTTGGCTTCTATTTTTTGGGATCCTATTGCTTTATTAAATAAGCTAAATCCTAAGTTTACGATATTAGAAATAAAGCCTTCTTTTTTCTTTTCCTTTTGCTATCTTATTCCCATAGAAAGATTCTTTTCCTATTCAAAAGTCTTAATAAAACAATATATTAATTAAAATATAATTCATTTCTTATTTTATGACTAAAAATTGAGATTTACCTCCTCGTTGTTCATTAAAAATATGTATAGTTACTTTGAAAATCTCAGCTCTTTGTGATTTAGCAGCTATTTTAAATATAGAGTGAGCAATTATCTTCTTTCTTACATTAATTCGCTCTTTATTTGATTTAAAAACTCAATTTTTGGATCTATTTTTGAAAAAATTCCTTTTTATGGAAGCGCAGGTAAAAAATACCCAGGAAAATTGTAAAGCAATTCCTCGTGAAGCCATTCAAAATCACTAAATCTACGACTAACTATTGTTTTTTCGTCTTTGCTCTTGCTTGTTACTAAATAAGTATGACTTTCTAATATATAGCTATTTATAATGATTAAGTTTGTAAAAACTTAAAAAATTATTTTATTATTTATTTACAAATCTCTTTGAATATCTCCATCAGCTACATCAACTTCTCTTTCTATCATTAACTAGTTAACTTATAATTTCAAAGCTTTTAAATGCTTTTCATCATTTTTTTTATCATCTTATTCTGATTGCTATTAAATTTTAATCTTCTATGACTTTTGTTACTGATTCAGTAATTACTATTACTGCTGCTTTATTTGCTGCTCTTTTAAATATTCGTCTGTTTACTCTTCTTCTGTTTAAACAATATCATAATCATCATTTGAATCCGATAAACTATTTCCAATCTATTGCATTTTATTTACAAAGTATTTATTTTTACCTCTACTTATATTACTTATTTATCTTTTTATTATAATCTAAATTTTAGCAGAAATTTTTTTTGCAAATAATTTTTATCAATAACAAGAAAGCAGCATTAAAATTTGATTAAAAACCAAACAAGATAAATAAATTTAAAATAGATATCACTTTCATGTTGTACTTATTTACTTTGATATTTATAATTTAAAATATCTTTCACTTCTTTTTTAACAAATTGATTTAAGATCAGAAATATTTGATTAGGATAGGTAGTAGAAAAATTTAAATATTCTAATTAAAAAACAATAAATAATTTAAGTTAATTTTAAGAAAAATTTAACATTTCCTAAAATATAATAAACAATTAATATAAAATTTATTTTTTTAAAAGGATTTAATTGAGAAAAAAATAAAAAATTATTTCCTCTTGAGAAAATTTTAGGGTTAAAAAAATCGAAGAGACTAGTTAATAATTGATAATTTTTTAGTACATAATTACTTTATTTAAAATTTAATGAATTGATAAATTAATTAATTAAATAATTTAAATAAATTATGTAATCAAGTAAAATTGTATAAATATACTTACTATTTTTATTTTTTACAATTCAAAATTTTTTTGAAATGCTTTGTCTTCCTGCAAAAGAAGGCTACTGCAATATAATTTTACTTAAACGAGTTTCTCTAATTTTATAAATGCTAGCTTTTGAATCATGCCTTAGTTTGTTGCTTTTTTAAGGAATCTATTTCTTAAGTAACTATGTTTATTTATTATTGTACTTTACTAGGACATTTTCTATATTGCCTTATGGAAAATATATTTCATAGCTCTTTAGAGCATCTATGTCGTCTTCTTCATCTAATTCTATTATACCATTCATCTGCCTTTATATTTCAGAGTTCCAAACTAGCTATTTTCTATAAATAAGTAAATTAATGTCCATTTCACAAGTATTCCTTTTAACTATTTCTTCGTTTACAGGGAAAAACTGATTTTTATCTCCATAGAATCCTGTTTTACCTTTTTCAAAGTTAACTTTTTCAGCTTTCTATTTTAAACTACTTGTGATGGACAGCTTTTTTCTATTGTTTTATATATTTCTGCTTGATTACATCTTTTCTTCTTTTTAATTAGCAGAGTTGATTTCATAATCGCTATTAGCTGCAAGGTAAGGAATATAAGTAGTCTTTTTTTTCTTACTTAATTCTACTATGCTACTAGTTTTATTTTCTAAAATAGGATTTATAAGCTTGTTGTCTTACATAAATTTAATGTAGCTTATCAAATTTTGAGTATTTAATTAAATTATTTATTCATTTTGCATTTGCATTTCATAGCTCTGCCTTACTAAAGATTCTTTTAACTTTGCTACTGAAGATCCTTTGTTGATTGTTATTTTTCTTTAACTTTACATTTCTTCTGCTTGAGTTTGATAATAATTTAAATTGTTGTTTTAATACACATTTTAGTTATTATCTATTATTAATACTTGCTTACTTAACAAACTTTTACGTTTTGTTAATTTCCTTTGTCCATCTCTGATTTTAGCTTCTGGCGAGAAAATATCTAGCTCAATACTTGGTTATTTTTTCACTTAGTTTTTTTTAAATAAGTGTCCATGCCTTCTTAAAGGCGAATTTATTTAGTTGCTTGAAAAAGATTCTTCATACAAAGGAGATATTCTATAAGGAGAATCATCTTACATAAATTAAGCTTTATGAGCTCTTATTTCTGCTAAATAATTATTAACAGCCATATTTTTTCTATGAATTATTGATTAAGAAGGAAAAGTCTATGAATTATCTATATCTTCTTCTTTAAGATACTCAAATTAATTAGAAATTTATCTGTTAGAATAGTTTTGATCGTTATTTTATGACATTTTCAAAGGGCTTTTTTTATTATAAGTGTTTTGATCTTAATATTCTAATTTTGAATTATTCGAATCCTCATCTTTGTTTAATAATTTATTTTAGTTTTGAATTTCTAAAATAATATTCTAAGTAAACGAAACAGAGGGAAGAAACTAATCATCCTTTTATTATACTGAATCTTAATTATTTATTTGTTATATTGAGCAATTATTATCATCAGCCTCAGGTAAAACTGAAAGATCGCTTTTACAAGGTTTTTTCACATTAATGCTACTTGTTTTAGAAAGTCCTATGTTTTAATTGCTCTAAAAAACTTCAATTTGAGATTCATTGTTATTTTCTGAGTCTAATTTTTCATACTTCTTTAACTAGAGTTCTTGTATATTTTAAATTGATTGCTCTGATGTGATATCTATGTTTTCCTCTTTTACATTTAACTAATTTGAAAAATTATTTTAATTATTAATGTTTCTATGACTACCAAAATGGCTACTGCTATTGTAATTATTCTAACTATTTTATTTTCGTTTATCTTTGGAGCTAAAGGTATTTATTGTATATTTCTATTTTGCTGATTTACTTTGTTCCAGTTTATCAGAAGAATTCTCATCACTATATTCTGATATTTAATTTATTGTATTTATTTCAAAGCCTTTATTCTTTTAATTCTCCAAGATTTCATTAATTTCATCCAAAATTGACTCACTTTCTCCTCCTTCGTTTACTTTCTAATTCCAAAATTCTATTATCTCCATGTAAAATCTCTCAAGTTATTATAAAGCATTATATTTTTTTAATTTTCTTGAAGTAGGAAAACTATCTTAAGAACCAACAAACTATTTGAACTCTCTCTAATTAACAGAAGCCACCAAATGAACAGAAGGACATTATTGTAAGTAATGATTATAGTCACCACAAGAAAAGCATTTAGTCTCCAAAAATGATATTTGCTTATAAAGAGAAATACTATCTCTAATGTAGCAAATCTTCTCCTTTTAATTTTTTATTACAATTTAATATATATTTTAAATAATTTCATATTTACATAGTCCTTTGGATACTTTTAAAGGCAGTTGAAGAAATCAATTCTTTTGATATATGACAAATTCAAAAAAGTTTTAGCTTTTGCTGTGTAAGGATTTGGGTTATCAATAAAAAAACCAACTTATCCAAAGAAATCTTTTTTCTATAATAAAATTTAATAATAAATAATACCATTTATAATTCTCATAAATTTTTTACTTTTAAGATTCTTAAAGTTGTTTCTTAGCTAGTAGAACTATCACTTTAATATTGCTTTGTTATATTTACTTCTCCACTCCATATGAAATACAAATTATCTTCTCTATCACCTTCATTAAAAATAACTTCTCCAGGAAAATACTTTTTTTGATGAAAAATTAAAGATATTTCTTGCATACATTCTAGGCTTAATTTAGAAAAAATGTAATGCTTTCCCAGAATCTATTTGTTTACATCAAGTAAAACCTCCTCTTTAAGAATTTATGGCAAATTCTCAATCATATCTGCTTGCATAAAGGATTTTCTCTCTTCCACTTTTTTTTGATATTCAAAATATTTTCTCACTTTGTGTTAGAGTGTAATGCTAATCCCTTTATTATTCATTTCTCTATTAATTATTTACATATTTCTGTTAAAGTCTTTCTTCTTTTTCTCTAAATCTTTAACAATTTCACTTATTTATGAGAAAGTGTAGCCAAATATCGCACATGCTATCACACTGACAACAAGAATAAAAGATTTTTCAGCTTTTTACAATCAATTGTTAAATATTAAGTATTTTTGTCAATTAAATTACTTATTGTCTTTGGTGTTATATCTCCATACCCTATTGTTGTCATGGTTATTAAACAAAAATAGAGACTATTTAAATACTATTCTTAGAAATTAGCGTACTGCAGATTGTAATATATGATCCAGCTCTGACCTGACTACGTTAATCCAATTTTCAAGAAAATACAGCAAATAATGTGAGCTATAAAAAAAATAAAAAATTAAAGCTTAAATAACTTGAATAAATTAGACATGGTGTCATTTAATCTAAATTTTGACTCCAACTCTTCTAATTTACTACCGATATCACTGATTTTTAAAAAAACCACGTAATTAAAATAAATAAGAGGATTATCTTAATCGTCATTTATAGAAAGCATCAAAAATACAAATATCAATATATCTTTGCTAATAAAATAACAGTTTTTGTAATTAAATTTATAAAAATAAAACTTACATCAAATTTTTATACTACTTTTTGAGTATTTAAGCCCTGTCTTTAATGACTAATCCATTTTTAAAAATTCCCTATGAATATTATTTATATGTTTAATTAACTTTCTTTAAAAAAAATAATTTACAGAATTAAGATTAACAAATATTTCAAGTAGAAGAATCACTAAACAAATTTTTATGCAAAGAGCATATTAATTAAAATGTTCAGGAAAGAGCTCTAAAAAAACGTGATAAAGAGGAACATAAGCTATAAAAGCTATGTTAAAAAAAACCATGAATATGTCCCATGCTAATTTAAAAAAAGATTCCTTTAATTTTATTTAATTAAAATGTTACTAAAAATAATGAAATTTAATAATTTTATAATCATTACTGGCTATATTATGTAAGAAAGCAACTTAATATGAGATATTCTATCAATGAATTTATCAACTATTTATTAATAAATTTTCAGATTTTATATGTATAAATAAAGTTTTCAAAATAGAATAAATAAGATTGAAATTAAATGAATTATAGTATTTAATTCAAAAAAGTATTATTCTCTGTAAAAAATTATGCCATTTAATTTATTCAAAATAAGAAATTTATCTAAAAAGTTTATTGATCTTAAATTCATTTCTACAAAAAAAGAAATAAAATTGTTGAATATTAAAAAACTAAACTTTAATCTTCACAATCTATTATGCAGAAAATAAATGAAAAATATGTATAGATAGATTTAACAGCTTAAAAGGATAATTAGCATTTTGTATGTATGTATACCTTTGAATTAATTTCTTGTAATTCTCAAAATAAAAAATAATCAAATATAATAAAAAAAATTAATTATACCTCCAATTCTGTAAAACAATTTTTGGGTTATAGTTCTGTCCTATTTTTTAAATATACTTTTTAATAACTTAAAAAATGATAGCCAAATAAATTCTAAAATTACATTTAAATTGAAATATCCACTTTCGAAATAGTAGTCATAGCTTGAAGATGCATCATTTATCAGCGAAAACTAAGGCTTGGATAAGGCTTTAAATAAAAGACTTCTTGATTTTTTTTTAATATTAGACATAAACTTCTTAACATTTTTTATAACTAAAAACTCAATTCCTTTTTTAATGATAAATTTCTTTGCTTATTGTTGTTATAAGTTAGAACTATCATACATTCCATATTAACTTATTTCAAATTTCTCACTTTATGTTTTATTATTACTTTATAATTTACTTAGTTAAAGATTATGCTTTAAACTTTAAATATTGTTTTTGTTTAATGTGTCATTTTTTATGCGATCATTATCCCCTTTTTTCTAATCTCTCTTATCGAATAGCTAAAACTAACTATCTTTGTTAATTTACTAGCTATATGACAGATTTAATATATCTTTATCAATAGAAAACATAACAGGACTATGAGGAGACATTAATATTTGATCTCTAGTCCTGTCTTAATTTTCTTAGCTTTTAATTTAAGATTTGTAGGCCTAATCATTATTAATCACATTTTGTTAATTATTTATAAAAATGTTTTTGGCTTCTTCTTTTCTGAAAGTATTTTTTTCATCCTACAAGTTATTGTTTTTGATTGGCAAGTCCTTTTGTTTTTAAATATCTTAATTGCTATATTTTATACTCGATCTTTCTTCACTACATGATTCACTCATTTTACTGGAACCTCACAGCTTTTTAAAAAATAAATAATTAATATAAATTTTAAAAGTAATAGATCAGACTCAATATATTACTAATTAAGAGTTTTATAGTAAATTAATTGAAATTGAATATTTTTAAAGCTTTTTAAACTAAGTAATTCTTCTATATTATCATTTAACATTTTAGTAGGATTATTTCAATTATTAATTTAATAAATAAATTTTGTTGATTTTATTTTTAATGCTAAAATTTGCAAAATCAGCTTCAATTATTTAATAGCAATAAATATAAAAATTAAATTTATATTTATATCATAAATTAATAAAAAAACTTATTTTATTTCAACAAAAAAGAATAGCTCATTTTTTATAAATATATTTTTTTTATTTAAAAAAATTATATTAATTAATATTAATATTACTTTCCTTTTATAAATAATGGTCTAGTAAAGATTATTAAATTAATGAATTTAATTTTATCAAATAATTAATTGAATTAAAACTTACAAAAACTTTGATATTTAATGAAAAAATTAGTTAAATTAACAAGTATTTTCAAATACATAAATAAAATATTATCTTTTAGCATATAAAAAATAAAACTTTGACTTATGTTTATATATATATATATATAGGTTTTATTTGTAAAAATTATACTATTAAATAAATTTAAGGCTAATCCTTTTGACCACGCTTTAATGCTAGAATTATTAATTCAAGAAAATCATAAAAAATCATGAAAATTAATGAGGATTTACATTATAAATGCCAGAATAAAATGCTAATTGTGGATTTTTTATAAAATTTAAAGTACAAAATAAAATTAATAATAGTCAATTATTTAATTTCTTTTAAATCTTGTTCAATGCTTTTTTTAAAAGCTTTATTTTGCAATAGCAGAAGGTTGCTAAATAAATATCTTACTGAGACGATATTCTTTAAGTCTATATGAGTTACGACTTTATTTATTTTATCTTTAGGTAGTTTACTAATTTATTTATACTATTTATTTATTATAGAATTTTATTAAGACATTTTCAAGGTTACCCTATGGAAAATAAATTTTATAACTTTTAAGAACATCAATGTCATCTTCTTCTTCTCCAAATTCAAAAGTACCTTAAACTTGTTTTAGTATATCAGAGCTCCATAAAAGTTACTTTCTATATATGAGTAAATTAATGTCTAAATCATTAGTATTCCTCACAAATATATTCTCCCTAATTGGGAAAAAGTAACTTTTTTCACTAGGAATTGTAGTCTTACCTTTAATAAATATTTATCTATCAGATTTTTTAATTAAGCTAGTTATAGATTTCTGCTTTCTACCTTAAGGAAAATTATTACCCTAATACGCTTTTTCATCTTTTACGTTTAGAGATTTAATTTCAATATCACTGTTGTTAAAGACTGTACCATTTTGATTTATGAAAGTCTTTTTCTTCTTATTAATATCAGCCATATTATTGTTTCTATTTTCAATAATAGGATTTATTAGCTTGCTTTCTTGCATTAATTTTATGTAGTTTATTAAATTTTGAGTATTTTACTAAATTACTAATTCCTTCTAAACATCTAATGAGCTTTATCTCTGTATATCTTTTAATTTTAGTTCAGATCCTTTATCCATGGCTATTTTTCTTACACTTTACTTTTCCTCCATATAAGAACTTTAATTATTACTTTAGTTCGTAATTTAAGTATTATCAATAATAGTTATTTGCTTACTCATAAAACTTTTATGTTTCTTTAACTTTCTTTAGCCATCTTTATTCTTAAGTTCCGGTGAAAAAAGTTCTAGCTCTATACTTGGCTATTTTTTAATTTAGTTTTTTTTTAATATGTGCTTTCTCATAGGAGAATTTATTTACTGGTTAGATAAACATTATTCTTTTAAAGGAGATATTTTATATGGTATTTCTTCTTAATTTTTATCTATTCCCTGAGCTTTTTAGATTTTCAAATCTCCTAAAATGCTACCCATACCAATAGTTTACTTTTGAATTGTCTCTTCCTCTTACAAATTATCTATCTAATTAGTAAGTTTGTCATTTGACAAATAATTATTTTATCCTAATTTTAATTAATTTTTTTTATTTCTTGCAATTTACTCATTTTAATCTAATTTTGAAATGCTTATTTCATCGCCTCTGTATTAATAGATTTTATTCTAACTATGTAAAAAAGAAGTGATCAATTTTTCTAATTTGTTTTTATTGTTATTTGAATCAAATCTATCATACTGCTAATTAGAGTAATTTTCTTCTGCTTCAGATAAAAGTGATAAGTCACTCTGACATAATCTTTTGCCTTTAATACTATTGCAAGTGCCTTTAATCCTATCTGTGTCAATTGTTTTATTTTTATTGTAATAAATGTCTATTGGAGTTTCAATATTGTTTTCTAATTTTAAATTTTCACTCTATTTTAACTGGAGTTCTTTTATTTTTTATATAGACTATTCTGATGTAATATCTATGTTTTCCTCCTTAATATTAAGCTAATTTGTAAAATTGCTTTGATTAACTATATTTTTGTTACTCTCTTATATAATACTATTCATATTTTTTAAGCTATTTTCTTTACACCTCTCTTTCGAGCTAAAAGTATTTACTGTGGGCTTCTTCTATTTATTTTATTTGTCAAACTCTATTTTTTCATCTGAATTTTCTTTACTACTCTCTTATATCTAATTAATTGTAACTATTTCAAAGCTATTATTCTTTTAGTTTTCTAAGAGGTCAAAGATTTCTTACAATATTGCTTCTTCAACTCCTCCTCCTCCTAAATCATTAACCTTTTTATTCCAAAAATCAATAACCTCCATATGAATTTTTTGCAATTGGTATAAAACATTATATTTTTTTTATTTTCTTGAAATTGAAAAATTTTCATTAGGATATGCATCATACTAATACTTTCTTTAATTAATAGAACTAACCAAGTGAACAGCGGGGCATTATTAAAGATAATGATTATAATCTCCACAAGAAAAACACTTGGTTTCCAAAAATGATATTTATTAATAGAGAGAAATATTATCCCTAATGTAACAAATCTTTTCCTATTATTATAATTTAATTAATATTTATTGTACAATCCAAATAAATTTAGTTTATACATAATCTATTGGATATTTCTGAATGCATTTGAAGAACTCACTTCTTTTTATATATGATAAATTCAAAAATGTCTTAGCATTTGCTGAATAAGGATTTGGATTATCAATGAAAAATCCAATTTATCCAAAGAATTCTTTTTTCTAAATTAAAAAATAATTCATTTTCAAATTAATTTTTTATTAAATTAAACAAAAAAATTTTAAATTAATTATTTGAATGTAAATTTGTAAATTTAAATATAATAAAGAAGTAGCAATAATTTTTACTTTTAATGTTCTTAAAGTTGTTTCTTAGCTAGTAGAGTTATTACTGGAATATTACTTTGTTATATTTACTTCTCCACTCCAAATAAAATATAAATTTTCTTCTCGATCACCTTCATTAAAAATAATTTCACCAGGAAAATACTTTTTTTGATGAAAAATTAAAGATATTTCTTTCATACATTCAGGGCTTAGTTTGGAAAAAATATAATGCTTTTATAGAATTTATTTATTTATATCTAATGAAACCTCCTCTTTAAGAATTTATGGTAAGTTTTCTATCATGTCTGTTTACATAAAAGACTTTTTCTCTTCAACTTTTTTTTGATATTCAAAATATTTTCTCACTTTATGTTAGAGGGCAACACTAATTCCTTTATCATTCATTTCTCTATTTACTATTTGCATATCTCTGTTGAAATCCTTCTTCTTTTTTTCTAAGTTTTTAACAATTTCACTTATTTATGAAAAAGTGTAACCAAATATAGCACATGCAATTGCACTAACAACAAGGATAAAAGACTTTTCGGCTATTTTTAAAAAATTTTTAATTATTTTTTTAATTTTTATATTAAAAATACTCAAAGTTTTAGGACTTATGTCTCCGTATCCAATTGTAGTCATAGTAATAAGACAGAAGTATAGGCTATTTAAATATTATTCTTGGAAATTAGCTTATTATAGATTATAATATACAATCCAGCTTTATCCTGAACTTACTTACTCCAATCCAATTTTAAGGAAAATACAGCAAATAATATGAGCGATAAAAAAAATAAAAAATTAAAGCTTAAACAGCTTCAGTAAATTTAGCATTGTGTCATTTAATCTAAATTTAGATTCTAAATCTTCTAATTTGCTATTCACATCTCTGATCTTTAAAAAAACGATATAATTAAAGTATGAAAGTGGGCTATCCTTTTTGTCATTTATAGAAAACGCCATAAAAATGAAGATCAATAAGTCTTTTCTAAAAAAAATAGTTTTGTATTTTTTTATAAATTGAAAATTTTACATTAAGTTTTTGTATTATTTTTTGAGAATCTGAGTTCTATCTTTAATGACTAATCCATTTTTAAAAATTCCCTTTTAAATTAATGTATTATTTTTAAATTAAACTTCCTTTTTCTTAAAAATTAATTTACAGAATTAAGGTTAACAAATATATCTAGTATAAGGATCACCAAACAGATTTAAATGAAAAAGACCTATTAACTAAAATTTTCAGGAAAGAGATCTAAAAATATGTGATAAAGAGGGATGTAAGCTATAAACGTAATGTTAAATAAAACTATGAAAGCATCCCAAGCTAATTTAAAAATAGATTCCTTAATTTTTATTTATATTAAGAAAATTAATTAATTATTGATAATTTATAAAATAAAATTCAGAGTAATCTAAGAATTAATTGATATGAGTCAAATAAAATTGATACTGGTTAAATGATATAGCAAAATAATTCTATTTGAGAAATCCTGTCAACTATCTTGCTAACTTAGTTTAATTAAAGTAATTTACTTAAATTTTTAATTAAAACAATTTAAAAGAAATATTTATTTATAAAATAATTTATATAACAAGTTATTTAAATTTTACTTCCAATTCTATATAACTGTTTTTCTATAAAAGTTCTTTCCTAATTAATTATTAAGAATAATTATTAATAGATAAAAATATTAATAAATTATGTTAAAATAAATACGCTTAAGTTGAAGTATCCATTTTCGAGATAGTAGTCGTAGCTTGAAGAGACATCATTAATCAATAAAAATTAAGGTTTTGACAACGCCTTAAAAAGTAGTCTTCTTGATTTTTTTTTAATATTTGATATAAACTTTTTAATGTTTTTTATAACAAAAAACTCAATTCCTCTTTTAATAGTAAATCTCTTAGTCTATTGTATACTTAAGCTGTCTAAAATTCCATATTCACTAAATTCAAATTTTTCGATTTAGTATTTACTATCCGTTTGCTATTTACCAACAAATAAATTTGGTTTTGAATCTTACACATTCTTGATCTAATTATCATCATTTAAATCATCATTATCATTATTTTTTTTTTACTAATCTCTCTTATCAGATAACCAAATTAAACTATCTCTATTTGCTTACTAACTATGAGATATATTTGACAAATCTCTTTCTATATTAGGCATTGCTGAATGGCACAAATGAGCTTATACTAAATGATCCTTAGTCAAGTTTTGGTTTTATAATCTTTTATTTTAATTATATTAGTTCTATAGTTCTACTTTTCTGTTAATTGCATCTCCTTTAACATTCATAAAAATGTTTGCTGTATCTTATCCTTATAGGGTGTCATTTACTCTTGTTTAATAACATTCTTTTCTACTTTCTGCATTATTTATATTTTAGAAACTTAAATTGTTAAATTATTTGGATATTTCTTAATTCTATATCTCCATAATTTGCTAATTGCTTTAGGGTTATTTAAAAACTTATAAAATTTTAATTAATAATTTATTAAAATATTGTTTGTAGATCAATTTATTGTTCAAAGAAATCAAATTGACAAATTGCCTAAAAAAATATCAATCAGTCTGAAACATTATCAACAACTTTTATTTTCTTATTCAATTAGTTAGTACAATTTTGATTATAGATTTTATATTTGTTTAACTACAATTTAAATTTATTAACAAATTTGAAATAAAAGGCTAATTATTAATAAATTTTTGAATAAGAGTACTTCCTTAGCCTAATTATTGATTAGTTTTATTTTGTGATTTAACAGCTTAAAATAATAAATTATTCTAATTTTTTTAGTGATTTGTCAAAAGTTAACATTTCTTACGTATTGATAGATAAATTACATTTAGAAGGAACCAATTTATATTGATAATCATATTCCAAACCCTCTTATAGAATAATCTTAATAATTAATACATTAAATAAAGAAATTATCCTTTATTTATAAATTGATTTTTTTATACATAAAGTTTTATTAAACAAAAATCAATCTTAAAATTCATAAATTAAATATTTTATTTAATAAGCATTTTAGTTTATGATGAAAAATAAATTTTGGATTTTTAAAGCATTTTAAAATAAAAATTAATTAATACTTCCAATAATAATATTCAAGATAAATATAATTGTAAAATTATGAAATAAACTCCTATTTGAATTATTAAAAATAAAATAATATAAAATATATTAATGTGAAGAAATTAAAAGAGACTAAATATATATATTGAGTATTTCTTACAAACTCTAAAGTAAAAAATAAAACTAATTAATTATCTTTTAATTTCCTCTCAAAATTTTTTTTAGATACTCTATATTGCAATAAATGAGGGTTGCTAATTTAACATCTTACTGAAACGATGATCTTTAAATCTATTTGAGCCATGCCTTTATTTGTTTTATTTTTATTAGGTTTATTTATTTGTTTATTTTATTTATTTATTTTAGCATTTTCTTAGAATATTTTCAAGATTACCTTATGGAAAATAAATTTTATAGCTTTTAAGAGCATCAATGTCATCTTCATACTCATAAAATTCGAAAATACCTTAAATTTATTTTTATAAATTAGAGTTCCATAAGAGTTACTTTCTATATATAAGTAAATTAATATCTAAGTTACAAGTATTTCTTACAAATATATTCTCATTTATTGGGAAAAAATAATTTTTTTCAGTAGATGTTGTTGTTTTACCATTAATAAATATTTATCTATCAGATTTTTTAATTAAGCTACCAGTGATAGATAACTTTTTTTTATTTTATGAAATACTTCTACTAGATTACTCTTTTTCATCTTTAATATTTAGAGATTTAATTTCATTATCGCTATGTTATGGGATTGTACCATTTTAATTAATAAAAATCTTCTTCTTTTTGTTTATCTCAGCCAAACTATTTGTTCTATTTTAAATAATAGGATTTATTAGCTTGCAGTCTTGCATTAATTTGATATAATTTATCAAATATTGAGTATTCTAATAAATTATTTATTCATTATAAACATCGAATTAACTTAATCCTTTCTATGTATCTTTTAATTTAACTCCAGATCCTCTACCCATGGTTATTTTCTTTAAACTATACATTTCTTCAATTGGAGAACTTTAATTGATGCTTTATTGAATAATTTAATTATTATCAACCATAACACTTTATTTATTAAGATTAGTTTTAAGCTTCTTTAAATGTTATTAACTACCTTTATTTTTAAGTTCTGGTGAGAAGATTTCTAGCTCTATACTTGTCTATTTTTTAACTTAGTTTTTTTTTAATATGTGTCTTCTCATAGGAGAATTTATTTAATGGTTAGAAAAACAATCTTCATTTAAAGGAGATATTTTAAATGGAAAGTCATCTTACTTTTGATCTGTTTGTTAAGATTTTTAGACTTTCAAATCTTCTAAAATATTGTTAAGGCTAATAATTTATCTTTAAACAGTGTCTTCTTCTTACAAATTATCATGCTAGTTTGCAAATTTATTATTTTATAAATAATTTATTGACCCTAATTGTAAAGAGTTATTTTTATTTTTTACTATTTGCTTATTTTAATCTTATTTAGAAATATTTATTTCATCACCTTTGCTTTAATTTGTAATATTATTATCATTATTTTAATTATAAGTTTGTGAAAGTAAAACCACTGATTTTTCTAATTTCTTACTATTTGAATCAAATATATCATGCTGCTAATTCTAATTAGTATAAATATTATTATCTTCTGCTTCAGGTAACACTGATTAATCACTCTGACATAATTTTTTAGTGTTAATTGTCTTGAAGGCACCACCTTTAATTAATTTACTATTATAAATATCAGTTGGAGATTCTATATAATTTTCAAATTTTAAATTTTCGTTTTATTTTAACTGGAGTTCTTTTATTTTTTATATAGACTATTCTGATGTAATATCTATGTTTTCTTCCTTAACATTAAGTTAATTTGTAAAATTGATTTAATTATTTATATTTTTATTGCTTCCTTAAATACTACTATTAGTATTATTCTAGCTACCTTATTTATTCCTCTCATTCGAGTTAAAGGTATTTATTGTATGTTTCTTCTGTTTGTTTGAGTTGTCAAGCTGTAATTTTTCATCTGAATTTTCATCACTGTTTTCTGATATCTAATTCACTGTATATATTTCAAAGCTTTTATTCTTTTAGTTTTCTATGAGCTCATTTAATTCTTCCAATATTGATTCCTCTACTCCTCCTCCCCCTACATCATTAACCTTTTAGTTCCAAAAATCAATAACCTCCAAATAAAATTTATGTAATTGGTATAAAACATTATATTTTTTTTATTTTCTTAAAATAGGAAAATTTTCATCAGGATTAGCATTATATTTATACTCTCTTTAATTAATAGAAGTAACCAAATGAACGGAGGGACATTACTAGAGATAATGGTTATAATCTCCACAAGAAAAACACTTTGTTTCCAAAAACGATATTTATTAATAGAGAGAAATATTATCTCTTATGTAGCAAATGTTTTCCTATTAGTATGTTTAATCTAATTTTTATAAATATTCAAATAAATTTTATTTTTACATAATCTTTTGGATATTTATGAAGGCATTTAAAGAACTCGCTTCTTTTTATATATGATAAATTCAAAAATGTCTTAGATTTTGCTGAATAAGGATTTGGATTATCAATAAAAAACCCAACTTATCCAAAGAAATCTTTTTTCTAATTAAAAAAATTTTTATTTTCAATATATTTTTTCTTAATTTTTAATAAATTAAATAGAAATAATTATTTTAATATGGATTTAAATGTAAGAAAAAATGCTATCTATATATAATATAGTTACTTTTAAGATTCTTAAGGTTGTTTCTTAACTAGTTGAGTTTTTACTTTAATAGTGTTTTGTTATATTTACTTCTCCACTCCATATAAAATATAAACTTTCTTCTCTATCACCTTCATTAAAAATAATTTCACCAGGAAAATATTTTTTTTGATGAAAAATTAAAGATATTTCTTTCATACATTCTGAGCTTAATTTGGAAAATATGTAATGCTTTTACAAAATTTATTTATTTATGTCTAATAAAACCTCTTCTTTAAGAATTTAAGGCAAAGTTTCTATCATGTCTGTTTACATAAAAGACTTTTTCTCTTCAACTTTTTTTTGATATTCAAAATATTTTCTCACTTTGTGTTAGAGAGTAATGCTGATTCCTTTATTATTCATTTCTCTATTTATTATTTGCATATTTCTGTTGAAATCTTTCTTCTTTTTTTCTAAGTTTTTAACAATTTCACTTATTTATGAAAAAGTATAGCCAAATATTGCACATGCTATTACACTAACAACAAGGATAAAAGATTTTTCAGCTTTTTTTAAAAAATAGAATTAAAATTTTTAGCATTTTTAATACAAAATACTTAGAGTTTTAGGTGTAATATCTCCGTATCCTATTGTAGTCATTGTTATAAGACAGTAATATAGACTATTTAAATACTATTCTTTGAAATTAGCTTGTTGCAGATTATAATATATGATCCAACTTTATCCCGAGTGTATTTACTCTAATCCAATTTTCAGAAAAATACAGCAAATAATGTGAGCTATGAAAAAAATAAAAAATTGAAGCTTGAATAGTTTCAACAAGTTTGACATCGTATCATTTAATCTAAATTTAGACTCTAATTCTTCTAACTTACTACTAACATCAATGATTTTTAAGAAAACAACATAATTAAAGTATGTAAGAGGGTTATCATTTTCATTATTTATAGATAGCATCAAAAAAACTAATACTAATATGTCTTTTCTAAAAAAAAATAAAGATTTTTTTATTTATATTTTTTAATGTTATATTTTACAATAAATTCTTATACTATTTTTTGAGGATTTAAGCTCTATCCTTGATGACTAACCCATTTTTAAAAATTCCCTTTTAAATAAACATATTAATTTTTTAATAATATGCTAATACAAAGATTAATTTTTCTAAAAAATAATTTACAGAATTGAGGTTAACAAATATATCTAGTAGAAGAATGATCAAACACATTTAAATGCAAAAAGCCTATTAACTAAAATTTTCAGGAAAGAGGTCTAAAAATACATGATAAAGAGGAACATAAGCTATAAATATAATGTTAAATACAACCATAAAAAAGTCCCATGCTAATTTAAAAAAAGATTCCTTGATTTTATTTATTTTTAAAGAAAAACAAAATATTAATAATATAAAAAATTAAATTTTGTTTGATTAATTTAATGATTAACATAAATAAACCAAATAAAGTAGTTACTGGTTAAATAATGTAGCAGAGTAATTCGATTTGAGAAAGTCTATCAATAAATTTATCAACTTTTATTTAATTATATTAATTTGCTTAAATATTTACATTTTTTATTAAAAATAAATTAAAAAAATATTTTTTGATATAATTTCTATTTCGAATTGTTTAATTAATTTCTACCTCCAATTCTATAAAGCAATTTTTATGTAAAAGTTTTATCCTAATTAATTAATTAATTAATAAAAATACTAATTAATCATCTAATGGATAAGAATAATAAATAAATCATAATGCCAAATAAATATATACACTTAGATTGAAGTATCCTTTTTCGAAGTAATAATCATAATTTGAAGAGACATCATTAATCAATAAAAATTATGGCTTAGACAATGCCTTGAAAAGTAGTCTTCTTGATTTCTTTTTTATATTTGATATAAACTTTTTAATGTTTTTTATAACTAAAAATTCAATTCCTTTTTTAATAGATTATCTCTTAGCTTATTGTATGCTAGAGCTATCTAAAATTCCATATTCACTGAATTCTAATTTCTCGCTTTAGTATTTACTTTCAGTTTACAATTTACTAACAAACAAGTTCGGTTTTGTATCTTAGACATTCTTGCTCAAATTATCATTTTTTATATCTTTTTTTTACTAATCTCTCTTATCGAACAACTAAAATTAGCTATCTCTATTCATTTACTACTAACTCTGAGACATATTTAATAGATCTTTTTCTATGTTAAACACTGGTGTGCAGAGCGGATATATTACTAAATTGTCTTTAATCATATCTTAGTTTTATATACTCTTAATTTAATTTTTTTGATTCTAATGTTCTACATTGCTGTTGAGTGTATTTCTTTCAATATTTATAAAAGTGTCTTTTGGTTCTACTTTTTATCTGAAATTTTTTATTGTAGTTTAATAACTATGTTTTCTAATTTCAACTTCGTTTGGACATTATATATTTAAATTGTTAGATTTAATGTTTGATATTTCTTAACTCTTTAACTCCATAATCTACTATTTTTATATTTAGGTTATTTAAAAATTTGCAAACTTTTAATTAATAACTTATAAATTTATTATTTATAGAAAATTAATTGACAATTTTATGGATGAAAAAGTGATCAATCAATCAATAATTTATTTAGAATTGTATGTCAAAAACTTTTTTCTTTTCTTATTTTATCAGTGACATTTTGATTATTTAATATATAATTGATCAATTTCAATGTGAATATATTTATGAATAAATGAAGCAATTCTAATAACTAATTAATGATTTAATACTTAATTTTTCTATGCCTAATTGCTTATTAATATTTTTATTTACTTTTTCTTAACAAACAAAACGATTGACTATTATTTTTAATATTTTTTGTCTTAAAATTAACATTTTTTATAAGCAAATAATTTTTTGAAGAAACTACTATATTGATAAACCTATTTCTTAACCTTTTATAGAATAAACTTTAATAAGTTGTGAGTTAAGTAAAGAAATCATGATAAAAATATTATCAAGCTAAATTCTATTTTAATTAAGAGACTTTCTATTTTGATATGCTTATTAATTTATACTGAAATAATTAATTTTATATTGGTTATTATTTGAAATGCGGATTCTGATATTTTAAGGCTCTTTTAGATCAAAAATTTATATTTTTTCTTATAAAATTCATTGTTATTCAATAAAATCTATTTTTTTTAAAAAATGAAAGAACTTTTTTATTTCTCGAAATAAAAGATCAAGCTGATAAAAGATATTTGAGATAAAGAAACTCATATTGGTTTATTAACTACTACTTAAAAAAAATATAGGTAAGGAAATAAAATATTAAAAAATAAATTTAGTAAAAAATTAAAAAAGAATTTAAAAAAATAAATTTTAAATTATTTTATTTAAGAATTCATTTTATATTAAAGTAACGCTAATAAAGTGAGTTCTAATATGCTCATTTTTATATAATTAAAAAAAACAATTTATTGGATTTAGACACTTTTAAATTAATAGACAAATAAAGATATTTTATATTTTGAAACAAGACACTATTACTAAAAAATTATAAAATAAAAACAGAAAATAAGAGTATTAAAAGATCAAATAAAAATGTAGAATAAAATTTGTCTATTTCGATTGAGGGAATAGCAAGCATTTAAAATATTAAATTAATCCTATAAAATTTAATATAAAATATTAAATCAAAATAAATGCTGAAAAATGGAAAAGATAACATAAAAAGAACAAAGCGAGGTTTATAAAACTGAAAATTCAGTTTAAATAATTGAGAAAATTGCAGTTTAAGATAAAGACATATAAGTAAATGAATACTCATTTAATAACATGAAGGTCAAAGATTACTACATGCAAGATGCTGAAGAAGATGTAGAAAATGAAAAGTTCTTCAGCTCGGAGGAATTTCATGATAATATGACAAGAGGCCTATCAGTTATTGAGGATGCTGAAAATAATACGAAGATATTTTAAAGGAGAGGCCATAGAAAATTTGATGATCTTGGCAAGGAAAAAATAAAATTATGGTTGTCTAAGTTGGTAGATTAGAATTTTATAAATAAGAAATTTAAGGAAACTGCAGAAAATGTAGAAAAGGAAATTACAGAGAATGACAAGAAATTAATTTTGAAAAATCATCCTGTAAATTTTGAATATTACTCTACTATATTTATTTATAGAACTTTTAAGGATGATGGTGCTTGCTCATAAATCTCATTCTGTAAAAACGCTCAAGCTTGGGTAGTTTGCACAAAAAATGAGTCTCTTATTTTTAAATAAAAATCTGATGCTTTGAAAGCTGATAAAAGATACAAGTATATTATAACTATGGGTCTTCTTTGGTTTGAATATCTTGATAGTTTAGACAATCAATTAAGAGAAGAAGTTTGCTAATATTTCTCTGATAAAACTTTACTTTCAGAGCTTTGTGGAGGTATGTGTAAGTACTATGTGAAGTATGATTCAAACCCTGTTTTGATTAGCTTTTCTATAGTCAAGAATTAACCAGGAGATATATGCATTAGCCCAGAAGAAGCCGAGGCTATTTTTAAGAAATTTAAATTAAGATACAGATAAATTTAAAAAACTGTTGAGTGTGATAACTACAGAGATTTTTATAAGCTTTACAAGTAAATCTATATTGAAGTAAATAACTATTCATTTTTAGAGAAGGGCGAAGGAGAAGTGCTCTATATTTGTGGGAGACCTAGACTCAGTCCTGAATAAATTAAGGTCATAAAGATGGTTAAGCTTAAGACTATTGAATACAAAATATTAAAGGAAGGTGAGTAGTTTGTAAGCAAATTAAATTATGTTAATAATGAAATCTCGTAGAGTATAATTAAAGATTTTATTCACATTCTTCAAAATTTGCCTAAATTTAAAGGATTGAAATTAAGCAAAGTTTATTTACCTGCAACAATTAGATTAATGAAAAACTAAAAAATAGATATTAATCCAGAAAATATTAAGAATTTTATTATCAAATAATTTGGTGAGCAGAAATTAAAAACTTTATAAAGTTGATTAAATTAAAATATTTATTTAAGTATCTTAAAGTTTATTTGTTTTGAATTTATTAAATTTTATATTTAGTGTATTGAGACCTTCAACTCAAATTTTTTAAATAAAAATGTTTATTACTCTTCAATATTAATGAGGAAAATAAATAAATTGAGAAAAATAATGTTAAAAAATAAAGATATAACGAGATTTCATGGTGATTTGAATTACCTCTTATTTTAATTATGAATATATTATATATATTTTTTATTTAACAACTACCCAATTTATTATTACTATCATTATTATTTTCGATAATTAATTAAAACAATAAATTTTTTTAAAAAGTATGGATTTATCATATGTTTTTCACTCATTTAAATTCATCATATAACTAATATATTCAAAAATAAAATTAACTCATAAAATGGAAGATATAGTAAAATAAAAATTTTGATAAATGCTAAGTATTTATTTAACTATTCAATCATAAAAATATTGCTTATTAGAAAAAAAATAAAATTTTCAAAAACAATCAACTAACTAATTTATGGAATTTAAGAGACATACATAAACTCAGATAATACAGTTCAACATGTCCTCTAAGGACATCTTTATTTACTCGATTAGCATTTCTTTATCAGTAATTTTGGATAAAAGGATTCAAGTAAATTAGATATTTTTTAACATTTTTAAATACCCATACAATCATAATATAAATAAATTAACTCTTATTTCACTTTGCATATTCTAAGTCCATACCATATAAATCATAAAGTATTTGTGAAGGATTCATTCCAAATATTTTGCTTTATATTTTATGGAACAACAAAATCTAGAATTAAGTTTATTAAATTTATTTTTTAATTTTATGAAATCCAATAAAATGTTCATATTAGTAATCATCATTTAATTGTTACATTGATCTATTTATTAATATTTTTTTGAAATCCAAATTCATATAAGATGTTTTAGGAAGAAAATTTTCTGGGATATATTTTGAATCATACAAAGTTAATTACATGGCTTCTTTGGTTACTAATTTATGAACAATAAGGTTATTAAAATAAGCTAGTAAATCATATTTTACAATATAAATTGTAGATTACTCCTTAATTTATAAAAGTAATTTAAACAGTTTTATTTACTCCTCTAAGCTCAAGTCTTTATCTTCTTCAAGCTATTAATAGCCATCTTTTAATTTTTTTTTATAATCTATATAAATTTGACAGTTAAATTTTATATACTTTTCAATAAAGGGTATTATTTGGGATTTTTAAGTGATTGAATTGTTTTGGTAGATTACCTTTTCTGAAACTAAAAAATACCTTAAATGATGGCAAATCCATTCTGTTTGCAATAAAATTAACCATAGATAAGGCTTTTTGTCTATTGAATAAGTAGAAATTAAAAATAAGCTTGCTATTAAACAACCTTTAATTATTAATGTAGCTTTGGAACTTATATAATACTTGAATTTATTTTTATTTGAAATAGATTTTAACTGAAAGTGCCCTTCATCTAAAATAGTTGCATACATCCAATATATTGTTCGCATTTTAGAAATTTTTATATACTAGCTTGTAAATATTTTGAAAACTATAGCTTGGATTATTGTTAGAGAGAATATGGTTATCCCAAATTCTAAAATAGTTTGGTAAGAACATCTAACTACAACTAAAAAGGTAAGTAATACAGTTTAGGTATAGCTAAAATGAACCAAATTGGTTGTTAATATGTTTACAGCAAATATATTAAATTTATTCTTATAGCTATAGAGATAGGTAACTGCAATAATAAAATAGGCCATAAATAATAGAGCGAATATGAATATGTACTTGTTATTAGAAATAATTTCATTATTGTTAGCTAAATCAATCAATATTATTAGTAATGGATAATATACTAAAAGATATATTGGCTCTAATTGCTATACGAATTCAGATAGATTTTTATCATTCAGATTTAAGAAGTTTAAGAAAAATACTGAAAGCAATTTATTATTTGTTTAATTTAGAGTATTTGGCATTTTAGATAAGTTAATGGTAACAATAAACCTATGTAGAATCACAAAAACTAAAATTATTATCGGATATATGAGGAATCTTTGACAAATTAAGTGAATAGATAAACAAAACGAGCAAAGGCTAACTACATCCGGAAAAAGCCCTGCAATTAGTAACCCTTTATAATAATGCATCCTTGCTATTTTATTTATTGTTTCTTATAATCTAAATATCTTTAAAATTTATATATTACAAAATCTGATAAATTCAATTTATAAAGATAATTTAAATATAATTGCAGATATTTATTGATTGATACAAGTAAGTATGTTTTGATTAAAAACTTGTTAGTATTGAGTTTTAACGCAAATACATAAGATTCTATTTTTTTATATTTGATAACAAAAAATTAATTTAAAAACTAATAAAAAAAATAATTATCTCATTATTATATTTAATATTATTTAATTTTTAAGTTGTTTATTTAATTTATTCAAAAATTATTTTTGAATGTTTGAAAAAATCTTAACTCATAAAATTACATTTTTAATTTACTGATTTAGCGTATTTTGAGAATAATTCATGAAATTTAAGCTATTTATATAAGATATCTTTAGAGAAATTATTATTAGAGGTCTAAAATAATATTTTAAGAATTTTTAATTAACTCAAAATATAAAAAAGTAAAATAAATAATAATATCAATTTTTAGCAATAGAATTCATTTATGCATTTGTATATGTGATAATTCTATCAAATTATTCGCTACTACTGCTAAAACGTTCTTCTGCTTCCATTATCATAGCTCTTGCACAATCTACGCTCTCTATGCTTGGTCCACAGCAACAGCAGCAGTACTAGAAAAACTTTTCTATGCATCTTGAATCATTGTCTCTATTTCTCAAAAATCCTTTTATTTATTATTCATTATTTTACTTGCTTTTATAATAATGCTTTAAACAATATATTTATTATTTACCTGGTTAGAATATAGAATAATATCTAAAGTTTAAATCTTTAATTGCTTGTTCAATCTATAATAAAAAATATAATATGTTAAATGGCGATAATTATTAGACAGACTAATTAATTTTACCTATCCTTTTGTTTTTGTGTATAAAAACATAGATTTAGCATTAGCTCCTACAGAACTTAATAGAGAAAAGTGAGGAATTTCTATAATTTTTAAAGATCAATTACTTGAAATATAAATAATATATTCATTTATTTACTATTGTGCTCAGCTATTTATGCTCCCCAAAAGCAGTATGTATAATCAACTTTAAAGAATTAATCCTTTTTTGAAATAGAATATAATTATAATTTCTTTGCTAATAAAAAAATTTACCTTTCCTTCTTTCGTTCTAGATCCCAATGTGCAAAAGAATGAATCATAATTTCTAAATTAGACCCATTTTTCTGTTTCTTGTAGCTCATCTAAACTGCCTACTTCGATTATTTTCAGTTTTTCAAAACCTAATTTTATTCATAAAAAACATAAACGCTAAATTTTTATAGATTTCTCTTTACCTTGTATATTGTTCCATTCATTCAATTTTCTTCTAACGATTACTGATACTTCTACCCATTTTTTATTGCTACACAGCTCCCTTACGAGTACCTAATACATAAATACATAATACAATTTATAAAACGTCTTTAGATATTTCACATACTCTTCCAATAGCTCCTGTTGAACCTAACACTACAGCTTTTAGTCCCCTATTAGGATTAATATTATTTTATTCCATTTAAACTTTTTCAGGTTAGATTTGATTGCTCAAGATATCTAATTGACTTTAAAAATTTTGTTTTATACTAAATTTTACTATAAATTAATTAATAACATAAATCAACATTTAAAAACTTGCCTGTTCATAAATTGGATATTTATAAAAACTATCAAACAAACAAATAATGATAGATTAAAAGTGTAAGATTTATTTTTACAGTAATTTTATTATTCTAAATAGAAAAATAATGCATTCTATTCTTCTATTTAGAAGTATACTTTACAATTTAAATATATAATTTTAATAAAGAAGGCCCATTAATATAGATGATGCAAAATCCACTTAAAGTAAGAATATATCATAAAAATTAGTAAAAAGTTAATTTTTAAAAATAAACTTAAAATATTATTTTTTAATGAAATAAATTTCTACTTTTATTTCAACTTGAAATAAGTTTTGGATATTAATTTTTATAAAAATATAAAAAATTTCATAACTTTTAAAAAAGAAAAGAAGAATTATCAAAATTGAAGTTATGAAATTTTTATATGAAAGTTTTTTAGATATTTTTAAGAACTATTCAAACAAATATTTTTTTAGACTGGTCAATTAATAATTTCAATGATTATTATCAAACTAATTGAGTGTTTTTTGTGCGATATTTAGTTTATTAAGTATTGGTGGCTCCACCAAAGTATTAAGATTTTTTGCTCTTCCTATTTTTCATCATCTTTTTGGTTTCTTTTCTTCTAATGTTACTTTTTATTTGATAGAAATTTCCTTAAGGAAAGTAAAATTTATAGTTTTGCAAGGCATCTATTTCTATTTCATTATCTTCTACTAAAATATATTCTTACCACTCCTCTCCAATTTCTTCAATTCTTTAGTTTTTAAGTTATGCTAGTAGATATATTTTTCTTAAAACTAAGATATCAATATCTTATACTCCCTTTACACACCTTATTTAGAATTCTACATTTTAGCTAATATCTTCTGCTATTTATTCGCCTTGATGGAACTTCTCTGGAGGCAGTTAATTATTTTAAGCAATTTCATTTTGCTAATCCTACTGAATTTCATGCTAAGACTCTACGTTAGGAATCATTTTCATAGATTATAATTATTTTTTTAAAGAGTTTTCTTTAATAGCAAATTGGATAAACTTTGATTTATTCTCTCTAGTGCCCTCGCCTAAAATACTGTTTGGATTATGTTTTTAAGTACCTTAAGTTAATAAATGCATAAAGCTTTATGCATTTTAAGAGTTAGAGTTCAAAGTATTTTATTGAGGAAGCTGTTTTTCTTATTATTTTTATTCGTTATTCTATACTTGATATGGTTACAAATGTTATAAAGCCAGTTTATAAGTGTAATTTGTATTGTTTCTTCCATAATAATAAGAATCTCTATGCTTATTTGAGCTAGCAGTAGATTACTATTCCTATAAATTAATTGTTGCGTGTCTCTTATCTTTTCTGTGGATACTAGATTATACAGTAGGAGTTAAATTTCCATTTACAAATTACTTTTACTTCAACACTATTTAGCCGTTCTATTATTATTCAAATTCTGGAGCAATTAATTACTGAGTAAGACCTTTTAAACTATTTCTTGGAATATTTCTTAATGAAGAGCTAAATGTTTCATTCATCTTTGAAACCATTTTACAGCTCTATTTTTTTTCTTCTATTCTTTTGTGAATTTCTTATTCAACGATTGTCAAGGACTAGATCGATCTGTTTGTTCTTCTTTACTAGAGTTATTCTTAAATGCTAAAATTTTAAGGAGTAAGATTGCTCATATCCCACTCAGAATTAATGTTACAACTTTCGTCTCTTAATTATATCAACGGTAATTATGTGTTAGTTTGCTAAGTTACAGTTTATTTCTTTGATTTTGCTTGTCTTTGAAATAGCAATCCTTGAGAGGAAGCTTTTTTCTTTAGAGAGCCTGATAGAGGTTCAATATAGAATTAATTTTCCTAAAAGAGAGGTATATCAACTTTCTATGGGGATTTTGAATTACCTTAGGCAGTATTTCTCTCTAAAGAATTAGAATTTGAGTTGTTGATAAATGAGCTGTTGTTATGTCCTTAATCATTCTAAAGGAATTTTTTTTCTTCGTTTCTTAAAAACTATTATTGCTGCTGCATTATCTATAAATCAATAGAATTTTATATTGAATCTTTTGATTTCTAATTGGTAAATTGCTATATTGCTGATCCAACATCTAAGCTATTAGTTAAAATATCATTTGTATGCTTTTTAATTTGCTTTTCTGTTTAAATACCCTCATCTAAACTAGTTAATTTATGCATTTGGTTTTATAAACTTAAAATATTTTCTATTTTTTCGTAATGCTAAGTTTATCCGTAATTGATATCAGAAAAACCTTGGTTCAAGATAGGAAGTTAAAGTTCGTTTTCCTATGAATTCTGTAAATCTCTAGTAGTTTATTTTTCTTTTTTTCTTGGAATCATTGAATTTCTTATTTAATTCTCATCATCATTTTCTTTAATTATATCCAATTTATTGAGATAATTATTTTTTAGACCATCAGCTGATTATGTGTGTTTGAGAACTTGTTAATCATTTTATAAATTTATAATTACATCGTTTTCTTTCACTTAAGCATTAACAGCATTTTCGAAATCAACTTATTAATGCTAAGTTGATTGATTTGTTGTTGTTTAATTGTGTTTTCTATCAAAATTGTTTGCATATGACACAGGACTAGTATCCTTCAATTATTTTTCTATAGTGTTTATTCTATAAATGTCATAATTTGTTTTAAGCTCCTCTGGATGAATAATAGATTGCTATATTATCGAATATAGATCACTGTTGATCGATTAATTTAAATAATCAATAACATCTTTCCTTAAATCTTCATAGTTTGAGTGAAAAGGTTTTTTTTAAGCTCTTCTAGAATGCTTAATTCTCTCTTCTTATGAAGACTTTTTTTAGTTATAAGGAATATTAAAATTCACATAAGGACAGCTCTCTAATTGATGATTAAACTCACCGCATGAGTAGCACTTCAACTTCATCTATGAATAGTCATGACTAAATATTATTTTATCTTTTATTTCTGAGAATATTTCCTTTTAATCAAAATATATTTATTAGAAAAGTTTTTAATCATTATTGAAAATATATTTAATTAAAGTTAATTTATTTACATAGTCATCTGAATTATTTCTTATGATTTACAAAAAATCATTTCTACTGATATAAGACAAAACAGTTACTGAACTTGTCTTTGCTGTATAAGAATTTTGCGAGTTTGTGATAAAGCCTTGTTGACCGAAAACATCTTACTTCTAATTACATAAAATATTCAATCAAAAATAATTAAAAACAAGCTTTAAAAATACTTTCAAAAATTTGAAGTTCATTTCTGGTTGAGATGTAATTTTATCAATCTTAGTCAGGACAGGAATTGATAGACTGACTTATCCTTAGTTTATATAATATATTTTATCATTTAATTCACCAAATTTGAAAATAATTTCTCCTGGAAAATAAACTTTCTACTTAATGAGGAGCGTAATCTGCTTTTGAGATACTTAGGAAAACTTTGATATTCCCAAATAATTAATATTACTTATCATCTCTTTATTTATTTCCAATAAAACCTCTTCCTTAAGCTAATAAGGCAGAATCTCAAGGATGTTTGTGTCAAATGATGATTTTTTAGTATTTTGAATGTAAAGATATTCAACGTATTTTCTAATCTTGTGCTAAAGCTGAATATTTATATTTCTGTTATTCATATCTTTGTTTATTTCTTTCATAAATTATTTGAATTCTTTTTTCTTAGCACTCTAAGTTTTAACAATATCGCTAATCGTTGAAATTGAATAGCCAACAACATTTTAAGAAACCAAAGCGATAATTAGTATAAACACTCTCTCATCTATAATAAAATTAGAAAAATATTTTAATTTCTAATCAATAATGTTAATCAAACGAATAAAATAAAGATTTTTTTATGGTTTACATTAAGTAAAAGGAGCTATATCACCATATCCTGTTGTAGTCATAGTAATGATCATGAAGTATATAGAAACAAGATACTGATCGGAAAAGCTATAATCATCAAATTAATAATGTTGAAGCCAATTACTTTTACCTTCTAGCTGTTCGGATAATGCTATCCTTATAAATATGCAACTAGCTATGTGTGCGATAATTAGTATCAAGCACTCTAATTTTAATAATTTTAACCAATTTAAAATAGATTCGCTAATTTATAATCTTTATTCTATTTCTGATATCTTTTTAGGTAAATCTACTATCTTCCAAAATATACAATAATCAAGCAAGCTAATCCAAGAATTATTTTCACCAGTTTAAGATACAAAATATAGACTTATAACAATAATATCCTTCCTGTTACATAAAAATAAAAATATTAAAAATGGCATGTTAAATTATATAACTTTATTATTACGCGATGAAATAAAAGTTCTTTTTTATGATTAATCTTCGATCTTTTATAGTGATACCATTATAGAAAATTCCCTATTTTAGAAAATAAAATGTAAACTAAATTAAAATTATAAATATTTTAAGAAAAGAGTAATGAATCAAAATAAATCTTGTAATTTATTATATCAATTTTTTAATTAATGGTAAAGAAGTATTAGATAAATAAATTACTGAATTCAAATTTATGATTAATTCAAAAACTAAAATTATTGAAATGAAAGCAGAATTAAAGAATCTTAGAAGAGGGACGTTTTGTGTGTCATAAATATGGCAGACAGGAATAATCAATATCATTAGGATAATAGCAATTATTATGAAAATATCCCTTTTAAATTAAATATTTTTTTAAGAAAAGCAAATCATTCATTAAATAAATCATACCAAATGAGTTTAAAAATAGATTCCTATTTAATTAAAAAAAATATATTAAGACAAATTAAATAAAATTAGCAATAAATAAAAAATTAATCAATAAATTACTGGCATTAACATGAGATTTCCACTTAGGAATTAATTTATAAATTCAGTGATTTTTAATTCTAGTTGTTTATTTGAAAGATTTATTATTAAATAATGTATTTTTTAGTTATATAGAGGCAACACTTTTCAATGTTTATATATGCTATGTAAATAAATAAATTTAAGTAACAATTTCTTTTTAGTTATTTACACAGGAAGTATTTATAATTTTCACATCAAAATTTAATTAAAATTGTTTACATTCCATAAGATAAATGCACTTTTTAATGAAGGTTGTTTTCTTTTTTAGAAAAAAATTTTAAAGATCAAATTGAATTCAATTTTTATAAATTTTACTTCAGAGTAAATGAATCTTTATTAATAAATATAGTAATTAAAATCAGAGGCGAAATCATCAATCATTCCAAATTACTATCTAGTCAATTTTCTAAACATTACATTTCTAACTCTTTTAATTAATTTGTTAGCAAAATTCTTTACCAGTGCCATTTTCACTATAGAAAATGTTCCTTTTGTTGTGTTTACTTATAAGTTTTTTGAGATATCTGATTTTGCCTCTTATTCCAAATCGTGGCTTTATTTTTTTGCGTTTTACTCGTCTGTTTCGTTAATAATTTGTATTGAATTAGTTCGAGCGCTTATAGATGATACAGAAACTCTATTATGTTTATCTAATTTTTCAGAAAATCTACAATTTAGGCTATTTATTTTTTCACTTTCGAAATTTTTACTTCCTAGGAGGGCTTTGGATTAGGTATTTAAAAAATTCTAGTAAGTTTAATCGAACTGCTGATTGTTGTTTGGATTGATTAAATTGTTCAAAGATACTATTTGAGGGTCATATTAATGTCTTTATTCTATACCATTATTCTATTATTTTGAAAAAGGAGCTAAGTTATTTTATTAACCTATCTAGTAATCTAACTAATTGCTAAAATTTTGATTCAAATCGTTATCTATTTCATAGTATTTTGGACTTAAAAAGTCAGAGTAATGCTGATTAGAATGAATTTATCCCATTAAGCTTAAGTTATTTCCAGTTTAATTTTGAGACATGTTTTAATTTTAATTTATTGTACTATTATTATTAGTTTATGAAAGCTAAAAAGGTGGATTAGTACTATTATTAATCATAGGAGCATCTTGAAACTTAGATTAGCTCATACTTAATTTAAAATCCTATTCTTCCCTGCCAATAATGTTATTAGCTACTTAAGAAGATAAAATGAATTTGTTTTCTTTGTCTAACGTTTCATCTAATTAAATCAATTATGTATCTTAATTCATAGTTGCTAAAAAATCAGAGGTAAAAAAAAAACTAAACAAAAAATCTAATTATTAATTTTTAATTATCAATTTAATCCAATTATTTTTTTAAATGCCTTTATGTTAAATGTTGAATGCTTAATTATAAAAATTGAATGAAATAAATGAATTTATGTACGTTCAAATATTTTGAATTGCTAATTTCAAGTATAATAAAGTTTTTCACTTTAGCATTTATAATAAAAATACCAAAGAAAATCCTATTAAATTTATAAATTTCATCATAATGATCTATTTAAGTAAGCACAATATTTTATAATTTATAAAACTATTATATTTTTTATTTAAAAATCAATATATTTATTATTTTTTCTATTGTATTTTTTTGATTTTATAATATTTAATTATTTTATAAAACAGTCATTAAGCTCATTTATAAAATTAATTCAAAATATTTTTATCTTTATAAAATTAATTTTTTTAAAATTATTATTTAATCAAAAAACCCCCAAAATATATATATTTACTAAATTATAATTTTAAGTGATTTGAATAAAAGTTTTTTTAATTTTAATTCTGTAATAATCTTAATGAAAAATTTTAATTAAAATCTTTAAAATAAAGATCAAATCCAAAGATATATATTTAATTTATAGTCATTTTATATATTTACTTTAAGATAAATATAAAAGTTAATAAAGGTGAAGAAAGATCCTTATTGGTGCAAGTTTATTGATAATAATTATTGGTATATATATATATATATCTTAACAGTTTATCTATAATAATTTTTATATATCTTTGTTGATAGTTTTTTTCTAAAGAAACGATTTTACATTATTTATGCTTTTATCAAAATATACTTAATAATAAGAAAAATAATTTTTGTAAAATATTATTATTAAAAAACTTAAAATAAAAGAATAAAATAAACTTTTTCAATTTTTTAAACATAAAAATAATTAAAAATAGCTAAATATTTTTAATAAAATTAATTTTTGCATGTATTTATTTATGATATCAAATATCTGATTTTGAACTATTTTTATGTTATTATTTAATTTTTTACTTCTTTAATTTTTTAAGCTTGATATGGGATAGAACCTACTTTTTATCTTAATAATTCTTATACCTATTTAAGACAAATTTATGATTATAATTTGCATAGTAATATTTAAAGTTCTACATTCTATCTATATCTATTTCATTATCAGGAACTTGTATAAAATTTTGGATTTTATTTTATTATTACTAAAGCATGAATTACTTTCTAACGACCAGCATGTCAAGATCTTGCAATCCTATTTTTTACCTTATTGAAAATTCTGTAAAATTTTCAATTTATTAATTAAAGTCTTCTGCTTACTTAGTACTCTCTTTAAATATTTATTAATTTTAATACTAGTGGGAATCTATTATTTCATTTTCAGATCGATTTTTATGAATGAGTGCCAGTTATTCAATTAAGCTATTTAAGTATTCTTTATTTTGAATATTTTTTAATTATGTTGATTAAGATCTTAACTTACTATCCCTCAAACTCATTAAAATATCTAACAATGATATATTTTACTTACTTTAATTAAAATTAAAACTTTTTTTTGTATCATAAACTTTATCTGATAAGGATCTTTAAAAGTTATTAAATTATTATAGGCTTCTCATTTTTCTCTTTTAGAATGCCTATTTTAAAAGATAAATCTCTGGCTCCTCAAAATAATTTTGGCTTGATTCAATCAAAAGAGTATTAATTTTTTATATTTTAAATTAGCCTCCTGATTGCTGAGACGAGTACTACTTATCAATAGTGCTACTTCCTAAATTAAAAATCCCATTACTTTTTTCTTAATTCAGTTTATCCTAATTACTTAGTTTATCTTTATAAACTTCTTCTGTTAGTAAAATACTCCTATTTGAATTTCTGTAACCACAGCTTTCTTCATTGAAAATATCTGTTTCTTTTGATTTTTAATAAAATTCTGATAACTTTTCTTTATCTTAGTCATTCACTAAGGTATTTTCGTTTGCTTTTAATTATGTTTAATCAGATTAACCACTTTCATCTATTTTTATAGATACTTCATTTACAAGTTATTCTTATTCTTTATTTTATAAGTTAGTTAAATAAGGTAGTTTTTAACTTAGAGATTGAAATGGAATAGTTTATTTTTCTGCTATTTAAGGAGAACTTTAAGCTTTATCATTATTTTTTGAATTATTGAGGGATTATGAAGAAAATTCAGATTAAATTTCTTTTTCATCATTTACTGATATTGGCTTTAAACAAATATTGTAAGCATCTATAATCGCGGACTCATCATTATTAGCTTAAGCTGCCATAGCTTTTTCTTAAATATATATTAAATTATTTAAACTATTTCTTTTTCTCTCCATTTTTCTTTAGAATTATTAAAGTCTTGAATTTTTTTCTTTAGAAGGTTTATAAGTTAGGTTAAGACTTAAATATGGACAGTCAAAAATTTGGTGTGAAAATTTTCCACAAGAGGTACACTTTTAAAATTTAAAAAATTCATTTTTCTATCCAAAAATAGCAGAGTCCCTCATGAATATGAACTTTTCCTAAATGTTAAAAATAAAATTAATTTACTCTAAAATCTTCTTAAAAAATAATTTTATTAGTTTTTTAAATTAATAGTTAAGCAATTTTCAAATTTGTTTGTTTATTAGAAGAGTCAGCTTAATAGTTGTTAATAAAACTCAATTCTAAAAAAAATATCTGATATTTTTATTAAAAATAGTGTCAAGTTATAAAATTATCTCTTAAATATTATATTTAAAAGGGGGGAATTATAGTTGGATATCACTCATTTTAATTTTCAATGGCTTCAAAAGGGAGATTCCAATTTTTTTAATTATTTATGATTAGAATAAGGAGAATCTAATTAATATCTTTAATAAAATGCAATAGATTGGAAGTCTACTTTAAGAGTTCTTTAGACATCAAAAAAGTCTCTTGACTGTTAAATTTTTAATATTGATATAAAAAATAAAAATGTTTCATGACAAAAAAGAGCTTTTTTAATCCCACTCCTCCTTACTTTTACATTGTAGAATATAAATTCTAATTATATTTTACAAACTAAAATATGTATTTGACAAATAACAATTTTAAACCAAAAATTAATTAAATATTGAATGATTTTAAATTACATAATCTTAAGGATATTATTTTAAAATTTATAGAAAAAGATTTCTGTCTATATAAGAAACAAGTGAAGGGCCAATAGATTTTAGTGTATATTGACTACATTTTCCAAGCAAAAATCCTTCATAGCCAAAAGCTTCTGATTTCTAAGTAATTTAAAAACAATATATGAATAGAAATTGAAATATTTTTATAACTTTTCTAAATTACCTGAATTTTTTACTTGCTTTTTTCATATGTTTTACCTGATTTTGTTTCTCTAATTTAGAAGTTAATTTCTAAATTTCCAGAAATTAAAAAATAAAGGCTTTAGCTATTTTCATATTAATTTAGAAGAATCTCATCTGGGAATAGTTATTTTTGTTTAAAGGAAAGAAGAATATTTTTCAAGCAATCAGATGAAAATTCTTTAAACATTTTTATGGAATTTATTTTTTCTTGATAAATATCAATTAAGACTTCATTCTTTAAGCTATTTGGTAATTTATCAACAATAGATTCTGAAATTTGTTGCTTATATTCATCTTGGTAATATACAAACTCAAAATGCTTCCTCACTTTCACTTATAGACTCATTCCTAATCCTATTTTTTTCATTTGATTATTTACGTCTGTCATGAAATCATTGAATTTCTAATTTTTAGAAGACTCAAATTTAACAATCTCGCTTATTTAAGAAAATGCGTAAGCAGTCACATTTGTGGCTAAAATTGATAGAAAAGCAATATACAATTTTTCATCTATTTTAAAAAATTTATTATTAGTCAAAATTTAAATATTTTACAATAAACTACTTAATTAATATGGGGATATATCACCATATCCAATAGTGCAAATAGTTATAATCATATAATAAAGAGATTAAAGGTAAAGATCCCACAAAGATTCTGTACTGAATCCTGCTTTTATAACCCAACTCATTTCTCCTTTTTAAATATTTTCAAGTCCAATTTTTAAAAAAATGCAGCAAGCAATATGGGCTAAAGCGATGACAAGTATTTCTAACTTGATTAACTTCATCCAGTTTTTAGCTGAATCACTGATTTATAATTTATTTTCAAACTCTGAGACCTTTTAAGGAATACTTAGATACTTTAAAAACACAACATAATCCAAATTTTGAAGAAATGGCATTTTTGATTTATATGAACTTGTAGAGAAGTTGTATATTATCAAGATTAAAAAATCTTACCTAATTAAATAATAAATGATTCATAAAAATCATGATTGTAAAATAAATAAGTTTCTAAAAATTTGCAAATTTTTGGATTATCCAAAGATTTTATAATATCTACTTCTCATTTCAAATAATTCTAAATAGAAAAATAGAAATTAATTTTTTCTTTTTGTTTTCTTATTGATTAAAATTTTCTATAATTAATATTATTAGGTTACAAAGAATCTTGATTGCTGTAAAAAATTTGGATACAATTAATTGCAATTTTTTCGATAAAATAAATAAAAATTAATTATCCTTTCTCCTTAATATATTTTAAAATATTTTACATAAGATTATTGAAATTCTATTTAAAGATCTATCTTCTATCTCTAATGTTTACACCGTTTTCATATATTTCCTAGTTTTTTTAATTTTGAGTTGATATTTATGATAAAAGTCTAAATTAAAAAAAAAGTACTTACAGTATTTAAGCTAAGCATGGTATCAATGATAAGAACCCATGCGATAATATGGTCATGAAAAATAATTAAAAAATTCATTTCTTAGAAAACCAATAAATGCATCATAGGAATTATTATAATTAATGCTATTGTAAATAGCATTGCAAATATATCCCACATTTACATTAGCAAAGTGTCCTGTTTGTTAATAATATAAAATGATGTTACTTCACTTCTTTCTTTTTTTAAAAAGTTTACCAGAGAAAATAGATATTTTCCATCTAAAAATTCTTAGAATGATTTGCCAAAAATTTAATCTTTAATATTAATAATAATTAAGTTAATCAAGATAATTTATTAAATAATTTTACTATTTAAACATGTCAAAAAGCTGATCCCTATAGTGCGCTTAAATTGATAAAAATAAAAGTATATATTAATAGTCAAATAAATAAATAAATATATCAATACTTTTGTTTAATTTATGCACTTTCTTTTTAGATAAAAATCTAAATCAGAGGAAACATCATTTATAATATCAAATTAAAAATCAGAAATTGATTTAAATAGTAATCTTCTTGATTTTTCTTTTAGTTTATTCACAAATTTTTTCACGTCAGCAAATTTATTTAAAACAAATTATGTCTTTAGCTACTATTTTTTAGAGTAATTAAATGAAACAACCTATGTTTTTGAAGCACCTTCTTGATTTTATTAAATATTTTGAAAATCGTTTGGTTGATAGATTTCAGATAAGAAATTATTATTTTAATCTGGTTTCATGTTATTTTTGTTGTTTGGAGTAAAGAACTATTTTTTTGTAGAATCATCAAATTGTATTGGTTACAAACTGTATTAGCTTTATCTGGATTACTATGAGTTTTAATCAATTTTTCCAGCTATTTAATCAGATGGAGTCATGTCTTTGCTGATGACTGATGAGAACTAGAAAGGGCTCATGAGAAGGATATCATTGTTATCTAAAAATTGAATATCTTTAGGATTTTAATCATGTTAATATAGCAAATTGATGCTATTGATTCTTGTTTATTATTGATTTTATTAATGGTTTGCGCATTAATTTTATTATAGACGAGATGTTTAACTTATTATTGAATAATCCAAATTTTTTATCAATATCGAGTCTTCTACACTATAGTTCTTTTACATATTTTACATTTAAAAGCTTAGTCTCTCTTTAACTTTTTCTTATTCTTTTCTAAAGCTTATAGATTCATAAATGCTATCTTCCATTTTTTCTATTTTTAATTGTTTATTTGTTTATGTATTTTTATTTAAAATTATTATCAAATAATTAAGTGTAGAATCACTTTTCAATTAAAACTAATGAATTCTTTAATTAGTGTTACTTATTTTATAATAATATACAAGCATAATTAATTTGTAACCAGTTCTGTTTAATATAGTCTCTCTTTAAAAAAAATAACATAAGTTTAAATAATTAAAGTTCCTAAATATTTAGTCATAAAATTTTTTTAAATGTATTTTATGATCATAAATTTAGAAGAAGTATAGAAAAAGTGATATTTTTAGAAACCTGAAAATATTAAATTCAACTCATTTTTACATTTTAATCTGATTTAGTTTGGCATTTTATTTTTTAGCAAAAATACCAACTAAAAAAACATTTTTGATACAAAAGCTTATTATAATATTATATTGCGAGCATATAAAACTTTATATCTAAAAAAAGTAAATAAATTCAGATTGATTCATATTAATTACTTTTATGAACATTTTTGTGTAATATTAAAAGGGTAAATTTACTATGGGAATTTGAAGGCTTATAAAACCGAATAGCTTGTAGCTAAAATATGTATTTTTAAAAATATATTTTTATCTTTTCAACCTTGCCATTGCCAGAAGAATGTTTTATAAAAAAGAGTTACAAAAAATTTTTTAAACATATTATTTTAAAGATAAAATGAAATATCTAGTACAGTATAACCTCTATAATTTAAACACTCTCTATATTGAGCACCTCACTAAATTGAAATAATTTTAGGATTTTAGTGATTATTACTCAGATTTTTAAGAATGTAGTGACAAAAAAAGAGTAGTTACCCATAATATGAATAATATTTTTTTAAAGGAGAAAAAATTTTAATAAATATTACATTTTTATAATAATAGATAGATAGATAAGGTATTAAGATTAAAAATAGCTTGAGTAAATAATTTCAAAAAAAAATTAGAAGAATATTAATAAATTATAAACAATCATATAGGATGGATATTTTATATAATTATAAAATATAAAAACAAAAAAATGTTAAATGAGCTTAATATGATAAATGAATAGTTAATTCAACTATTATTTTTTTCGTTATTTATATTTGATTCTTTAATTTTTTATTTTTTAAATTTTTTTGGACTTATTAGCTATTTGAGCTTATTTAATTATAGAACCATCTTTTTATCTTAATAATTGTTATATCTATTTAAAACAAATTTATAATTATAGTTTACATTATAATATTTAAAGTTCTAAAGCATATCTATATCCATTTCATTATCTGGTACTTGTATAAAGTTTTATATTTTATTTTATTATTACTGAAGCATAAATTATTTTCTAACAACTAGCATATCGAGATCTTACAATCCTATTTTTTATCTAATTTAAAATTCAGTACAGTTTTCAATTTATTAATTTTATCCATCTGCTTGCTTAGAATTCTCATAAATAATATGTTAACCTTCATGAAAATATGTACTTAATAATTGATTATCAGAGCGACTTTTAGATATGTTTAATACCAATTATATTAGGTTATTTAAATATTCTTTATTTTAAGTATTATTTATTTTATCTTGTATCAATTTTAACTTTTTATCTCCCAAATTCATTAAAATATCTAACAAGATTACACTTTACTTTTTTTTACCAAAATTACTACTTTTCTTTCGTGTAGCTTCTTCTGTTAAAGGTTTTTAAAATGCATTCGTATGTTAATGAATTTTCAACTTTCTTCTTTAGAATGCTTCATTTATAAAATTAATATCTGCTTCCGAGAAATGATTTTGATATTATTATATTTCAAATGTATTTATATTTAATACTTTTGATAAGTTGCTTGAATGGCGAGGAGAAAAATTTTCATCAATACTTACTAATTTATGAAAGTTCTTACTTTTTTCACTATTCTAATTCAAATCATTAAAATCTTTTAATACGTCTTATGTTATCATAATACTTTTATTTGTATTTTTATTTTCACTATCTTCATTTTATTGATCTGTTTCTTTTGATTTTTAATAATAATCAGAGTTACTTTCATTCACTTATTTATGTTCTAATCTATTTTAGTTTAATTCAAATTCCGAATTATCTAATTTATTGTTTTTACCTAATTTTTAAGATTTAGTCTTAGCAATCTAACTTTATTCTAAGCTTTGTGAATTAAATGAAATGGGTTTTGTTTAATTTAAAGATTGAAGTGAAACATTCTAATTTTCTTATTATTCAGTTGTTTGTTATGGTATTGCTTGATTGCTTTAAAATATAAAACTTTAAACTTTATAATTCGTTTTTGAGTTGTTAACAAATGACTAAGAATAATCAGATTAGGTGTCATCTGTTTGTTTTTCTTCTGATATCTTGAGCATGTCTAAAAAAATATTGTAAGCATCAACAATAAGAGATTCATCATTATTAACTTGCACTGCTATTGCCTATTCTTAAAGTTAAACCATATTTTTCAAAGTATTTCTATACCTTTCTCTTTTCCTTAAAAATTGCTGATTTCTTGTATTATTTTATTTACAAGGCTTGTATGCTAGACTAAGACTTAAATATGGGCAATTTTAAATTAAGTGTGAGAATTTTCCACATGAAATACATTCTGAAAATTTTAATGACAAACTTTTCTGTCCAAAAATAGCTGAGTCTCTTAAACAAAAAAATTTTTCCTAAAAAAATGAATTTAATTAAAAATAAGCTTTATTTTAAAGTTTATGTATAAATATAAATTAAAATTTTAAGGTGAGATAAGTAAGTCATTTTGACATTAAAAAGAAATTAAAATATTAGGAATTGATAATCTTTAGAAGGTAGAAAAAATATAGTTTTATTTTTTTACAAAAGAAATAATTAATTTTCAAGTTTGTTTGATAAAAATTATTAAAATAATTCGCCAATTTATTTAAATTCCAAAACCCCCCTAATTTATTCCCTTATTATTAACTAGCATAATATTTATTATTAAAAATATAATCTTAATTTATTTACTTAATCTTCAGGATATTGTTTTAATATTTACAAAAATGAGTTTTTATCAATGTAAGAAACTAGTGAAAGACCTATTGATTTTAGTTGATATGGACTACATTTACTTATCAAAAATCCTTCATAGCCAAAAACATCTGATTTCTAAGTTATTTATTGAATAATACTTATCAATAAAATTTTATTTTATTAAAATTATTTCAAATAAATTTACCTAAATTTTTTAGTTACTTTTCTCATAAACTTTACCATATTTGGTTTCTCTGATTAAGAAATTAATTTCTAAACTTCCAGAAATTAAAAAATAAAGGTTTTCACTATTTTCATTTTAATTAACAAGTATTTCATCTGGAAATAGTTACTTTTATTTGAATGAAAGAAGTATATTTTTCAAGCAATCAGATGAAAACTCTTTAAACATTTTAATAGAGTTGATTTATTCTTGATAAACATCAAGTAAGACTTCGTTCTTAAGATTGTTAGGTAATTTATCTACAATAGAATCTGATATTTATTTTTTTTATTCATCTTAGTAATATGCAAACTCAAAATGCTTCCTCACTTTTACTGATAAACTCATCCCCAAACCTAGTGTTTTCATTTGATGGTTTATGTTTGTCATGAAATCATTAAACTTCTAATTTTTAGTTGACTCAAATTTAACGATCTCACTAATTTGAGAAAATGTATAAGCAGTAATATTTGTAGCTAAAATTGAAAGAAAAGCAATAAACAACTTTTCATCTATTTTAATATAATTTTAAATCAAAAGAAATTTCACTTAAAACATTTTACTTAATTGATATGGATATATATCACCATAACCGATAGTGCAAATAGTTATAATAATGAAATAAAGTGATATAAAGTAAAGTTCCCACATAGAATTTGCTTTGAATCCATTTTTTATAATCCAGCTGGCTAATCCTCTTTATTCATTTACAAGTCCGATTTTTAAAAAATTACAGCAAGCGACATGCACTAAAATGATGATGAGTATTTCTAATTTGATAAGTTTCATCCAGTTTTTAATGGAATCACTTATTTATAACTTACTTTCAAATTGAGAGACCTTTAGAGGGATATTTAAATATTTTAAAAATACGACATAATCCAAATATTGAAGAAATTCAAGTTTTGATTTATACTAGTTTATTGAAAAACAGTATATAATCAAGATAAAAAAATCTTACCTAATTTAATAACAAAAATAAAGTTAGGTAAAACTTAAAAAAAATTAAACAAGTCTTAATTTTTATTTAGTTGTAGATTGAATAAAATATTAAATTGTTATATCATTTCTTTAGCTTTTTAAAAATATAAAATGAATTCTGTTAAAAAAAAAATTAAAATTATTTTGATTGCTAATAAAAGCTTCCCAAAAACATTTTAATAATCTTTAAATACCAAAATTAAAAAGCTTTAAAAGAGAGAAGTAAATTCTAAAAATAGTCTTATTAATGATGTTGTCCTAAATAAAATATATATTTTGAATTATTTACATGTGTTTATTTAAATTTTATCTAAAAATTTTTCTCCTGTCCCTAATAGTAACTCCATGCTCATATATTTCCTTGTTTTTTAATATAAACTATCTTTTTTGGAATAAACATATTAAAAAGTAAGTACATACAGTATTTAAGCTGAGAATAATTTCAAACAAAAGGATCCATGTAATCACTTAATCATGGAAAATATTCCAAAATTAGATTTCTTAAAAAGACAATAAATGCATTATAGGAATCGTTATTATTAACACTAGTGTAAATAAAATAGAAAAAATATCCCACATCTGCATAGGTAAGGTATCCTATTTTTATTTAACAAATAAAGATAAAGCTTCTTTTTTGAAAATATTTACTAAAGAAAACAGATACTTGCCTTCTAAAAATTGCTAATATTATTTTCCAAATACCTTATCTGAAAAAATAAATATATTTTTAAATAATTTTAACTTATTAATAAAAAAAATACTATTTAAATATCCTGAGCTACTATTCCTTTTTGTATTCTTTTACATTAAATAAAAAATTTATAAAGAAATAAATTAAAGAAAAAATAAGTAGGATTAATTACTTTTGTTAAGTTTACGAATTTTCTTTTCAAATAAAAATCTAAATGAGTAGAAACATCATTTATTATATTAAATTAATATGGAGAAATTGATTTAAATAGTAAACTTTTTGAGCTTACTTTTAATTTATTAACAAATTTTATTACATCAGCAAATTTATTAAATACCTATTTTTATTTTTTATAATTCTACTTTTTAAACTGAGTATTTTAATTATTTGTAATGGCTATTTTGTTAAATAAAATTTGAGAAGTTTTAGGTTTACAAGCCTCTGTAAAGAAGGGGTTATTTTAAAAAAGAATACTTTTTTGATTATATTTTGGTGTGAGAAATAAGCTTTTTCTAAAATCTCCAAATTGATTTGGTTGTTAACTTTATTAGCTTTTTGTAATATCTCCATATTGGTTTGATTATTAACTTTATTTTATAATTTAAAAGGTTTAATCATTTTTTTCATCTATTAAGCTGATTGCATTAACTTCTTTTCTATTTGATGAAAACTAGAACGGGCTCATTTATAAAATATCATCATTATTCAATAATTAAAAATCTTATGGTTTCTATTATTCAGTGAGGCTTTTATTAATAACTTCTTAATGGTTCTGTACGCTATCAATATTTTAATCTTAATAAAGATGAGTAAATTAGCTTGAAATTGAGTAGTCTAAACTTTTAGACAATATCATATCATCAACGCTATTCTTTTGTTAAATATTTTACATTTAAAAACTAATTCTTTATTTAATTTTATCTTATTCTTCTCTAAAACTAAGAGATTCATAAATACTTTCTTCCATTTTGCTTTTAATCTATGCTTCTTAGTTAATTTTTTTAATGGAAAAACAAAGTATTGCTAATAATTTCTTAATTAAGCAAACAATTTGTTTTAGTTTCGAAAATCAAACATTTGGGTTTAATTAAACTAATCACTCACTATTGAATAAAGACAATTAATTAATCTTTATCAATACAACCTTTGATTTTATTTTTTTTAATTATTCATTTGCTCAAATTTTATTAACAAATAGGATTAGATATATTCTACTTGATTATTAATTTATTTATTTTTTAAGAAAAATTTCAACTTATTTTCATAAATAAACCTTACCTTGTTTATAAATTTGTGTATTTACTAATTAATCTCTTAATGATTTAAAATATAGACAAATAAACAAATTAATTATTGATAGCATCAAAATATAATTTAATAATATTTAAAATTACTATATTTTAATAGAAAATTTGTCAGAGTAATTTAAAAAATATTTTTCAAAAAAATTTTATTTGCAAAAAAGAAAAAAAAATTTTTAATTTTATTATTAAATTGTTTATTTGTTTTTAAATGTGATTTTATTTCATAAAAAAAAGAATCACTTTCCTTTTATATAAATAAATTATTAATTGAGTTAACATTAATTTCATTTACAAAAATGAATGATATAATAAATGCTTTTTCAAATTTTTAAATATAAAAATAATTAAATATTTTAAATAAAATAAATTTTTGATGTATTTATGATATCAAATATCAGATTTTGAACTATTTTTATGTTATTATTTAATTTTCTACTTCTTTAATATTTTAAGCTTGATTTGTAATAGAACCTACTTTTTATCTTAATAATTCTTATACCTATTTAAGACAAATTTATGATTATAATTTGAATAATAATATTTAAAGTTCTACATTCTATCTATATCTATTTCATTATCAGGAACTTGTATAAAGTTTTGGATTTTATTTTATTATTACTAAAGCATGAATTACTTTCTAACGACAAGCATGTCTAGATCTTGCAACCCTATTTTTTACCTTATTGAAAATTCAGTAAAATTTTCAATTTATTAATTAAAGTCTTCTGTTTACTTAGTACTTTATTTGAATATTTATTAATTCTGGTACTTTTGGGAATCTATTATTTCATTTTCAGATCGATTTTTATGAATGAGTGCCAGTTATTCAATTAAGCTATTTAAGTATTCTTTATTTTGAATATTTTTTAATTATGTTGATTAAGATCTTAACTTACTATCCCTCAAACTCATTAAAATATCTAACAATAATATATTTTACTTATTTTAATTGAAATTAAAACTTTTTTTTGTATTATAAACTTTATCTGATAATGATCTTTGAAAGTTATTAAATTGTTATAAGCTTCTCATTTTTCTCTTTTCGAATGCCTATTTTAGAAGATAAATCTCTGGCTCCTCAAAATAATTTTAGCTTGATTCAATTAAAAGAGTATTAATTTTTTATATTTTAAATTAGCCTCCTGATTGCTGAGATGAGTACTACTTATCAATAGTGCTACTTCCTAAATTAAAAATCCCATTACTTTTTTCTTAATTCAGTTTATCCTAATTACTTAGTTTATCTTTATAAACTTCTTCTGTTAGTAAAATACTCCTATTTGAATTTCTGTAACAACAGCTTTCTTCATTGAAAATAGCTGTTTCTTTTGATTTTTAATAAAATTCTGATAACTTTTCTTTGTCTTAGTCATAAACTAAGGTATTTTGGTTTACTTTTAATTCTGTTTAATCAGATTAACCACTTTCATCTATTTTTATAGATAATTCTTTTACAAGTTTATCTTATTCTTTATTTTACAAGCTAGTTAAACGAGGTAGTTTTTAACTTAGAGATTGAAATGGAATAATTTATTTTTCTGCTATTTAAGGAGAACTTTAAGCTTTATCATTATTTTTTGAATTATTGAGGGATTGTGAAGAAAATTCAGATTAAATTTCTTTTTCATCATTTGCTGATATTGGCTTTAAACAAATATTGTAAGCATCTATAATTGCCGATTCATCATTATTAGCATAAGCTGCCATAGCTTTTTCTTAAAAATATATTAAATTATTTAAGCTATTTCTTTGCCTCTCTCTTTTTCTTTAAAATGATTAAATTCTTGAATTTTTTTCTTTAGAAGGTTTATAAGTTAGATTAAGACTTAAATATGGACAGTCAGAAATTTGATGTGAAAATTTTCCACAAGAGATACACTTTAAAAATTTAAAAAATTCATTTTTCTATCCAAAAATAGCAGAGTCCCTCATGAATATGAATTTCTCCTAAATTTGTAAAATAAAATTAATTTATTCAAAAATCTTCTTAAAAAATAATTTTATTAGTTTTTTAAATTAATAGTGAAGTAATTTTCAAATTCATTTATTGATTAGAAGAGTCAACTTAATGGTTGTTAATAAAACTCACTTCTAAAAAAAATATTTGAAATTTTTATTGAAAATGGAGTCTCAATTCCATTAAAAAAGTTATAAAATTATCTCTTAAATATTTTATTTAACCCTTTGAGCAGGGGTTATATTTATCTAGAAACATTTTTTAAAAATTTCTGCCAATAAATATAAATAAAATATTTGGTGAAAATAAAGAGATTTTTTAATCCCACTCCTCCCTCCTATTACTTTTACATTATAGAATATAAATTCTTATTATATTTTTCAAACTAAAATATGTATTAAAAAAATCTAATTGAAATTAATTAAACAATTTTAAACCAAAAATTGATTAACAATTAATTAAATATTGAATGATTTTAAATTACATAATCTTCAGGGTATTATTTTAAAATTTATAGAAAAATATTTCTGTCTATGTAAGAAACAAGTGAAGGGCCAATAGATTTTAGTGTATATTGACTACATTTTCCAAGCAAAAACCCTTCATAGCCAAAAGCATCTGATTTCTAAATAATTTAAAACAATTTATGTATAGAAATCAAATTTTTTAATATCTTTTTAAATTACCTGAATTTTTTACTTGCTTTTTTCATATGTTTTACCTGATTTTGTTTCTCTAATTTAAAAATTAATTTCTAAATTTCCAGAAATTAAAAAATAAAGGTTTTCGCTATTTTCTTGTTAATTTAGAAGAATCTCATCTGGGAAGAGTTATTTTTGTTTAAACGAAAGAAGAATATTTTTCAAACAATCAGATGAAAATTCTTTAAACATTTTTATGGAATTTATTTTTTCTTGATAAATATCAATTAAGACTTCATTCTTTAAGCTGTTTGGTAATTTATCAACAATCGATTCTGAAATTTATTGCTTATACTCATCTTGGTAATATAAAAACTCAAAATGCTTCCTCACTTTCACTTATAGACTCATTCCTAATCCTATTTTTTTCATTTGATTATTTACGTCTGTCATGAAATGATTGAATTTCTAATTTTTAGAAGACTCAAATTTAACAATCTCACTAATTTAAGAAAATGCGTAAGCAGTCACATTTGTGGCTAAAACTGATAGAAAAGCAATATACAATTTTTCATCTATTTTAAAAATTTATTATTAGTATAAATTTAAATATTTTACAATTAGTACTTAATTAATATGGGGATATATCACCATATCCAATAGTACAAATAGTTACAATCATATAATAAAGAGATTAAAGGTAAAGATTCCACAAAGATTCTGTACTGAATCCTGCTTTTATAATCCAACTCATTTGTCCATGTTAAATATTTTCAAGTCCAATTTTTAAAAAAATACAGCAAGCAACATGAGCTAAAGTGATGACAATTATTTCTAACTTGATTAATTTCATCCAGTTTTTAGTTGAATCGCTGATTTATAATTTATTTTCAAACTCTGATACCTTTTAAGGAATACTTAGATACTTTAAAAACACAATATAATCCAAATTTTGAAGAAATGGTATTTTTGATTTATATGAACCTGTAGAGAAGCTGTATATTATCAAGATTAAAAAGTCTTACCTAATTAAATAATAAATAGCTCATAAAAAGCTTGATTGTAAAATAAATTCTAAATAGAAAAAAAAAAAAAAAAAAATAGAAATTAAATTTTGCTTTTTGTTTTCTTATTGATTAAAATTTTCTATTGTTTATAAAATTAAATTAGGTTACAAAGAATCTTTGATTGTTGTAAAAAATTTGGTTACTTTTAATTGCAAAATTTTAGATAAAATAAATCAAAATTAAGTATGCTTTCTTATTAATGTATTTTAAATTATTTTACATAAGATTATTGAAATTTTATTTAAAGATCTATCTTCTATCTCTAATGCTTACACCGTTTTCATATATTTCCTAGATTTTTTAATTGTAAGTTGATTCTTGTGATAAAAGTCTTAATTAAAAAGAAAGTACATACAGTATTTAAACTAAGTAAAGTATCTATGATAAGAACCCATACGATAATATGGTCATGAAAAATAATTAAAAAATTAATTTCTTAGAAGATCAATAAATGCATGATAGGAATTATTATAATTAATATTATTGTAAATATCATTGCAAATATATCCCACATTTACATTAGCAAAGTGTCCTGTTTGTTAATAATATAAAATGATGTTACTCCACTTCTTTCTTTTTTTAAAAAGTTTACCAGAGAAAATAGATATTTTCCATCTAAAAATTCTTACAATGATTTGCCAAAAATCTAATCTTAAAATATTAATAATAAATAAGTCAATCAAGATAATTTGTTAAATAATTTTACTATTTAAACATGTGAAAGAGCTGATCCCTACTGTGCGCTTAAATTGATAAAGATAAATGTATATTTAAATAATTAAATAAATAAACATAAAAATAATCAATACTTTTGTTTAGTTAATGCACTTTCTTTTAAGATAAAAATCTAAATCAGAGGAAACATCGTTTATGATATTAAATTAAAAATCAGAAATTGATTTAAATAGTAATCTTTTTGATTTTTCTTTTAGTTTATTCACAAATTTTTTCACGTCAGCAAATTTATTTAACACAAATTATGTCTTTAGCTAATCTTTTTTAGAGTAATTAAATGAAACAATCTAAGATTTTGAAGCACCTTCTTGATTTAATTACATATTTTGAAAATCGTTTGGCTGATAGATTTCAGATAAAAAACGATTATTTTAACCTAGTTTCATGTTATTTTTATTGCTTGGAGTAAAGAACTATTTTTTTGTAGAATCATCAAATTGTTTTGGTTGCAAACTGTATTAGCTTTATTTGAAAAGCTATGAATTTTAATCAATTTTTCCACCTATTTAATAAGATGGCGTGATTTCTTTGCTGATGCTTGATGAAAACTAGAAAGGACTCATGAGAAGGATGTCATTGTTGTCTAAAAATTGGATATCTTTATGATGTTATTCCTGTTAATATAGCAAATTGATGCTATTGACTCTTGCTTATTATTGATTTTATTAATGATTTGCGCACTGATTTTATTATATACGAGATGTTTAACTTATCATTGAATAATCTAAATTTTTTGTCAATATTGAGTCTTCTAAACTGTAGTTTTTTTACTAATTTTATGTTTAAAAGCTAAATCTCTCTTTGAGTTTTTCTTATTCTTGTCTAAAGCTGATAGATTCATAAATACTATCTTCCATTTTTTCTACTTTTAATTAGTTATTTGTTTGTGTTTTTTTATTGATAATTATTATCAAAAGATTAAGAGTAGAATCACTTTTTAATTAAAAATAATAAATTCTTTTAATGTTACTTATTTTATAAAAATATAGAAACATAATTATTTTGTAACCCGTTTTGTTTAATATAATCTCTTAACATAAATTTAAATAATTAAAGTACTTAAATATTTTGTTTTATAATTTTATTTAATGTATTTTATACTAAAAAAATTAGAAAAAGTGATATTTTTAGAACCTGCAAATATTAAATACAAAAACAAAAATTTAAATCATAAATGTAGGCTTCAACACCTAAGCATTAAAATGAATTCACTAATATATAATAAAATATTTATATGTTTTAAAAGTGATTGCTTTAATAGCAAATTTCAAATAATCTTTACAAGCATGATATATTTCTTCATAACATTTACTAAAAACAATAATTTTAAACTAAATTACAATGTTTCTATTATCATTAGTTTTTATCTTATTTTTAATAAGTCTGAAAGAATTTGATTCACAATTTGATTTAGAAATTCAACTTTTAAATTTAAGAATATAGATATTTTGACTGTCTTTTTTTTTATGTTGTTGTTCTTTTTTTATTAGAAAGCGAAGTTTTGCCTTTAAAAAATTATTTTTAATTGTATTTAAAGATAATATTATTAGCGTTGTAAGCTCTATAATAATAGAGATAATTATGAAGAGAATCTATGCAAATTTCGTTATCTGGAACTTATATGTAGTCTGATATCAAATTCTTTTATTGCATTAAAATATATTGCTTTCTTACAAGCAGCATATCTATATCTTGAAGATCGTACTTGCATCTTATTTAGTATTCAGTTGAGTTTATCTAAGGTTCTTAAACTTTTTTTTTGGTTAATGTGTTCTAAAAATTTTCAATTACATTATTTAGAACCTTGTTATTGAGAATTTCATAGTTTTATATTGTATTTTGAGTAGAAGCATTTAAAGATTATTTTGAGTGTTAAATTGGAATATCATTATTTTCTTTCATTGTTAAATTATCCACAGTTACAGATTTTTTTCGATTGTTAAATTTTCCTTAAGCAGCTAATGAAAATATTCTAAAGAATCCTTTTTCAGAAAGATTTTCTTCTTGAGAATTTTAATTTGATTTCTGTTTTTCCAGACTTTTAACAACTCTTTAGAGCTTATTGCTATTACTCAAGATATCCTCTAAAGATGGGGTATTTTATAATTTAATTTTTTGACTCAGTTCTCTTTAAAATTATTTGTACTCTTGTTTAGATTTTTTTTGTCTCTCTTCAAAGGTTTGCCTGATTATACTTAATTCAGTTTCTTGAAAATCCTTATTTATTGCTTACTTATTTTGAGAATTATTTATTTTCAAAATTTGATGTAAGGAGGTTTTTTGGCTAGTGTTTATATCATCATTAGTCGATAGATTCCTATCAAAATGAGCTTTATCTCTTTATGGAGATAGCTCACTATTTTTATTATAGTGAAATGAAGATGTTCTACTTTTTACATCTCTGACCATATTTTATTTAATCAGTTATTATTAATCGCCATGATTTATGCTCTTTTGACTTTCTAATTTTTATGAATTTTCCTCTTTTTACTCTTCGTTGGAGTTAATTTAGCTCTCTGAGTGAAAGATAGAATAATGCTGCTGTTACTATGATTACTAAACTATAAATGGATGGCTATCAAACTCGTTGGCTCTCTCTTTTTTGTAAGAGATTACCTTTGAATCTCTATTTATAAAAGAACAATTTTCATTACTCTTAATGTTCTTACTTGAGTTTCGGCTAAAGTTTTCATGGTTCAAGCTAACCCCACTCTATATTCTTTTTAATTAAGTTTCATCTTTTAGTGAGGGATAAAGATCGTCCAAGTTTTATATGGTGTGCCTATTAATTTAGACTGATAAAGATAGAGAAGAAGCAGATTAATCAATATCTTCTTCCTTTTCTGACTTCTTGATAACAGAACTTTAGAGTAAATTTAGAGCCTCTATTATCAAAGCTTGATCATTATTAGCTTAGGCTTCCATAGCAGACTCTTAAATAAATTAAATTTTTTTCAGAAGACTGCTAAATCTGTACCTTTTTCTAACATAAGGACTTCTTTCATTGACTTACTTATGTGGTTTGTATTTTATTGATAAACTTATGTAAGGACACTTAGATAATTAATGGTCTGTCATACCACATGAAATGCATTTTAATTTGTAAACGTTTGTATTCACACTTCCATAAACAGTTTGATCTTTTATGAATAAAAATTTTTCCTATTTTAAAAATAATTTAGATAAACTAAATTCATTTATTTTTATGTTACATAATCAGTTGGGAACTGATTTAAAATCTCTAAGAAAACTTGTTTTTCTATAAATGATACAATAGAAGATCCAGATGATTTAACGCTGTAAGAGCTTGCTTCTCCAAGTAAAAATCCTTCATACCCAAAAACATCTTTTTTCTTTTTAAAAGTGATTAATATTTACTAAATAAATTTACTAATTATTTACTTGCAACTACTAAAATTTAGTACCTAAGGAATCATCTTTTTCATTAATAATTAAAGTGCTGTATATTTCTAGATTTCCATCATTTACAAAATAAAGTGAGTTGTTTAATTCCTTTTCATGCAATATTATTTCTCCTGGCATGAGTTACTTTTATTTGATTTGTAATGATATTTTTTGTTAGCATTTATTTGAAAGACTTTTAAAAAGATAAATTGAGTTTATACTTTCTTTATTTAAATCTAATAAAACCTCCTCTTACAAATTCTAAGGTAATTAATTCATAAACTAATTAGCAAAATTCTGAGAGTTTTAGCTTTAAATATGAAAATATTAATAAAATTTCCTCACTTTTTACTGTAATTTCATGCTTAATCCTCCAACCTTCATTTAATAATTTATTCCAGTCATGAGTTTATTAAAACTTTCATTTTTATTGTCTTCAAATTTTACTATTTCACTAATTTGAGAGAAAGTATATGCAGTAACATTAGTTGAAAGAATAGCAATAATTATTATAAATAGTCTTTCATCTTTATTTAAATTTGTAAAAGAAGTTATTTTTATTTTAGTAAAAGACTGAAAGAATATTTTTAAATCAAAAAATCATTTAAAAAAAAATTTCATTAAAAATTTTTATATCAAAAAACATCAATTTTAGATATTATTAATTGTATTTTAAAAAATCTTCTTAAATAAATTATAAGTTAGCAAATTTGAATATTTATTAATTTAAAGTGAATAATAAAATTATTTAATTAAAGTTTACTAAAAGTGTAAGGCGAAATATCTCCATACCCAATAGTGCAGATAGTTATTACCATAAAGTAAAGAGAAGAAAAGTATTATTATTAGATTGAAGAGTTGTCTAAATCAAATTTATTCAACCAGCTATCTTAATTTTGCTATGATTCAAATTATCCAATGTCTAAGAATATGCAGCAAGCAACATGAACTAAAATTAGGACTGTGATTTCTAACTTAAGCAGCTTCATCCAATTCTTAATAGAATCATTTAATTACAATTTAGTCTCAAATTCAGTAACTTTTTAGGGAATATCCAAATATTTTATAAATGTAATGTAATCTAAGTAACGTAAAATCTTTAAACTGCCATTATAACTTTAGGCAATAGAATAAAATACCAAAATAAATAAATCTTTCCTATTAATTAAAAAGTAATGAATTATTAATGCACCTATATTTCAAATTCATAAATACAAAAAATTTCTTAGATTTGATTTAAAGATGACTTTTCTATCTCTAATTATAACTCCATGCAAATAAATCTCCTAAATAAACATTTTCAAAAAATAAATAATTAAAAGAAGAAAAAAAGAAAGAAATATGCAATTTAATATTTTATTACAGAGTTTAGATTAAGGAAAGTTTCTATGCCTAAAATCCACTATACGCATTTGTAGTGAAAAACGTTAATGAAGCTTTCTTCTGCAAAAGTAACTATGTGAGTAATAGGAATCATGAGTATTAAATAGAAAGTAAATATTATAATGAAAATATCCCACATTAATCTTATTACTGAGTCCTTTTAATTTCAGATAAATGATTTGGTTACTAAAAAAAAAAATTTATAAGATATTACAATAGAAAATAAGTATTTTCCTTGAATCAACTCATGGATAAATCGAATGTGAAAAGGATCTAATTAATTAAAAAAATATTTTGCTTCTCGCTAATTAATTTGCTAATAATCTAATAAAAGAATGACAAATAAGTAAAAACTAAATTTAAAAATTACTTCTGAATTGATAATACAATTTTTTGAGGAATGATATTTTCTAAATTAATAACAAAAAAGGAATTAAAAGAAAACGTAGATATTGATTGATTGCATGTTAATTAATTAATTTTACTTTCTAGTTATGGACATATCCTTCAAATAAGTAATAGTCATAATCTGATGTAATATCATTTATAATTTAAAATTAAGGCTTAGAAATATTTCTAAAAAGCACCTTCTTTGAGGATAGCTTCAGTTTATTTATGAATCTCTTTACGTATTTTATTGTTTATATGATTCCATCAGCTTTATATCTATTTTGATTTAAAAGCTTTGGTGAAATAGAATTGCGATACATTGGTACTTTAAGTCCTACTTCATATGCTTCATTTTACTTTTAAATCAAATAAGAGCTTTGATATTTTAATAATTCCTCTTTTTACGAGGAACTGCTCTACTTTTTGGTTATCACTTATTCGCTAGCTTAGATATTAATTGGAGATGGGCTTTGCTAAATTGGAGAATAAGAACTCGAGTCGTCCTTGTTTAATTTAAATATTTCTTAATGCTAATCTATACTTTGAATGTTTATGTTTAAAGGGTTGGAGTTAACAATGTAAGATTTCACTTTCTAAATTTAAATCGATTCATTATTCATATTACTACTATCTTTTATCTGATCATCTATTTAGCCACTACAGTCTAAAAAAGGTAGTTTCTTCTTTTAGTTTGAAGAAAAACTGCAATCTTGCAAAGTAAAATGACAGCTTTCATCGTTCTACTAAAAATTTTGAATATTTTAACTAAAATTTAGAACTGTAGTTTTAATTTTATCCTATCCTAGGCGCAGCGTATTACTTTCGTAAGTAGCCTCGTCCATAAATTCAATTAATTATCTTTTTAAATTGATTGATTAATAACAAATAATAATACAAATTAAACTTGTTTTAAAATTCCTAAAATATTTAATTGACTCTAATGAATTCTATGAACAACGTTCTTTACTTTTGATGAAAACCAATTATTAGTTGATGGAAAAATTAATTTAAATTTGTAACAAGATGATAGATAATCACTAATCAAAAATATTCATTAAATACGGACTTAAATATTACTTAATTAATAATAAAAGAAAATAAGGAAAATACTAATTTAACATATCTCATTCAAGCAATAAAAAAATGAATTAAGCACTCCATTAATATAACCAACTAAATAATAATTTTCTGCATTTTTTTCTAATTTTATTTCTAAATAATTAAATAATTGAATTTTAAATAAATTTGTTATATTTTTTATAATTAATTATATACTACCAATCCTCATTAACTAAAAAGAAACAATAAATTATAAGTATTACTAAAGTTTTGTTAATAGTTATCTTATTCAAAAATTATCTTATATTAAGTACATATTATTAACGAGATCCTGCAGTATTAAAATTGATAATTGTTATTTATGTAAGACTATCAAGTAAAATGTAGCGAATATTTATTTGAATAAATAGATTTTGTCATAAAAGTATTTATGAAAGCCATTTAATTTAAAGAACTGCTAATATTTCTAATAAATTGTAAAACTTTTTTTTTAAATAATCATATTTAATTTTTATATAAAATCATTATTAACCAAGCAAAATTAATTATTCGAGTTAATTTATAAGTTGATTGTTAATGCAAACATAATATTTTAATTTTGTATAAGAAAAATATTTTTAATTCTAATTTTAATATTAACACTAATATTCACTAAGATTGAATATTAATTAATGTGATTAAAATAGTATTCCTTTAAATATTTGATTTAAGATAATTTAATAGAAATAATTTGAAAAGTTATTTTAAAGAGTATTTATTAAAATAATTTTTTTATACAAATTTGTATATTAATTATGTTTAAAAACAGAAATTAAATATTATTTACATAAGCCAAATTATTTATTTAAAATTAAAATTTGTTAAATATTGATTTAGAAATAGTTAATTAATTCAATAAGATCAAGTTTTCATAATTAAAATAATTAATTCAACTAGGGTTTTTTTTTCGAGTTAAAAGATGTAGGTTTGTAACGATGTGTTTTCCTTTAATTTTTTCTTGAACCATTCGATTTCTTCTTATGTGGAGATGATAATACATCTTTATTTTTATCATCTCTTGTTTTCATTCTTTATAAGACTTATTTGAAATTACCATTAAAATAGTAGTATTTATAATTGTGTAAAACATCTATATCTATTTCATTGTCAGGAACTTAAATGTAATCAGTTATCTAATTTTTCTACTGCATTAAAAGATACTCTTTTCTAACTACCAGCATGTCTAAATTTTGTAGATTTAGCATGAATCTAATCTAAAATTCATTTGAATCTAATTAGTTATCTTCTATTTCTTTAGGTTAGCTGAGTTAATATTTAATCTTATTCTCGCTATTTTATAAATTAATTTATTTTATATAATATGTTTAATTATTGATTAAAAATAAAAAATTTTAAATGAACTAAATTCTGATCTACTTTTGGTATATAAAAAATAAAAATTTTTTAATTTTAAATTAAAAAATATATTTTAACTTTAATTTGATAATTTCTATTCATTTTCAATCTAAAATTAATATTATTTATCAAAAAAGATCATCTAATTTTATTTTAATAAATACTTACTTAAGAATATGAGCTCTTTTGTTAATAAGATTTGCACTTTATATAAGTGAATTTATATTAGAAAATGTTTGATTTTTGCCTTTGTCGCTTACTTTTGCCTTTTAAGCCTTTGGTTAGGGTTTTAAAAATTTAGAAATTGATATATTCTCTTATTAGATTTCTGAATTTGATCTTTTTCTAAAGGTTTGACTGTCTTCTTATTTTAGATCTATGATGTTTAATGATTTTTATTTAATAGTTATAATTTTATTATTTTCGGTTTCTTGATTTACATTTAAATTTTCCTCAATTTATGGTTCCAAATTATTGCTGAGCTGTTAGCTGAATAAAGATTTTGAAAATTTTTGGTTTACCTTTTTACTTAATTTTTACTTTGCATTTTCTATTTTTGTAGCATTCTATTACCCAGAATTAATTTATTTGGAGCTGATGTTATCATCTATATTAACACTTAAATTATTATTTTAGAATAATTAAAAATCATGATGGTTGTTATTGAATGCTGCTTTATCGGATTCTTATTATTTCCCTTTATCACTTAAATTATCTTCTCTACTTTTTGCTTTATTCATATCAGATAAATCTGAAAGTGCTAGAGATTTTATAGATTAAGTGAATGAAGCTGATGATGCTTATTTTTAAATTTGATTAGAATCCATATCTTGATCATTTTTATTAATATTATTATTGTTTTCATTTGAGTTAATGTTTAAAACAATAAATTGCTAATTCTTTGTATTTAATTCATTCAAGCTTTTAGGCTTTAGATTAGCGTTATCCTCCAAAACAAAATCAACTTATAATATATCTTTACTTTTTCTAGATGCCTCTTATCCATTATTCCTTTTGATAATTTAATTTAACTTATCACCTGATTACAAATCATCACTAATATAGCTTTAATCATTAGAACTATTATCGTTTATAGTATCTTGTTATGCAGTAAGTGTATCATCCCTCATATAGGCTAGGGTTATTGCTATATCTTAATAATATTTGTTGTTCTTAAGTATATTAGTATTTCTTGTTTTAATCCTATGGCAAAAACTCCTCATATTGACAGACTTATCATTTTTATATTTAATTGTTGGATTTATAAATTGGCAGTGGTTAGGATAGTGGTCTTATTCTTAGCAAGAAATGCATTTAAGTCTATACACAACTTTTTAAAAAGAATCATATATTTATTTATCTCTTATGTAACAAAATTTTTCCTATTATAAAAATATTATATTAATAAAATATTTAATCATTTATTTAATGTTTTTAAAAATATTTACATAATCTGTAGGAAAATGTTTGATAATTTATAAAAATTATTCTTTTTCTAGATACGATATAACTGATTACTACACTGATTTTATACTGTAAGGACAATTCTCACCATATAGAAACCCTTCATATCCAAAAGAGTCTTATTTCTATTAGTTAGTTGTAAATATTTGTTTTAAATTTTTGAAAAACGAGCTCAATGATAAATAAAAAATGAATAAATAATAAAAGAAATAATAAAATAAATAGATAGATAGATGTTTAATAAATACTTTTAACATAGTTATTCCTTTTTCAAACATTGTTTCATCTTACTTTTAGGATACTGAACAAAGTATCTAAAGAGTTCCTTAAGAAATAAAATATAGAGAGTCATTGTATTCCTTTTCTTAAATTGCTATTTGATCAGGCAGCAATTATTTTTGTTTAATGCTGAGAGAAATCATTTTGAGGCATTAAGGAGAGAATCCTTTGAATATTTGAATTGAGCTAATAAATTATTTATTCATTTCAAGAAGTACTTCTTCCTTCAAGTGATTTGGAAGCCTGTCTAAGAGTGATTCCTGAATGTGTGATCTCTACAAATCTGAATCATGCAAGTATTCAAAATATTTCCTTACTTTTTATTGTAAATTCATACCAAGGCTATTTAACTTCATTTAAAAATTAATTCCAACCATGACCTTATTGAAACTCTCCTTTTTGCTATCTTCAAATTTAACTATCTCACTGATTTAAGAAAATGAATAAGCAGTGATATTTGTAGATATTAAGGCAACAAGAATGATAAACTCTCTTTCAACTTTTGAAATGATAGAAATGATATTAAGATTTTTATATTAGCTAATATGTATTACTAATTGTGCATGGAGCTATGTCTCCATAGCCAACTGTACAAATTGAAATAATTATAAAGTAGAAGGAAGTTAAGTAGAGTTCTATGACTGTGTAATTTGAATAATTATATTTATCGATCCAATTATCTTTATTATTGTCTCTTTCAAATTAACCTATTAACAAAAAAATACAGCAAGCAACGTGCGCTAGAATTAAAACACTAAGCTCTAGCTTGAGTAATTTCAACCAATTTTTAAAAGAATCACTGATTTGAAATTTAATTTCCAATTCTGAGAGCTTAGATGGAATCTCTCTGTATTTTATAAAGAGTAAAAAGTCTAAATAGCTAATCTTATGCTTTAGGTCTTTATAATAAATAGAATATAAAAAAAGGACATATAGCAGAAGATCAATCCTTTTAAAAATTAAAAAAAAAATTTAATCTATTTTTCTATAATGAAAAAACTTTCTTACATAATCTTCCAATTATTTTTTTTGAAAATTGTATATCTATCTTTAATAGTAACACCGTTCGAGTAAATTTCCTTTATAAAAAGTACATTTTTAAGCAATGGTTAAAACAATAAATTTTAATTACTGAATTTAAATTTATAAAGATTTCTAGCACTAACATCCATTTTATAAAGGTTTAATGGAAAGAAGTAAATACGCCATAATTATCTCCAAAAACATGAGACAGAGGGATCACAATTATTAAATATAACACAAAAAAAATCATTAAAATATCCCAAAAGAATCTCCAAAACGAGTCCTAGTTGAATTTTTAAGTAAATAAATAAAATAAGTAATTAAGATAATTAAAGTGCAAATTTTAATTGAAATATGTTTTACTTAAGTAAACAGATATTTCCCTTTCATAAATTCATTATAAAATTCTGTTAATTTTGGATCTATATTTAATTAATTAAATAATCATTAATAGTATGTATTTTTTATTCAGATAATCAATAACTTTTTTGAAATTTTAGATTAAAAGGCTCTTTAAAATAGGATGAGAAAATTACTTTAATAGAATTTATTGTATTTATTTTATTTTTTTCTTTTAAAAATGGCTAAAAAGCTTAATATGAGTTTAGAATAAAAAGTATGAAAAAATATCAAATTTATTAATTTGATGAATTACTTCTCAATTTGATTGAAATCCTCTCTAGAAAAGTGTATCCCTTGAATATTAAAAAAATAAGTATGATTAAATTAATGGTTCATTAAAGTTTGAAGCTATTAATAGTAATAATTTATCTTAAATGAAACAAAATAAATATTACAAAAATTTGCTGGATATCTTTCTTTTCTACATAAAATTTGTAATTAGCAGCCACATCATTTATTATACCAAATTGCCTGTAAGATAGGTTCTTGAATAGCACTTTTGAACTAACTTGTTTAAGCTTAGCTATAAATCTCTTTGCTAATTGAAGGCTATTTATTAAGTTGTGAGTTGTTTTTTGTTTCTTTTATTAAGTTTTGTAAAATGTTCCCACATTTGATTGAGCTTCTTAGCTAATATCTATCACCTTTTACTATTTCTCCAACTATTGACTCTAACTTTATTACTGAAACGTTTCATCTTCCTCTAATTTTGAATTGGAATTGGAATTTATCTAACAAATTACACTCTTTCCATTAGTCACGTTTTACATATGCGAATGATCTTAACTTTACTAATGTGTACTCTAGATCTTAGACTCTTCTTTATTTGATTTTGCAATAATATTTTAACTAGCTTAAATGTAACTATCTTTATCATTTATTGGGGTTAGCATTTACATATCTTAATTATTAGCGTCCTTATTTACTATGCTTTGGTTTGCTATATTAGATAAACATTAGCTTTCTACATCTAATATTTTTTCACTATGCTAACGCAAATATAAATATCTAAAGCTTGAATCTTTTGGAGTTACATAAATGCTATCTTCATCTAACTAATTATTTGGTAGTTAGTAGCTTGTGTTATTTAAAGTTATTTTCATCATTTATTAGCCATTACGAAGCGTTTAAGATTCTATTTCAAGTTATTCCTCCATATATATTGATTGCTATTAATTAAATTGAATATTAGTAAATTCCTTATTTAATTAATTTTTTAGTTTTTTTACTTCAAAATAAACCATAAAATTAATATAGCATTTTAAAATTTACTTATTTTTTGATAACAAATTTGTTCAAAACAAAATCTACTCACTCAATAATCATTGAATAGTTTTTCTTTACTAAATGTAAATTAATTAAAGTATTAAAGTAATTAAAACTGATAGCATTAACAGCATACTTACCTATTTAAATCTAAACTGATTAAATATGTTTAAAGATTTACCTGTTTTATATGTTAATGTGATAGAAAAATTTAAATGTATTCAAATTCAGTATATTATGTAAATTATTCAACTGATTTTTTAACTTTTATAAAGAAAGATATAGTATAATTAACTCTTTAAAAAACATATTTTCTAATTAATTTATATAAAGCAGACAGATTAAAAATGTGAATTACTTACTTTACTTCTTAGCAATAAAATTATAGAAAGATATATATAAAACAAATTTAAATAAAAATAAATTAATTTTTATTCTACTTCTTCTATATTTTCATTTAGTTTATTAATTGAAATTATATTAAAGGCTCTCTAACTCTTTTTTCTTATCTTATTTAATAATTCAATAAATTTAAATTCCTTTTTTCAAAAAATTTAAATAAATTTTCATTAAGAATAGTAATAAAATTGCTGTTAATAATTAAAAAATTTTCATTATTACTGAATAAAATTTTCAACATAACTTAAACCAGCAATAAACAAATTTCCAAAAATGAATAGTTTGATAATAACCAAAAAATTAGATTTTTTTTCAAATAAAATGAAATTTCACGAGAATTCAAATTATTTAAAAGAAATTCCAAGCAAGTATCTCATTTTATCAAAATATTAATTAAAAAACCAGAAATATTTAATTTATTAAATCAACTGATAGTAAGTTTTAACTTTTTTATGAATAATACTTTATTCTAATTTACATGACTTTAAAAAATGATTTTTTGAATGAAATTCGTTTCGAATAAATTCAAGATTTATTTACATACCATAAGTTTTTAAATATTATCCATATATTTTCAAAAAGCATGGAATATTAAAGTTATGTTAAAAATTTAAGCTAAAATAACTCATGGCGTAATTTACTTTAATCTTGTTGAAGTTCTATGGTAAGCAATTTTAGATTAGTATTTAAAATAAAACAAACAGATATTTCATTTTTTTGGAAACAGTTTTTATTTTTGATTTGAATTGAATTAAATATTTGGAACTATAGTGGTCTTTTTAAGTTTTGTCTTCCTTTTTTGAGATTATTGAGTTTTAGGATTTTACCTTTATTTTTTCAATTACCAAAATCTAAATGAAGCTAAAACAGGTTTGAGATTATTGTTTTAGTAATAATGAGTGTAATTTTTAAAAATATCAATATTTAATTCATTATCTGGTACTTCTATATAGTCACTAATTAAATTTTTTTACTATTATAACAGATATTGTTTTCTAACAACTAGTAAATCCAATTCTTAAAGGTTAACTTAACATCTAATTTTAAATTCCGTTAGTTGCTACTACTCTTCGTTACTATTTTAGCCAGTGTTATCTCCATTATCTTGAAAATTACTATTGACATTCAATTGGTTTAATTTTATAGCTGTAGATTTGGTATTATTTTAATTATTTATTGATTAATTGTATTGGTTTGTTTGCTTTTTATCAAGCTTCTTATCTAGTTAAGAAATGTAACTTTAAAAAGATTAAGGCTTTTGATGTTGGCTTTATTGTGCTGACTTAATTGCATCATACACTTATTTTAGGAAATGTTTACTTTTATCCTTTGTATCTTATTCAGATATTATACTTACAGCTTTTTAGAATGGTGATAAAGTATCATGAGTTTTATCTATTGAATTTTAAGGAGTAATCCTATCTTTGATCTGCTAAAATTATATTCTACTTTTCACATTTTAGCTTAGCTCTTCATAAACTTGCTTACTCCTCTATTATCTTTTTTCAAATGTTTACTTTAGAAGAATCAATTCCTTTTCTTATTCTTTAAATATATTTCCATTATTATTTTAGGATGATATTTATTTGAAAATATTATTTTATATGCTAACAGTGTTCTTGTCAATTAATTCATCTTCTTTTTTGAATACACTTTGTTCACTATTTTAATTCTTTTCATCAATAAAAATAGAATCTCTGCTTTTAATTTATTCTACACTTTTTAAGAATTTAGAATTTGTATTGTATGATTAATTTGTTATTTAAATATCCTTTTGGAAAGAAGTAGGTTAAAGTGATTAATTTTGGATTAAAATGATCTAATTTTGAGATAGAGAAACATTTTCTTCGTTATATTCTTATTTTAAAAAGTCTTCTTGATTAAAATTAAGATGGCTTTTAAATTTTAAAGTTATCCCTTTTTAATATTCTTTTATGGGTGATTCTAATGCTATATTGCAATCAGAAGTTTGTTAACTATTAAAAAAACTTTTCTTATTTGAATTTTAATTTGATGAACAGGTATTTTTTTGTTGAGAAGATTTTGTTTCTTTTAAAGGGTCTAAATCAATTTAATTTATGATGTTGCTATTAACTATGTTTGACATTTAATTTTAATCTGTATCTGTATCTGACTCAGACTCTTCTGTTATTTATTATTCTGAATTAGAATTTTTAAAAGCTGAAAATGCATCATATATAAAAGATTCATCATTAACAGCAATAGCATCCATAGCTTATTCTTAGCAATTATTCAAATTCTTAAAAGTATTATTTTTCTTTTCTTTTCTTCTTAAATAGTTCTAATTTCTATGGTTAATTTATTTATCAGGTTTGTACTTTGCAGATAGAGTAATATAAGGACATTTACTTAAATAGTGATGATTTTATCCACAAGATAAACATTTTAGTCTAATATTTTAAGTTTTGCAGTCAAATATAGATTTGTCTTTAAAATAACTAAATTTCTCCTAAAAGTATAAAATAAATTTCATTTTAAAGATTTACTTAATAATTAATTTACATAATCTAAAGGAAATTCTTTTAAAATGGATTAAAAGTGATTCCTATCTATATACGATATGACTGAGTAGCTTAACGATTTTACCGTATAAGGACTAGATTCTTATAACAAAAAACCTTCATAACCGAAACAATCTTTCTTCTTTTTAAATGTGCAAAAGATATAAAGAATATTTTTTATTAGATAATATCATATTTATTTACCTTTAATTTAAATGAATCATTTGAGTAGTGTCTTTAGCTATCTTTGCATCTTAATATTGTCTAATATTCTAAATCTCCCTGATTTATATAATAAAAACACTGATCATTATCTTACTAGTTAATGACTATTTCATCAGGTGAGCATTGTTTTTGTTTAATTGATAAAATCAGCTTTTTTTAAAATTCGTGAGATAAATTTTTGAATATTTATATCTAACAAATATCTTTGTTCATTTCCAACAAAACTTCTTCCTATAAATGAATAGGTAATTAATGAAGAATGTCATATGAATTCTTTAACTATTTATTGTTCTAAAAGTGGCTATATTCAAAAAATTTCCTTACTTTTTATTGTAAATTCATTGATAATCCACTAGCTTTCATTTAATAATTTATGCCTAACATTTCTTGATTTATTTTTTCTTTCTTGCGAGACTCTGAAGAGACTATTTCGCTTATTTGTGAAAAAGAATAAGCAGTTATATTTGTGGCAATCAAAGCAACTATCATAATAAAGATTCTTTCACCTAAACAAAATAAGTTAGTTAGTTAGTTAGTTATTAAATATTTTAAGATTTTTATTTATTTTATTAATACAGATAAATTTAAGGAATTTAAAAATATTTTTAGACTTTTTTACAGTTATTTGTTGGATAAACATCGCCATAGCCAGTAGTTGTAATTGTTATTATCATATAATATAATGAGAATATATATTGTTATGATATAGACATATCTTATAAACTATTTTTAGTGATCCAGTTTATTTAGTTTTATGCTTCACCTTTACCAATCGATAAGTATATGCAGCAACTGATATGAGCAAGCATTAATACATACAGTTCTAGTCTTAGGAGCTTTATCCAATTTTTAAAAGAACTATTTAATTGAAGTTTGATTTCAAACTCTTAAAACTTTGATGGGATGCTTAGGTATTTAATAAAGACAGTATAATCTAAGTAGCAGATAATTTAATTATCAAAACAGTCATATCTAGAAATTCGATACATTATAAATATAGATAGGTCTTTCCTTATTATATTCAAAATAATAATATTACCAAATCACAATTCAATTATTATTCATAAATTAATTACATCATATTCCAAAAGTTCTATTCAAATATAATTTTTCTGTCTCTTATAATAATCCCATTCTAATACATCTCCTAATATTTTATGATTAATTAATTGATTTCCTTAATTGGTCCTTAATTTAAAATGCTTGAAGAAATTTAATTTACAGAATTCAAGTTTAGGAAAACCTCTAATCCTAAAAGCCATACGATAATTCTATCATGAAAAATTTAAAATAAACTTCCTTGCTTAAAAGTATAAATGTGAGTAAGTGGTATCACAAAAATTAAATAAATTGTAATGAACATCATAAAAGCATCCCATATAAGCCGAGGTATAGTATCCTGTTTAAAAGATTAAATAAATTATAAAATTTAATCATTTATTCAAATCAAATCATTACTAAAGAAAATAAATATTTTCCACTTATAAATTCTTAAAGTAAGTTCATGTTCAGTGGATCTTTTAAATAATAAAAAACATTTAAATATTAAACATATTTTAATATATATAAATTACTTATGAAAGAGAGAAGTTTTACTTTGTAACCTAACTAATCCTAGTTTTTAATTAAATAAATATTTACTTTATTATGCAAAATAACCACTTATGAATGGAGAATAAAACAAAGCTAACTTACCTTTTTCCTTTGAATGTAATTTTTTACAATATAATACTTATAAAAAGCTGAAACATCACCAATCATGTTAAATTATGTTTCTTCCAAATTCTTAAAAGTTAAAATTTTAGATAACTTTTTCATGTTTAGTACAAATTTGCGAATATATTTTAGTTTGTGTGTTAGAAATCCATTTTTTTATTACACTTAATAACTCTACTTTTAGATAGAGTTTTATAAACTTTTCGTCCTTTATCTTTCCCTTTTTTATTCATTAAGTTAATTAAACTTATGCTAATATGTGCCCTGCTTTATTCTTTATTATTCTTCCTAATTTAAAACGTTTAACTATATTTACTAACTATTTTCATAAAGTTAAGAATTATCCATTTCATTTTTACGATATGTGTTTTCTTTTTGTAAAATTTAATTTTTAGATGAATCAAGAATGTACTAATCCTATACCTGAGCCAATTTAATATTCTAAATTTGTACATTAGATATATATAATTATGATTTGTTCGAAATATCGCAACTAATGTCATTCACATTCTATTCTATGTATTAAGATTATTATCTATTAGTCAAATCACTTTTAATATTTAAATGTGATTTATTCTATCCCAAAATGTCTCCAATCGTAATAAATCTAGCTTCATTTTCAGCACGATTTTATAATTTTTAATTACTATCATCAATCTCGTTTATATTTGGAGATTGATTTTCTAAAATATTTGTCATATCAATCTAATCCATTTGTTTATTTATGTATTTATTAAAATTGAATTTTAACTTCTACTTTAATGTGACACTTATTAATTAAAAAAAAATTATATTTCAAATATTTTTTCTTGTTATAAAGCATCTGAATTGAATTTTCACCAATTCTATTTATGATTTACTTTTCAATAAACTTTAATTTTTTAACTCTTATTTAATAAAAATTATTTTACAAATCACAAAAAAGTTTAATTTCATAAATAAAACTTTTTAATTTAAATTTTTTAATCTATTAATTTTTATAATTTTAAAAAACAGATTATTTTAATTTTTATTACTTAAAAAATATTTATAGTCACTAAGATTATTTATCAATAAAATAAAATAATTTTTTAAACAGAAAATTGCAAGTAGAATGGCTTGAGAAGTAAACACTATTCTATTATTTGAATATGAGGGAGAGATAAGGGAACTCAATTTAATAGAGAATGAAGTTATTTATTAGTGATAGATAAATAAGATATAAATAAACCTAAATTAAGTAGAAAATAAATAAATAAATAAATAAATAAATAGATTTCTTTTTTAAAAATCCAAAAATTAATTTTAATTGATAAAAAAATTAATAATATTAACTCTAATTTATCTTTATTATAAATAATTAATGAATAATTTTAAAATTCAATACCCTATAAAAATCAAAAAATCGATTTTCAAAATATGAAATCTACTATTTTTTAAATATCTCAAAAAGTAAATTTGATAAAATAGTAAATGACAATGATATTAATAAATTTCTCTTCACTCTATCAATTCATATATAATTTATATTTACATATTATTTACCCTTCGTTTTATTTACTAATAACACATACTTAATATGTACCAATGTTTTTAATAAAAAAAAATGTTTTTAATGCTTTTAATATCAATTTTGCTGAATATTTTATATTAAAAGTAATCTCAACCTATTTGAAACTTATTTACTGTTTAAGTTAACTGATGAATTACTTACTTTGTCAAATTTTTTTTTAGTTTAAGCACTTTTTTTAGAAATAGAAGCTCTGTCTTTTAACTTTGCAATTTTAATTTATTTATCTTACATTTTCTTTACTCTATTTAAAACCATTCTACAATTATATTTAGGGTAGTAAAAGCAATATTCTTTTAATTAATCTATGTCAATTTCGTTATCGGGTAGCTCAATATAGTTTTCTATATTGTTTTTATTTTGCTATTAAAGTAATTGATACTATTTCCTCACTATAAGCAAATCCAAATCTTAAACATTTTCTTGGCAACGAATCATAGCTTCATGAGGAGCAAAACTTTTTAGCATTTCCTACTCTATCAGAGGACTTTTTAAGCTTTGTGCTAGCAAAGGACTTCCGTAATGAGTTTTTTATTTAACTAGATCACTTTAGTTTAGAAGCTATTCTAACTGCTCAAAAGACTTAATTAGGGGGCTTTGTGATTTTTCACTTTACTGGTTTTAAAACTTTTGGCAATTTTGATTAATGAGTTAGTTAATCAATTGCTTTTATTTGCAAATGTTAAAAATTTAATCAGATTCCTTACTTTAGATAATCTCATCTTATAATTTTTGGTTATTTTCTTTTTATTTTGCTTGAGCTAATCTATTCAATTTTAACTAATTTTATAACTCAACGAACTTAGTAAATTTTCTTCTTCTTCTAGCATATATATTTTCCAAGAAACTATCTTTATTTTACTTATTTTAATTTTTATTTTACTTAGAATTATCTTTGTTACTAGAATTTTAATTATTCTTAGTGCTTTCTTACTGAGTTTTTTATTCTTCTCTATTCTAACTATTAGATTATTCCATTTCCTTATTCTAAAATTCAGCTGTTTTAGAGTATCTCTTATCTAAATTGGAACTACTTTAGTTTGTTTGCTTCTAATTTAATGTTTAATTTTAGTTGGTTTATTTTATTTTCTAATGATTATAAGTTTTAGATTTTTTTTTTCTTTACGCACTGTTTTCATTGTTGTTATTTTATGCTAAATCAAATTAAATATCTTGAGACAGACTTTGTTTTATATTCTAAAAGCCAAAATGCCTTATAGATGCACTCATATTTTTTTGATTGGTTGTATTTTCTTATTATTCATGTTTTGCTTTAGAGTCTGATTTATTTTTTTCAGACTCTTAACTTTAAAACTAATTAAAGCTTTAAGTGAAACCTTCTTAGAGCTATTTAGATATGGTTTTTGACATTAATTCTAGCTAAGTGGTATCTTTATCCTCAGAATTTTCTGATTCTTCTGTTTATGAGGAGTTAACAGAATTAGAGTCAACATTTTCTTTGCCATCAAAGCTTTGCATATGTTAAAAAGAAACTGCATCATATATCAATGACTCATCATTTAACTATGCATAAGCACTCATAGCTTTTTCTTATATAAGAGTTAATGTTTTTAAGACTTATATTTTGTCCTATTTTTTTCTTTTCACATATTATCTTTGCATAGCTACTGAATATTATTTATATTTTGTAGTGTAAATTACAAAGGGACATTAAAGGTATTAATGTTCATTAGAAGAACAAGAGACACATTTTAATTTAACTTTTGAATTGATTCCTGTATCAAATATCGCTTAATCTCTTATATATAAAACTTTTTCCTAAAAAATTTAATAATAAATATTTATTTTCACTTTTTATTAAATTTTAAAATAAAATATATAAAAAAAATCTAAAACAAAATTATTAAAGTAATTTTAAAAGATTTACTTAATCCTCTGGGAATTATTTTAGTATTTACATAAAAGAAGTTTTGTCTATATAAGAGACAATAGTTTTACCATAAGATTTCAAACCAAATTAATTGTATTCTCCTAATAAGAAACTTTCATATCCAAAAACTTCCTAATTCTATTAAAAATTTAAAAACTTGTTATTAATTAATTCTTAATAAAATTTACTTTTAGTCTATGCAATATTTTTAAATTGGCTTTTGAGCTATCTTCTTTTATGTAATTTTGTATAAATTAACCAGTAATATTTTCTTTTAAAAATACTTTTTCTGATTTACTGTCGACTTAAAAATTTGTATAAATATCTAAAAAGCCTTTATTGATAAAATAAAGGCAATCATTATTAGAATTACTTTCAAGCAACACTTCATCAGGCATAAGATATTTTTATTTAATAGATGAAGATATTTATTGAATACATTAAGGTGATAATATTTTAAAGATATATACTGAATCTATTAGCTTTTAATTTGTTTCTAAGCAAAACTGCTATCTCAACTTCAAAGGTAACTATTCTACAAACTAATCTGTCTCATTTTTTTTCTCAACTAAAGAAAAGTAGTGGTATTCAAAAAATTTTCTTATTTTCTGTTGTAAAGTCATACTTATCCCATTTAACTTCATTTTTTAATTCAAGTTAATCATGCCTTAGTTAAAGTTTTCTTTTTTAGCTTGCTCAAACTTAACTATTTCGCTTATTTACGAAAACGAATATGCACAAACATTAGTAGCTAGCAATGCAACTATAATAATATATCCTCTTTCATCTTTTATTTTTTAATTAAAAAAATACATGTTTAAAAAGACATTAAATATACTGTAATCTCACTCCTTTAGGATCCCCATCTAGTACGCTAAATTTTAAAATAGGAGTTTTTAATGAATAAAGGGTTCATAAACAAGAAGGGGATAAAAAGGGTCTTAGATGAAAGAGCTTACAGTATAATGTTTGAAATTATGACAGCTATGATTAAATCTTTTTTTGATAAATTAAATGTTTATTTTAATTAAACTTTAAAAATTAAAATGAACTTTTTTTATAAATAATTAAGCAGTTCATTAGGATTAATTAATTGATGATTAGCTTGTTTTTTATGATGGATAATAAATAAATGTGATAATTTGTTAATTTATCAAATATTTTTACACAAAGTTGTAGGATAGAAATCTCCATAACCTATTGTGACCATAGATATAATCATGTAATAAAAGGAAACTAAGTATTATTCCCAAATAGTGTTATCATCAACTTTAAATTATACAATCCAACAATTCAAACCATCATTAGCTTCAGATATTCCAATTCTTAAAAAAATACAAGCGGCTACATGGGCAAGGATAAGAACCACAATTTCTAGCTTTAATAATTTAAGCCAGTTTTAGGTAGATTCACTAAAATGTAATTTAGTCTCTAACTCGCTCAATTTTTTTGGGATATCAAGATATTTAATAAAAGCTATATAGTTAATATATTTCAAATCTGATTAAGTGTCTTTATAGTCTCTGGAAATTTTATAGAGCAAGACAACTATTAAATCTCTTCTGATTTATTTCAAATAAAAAAAGAAGTTAATGATTAATTAATTAATTAATAAGTAAACTATTATTATACAAGTTTTTTGAAAGTGTCTTCAAAAAAATAATCTTTCGATCTCTTATCGCCAATCCATTAGAATAAATTTCCTTAATAATTCAAAAATAAATATATGAAAATGAATAAAATGTCATAGTAAAGTAAATAAAAATAAATAGCTTACTGAGTTAAGATTAACTAATATTTCTAAAATCATGATTATAAAAACCACCTAGTCGTGAAATATACTTGCGAAAGAATTATCTTCCCTTTGATAAACGTGATCAAAAGGTATAAAAACAATTAAATATAAAGTCAACAGAGCCAGAAATGTGTCCCTTTTTTTATTTAAATTCGATTATAAAAAATATTTTCTCTCTTTATTAACATCATACCATAATAGTCTCATCATTGAATCCTATATTAAATTAAAATAATAAAATGAATCCCTTAAGTTATAAAAATGAATGTATGTGGTATTTACCTAAGAGAATAAGTATTTTCCTTTTTGGATCTGTAAGCATGACCCACTTGAGAAAATGCCTTATATAATTGAAAATTTAATTAGTTTCAAGAAAATGCTAACTAGCAAACTAAAGCTGTAAATAAATTGTATATCAAAGAAAAAGAAGAATGAAAATCAAAATTATAAATTAATTAATTAGCAAATTTAAGAGATAATTTTAAATGAATTTGACATTTAAAAATATTAATTTGATTTTTTTAAAAATTATCAATTTACCCTGAATGCTCAAATATATCTTTTGAATGAAAAAAGCAATTATTTAATTATGTTACTTTTTTTGGATAAAAAAAAGAGTTAATTAATTGAAGACTTAATTAAAATAGTTCAATATTTATTTAGTAATTGATAACTTAATTAAATATTACATTAATACTTGCTATTTTTTATTGCTTAATGTAAACTTCATAGTTTGAAGATCTATCATCTATAATTTTAAATGCTTGCAGTGACAGATTTCTAGAGAGGAAGCTTCTAACTAGCATTTTCATTTTATGGACAAATATTTTAGAGATTTTTAAAGTTTTAATAAAGTTAGCTTTAGGTATATTTACTTTTAATATGTTTTGTTGGTACTACTTTAATTATTCAAAATTCTGATCAACACTTTTATGGCTTTTATGGGGATTATCTTATTATATTTTCAATACATTCTTCTCTTAAGTATCTTCACTCTGTTTTATTGATTGCTTAGAGTTTTAATGCCCATATTTTGAGTCATAGCTAATAGATTAGATGCTTATTTCCTTTTGAGTGCAAACAAGCTGATTTTTCTCTGATACAGCTTGTTAAGTTGTTCTTCTTCTAAGTAAGGTATTTTATTTCTGGACCATTTGTTGTTATTTCAAAGCATTCAACTTTATTTCACTTTCAAAAAGAGAGGATCTATTTTAAGGACTCAATAAATCAATAAATCTTTATTCAAAATCGTTTCCATCATCTTGTTTTTATATGTTGATTTAAAGATTTTCAATTTAAAGATCATTATCCCTTTAGTAATGTGATTATGGACTATTAACATTTAAGCTATCTGCGAAGCTCATTAAAATCCTCTCGTCATCAGAATTAATACCATTAAATTGCTATATTTCATTTATAATACCATCTTATTTGATGGCCTTCCTCATTGTCTCCTAGCGCTACCTTAGATTAGAGCTATCTTCATTCATAATTATTAATCAAATCTTATATGTATGAATTAGTATTCTTTTTGACTTAATTTACTTTTCTTTATTTTTTAATATTTGATCTAACAATTATGAATAAATTAATTATGTGATTCATTGATATGTTAAAAGATAGTTAAATTTTTAATGTAAATTGCTGCTTTAAAATTTTTTTTCAATGAAATTTAGATGAAGTATGTTTTTTTATGGTTAGTAAATAAGCATATGTAAATCAATTAAATATCCATTAAAACTATATGTATTTAATTTAGTAGTCTTTCTTTCTTTGAAATTAATTAAACAATAGTGAGTTTATAAAGCAGAGTAATCATTTAGTTACCTTTCATTTATAAAAAATATTTTAAATTTCCTTTAAAAAACTGGACCTATTTTATTCATTTCTAATAATTATTTGATTCTCAAAATTTATAAATATAAATTGCGCAGCCAATTTATAGTATTGATTGATATAAATTTCGCAAATAGTTTTTAAAATTTTAGATTACAATTTAATGTAGATTTCTATAGAATTATCTTTCTTTTTTTTGTTTTTAAGAATAATTTTTTGATTTTAAAAATTTTAAAAAAATTTATCTAATTTCTAAGCGATTAATGCTGTATCCCAATTTTGATAAACCTATGATTTAGAATTCTAATTATCATTTTAAATTTAGTTTTACAAGAAATTAAAAAAAAACTTATTTGAATAATTAAAAAATTGATAATTGTAAGATTACATTTTTAAGAATTTATTTATTTTTTAACAGATTTTTGATTAATTAATATCTAAAGTAAAATCAATAAATAAATAAATATATTATAAATTGAAACAACTATTAATTTGATTTTATTAACACTTTAATTATTCAGTTTATATGTTAATTTGTATTTTTTGTATTTAGTTTAGTAGAAAATAGCTACTCGCTAGCTTTTGTTGAAGGTATACTTACTCTATTAACTTTTTTAATACTATATTTAGTTTTTCTATTTGTAGTATTATTTATTTTATCTTTTTGCTTTTGAATTTTTAATTATAAATTTTTAATTTTTCTGATTATTTTATTGCAGTTATAATTTGGATAGTAGAATGTGTACTCTTTCATTTAATCTATGTCCATTTCATTATCAGGCACTTCTATTAAGTTATTTAAACTGTTTTTGTTCTACTGCTAGAGAAGTAAGTAAACTTTTCTTACTCTAAGTAGATCGATGTCTTGAATATTTAACTATGTGCGTATCATAGCTTCTTCAACTGCTAAGCTTTGTAGAATCAACTAATCAGCCAAGAGGGATTAATTATCAGCTTAATCATTTTAATTAATTTATGAATTATTAGATTGATTACTTAATTTTACAAATTAGGCAGAAGAATCTGCGAATTCTCTTTTTGATTTTTCAATGCATTCTTTAATGAAATCACCTTTTTCACTCAACTTAGAACTCTTCAATTTCTTAGGAGTTATTTAGCTTAAAATTTAAACAGCATTATATATGTTTTAATCTTAACCTTATGAGTTCACGTTTTTCTAAAATAAATCATTGATATTCTTTTAAATATTTTCATCTAATGGACTGAAAAAAGTTTATTTCTTCTAAGCAAGCCTCTCAGCTACTTGCTGATATTTTAGCTGATACAATTTACTAGCTTTTCTTTTTCTCTTTTTGAAAACCTGTTCAAGTAATAACTCGTTTGGAGTTTTTTTCTAAGCGTTTTCGTTTTAGTTGTCTTCTTTTTCTTTTTTCTTTTTGAATTAAGGCGAAATCAGAGTTTATTGCCACATTTATTAGATTATAGTTTCAGCTGTTTTTGAATATCTCTTACTCAGCGGTGATGCATCGTATATTTTTTTAGAATTTCTCTTATTGTAATTTGAACTGAGCTTATTTTAATCCTCAAACTCAACGTTTCTGTTGTGGCTTATTTAATTATAAGTCGATGCCTTTTATTTCCTGCTAAGTATTTACACTTCGTTCCTCCCTTGCATGTAGTTTATTTCACTCAAAATTCTTCCTGAATTTTTTTAAGGAGGAGGTGATTCATTTTATTACTGCTACTATAAACTCATTTTTGTTTATAAATTCTTAAAATCTTGAATATCTGCAATATTTTACTAAGAATGCAAAAACTAATCACTGCTCTCAATCAATTTCTAAGTTTAGCTTTAATTTCTTTTTAAATCAGGCAAAAGTTATTATGCTTATGACTTTGAGATTTCTTCTTTTTCTGATTAATTTGATTATGTTGAGCAAGATTTAGATCTCAATTAAATATTTTCTGGGCCCTCTTCATAATCACTATTTAAGCATGAAATTGCGTCACTTAGTATTGAACCTCCATTATTTATTTATGCAAGCATAGCTTGTCTTTAAGTATAATTTAAGTTTTAAAATGTAGAAGACTTTAGTTTCTTTTTTCTAACTTATTTTTATCTTTTATTAATATCCTTATTTTCCTTATACCTCATTCTATAATTTATATAAGGACATTCATTATACTAGTGATCATAGGAACTGCAAGAAACACACTTTAATTTTAACTTGGAAATTCCTGGGTATCCATACAAAGTTTTATCTCTTAAATGAAGTATTTTTTCCTAAAAATAACCAAAATAAATACATAAAATTTAAGTAATAATTTTAAACACTAAAAACATTAAATAAAATTTATGTAAAAATAATATTGGCAAAATCTACTGAAAGAATATTAACATTTAAATTCATTTGAAAAAACAGTAACTTTATTCCTTATTTAGGTAAAAATTTGATAAAAAATTTTATTAAGTTATCGAAAAATAAAAAATGCTTTTGAATTATTAATTAATTACTTAATCATCAGGAAATTGCTTAAGAATATCTAAAAACTAGGGCCATTCAATGTATGACACTATGGTGTCAGCCTAAGATTTGACTAAAAAAATATTCTACTAACCTAACAAAAAGCCCTCGTAGCCTATAACTTCTGAACTCTATTAAGTAAATATTTTAATTAATAAATAAATAAATATTTAATTTTTTGGTAATATTTGTTAATTTACATTTAAAGTTAGTACTTTCTTAAGTTAATATTGCTCTTTTTTGACGTTGGCTGTAATATAAACATCTAATGAGCCCTTGTTAATAAAGTAGAGACACTCATTTTATATGTTTTATTCAAGCAAAATTTCATCTGAAGTAAGAATTTTTTGTTTTATCTTGCAACAAATTTACTCAACACATTTATGCGATAGAATTTTAAACATTTGGACTTGGTTAATTAGCTGTTAATTTTTTTCTAGATAATATTCTATCTTCATCTAGGTGGGTAGATATTCTACTATTTTTTCAGTTAGGTCTTTCTTTTAGGTCGAAGAGTAATAATAATACTCATGAAATTTTCTCACTTTTTATTATAAAATCATACTGATCCTATTTTATTTCATTTGTTGATTTATATTTCTCATCATCTAATTGAAGTTTTCTTTTTTTGCTTGTTCAAACTTAACTATTTCGCTAATTTGCGAGAAGGAATAAGCGCAAACATTGGTGGCTATCAAAGCTACTATAATTATATATCCTCTTTCATCTATCATTACATAAAAAAATTTTTATTGATTATAGTTCTATAAATAGTTTTAAAGCTAATCATTTCTATCAATGATTTAATTAATGCGAATACTTGGGTTTTTCATTAAGATTTTAATTTATTTGACTTGATATTTTAATAAATGTTAATTAATTAATTGTTTACACATGGTAGTAGGAAAAAAATCACCGTAACCAATTGTCACCATAGATATGATCATATAATATAAAGAGACCAAGTACAATTCTAAAGTTTATTGAGGATTGAGTTTGAATTAGCTAATCCAACAATTGTTTCCGGAACCTAACTCTGAAAGACCTATCCTTAAATATATACATCCCGCAACATGAGCTAGTACAATAACAATTATTTCAAGCTTTAATAGTTTTAGCCAATTTTAAGCTGATTCGCTAATATGTAATTTAGTCTCTAATTCATTTAACTTTTTGGGTATGTCAAGATATTTAAAAAAAACAATATAATCAAAATATTTTAATGCATTATCTTAATTTTGTTGACTTCTAGATATTCGATAAAGAATCAATACAGTAAGATCTCTCCTATATAAATTTGAAATTAACAAAATTTGAAAAATTGACAAATAATTTACAAATTCTTCATCAACGTTTTCTAAAAAATAATTTTTCTATCTTAAATTGCAAATCCATTTGAGTAAATTTCCTATTAAAATAATTTTGAATAAGTAAATTGAAGAAGAATAAGAAAACAAAAATGAGTTACTGAATTAAGATTGACAAATATCTCAACTGTAAGAATTATTTAAACAATATCATCGTGAAATATAGTAAAGAATTAATTTGACTCAAAATCATAAACGTGATCAAAAGGAATAAAAACTATCAAGTAGAACGTCAATAAGATTAAAAGTATATCCCTTTTTTTTAAATTATTTTTAACTATTTGATGGTAATTTTTTCTATTACCAAACGAGTCTTATAATTGATCCCTTTTATAGTTAGTTAATTTAACATTATTTAATATAAATGTAATGTAATATTTAAGTAATACCTGTGAGAAAAGAAACCTTCCTGATATGAAATTTGTAAATTTTTCAGTTTTAAAAAAGCCTTTTTAATATTGAATAATTTAATAAGACCTAGATTTGATGCGTAAATTTATAATTAATTTTTCTCTATACTAGAAAATAATAGATCAGTAAATAATAAAAATATGTCACATATGTATGTATGTATTAATTATTTTAAGGCAAGCATTCTATAAAAACAGTTGAACATATAGAAATAATTATTATAATTAATTTAAGAAAATGAAATAAATGTAATTAAATAAATTTACTTGATACAGCATGTATTATTTTTTAGAAGAATTTACTAATCTATTAATTAAAAAGTGTATGGATTAGAAGAGTTAATCAATTTTGTAAATAACAGAGTAATAAAGTAGTTATTAATTACTTAATTATGTGTAATCTATTCCTAAAATATGAAAACATCATAGTTGGATGACTTGTCATCTATTATGTCATGCTGGCTTTCAGATAAATCCTTAGATAATATATTTCTAACGTTCATTTTCATTTTAGTTATGAATTTTTTTAACACTTTAAATCTCGCCATAAATGAAAGTTTATTGAAAGATATTTTTAGATAGTTTTAAATCTCTTAATCATTTTATTAGCCATTCGATTAAGTCTTTAAAAGCTCTTAATCGTTATGCTTTTCTTTCTAAGAATTAAAATTTATAGATTTCATTCCATTTTTTTAACCATTTTACTATCCCTAATGTGATTCTTCACTAATTGAATGGTGATTAATCTCTTAAATATTACTCAAAACAGAGTTTCTTTCTCTCTGCTTACTTATTTTGTTTTAACAATAATTATCTAATGTTTGATTAGACTGTGCATCATTAATCACTTCTAACTTAACATCACTGAAAATAAAATTTGCTTTATTATTAGGACTTATTAAATCGAATTTCAAGTTAAAATCTATCTCCTCATGCCTGTTATTCATTGGAATACTTTCTATTTACTAATTATTTACATATTATGAGCTCTTATCAAATATCTACTTTGAATTATTTGTATTTGCTATTTCAACAAAACTCATAAAGAGATTTTCATCGTCAAGATTATAAATTTAATGCTATTAAGTTATACTCTAATTTTATTATTATCTTAAAGCAGATCTCATTCTTTCTTATCTTTGTTTAAGAGATGAAACATCACTATCATTCATATTTTAGATTCAAGATATTGATAATTTATTTATTTGTTATTATTTTATTTACAATTTATCTTATGATATTATTACTTTATTTTTCAATAAATCAATCAATCAATTAATTAATTAATTATAAAATTTTCAAGTAGAGTGATAGTTGTTATAAATAGAAAGGAAGGATCTAAATGTTTCAAATAAGAAGTATAATACAAATATGTTTTTTATTTGGTTAGAACAAGTTCAAATAATTTAGTGCATCTATATAAAGTTGTAGATATCAGATTTTTTATTAATTCTAGAAAAAGTACTTCGAATTCAAGTATGTATATAAAATATTCTATAAAGCTAGAATAAAAATGTTAATAACAAATAATAAGTTATGAGAAAAATAAAAAAATTAATGCATAATTTAGTATAAATACATGCATAATATTTATGTACTAGAAAGAAATTTTAATAACAATTTGGTATATTTTAATTAGATAATTTTATAGATCAAAATCAATTTTGCTTTGTTTATTTAATTTCTTCAGATTAAATAATTACTATGGTCATTTAAGATTAATTTACTTTTCTATCAATTTTTTAACTACTCACTCATATCCACAATTAATTAAGTAAACTAAAATATTAATAATAATATTGTTCAAATAATTAAGAGCTTAAAAGTAATTCTAATCTGATTAATATTCAAACTATTTCTAAAAATGTAAATTTAAAATACCTTTTAAACAAATACCATATTACACTGAATTTTTAATAAATTATATTGAAAAATACAACATTAAATAATTCTTTTTTAAGGTAGAGATAATAATTAGTTAGATCTTTAATTATTAATAGTTATTTTCATTCACTAATCATTTAATGAATATAAACATATTATAAAAGCATATAAAATTACTTTTAACGATTTAAAAATATAAAAAACAAATATAAGTATTTTAGAATTTCAATTTATTTAATCAATAATTTTTAGTATTTACATTAACAAAATTTATTTAACGTGTAATAAAATGAAATTATATACTTTAAGTACTACTTATAATTGATATACAAATTTATATTATCATAAGAATAAAATAGATTTTATTTAAAATAAACAAATAAATCTATTATTGAATTTACAATATTATTTATGATTTATTTCACATATTTTTTTAACATTTTTAAGCAAACAAACAAATAAATAAATGATATCAAAAAAAGTTAAGAATATTTAGTATTTACATAAAGAAACTAAATTTAATATGTAATAAAATGAAATTACTTTCTTTAAGTACAATTTATTTGTGATTTTCATTTATATATTATTAAAGAATAAAATAGATTTTATTTAAAATAGACATATAAATCTATTATTTTTAAGCAAACAAACAAATAAATAAATGATATCAAAAAAAGTTAAGAATATTTAGTATTTACATAAAGAAACTAAATTTAATATGTAATAAAATGAAATTACTTTCTTAAAGTACAATTTATTTGTGATTTTCATTTATATATTATTATAAGAATAAAATAGATTTTATTTAAAATAGACATATAAATCTATTATTGAATTTAAAATATTATTTATGACTTATTTAACATATTTTTAAGCAAGCAAACAAATAAATAAATGCTATCAAAAAAGTTAAGAATTTTTAGTATTTAGGTAAAGAAATTGAATTTAATATGTAATAAAATGAAATTATTTTCTTTAAGTACTATTTATAAGTTATTTTCATATATTTTTTATAATAAGAATAAAATAGATTTTATTTAAAATAAACAAAAAAACTTATTATTGAGTTTAAAATATCATTTATGACTTATTTAACATATTTTTAAATATTTTTTAAGCTTACAAATAAATAATTAAATGATATTCAAAAAGTCTTAAAATTTCAATAACTAAATCAATTGATTAATTATCTTAAAACCCTACTTATAGTTTATAAAATCATAATAGAAAAAAAAATATTAAAATAATCAACTGAGTTTATTAAATTTAATCAAATTATATCAAATAAATGTAAAATATTTATCATTAAAAAAAATAGAATACTCATTTTTAATGAGCGAAAATATTTTAAGAGTTTTAGAGAAGCCAAAGCGTAAAAATCAAAGTTAATTTGGCTTTCTTTATGTATTACATATTTTATTTATTATGAAAATGAATGAAAATAAATTATAAATATTATTATTTTTAGACATCATTTTTTTCTATAAAGATTAAGATTTATTCGAAGAAATACATAGAATTAAACAAACATATTTTTATTAGATTTATTTACAAAAGATTTAAATATATTAATATTTATAATAAGGATAAAATTTTAAGGAAGGTATTTAGTTAATTTATTATTTTGATTTAAATAAATTGGTTAGTTACTTTTTAAAAAAATTAGTTATATTCTTAAAAAGGTCTCGATAGTTGATTCATTGTTTCACTATTTTTGGCTTTGTACTAAGATTCTTTACGGACAGACTGCTAAATTCTGATTATTTGTTCTACCTTATCTTTTTTTTGTTTTCAAAATTAATTTTAGAAACTAACTATTTTGCTTTTCTTAGAATTAATTAATTAGCAACTTATTAAAATCTACATTAATTTATTTTTTTCTACATCAAAATAAATTGGTTAGTTGATTTTTTTAAAATTGAGTTTTCAAGATATTCTTAAAGAAGGTCTTGATAGTTGATTCATGGTCGCACTATTTGGTTTTGTACTTAGATTCTTCACGGACAGACTGCTATATTCTGATTATTTGCTCTTCCTGATCTTTTTTTTGTTTTCAATGTTAATTTTAGAAACTATTTTGCTTTTCTTAGAATTAGCTACTTATTGAAATCTGCGCAATTTGAAAACTACAACTCTAGCATTCTTTTAGGGATAATAAAAATTATAGTTTTTCATTATGTCAATATCAATTTCGTTATCTAAGACTTTAACAAGATCAGTTTTGATAAAACCTTTTTCATAAGCTATTCTTAGATTCTTTCTTACAATCAACATGTCCAAATCTTGCAGGCCTTCTTAAAATTTAATTTAGTATTCTGAGGAGTATTAGTGTGATTCACCTGAGGAGAGCATTAAATGAGTTTGCATTTTCCCTTAACTGCTTGCATAATTTAAATTTTGCAAAGTTTATTATTTGTACTCAGACATTGACATGTTCATTAGATTCATCTTACTTTCTGAATTTTTTGGAGATGTTGATTGCGGCTGATATTTTGCTTAGTCATTTTGCACTGCTTGAGAGAAGCTTTATCTTGCTCTTTGATCTCTATTTTTAGAGGGTATTTGTATATCAAACTGTTAATCTATTTGTTAAGGATATGCACTATTTGTAGGTAAACTGTTACGAGGTGTTGTATTACCTGGTTAATGACTTTGAATATTTTGAGAAAATTTCACTTAGTTTGATAACATTTTTTGTGAGCTCCTTTTTTGGAGAACAAGAGGAGAAGTTGAGATGAGGTTTCCTTGTAAACTTATTTACTAATTGGAAGGAGTCTACTATATAATGCATTCACTATCAAATTAGCTTTAACTTGTGCTTGATTAGTTATGCAAGAAAACAGGGTTGTTCTCAATGTGCTCTAAGTTTTAAATTATGATAGATTATGTGTATTTATTCTTTCTTTTTGTTGGAGAGATCAAAACAGGAGAAGTAAAGTCATCGAAAAGAAGGTTACTGACAGTAGAAAATTTATAAGGAGATTCCAATTCTTTGTTTATTAGAGAAGAAACACGTCTTTCCGATCTCAAGGCTTTTTTAGCATTTTTTTAGTAAATGTTAAACATTTCATCTTAAAAAGTCTATTCTTTGTTCGCCTAAACCTATTTTTTTCCGCTTAGTTTCATATTATTATTTTCGTCTTCGATATCCCATTGCTCTTCAGTTAAATGTTTGCTGGTCATCTCAAATTTATTTAAATCTTTTATTGAAGTTTAGCTACTTCTTTTTTTCGAGTTTTCTATTTTTGATGGTGATTGTGCAGTACTTTTCTTTTATTGATTATTGTTTTACCTAGCCTGTTGAAGAGAAGTAGATACATTAATAGACGTTTTGCTCACATTTTAGCTATTATCTTCAATAATTTATGCAGAATTAACTTTATTCTTATCTGGAATATCATTTAAAATTGATGTATTAGAATATATTTGAGCAGGAGCAATATTTAAATCTTGATAATCAACATTTCTCTAAGTTACTTTTTCGTTTGAAGAAGGAGGAAAGATGCTGCTGTTGCTGCTAGTATTTTCATTTTGTTTCGAGCTATTCTTTTCAAATTATTTTTCTTCATTTTATCTTTAGAATATACTCTCTTGAATACTTTTCTTTATTTTATTATACGAATCAAGTGATCTATTCATTGATTATTGTATAGTGTCTTCTTCCCCCTCTTCAATTACGTAAAGCTATCTCGATTAAACTCCTTAGACACCATTGGTCGTATTCATATTCTTAGTATTATCAGAAGAGTTACCTTTTTTAATTTCAAAGCTTTCTCTTTTTGATTTCATTTTTAGCTACTCTTAAATTCCTCTTTACTCTGTTGAAATGAACTGATTGCTTTTCTATTATTGCTAATTCTGCATTAAGTTATTTTACAAAGAAACAGTAAGCTTTTAGGAGTTTACAAAATTAGCAAAAGACGAAGAATCTTCTTCTAATTATTCAGTCATGTCTGACTCGCTGCTATTAGTTGTTTCACTTGAAACAAAATCTTTTTGAGTTGCTTATTTATTGCTCTTCAGCAAATTATAAAGTTCATTGATCTCTTCATCTCTTTACTGTGTTAATACGAATTCCTTGGCACAATCTTAATAAATGATTAAATTCTTATAAGAATTAGATTTAGTTCTATCTTTTCTCTAACGATTAAAGGTTTATCTGATAACTTCTTGTTTAATAGGTTTTTTCCATCGCTTTTTAAAAAAAGTAACATAAGGACAAGATCCGATTTAATGGTTAGAATCATTGCATGACATGCAGTTCTAAATTATATTTTCTGTTTTTTTATTTAGCAAAGCTTCATCCTTAAGCATCATGTACATTTCCTATTAATTGAATTCAATTGAATTAAGTTAAGTTAAATTAAAAAAGTAAGGAAGTAAAATAACTTACATAATCGCGAGGGTGTCTTTTCAAAATGCTTAAAAACTCATCTTTTTGAATTAATAGCAAAAACCCTACTCCATCAGATTTAATTGTGTAAGGACTCACTTAATCTAAAAGAAATCCTTCGTATCCAAACGCAGTATTTTTCTTAATTAAATAAATAGGTAAATTAATATTTGAATAGGCAAATTGATAGGAAGAGCTTTAATAAGTAAATTTTTTTATTGGAAAAAGTAGTATTTTATAATTATCTCAAAAAAAATTTATTTTTAAAAATTAATTAAGAAATTTTGTTTGCTTGCTTGCTAAGTTTGTGATCAAATAATATTGAAACAAGCATCAAGAGAGAGCCAACAAAATTCTTATTTTTTCTAAATAGAAAGTAAATTTTGCAAATAATAAAAGCGAATTACTGTAAGCGTTTTCACATTCATAAATGGAGTTTTATGGTACTTCTCATTTGAAAGGACTTAAACTGGAATGCTTAGAGTCACAGAGCCCTAAGCGACATAATAAATACAGTTATCAAGCTCATTGTGCTTAACAATAATTTCTTCTGGGAAAAGTACTTTTTACTTAATGCTATTTCTCACTTCTTTTAGACATGAAGTTGACATATTTTTCAGTACTATTATTTCATTTGAGAGCCCTTGTGTTAATTCTTGAAGAACCTCTTCTTTGAGCGATTTTGGCAATACATCAAATAAATTTTCGGAGTATTTCTTCTTCTCTTCTTCTTTGTAAAGCTAAAACTCAAAATGTTTTCTTACTTTGTGCTGCAATAAAATATTTAGTCCCATTTTATTCATTTCATTATTTATTCCTTGCATAGTTTATTAATAAATTTACTTCTTTTATTCTTCATATTTCACGATTTCATTTATTTAAGTGTAAGAGTAAGCGCATATATTTGTAGCTACTATTGCAACTAAAATCATAAATATTTTTTCATCTAAATGTTTATAAAAAATCATAATTAAAATATTTTTTCTAAGATCTCTTTTAATGATTATGAATTAGATAGATAAATCAATTTATTAAGATCATTTTTGAGAATTTAATGGAAACCTTATTTATATAGAAGCATTATTTGAATTTTTATTTTTTCTATTAGTTTACTTGACGCTATTTTATCTTGTTATGATGTATAGAAAGATAATGTAAATCAGATTTTATTACTGGAAAGAAATCTTTTGATAAATATCTTTGCTTTTTTTTAAAGTGGTTCAATATTTCAATGATTTAATGATTTAGAGTGATATAACGCTTTATTTAAATTTACTTTTCTATAAAAGCATCTTGTAATAATTTTCATTTTTATTTTTGACATTAAAATATGAAAATAAATATTCACACTGCATTTTTAGACTAATTTATCTGATAAGAATAAGAAGAAAGCATAGATTTACTTGTAGTGAAGGGTGTTATATCTCCATATCCAATAGTGGTCATTGTTATAATTATGTAATACAAAGAAATTATATAATTTTTTTCGTTTGAGTTATCATCGTATTTGAATTGAGTTATCCATGAATCGTTGTTTAGCCTCATTTCAGTCAATCCTATTCTTAGAAAAATGCAACAAGCCACGTGAGCAATTAGCAAAACCAAGCATTCTAACTTGATGAGTTTTATCCAATTCAATTTTGTCTAACTAATTTATAACTTTGTTTCCAACTCTTGTAGTTTTTGTGGGATATCAATGTACTTCAAAAAAATTATATAATCAAGATAATAGATTAAGCTATCTTAGTCTATATTTTTAGAAAGTTGAAAAATGACTACAATTGCTACATCTTTTCTATTAATAGTAATTAAATTAATTTTTGTTTTTTTTCACTGTAAACAATGCAAAATTTTGATTTATCTTTTTGAAACATTGTAAGTTTAGCTAATTAAAGCAAAAATAAACATAATGTATTTTTTTGCTTTAAAAATACTACAAAAATTAGCATTTTTTATGGAGAAATGCATGCAGAAGAAGAAAATATCAAAATTCTGACTAAAAATTAATTTAAGCGTTGAAGTAATTTTTTATTTACATGAAATTCCAAAAATATTTTTAGCATATTTTTATCCTATTTGTTATGGCTTCTCCGTTTTCGTAAGTAACCTATTCGATTAGAAAAGTTAATTTAAAAAATAATTCAAACTTTTTCTCTTTGATTAAATGAAATTTAAAATTAGAAAAAATCTATTTGTATTTTACCGAATTAAAATTAACAAGAATCTCTAAAATAAGAATCCACTGAACCATTTATGAGCTAAAAAAATAGATAAACGATTCTTTGCTAAAATAAAAGATATGTTCTAAAGGGGTTACAATCATAAGATAAACTGTTAGCAAAATCATGAGAATATCCCTAAAATTTTTGATAAATGCGTTATGAAAATAAAAATTTTGATATGATTTTTTACCAAACAAATTTAAAGAGAGAATCCTATTTAATTAAAAAATAAATTAGATTATTACAGCTATTTAGTTATAGAAAGCAAAAATTAAATATTAATGATGATTGCTTAAAAAAAGTAATTATTTACGGATTAGAATAAGTAATCTCCACTCATAAAAGAGCTAAGTACGTCACTTAATTTTGTATCTAATTTATGTAATAAAAACAACGAATGAATTAACATTTAGAAAAAAAGCAAAATTTTATTTGATGTAAATTAAGAAGATGAGTTGATATTTTTGTGAAGAGCAGTTTTGTTTGATTGAATTATCAAATTTATTAATTCAATTCAATCAATCAATAATTAAAAAGCAAAATCCACTTTTCGTGAATTCCCCAAAAATAAATAAAAAACATCTAAATAAATGAATTATTTAATTAATTTCAAAGCTATTTATTTATTACTTCCAACAGAATAAGCAATCTTCTTGATATATGAGCTTTTCTATTTTTTAAATAAATTAGCAATTTTAATACAAGTAATTCAAAAATTATTTATTAATAAATTACCTCAGAAAATATTAGTTGATTTGTGTTATGGATAAAGTAACCAAAATCAGATGAGAAGTCATTTATAATCCCAAATTATTTTCTTGTCAGATGTTTGAAAGTTACACTTGGGCATGATGTTATGAGGTTATTAATAAACTTCTTTTTTATATTATTCACTTTGTTTTAATGAATCATGTGCTTTAAAGTTTTATTCTAAATAGGATTTATATGAGGTTCCTCCTATTACTTTTAATTCATCTTCGAATCTTAAGAATTGGCGTTTTCACCTTCTTGTGGTTAAGTCTTCCCTTAATAGGGCTTGCTAGAATTTATACTATTCTTTTTGTTTTTTCCTTCAGATGTATTTTCTACAATACTATTCTCATAAAATTGTCTCTCTTTGTTGAGCTAATAGTTGCTGTTATGAAAGGCAAGTTAAGAATTTTGGATACTCTCTTCGTTGCCATGCCTAAATTTGAATTTATTTTCCATAGATTTATGCTAATTCTCTTGCATAGTTAGATCTATCTAGCAATTAGAAAAAAATACTAATGAATGAGGACTGCTCGTTTCCTATTAAAAGTTGTTCTGAAACTTCATTTTATCTCTTGTATTTTCATATTTTAAGTTGTAAGTATTATCTTAAATTTATAATTCCCTTTCAGATATCTCAGATGCACTCAAAGATATCTCGTCCTCTTTATAGAGAGGTTTTTATTATTGGCTTTCAGTATTTCTGTATATAAAACGCTGTTTCATTAATGCCTACCTCGCGTGCAATCCACTATCTTGCTCATTTTCTTTTATTTCCATTGAAATTTTTTTGTATGTTGTAAGTTATTTATGCCGTCTATTTTTTGCTTCTTTTTTATCTTTTTATTAATTTTTGAGATATTTAATATGATTGATTACAATGTTTTTTAATAATTTATGTTGAGTATTTTATATACAATTTAAATCATTTAAGAATATACTTTAGTTGAAAGGAAATAGATAACTAACTAACTAACTAACTAGCTAATCAAATTTATTAAATCAGCTCATTCGAGCATTTATTTTATATTATAATAAAACACCAAAATTTCTTGATATTAAGAAAATTAGCAATGATTTTGCTAAAATATATCATTTGAATTTAAATGTAATTTAAGATGTTTAATTAATTTTTATCTAAAACTTAGAAATAGTAAGTAATTATTAAATTATCCAACTAAAATCTTAAGTATTTTAAAATACTTGGCATTTAATAGTCTTTTTAAGATATTTGTTTTTAAATTTAAACATTACTCAGAATAGCAGCAGCTTTACAGCATATTAAAATTTGATAGAACTCAAATTTTAATATAATAACATAATTCTGTATTTTATAACTCATAGTACAATTTCCAGAATATCTCAAAATTTAGTTTTAAAATTGTCCTATTATTTTCCTTAATTAAAATTATAATTTTTTTACTATTATATTTTAAATTAATATTGAAATTTAATTTATGTTTTTTATTTTTAGACTTATTGCTAAAATTAACAAAAGTCAGCGAAATTCAGTCAGTCAGTTATTATTTTAATTTAACTTATGAATATCCAATCATCCGTTTTATTATCTGAATTTTTAATAACTTTATAAAATAACACACTACTTTTTTTTAAATTCGTAGTATTATAATACACAGCTTATATTAATTTAATTTTTCTGAAGATTGGATTAATATTATTATTTATAAACTCAATTAATAACTTATAATTTAGGTAAATTTCTAAGTAGAGAAGCTTAGTTTATTTTTTTAAATGAGAAAAATGAATGAATGAATGAACAAGCATTAACTTAATAATGATAGTAAACAAAATAAGAATTTAATCTTAAGAAATTCAATATAATATTAAAATAATCAGAAAATGATAAATAAAAAATACATAATTTCGTAATTATATATATTACATATTTGCAAAAGAAGTAAACAATACAATAAATGAATGAATGAATGAATGAATGAATATATGTTAGTGATTATTTATTTTAGTTTAACTTAAAAATATCGAAATGTTTATTTTAATATTTTAAATTTTTTTATAAATAAATAGATTAGTCTGTCTGTTATGCTTTTTTTTAATTTTAGATAGAATCTAATATTGAACATTTATTTCTTTTAAATTTCTTAATTTAAACTGTGTGAAATAAATATACTAACTAGATCCTATAAATTTAAAATATATTTATTTATTTTTAGATGAGGCACAAACATCTTTATTAATAGACACTTTTTATAAGGGAGGAGTAATTTTTAGAATCAAAATTATTATTTTTTGGTAGTTTTAAGGCTATAATAAGGCAATAGGGGTTGCTAGGTTGACTATTTTGATTACCTCCACCGACCCTCATTAAGTCAATTATATAGAGTAATTCTTTTTTAACATAACCTTTATTGAGAATAAAGAATATTTTATAATTTATTATAAAGCTTGGCTTTATTGTGCTTAAGATAAAATATTTTTAAACCAGAAAAAGTTGGTTGGTATACAATAAAAAATAATTCAACATTTTGAGAGAAGGATATTCAGAAATTGCTTTTTTAGAGCTATTTAGAAATTATTATTTTATTAAAATCAATGCAGTATTTAAAAATAGATTTATGTTTGTATGTACTTTTTGTAAAAGATAACCTTTGAAAATTAATTGAGTGTAAATAAATAAACTTATATTAATAAATTGCATAAATCTAATTAAAAAAATAGGTAGTTAACATAAACTATATTTGTAGTTAAGCTTTTATAAACATTTTTACAATTTCTTCATTTATTTTATGCATTAAATTTGTTAAGTTAGTAGTTAAATAAATAAATAATTTGGTTTGTTTAAAATTTAAGAATTTATCTATCATTCATTCATTTATCTTTTTCATTAAAAGAATTTCTTGAGGAAGCGCTGTAACCAAATCCATTAGCACCTCTTGTATTTTGTAGTTTAATTTAGTTAGATCCAGTTTGCTACCCATTTAAAAACTTCAAAATTTTAGACACTCTTTAACCAGCTTTTTATACTTAAGAAGTCATAAATTTGGTTTTGGTTAAACAGTCAAATTTGGTTCTAAATTTTTTGATTATATAATTGTAGTTTCCTTTAGGGAAATAAATTTTATATCTGTGAATTTTATCTATTTCAATTTCGTTGTCTGGTACTAAAATGAAATCTTTGATATTTCCTTTAATTTGTTCTATCATCATATACTTCCTTATAACTAATAAATCTATATTTTATATTCCTTATTCAAATCTTATTTTATAGTCTGATGATTCACGGTTAACACTTGGAGTGGAATTCAGCATTACCATAGTCTAGGCATTAAGTTTTTTATTGCTTCTAGAAACAGAAACAGGTGAGCTTATTTCATCCTTTACACCATCATGCTAATTTGCCTTACTTGCTAATGAATGCTGTCTGTATAGGATAGAATTTGATTTACCCAACCCTATTATAGAAAGTTTTTATTCTTGATTTTCGCTTCTATAAGTTGAATTTTGGGTTATTTTTTTTGAGGATTTTCTCCTTTTTGAATCAATAATTTGAGAAGGAGAAGCAGAAGATTCATTTTATTAAATATCAAATTAAACTTGGTTGTTATACTTATGTCTTCTTTATAACAATTAAGTTGGTGAAGGTAAATCCATGGCATCATCAATATTTATCTTACCTTAAGAAGATGGGAGTAGTATATTAAAGAGATTAGCTTCCAATTAAGTCATATGAGATTATTACATAATAGTTCTGATTTTGTTTTCTTCTTCATAATACGTTTTTTCGTATTTCTGTCTACGTTTCTAAATAATTCTTTGTTAAAGCGACAGTTACTTGTTGGGATTGTTATTGTTGCTATCAAAGCTAGAGTTAATATTTTGAGAATTATCATCATCAGATGCTATGTAGGAGTTATTGTTAATATGATCATCCTGTGTTGAATCTTTTGTCTGTTTTTTTTATTGAACTCTTTTCTTTTAAACAATCTCTTCATTCTAATACATCTCAACATTTATTGATGTGTTCATATTATTAGCTATTAATTGATTTGATTTTCCAGAGTGCTCATTACATATTGTAGAAATCGTTTTTTAATTAATTTAATTTTACGATGGTGAAGGGCCAGTCAATTTTCTGCTTGAATTTTGATGGATAGTAGTATGTGTATTTTTTTTTGATTTTATCGATGGTATTTTGGAAGATTTTTTGGAAGCAATATCCAAATTAATTTCTATTGAAATTGGTTTATCAAGATTTAATTTAGGTATGCCATTATTGTTTAGAAAACTATCTATTTTTTCTATAGAATTCTGCATTGATTCATTTTTACTATTTTAACCGTCTTCTTAAAATTGGTTTATCTTTATTTTTTCTTCGTTTACAGCTTTTTATGATTTTAATGTATCTCTTTCACTTTCTGCTTCTCCCTCATCAATCGCTTAAAGATCACTATTTGCGTATACTGATTTTGGAGAATTAATACTAACTAAATTCAAAGACATATCTTTTTAACTCCTTCTCCTATATACATCAACTAATTCATTTGCCATTTTTGGGTTCAAATAAGTGCTCTTTTTATGTTATTGTTTCCTATTTCCTTATTCTTAAAAAATATTTTTAAAAATAATTTCTGATTTCCTTGAACTTTCAATTAGTTAGAAAAATAATTTAAAAAACCTAAATATTAAATTAAAATTTACAATCATCTTATTAGCTAAAATCTTCTTCTTCGTTTGTTTTACTTTGCTTGCTTGTACTGTCTTCTTCAGAGTACAAAACAGAATAGACATCACTCATAATTGAATTTTAATCACTTACCATTTTAAAATTGATTATTTGTTCTTGGATTTATTTATTATTTTATAAAGATTTAAAAAAATCCAAACCCCTTCTTTTGATCGACTTATCTCTCTACTAAAAGTAAACTTTTTTATCTTTTTTATATCTTAAACTTAGCTATACTATATGACATCTCTTTAAAGTGTGACTAGAGCTACCACATGCTATGCAATTACTAATTTGAATTTAATTCAGTTTTATGTTATTAAATTTCACGTCTTATTTTGAAATATCCTTTTTAAAATTAAATCAAAATTTAAACAAAATAAACAAACAAAAATAAATAAATGCTTTAAAAAGAATAAATAAATTGTAAATTTAGTTAATTTTTTAATTTAACATAATTTCATTTCATATTAAATACAAATTATATCAAAATTAATTATCCTTTAAAAACGAAGGCTATCCATTAAATTTATTGATAAAAAATAATATCTAAATTTAATTAATTTTTCGATTTAATTATCCTTTAAAGACGACAGCTATCCATTAAATTTATTGATAAAAATAATATCTATATTAAATTTGTTTAATTTATTTACTTTGTAACTGAATGTCTTAAAAATCTGGTTATCTTTGAACATGTAATAAAATTCCTAATAATTTTTAAAATATTTTTGGTATACAATTATAATAAAATGATTGATTTTTTACTTTGTCATAGGGAAAACTCTGCAAAATTTATATGAGCCTATCTCTTTCGATATAAGATATCATAGCTCCTTTGTATGATTTAGCAGTGTAAGGGTTTTTTTAGCCTAAAATAAATCCTTCATAACCAAAAACATCTTTTTTCTTTTATTATGGAAGACCAGTTAATAATAATATCAATATTAATATTTCAAATTTACCTTCAAAATCTAAAGTTACATTTCATTCTAATTAGCAGTGTTTTCAATCTTTAGACTAATTCCTAGAGTAGTTTAAACATTTCCCGATATCACATAAAATAGTTTGTCATTCACTTCGTTTTCATTAAAAATGAGTTCATCAGGTTTAAAATATTTTTGTTTTATATTAAGCGAAATCTCTTTTTAGCAATCAGAAGAAAAATTTGAAAATAAACTTATTGATTGAATAGCTTCGTTATTTGTTTATAATAATACTTCATTTTTTAAGCTCGAAGGCAACTATTCTAATAATTATTCTTGTCCTTATGCTCCTTCTATATCTTATTTGTATTAAAATTCAAAATACTTTCTAACTTTATGCTATAGACTCATGTCTAGCTCAAGCTTGTTCATGCTATGATTCAAGCCATGCATCATATTATTAAAATTTTCATTCTTAGATTTTTCATATTTTACTATTTCATTAATTTAACTAAATGAGTAAGCACATATATTCGTAGCTATTAAAGCAACTAATGCTATAAACATTCTTTCATCTATTTTAATTAAAAATGATAAATAAGATTCCTAAATATAATTCTAATATGTCGATTTAAGCTATGATTATTTAGCATAAAAAATGTAAAACAGATTTATCCATCTTTTTGATTTATAAAATCAAAAATCATCAATTTTTATTTTATTAGAACAAACATTTTTTTTTTGTTAGTTTAAAAGCAAAATTATATTTTTTGAGTATTTATTTTCATGAAATATTTGGCTTGATAAAATGATGTTAATACATTAAGTTACTGGTGTGATATCGCCATACCCTATGGTAGTCATAGTTATTATAATATAATATAAAGAGAGTAGATACAATTCAAAAGTAGAGAAGCTTTGATCTTAAAATTTAGTAATCCAAGATTAGCTTTAATTTTCCATCTCAGATAAACCTATTCTTAAGAAAATGCAGCAAGCTATGTGAACTAAAAGTAGTACTATAAACTCTAACTTGACTAATTTTAACCAATTTTAGGCCGTCTAACTTATTTAGAGTCTGGATGTGATTTCTTCTAATTTCTGAGGAGTATCCAAATACTTAATAAAAACAATATAATCTAAATATTTTGAAAAACCCTCTTCTTAGATTTGCTTTCTGGAATGTATGAATATTACTGCAACAAATAAATCTTTCCTTTTAATTAATAAAATTGAAATAATTTAAATTATAAATTTTAAATAAGCAGATTCATAAATAAATAAATAAATACATCAAATCCCAGAAATATTTTTAGCAGATTTTTTTCCTGTTTCTGATGATTTCTCCATTTTCATAAATCGACTAATTTAAAAAAAAAAATATGAATAACTTTAATTTCTTTGAAAGAATAAATAAATTACAGAATTTAAATTAACAAATATTTCTAATATCAGGATCCAAAGGACAATATGTTGGTTTATAAAATAAATAGGATTATTAAGATTGAAAGTGGATATGTGCTCAATAGGTATTGTAACAATTAAATAAAAAGTGAGAAGTATCATAAAAATATCCCTAATTTATTAATGATTAAATCATAATTAACAGTTAAGCTAAGAATTATATTTTTAAAAAGTTAATAAAATATCATTTTTATTACCAAATCAGCTTGAATAAAGACTCCTATTTTAATATAAAATAAGATTTATAAGTCATATAAAAATTAATCTTTTGCATACCTATGAAAATAAATATTTTCCTTCTACGAATTAGCTGAATGTGTTACCGAATTTGGAATCTAATTACAAATTAATGAAAGTATTTAATTTTAAAATTGCTTAAAATAGAAAAGAATTTTTTATAAAATATACTTTTAATTATGTAAATGGTCTTTTTTGTATTCGTGCGTTTCTAAGTTTATTAAAAATAGTAAGATTAATTAAAATTGCATTCACACTGAAGAAAAAATCCAAATTAATTTATTAATAGTTTTATGTTATTTACTTCTGATTAAATCATGCGCTAAGTATAAACATAGTAATCAAAATAAGAGGCAAAATCTCCGATTATATTGAATTATTTTCTGGTTAACTACTTGAAGACAATGCTGCTCACTCTTTTCTTTAAGTTTGAAATGAATTTTTTGGCTATAACCATAGTTTGAAGGTTGAATTGAAATTTCTTAGTATTTTATACAGATATTGTCTGTTTTGTTTAAAATAAGTCTTTCACAGTGTTATTTTTTGGGTCAATTAACTCTCCTTAGACTATCTAAAATTTATCCTCTATATTTAATGTTTGAGAGCAATCTGAAATATCTCTTTGAGATTACATTTTTTTTAATGTCTTAATTGGCGAATGTTCATTCAAAACCATGCTGTCTTAAATTATCGATTTATTTGAAGTATTGCACTAGACTTGCTTATCCTTATCGAAGTTAAACATTGATCTAATATCTGAAGTCTTAGACGAATTCTGAAATAAGAATTAACCACTTGATTAAAGACTATTCATTTCATTGTTTTTGATTTGCTAGTTTTCAAATTCTCTTTTTTCTCTACTTAATTATGCTTCTCCATTATTTAATGCTCCTTAATTTCTTAAGTCATACTGCTTTTCAGCAGTGATGCTATTTTGATGAGAGTATTTATCTATGTCTATGCTAAAATTCAAACTGCCATCGTCCTAAATTTATCTAAAATTAAATTCTTCTTTTATCTTTGAGAATTGCAATCTCATTAAATCTTAGCCCATCCTTATTGAAGAGATTTCAGTTTGTGCTAATCCCCCATTTTAGTTCTAAAAATCCATAATTAAGTATCACTTTATACTGTTATTTAATCAATATCTCTTAAATTAATTAAAATGTTGATTGATAATTTCTAAGTTTTCTTGCTTATTATTCAATTTCCCAAAAAAACAGAAAAATAGAAGTACGAACAAATCTTTGCTTTAATAATTAAAATATTAGTCCATTTTAATAATTTTACTAAAAAAATTATACAAAGAACATTTTCTAGTGAAATTAATAGACCTCAAACAATTAATCAATCAATAAATAATTCATTTATTTATTTTTTAATAGCAGTAATGTATGTATTTTTTATTATTTAAGCTTTCTAATATTAAAAATCTAAATTAAATGATGTCAAATATTTGTCCATCCACCCATATTTGTAGCATGATTATTTTATCAATAAATTCGATTGAATTATAGAAACAAATAAAAAATTATATAATTACATGCTTTAAAAAAGTTAGGTAAAGAGTTAAATTTTAACACAAAATATTACATTTTTAAAAAAAGGAAAAATATTATTTAAAAAAGCTAATTTTGTGGCTAATTTTTAAATTAATTAAAAAATTGTAAGGCTAAAATTTACTTGGTTACATATCCATAAAATTTACTTGGTTACATATCCATAAAATTTAAAAATTAAAAGTAATTTGATTTGCTTTTTGATAAATAAATACATTATTTTTTAAGAAAACAGTTTATTTAATTATTAGAATCCCTAAAAGAATAAATTATAAAGACAAATTAAGTTAACCCTACTTAAATTGTTGATATTTAATAAATTTTACGTAGTATTTCTAATATTTTTACTCTAAGTAAAATTACTAAATAGTATATAAAGTAACTTTTTGAATGAAATAAAATAATATTAATATTCAAACCTTAACATGTAAAGAATCTGAAATAGCTTTCAATCTATTTTTTTACTTACTAAAATCTACATGGTTACATTGCATGCAATTAAATTTTAATATCTAACTAATCTATTTTGTAAAGATTAAAAGTCAATTCCATTTTTTAAATTGATTAAAAATTATTACCATCTTTCTGAAGAAAAGTAAATATATTTGATATAAAATTAACTCTCCTAAATCATATGAGTTAAATAATACCTTAAAAACGATTTTTAAGAGATTAACTCGAAGTAAAATAACCAAAAAATTAAATTCATTAAAAAAATTATTTTTATTTTAAATAAGATTAAAAAATTATAAATTAGCAAAATTACAAAATATAAAAATAGAAATGCATTTAATTTACAAAAGAATATGTTACAGTCAAACTCATTATTAACATTTGAAAAATTGTAAAAATAATTATTAATTGATTGATTGATTTATTTATTTATTTGTTGTTCAAGCCATTTTTAAATTTTAGGAAGTGGTTTGATTATTTTAATTTAAATTATTTAAAAAAATGCTTTATTAATGCTATGGATTAAATTAAGATTTAGAACTTTAACGTGAAGATTTGAGTTCACTCATTTTAGCTCTTTTCTATTTAAAATTCTTAACATGAGTTGTTTTCATACTAGGGTAATGCTATTTTAAAACTTTATTTAATTTTTTTCTTAAAATTTTGATAATATCTTTAGCATTTTATAAGGGGTAATACTGTGAGTATTCTTTTTAAATATCCAAATCGATTTCGTTATCTTCAACAAAAATATAGTCTTTCAATAGTCCTTTTTGTTGCTCAATTAAAAATCTTTTTCTTACAATCAAGAGATCTAAATCCTATAAATTGTACAAGAATCTTATCATATATTCTGATGATTCTTATGCTCCATCTGCAGTGATTGTAAATCTTGGGTCACCATTTAAATTAGAAATATCGTTTGAATTCGTTTATTAGCTTGTTTAGCTTCCAATTAAATAATTAATGTTATTATTTAAAATACTTTTTCTTTCAAAGTGTTTCGAAGCAGAAGCAGATGTAGCGGTTTTTACAAGTTAAGGAGATTTTATTGCTATGCTTAATCTCCTATTAGGAGATTATGCAAGCTCTGTTTCTTTTAAGGCTTCTATCCTTTTTATCTTAACTGTTCCTGTGCGCCTCAGTTATTAAAATTGAAGCTTATTTTCTTCTTAGCTTTTCGCCCTGTTTAGTTATTAAGAGCCTTCTCTTTTTATTTAGGGTTTTAGAATTGGTAAAGCAGTGATTAACTTTTCAGCATTCGTCATAGGTGAATTTATTTCTTAAAAATTTTACTTATAAGATACATTTTTGCTTTAATCAGTTTATTATAGCTTTGGAGATATTTAAGAGGTGTTTTTAATTTGCAAAATATTAAGCGGAAATTAAGGTGAAGCCAATTTGTTAATTTCTTAAGGTGAAAAATTAAAATTTGAACTAATACTTTTTTTCTTTAAAGACATTTTTTTTGAGACATTTCTTTCTAATTGCTTAAAAATATCTTATTCTTAATTATTGTTATTAATTTCAATGCTTTAATTGATTTCATCAGTTATCTTTTTAACTAATTTCTCTTTCATCAAATAAATTTTTTAAGCTTTTTGTACTCTCTTTTCATATAACTTATCATAGATGTCACATTCTTAAGCTTTTACTTGATTAATAGTATTTAAATTCGTACCTTCTTCAGTGTTTTCTTTAATATTTTAAAATTACGATTCGTTGCAACTCATACTAGTCGTGTTAATGCTTTTTCTTGAAGTACTTTACAAATTAGATTTTTAGCTTTTCCATGTTTCTTATCTGGTTAAACCACATTAAATGAGCTTATTCTCCATTTTGTCAGTTTCTTATTTTATAGAAGACTCCTTAAATTCCTATGCTCTACCATTTTTAGATTGTGAGTCTGATTTTGATTATTATTTAACTGTAAAAGCATCAGCTTTATGCAGATGTTCAATATTATTTTGGTTTATTTTTTAAGGATAATCTTAATCTTCATCACAATCTTCAAATTAAACCATACTTACTGATAAACTTAATTATTTTTCTAAGACATTTTTAGGAGTTTCCTTAGTTAAATTCTGTGTTTGAAGAGTTCCTGAGTTTTCAAGTTATTCATTCACCTGCTCTGTAATTGCAACCAATTAATTTTACTAATCAAGCCAATTAACTTAATTTGTCTTATTATCAGAAATTTATTTTTTAAATTCTAAATTAAAATTAGGTTATCTGATATCTTCCTGCTACTCAGCAAATGCATATTTATCTAAAATTTATTATTAGATTGGTTTGTCTTGTAAGTTGAAATTACAATTAATATCTCCGCTAGCTTATCTGAATTTACTAAACTTAGACTTTTAAACTTTTTTCTTTGCATTTTATTCTTCATATTATGAATTGTTAGTCTCTTTTAGCTTCTTATCTTAGCTTATTTATCTAAGCAATTCGCTTATGTCTGATAAATTTATTCTTGTATTTTTTTTATTCATGTCTCTCCTAGATTTTTTTTAGTCAAGTGATTAAACTTATTTTAATTCTAAATTCTCACAGTTTATTAATTCACGATTTTTTGAAATCTAATTTCTTAAAATATTTTTATTTCTTTCTTTAAACTCATTTTCATTATTATCATTGAGTCTATCATTATTTTTTTTGTTTTTTTCATTTTGTTTTTATGTTTCTTCATTTGAACTCAGATCAGTATCGCTTTCTTATTCTTATTCATCAAAATTATCTTCTTACTCTTCATCAATTAAAACAGAGCATAAATCGCTTAAAAGCGATTCTTCATCATATTAAACCATAGTCCTAAGTGCAATTTTAGAAATTTCAGACTAGTCTTTTACCGCATTATACATACTAACAGTTTTTCTTATAAATTTAGGGTTTCTATCTGGGTTTATTTATTTTTCTTTTGCTTTATATTTTTCTTTCCAATGAAAAGCAGGATTTATCTTTGTGCAGTCTCTGAAAGAATGGTCAAAATCCCCACAAGAGTAGCATTTCTCATAAATTAATTTGTGTTTACCAGACAATACTATTTCGTCCTTTAAAAAGCAAAATTTTTCCTATTTTATTTTGATAAATTATTTATTTTTTTTTCAGCTTGGCTATTTGATTTTTCATTTTTTATTGATTAAAGAAAGTGAGAAAAATAAAAAATATATAAATTAATAAACTACATAATCTTGTGGAAATTGCTATAAGATGTTGATAAAGTCCTATCTTTCGATATATGTTATAACGCTATAGGCTGCACATTTAGCATTATAGGGATTAGGACAGTTGTAAAAAAATCCCTCAAAACCAAATACATCTTTTTTCTTTGATAAATAATTAATAAATAAAAAATTACTTGAAAATGATAAAAATAAATAAATACCTTTAATTACTCAATAACCATTTCAGAGAGTGTTTCATCACGAGACTCATGCTTTGTTTTTACAGCGATATTAAGTTGCACAGAACCTTGTGATATAAAAAATAGACAGGAATTATATTCTTTTTCTTTAAATATAACCTCTTCAGGATAAAATATTCTTTATTTCACATTTAATGATATTTTTTCTTTGCATTCTTTTGTCAGCTAATTAATGAATTAAATTGATTTCAGAAATTCTACATTCACATCTAAAAGAACTTCCTATTTAATCTAAGATGGTAGATTCTCAATCAATGTAAGTCTATTCTATTATCTATCTTCGTTTTATTAACTGTGTTGAAATTCATAATACTTTCTTACTTTGTGCTACAGTAAAATATTTAAACCAACATTATTCATTTCTTTGTTAATACCCTGCATAATTTATTGATAAGCTTACTTTTTATCCTATTCATACTTTACAATTTCGCTGATTTAGCTAAACGAAAAAGCACAGACATTAGTTGCAATTAGTGCTACTATTGAAATGAATATTTTTTCCTCTAATTTTAATTAATTGAAATGAAATATTTCATTAATAAAACATAGTTTCAAATAATCTATGCTTAAAAATTTTATCTTTTTATTTCAATCATAATGTGATTTACAATAATTTAAAAATTTACCAAAAGCTAAAAACAAACAAATTAATTTTTATTGGGTCGGCATACCCAATTTCATATTTTTAATATGGGCATAAATTCTCAATAAAAGAAGAAGTATATTAAATAAATAGGAAAAATAATAAATTAAAATTATAAATCTTGGCTAGTTATAAAGAAGAGAGAGCTTACTAGGAGTTATGGGAGTATAGTCTCCATATCCAATTGTTGTCATTGTAATAATCATATAGTAAATTGTTTCCAAATATAAATCTGTCAAAGAATAGTTATTTAATTTGTATCGAGAAATCCAACTATCTATACCCTATTAACTTTCATTCATACCAATTATCATATAAGCACAACTAAGTATGTGAGCAATAAGAAGAACAAAGAATTCTAATTTAATTAATTGGAATAGTCTCATTTTATTTTAAGAAATTTAAAATTTGTTTTCTAAGTCGTTTAATTTCTAAGGTATATCTATGCACTTAACAAATATTATATATTCTAAATAGGCAAAATTAGACATTTAGGGGAATTTTCTGGATATCATGAACAACGTTATTACAATTAAATCCTTTCTAATTAATTATTTTAGAAAATTATTTTTTAACAAGATCAAATAATAATGAAAAATAATTTAAAGAAATACATAAAATTTTAGTAGGTAAGCTTGAATATTTGGATCCTATCAACTATTATTTATCCTTTATAGAATACAGCCTAATTTTTTATTTAAATTCATTAAATTAAATTATTGTTAAAAATGAATTATTTTTCAAATTTAATAAGAAATTATAGCCCTTACTGTATTAAAGTTAACAACTATTTCAAAGACTAGAATCCATTGAATGATTACCGAGTTGAAATATTCAAATACTTATAATTAATTTTAATCATTTACATGCTCGATAGGAATTACTATCAATAGATAAAGCACAAAAATTATCATAAAAATATCCCTTAAATTAAATTTTTTAATTTAAGATAAATGCTATAGCTAAATCAATGTTACCATATAAAGACAAATAAAGATTCCTTTTATTTTAAATTTTTATTATATTTTTTAATGCAAAATAATTTCAATTTGTAATTTACAGGTTTTAATATCCACTTTCCTCTCAAGAACTAATTTATGCTGTCAATCAATACTGTTTCTTGAATTTTATTAAAATAAATTGGAATTTTATTTGTTTGAAAAAAGTGTTTTAAATATTTTCTAATTCTAATTATTAAAAGAAGGCTAAGAAGATTTTATTCCAAAATATGATCTTATTAAAACATTTCTTTTAAAATTAAATATTATGTATCTATCTGTCTTTTAAATTTTTTATAGTTGTTTAACTTTACTTTTATATTCTTTCTTCTAATCAATGAATTAAATAAATATATTATCAATTTTACATTAAGCTTTATACATTATTTTTTAGAAAAGCGATGGTTTCTATTTTTTAAAAAACATTGATAAATAATATTATTTCTATCATTATTTAGAATGAATTAAGTAGTAATTAATTTACGAGTGATCTTATTTTAGGGTTAATGTAAATGTAGTATTTGAAATAAGATGAAAAGTCATCAATGATACTAAATTATTTTTATGTAATATGCCTGAATCTATAGCTAGATGATGCTCTCATTAATTTTGATATAAAAATCAGTTATTAAAACATGATTTTAAAAGGTGCTATTTTCATTATACTTTCTTTCTTTTTAGGTTCATCTTAAGTATCTATCGAGTATCGATTATTACTTTCTTAATCTTACTTTAATCTTTGAAAACGCCTATTTATTTATGTTTAGTCTTCTTCAGTCTAGCTATCTTCTAATTGCAGTAGGTGGTTATCATTAACATAGTAAGGTAAACTGCTGTTAATTGGACTGTTATTACTAAATATAAATTTTTAGATAGGAGATTTTTGTTGGTAGTTTGAATCAGTATAATCTTAAGAAGGATAGTATTGAATAGCATTTAATATGGTTTTTTATTCTTTAATTTTGCTTTCCTCCTAGAGTGTAATGTTTTGTGAGTTTTACTCACTTATCTATTGTCTTCTATGATAATAAGACTATTATTTTTTTGATAAATAATTATTTTATTTGTAATTGAATCATATTTATTTACATTCTTGTTATCTTTATTAGTTAATCCTAGCTTTGAATCTCCATCCTAATTGACTTATTTACATTCATCCTAATTATAAAAGTTAGCTAACTCGCTAATTTTTAATCCTATTAGTGATTTGGATTCTTAAAATTAGTTTTAGTTAACTGTCTTTTATAACATTCTACTTCTTTTTAAAACTACTTAATAATCTATATTAGGTATTTACTTTACTTCTATTTCAAAATTAATAGTTTAACAAAACTTTTTTGTATTTTTTAATCAATCAATCAATAAATAAATAATATGTATGAATATCTGTTGAAAATTTTACACATAAAGAGAACAAAATTTTTACTTTAACTATATATTTAATTAATACCAGCTTACAATTTTTAATGCTAGATCATGCATGTTAACCAACCATTTTTAAAAGAAATTTAATAGTTTATAAATTAAGAAAGGCTCATAAATAAATAAATAAATTAATAAATAAATAAATACCATTTCTTAATATAATTTTTATACGAATCATAAAGGTGATAGATATTAAATCTAAAAAAATTATTAAATTTATTTTCCTCTTCATTCAATTAATTTTCTTTTTATTCTACTAAATTAAAAAATTATTTTTTATTTATTCTTAAAGCAAAAAAAGGTGTAATAGCAATATTTAATCATTTAAACGAATCTAAAATAATCATTTATTTATTTGTAATATTATTGATTAAAAAAGTATTCATCTTTATCAATTATTGATTGTTTAGGTAAATATCTTAATCAAAATAAATACTTAAAATAACTTAAGGTAATTTAAAAGCATTCAAGTTTTAGCCAAGATTCTAAAAGAATTTAGGAAATCTTATGAAAATGATAAAACAAAAAAATTTTCATCTAAGATTTTATTTTCTGATTTAGAAATGTAAATTTTGTTGTCAAACATTTAATATTGGATTCAATACATTTTTATTTTTTTCTTCTATCAAATACATTCGTGACCTATTTGGAAACCTCTTTTTTTATTTATTTAACTAAAAAATATTCCTACTAAATAAGCATTTCCTACTCACAAAACAAGAATTAATTATTCGAGAATAGCAATATGAGAATTATATTTTAGTGAATATAAATTAATACTAATTTTAGGCTAGATAGAAATGTAATATTTTGCAAATCAATGATTCAAATGCTTCTAAATTTTATTTCTTGAGCAGATTTTTTGAAATTTTTATTAATTTTTTTGAATCCAGTATTTAAAAACTAAATAATGAAAAATTAATTACAATTATTAGTATTTATAATTCTATTATTAATTTAATCAAAATTTATTTTTAGTAATAAAAAATTATACGTTTGATCACTCATTAGCAGTGATTAAGTTTTTTAAAATAGTAAATTTCAATAACAAGATATGGATTTTTTATTAAATAATTTAATAATTAATTTTGATATTTGTTTTTGTGAAAATATATTAAATATTAAATATAGGCTAGATATAAATGCAATATATTACTAATGATTGAAAATAAATTTCTTTTTCTAAAAACGTATGACTTTTTTATGACCATAAAATAAATTACTACAAAAGAAGTTTAAAGCAAATATTAATTTGAGTTTAGATTTTTAGATTATAATAATTAAATTAATTAATTAATAAAATAATAATTTAATTGAAATCTAATTTAATTTTAAGCAAAAGATAATATAAAAAATGGAAATGTAGCTTGCTTTATTTGATTGTTAAAATATATTTATTTTTATGCTTACAAATGAAATAAATTAATATAATTATGTAAACTAAAACTTAAAATATATATATATATTTGATTTAATTATTCTTAAAAATGATTTAAGCAAAATTCTTTTATATGAATGAATGAGAGAATTAATTATAAATAATAGAAGCTTCATTAAATAATTGTTCATTGTTTTTAGTTGATGATATATGATGGATTATTGTTATTGTTTGTGTTGCTATTGATTTAAAAACTATTTAACTAAGTCAGTTAATTTGATGGATTATTAGACAGCTTAGAGTTCTGTCTTATACTATATTTAGATTCTCCTGTTTTTAGCTTCTTTTGTTTTAGATTTTTATTATGATTTGTTTTAATATTGGGATAAAATTATTTTAGGATTTTATTTTGCTTTTTCCTCAATGCTTTAATTATTTCTTTCATATTTTAAGGGGGATAATACTATTTAAACTCTTTAGATACATCAATATCTATTTCATTATCATCTACAAAAATGAAATTTTGCAGAATACCCTTCTATTGTTCTATCAAAAATTTCTTTCTGACTATTAGCAAATCCAAATCTTGCAAGTTATAGATACATCTAATCATGTATTCATATGATTCTTAGCTTCCCTCTATAGCTGTATTTTGTGTGATACCTGTAACTACATGATGCTCTATAATGTTGCTTGAATTTAATTAGTTTAATTAATTACTGCCTAGTATTGATGAATTTGTGTTGGTATTCGTGCTTTTTCTTTCAAATTACTTTGATTATGAAATAATTGTTTTTCCTCCTCCTGATAATTTGGTACCTACTCTACCATTTCTTCTTGGAGAGTTAGCTTAATCTGGTTCTTTTTAAATTTCTATATGAGTTGTTTTAATAGTTCCAATACGTCTATGTTTATTTAATCCTAATTAATTGTTTTCTAGAATATGAGGATCTATTTAGCTAGGGTAGTGAGAAATATTAAATTTTGTGTATTTTTTAGTGCTCTCTCTAGGCATTCCAAGATGTAAAAGTGGTATTGATGGAATTTTCCTATCTGAGCCAATAATCGGTGATTGTTTTTCTTGAGATTATAGTTGATTAGAAAGATTATTTTTATTTAAGCCAAATTATTAATTTGGAGAATATGGAGAGATGCTTTCAGGTAGGTAATTTTTTGAGCTCGTCTGTAATATATTAAAGTGGTGTAAATTTTATTATGTCTAATTTTAATTTAACAAATGAGAGTTTTATATAATTGTTTTTTTTTTATCTGACATTTTCCTCGAAACAGTTCTTTAAATAGTTTTGAGAATATCATCATTGTGAGCATTGTTGATGCTTTGAGTATTTTAATTCAGCTTCTAAGTCAGTTTTTTAGCAATTGATCTCTCCTGCATGAGATAAGTTTTTTGGGCTTTTTGCTTTCTTTTTATTTACAATTTATCATATATGTCATATTCTTGAACTTTAACAGGATTTATATTATTTGAATTTATTTCTTCATTTGCATTTTCTTACACATTTTGGAATTGGGACTCATTGCAACTCATTGTAAAAGTTTTATTGTTGCTTCTTGAAATTTTTTAAGGAGCCTGAGGAAGTCTTTCACTGTTGACATTTTCATCATTGCAGCTATCTTCATATTCTTCAGTTTTTTCAACTAATTCTTTCTGATTAAATTTACTTGTGATCCAAGTTGATTTGGAAGAAAAATTAGTATCTTAATAACCTTCAGTGCCATTTTAATTTAATTATTAATTTGTTTAATATTTTTAATTGTTATTTTGAAGATCGAAGCTTTAGCTAGCATCACTTGAATCTAAAATGATAACGTTGTTGTTCGCATCATTTGTTTCATTCTTTTAGTTCTAAGAGGAGAATCCACTACCATTTTTTATTTACTTTTATAAGAAAGGTTGTATTAATTTTGGGCTGTTTTAACTATTATTATTATTGCTTAAGTTTAAATCTGATTCAAGAGCACGTAAAGTGCTTTACGAAATAAAATTATTAGAATTTTATGAACGGAATCCTTAAAGCGATTACTTTCTTTAATTATCACCTTTTATTTATTGCATAGTATGAATTGGAGTAAATTCCTAAGAAGGATTAGGCTTACATTCCATTTATTAAATTATACCAATTGATAGGTTGGACTCTTAATCTAATATACTATCTGGAGATTCAAAGTGGATAACTTATTAATTAAGATTATGAGAGCTATGAGATTCATCAAGCTACTCATTTATCAGCTCGTTAATTGTTACTAATTTATTAGGTTTCTCAGAAAATGTTGCTTCTGTTTGCTTATTTGAACCTTAATACCGCATGTCTGAGTTAAGCATATTGTTTATTTCTTCTTCATTCTCATCTATGATATCTAGTTAATTTGCCATCTACAATTTCGGTTTTTCACTCGCATTTGAACTAAAAATATTATCACCACTTCCTGATCTAAATTTGCTAAACTTTGTATTAAGCAAAATAGTCTTTTGCTTCTCATTATATTATTCTTAGTTGATATTTTATACTTTTTGTATTTTTTCATCATTGATTTATTTTATCAGCGAGCTAATAGTATCTTAAAGGTTAATCTTGCTTCTCTTTTTCGTTGTTTATCTTTTGTCTTTTTAGCTCTCGAACCACATTGATTCTTCTTCATCCAGTATGTCTGAAGATTCAGTCCCATTGTAAGTATTTTTTTTCAATTTTCTATAAATGTTTTGATTTCTTTCTTGTTCATGATTGTCGTCGTCATCGTCATCATCTTCATTATTTCCCCTAACTTTTCTTTTGAAATTTTCTTGATCTTTTTATTCACTACCAACTGAAAAATCATCATCTTCATCCTAAGAATTTTTATCTGTGTCATGCTCTTCTTCAATCAAAACTGAGCATAAATCACTTAACATAGATTCTTCATCGTATTTTGCTATAATTTTTAAAGCTTTCTTTGAAATTTCTTACTAATCTTTTATCGCTTTAAGTAAGCTAACTGTCTTTCTAACAAACTAAGGATTTCTTTCAGGATTTATTTGCTTATGCTTAACTTTGTACTTTTCTCTCCAGTTAAAAACTGGATTGATTTTAGCACAATCTCTAAAAGAATGATTTTAATCTCCACAAGTATAGCACTTCTTACTAATTAATTTATATTTTCCAGATAAAACTATTTCATCTTTCATAAAGCAATATTTTTCCTATTTTGATTATGTAAAATTATTTATTCATTTAATTAATATTTCATTGATGCTTAAACTAATTAAAATAATTTTGAATCTCAAAAGCAATTATTACGTAATCTAATGGAAATTGTTGTAAAATGTTAATTAGCTCCTCTCTTTCTATATATGTAATAACACTATATCCACCACATTTAGCATTATAAGGATTTTAAGAGTTATACAGAAATCCTTCAAAGCCAAAAACATCCTTTTTCTTTAATTTAAAACAATTTAAATAAATCCTACAAAATATTAAAAAATTTAAACCTTCAATTACTCAATAATCATTTCAGATAGTGTTTCATCATTAGATTCATTTTTGGTTTTGACTGTGATACTAAGTTGTACAGTACCTTGAGAGATAAAAAATAGAGAGGAATTGTATTCTTTTTCTTTAAACACAACTTCTTCAGGATAAAAAATTCTTTATTTCACGTTCAATGAAATTTACTTTTTACATTCATTAGAAAGCTAATTTATAAATGTAATCTGTTTAAGAAAATCCACATTCACATCTAAAAGAACTTCTTATTTAATTTGAGAAGGTAGATTTTCAATTAGAGTCAATCTATTTTATTATCTGTCTTCACTTTATTAATTATGTTGGAATTCGTAATATTTTCTAACTTTGTGTTAAAGCAAAATGTTTAACCCAACATTATTCATTTCTTTATTTATTCCTTACATCATTTATTGATAAGCTTGTTTTTTATCTTGCTCATACTTCACTATTTCACTAATTTAACTAAAAGAGAAAGCACAAACGTTAGTAGCTATTAATGCCACAACTGTTATAAATACTTTTTCATCTTTTTAATTCAAAAATATTTTTAATATAAAAAATAAAATTTGAAATTATAATTTTTATTTTTATTTACTAGGAGTAGTAGGAAAATAATCACCGTATCCTATAGTTGTCATAGTAATAATCATGTAATAAAATGTTTACAAATAGAGCTGTCCAACTGAATATCCATCTAGCTGGAAACGAGAAATCCAGCTATTTTCGCCATTTTAATACTACTGCAAACCTATTCGCAAATAAATACAGCTGAGTATATGAGCTATAAGAATAACGAGCAGTTCCAGTTAAATTAATTAAAATATTCTCATTTTATTTTAAGAAACCTGAAATTAATTTTCTAGATCATTTAGCTTCCAAGGAATATCAATAAATTTTATAAAGATAAAAAAATCTAAGTAGCTCGTACTTGTATTCTTTTCCACACTTCTAGATATCATAAACATAATCATAACTATAAAGTCCTTTCTAATAATTTTATTAATTAGTTAATCAATTAATAATTCAATTCCTCCAATTATATTATAATAAATTTATTTTTTTACATAAAATTTTTGTGATAAAGATAAAATATTTTTCGTCTATCTATGATAACTTGTCCATTATGAAAAACTGCCTAATTATATTATATTTAAAATTAAATAAAACTAAAAATAATAATTTTGTTAATTACAGTATTGAAATTAACAAATAACTCTAAGACTAAAATCCATTAGATAACAGCAGAATTAAAGTATTATAAAAATTAAATCTGATTCTAATCGTATATGTGCTCAATAGGAATTACGATTAAAAGATACAAGACAAACACAATCATAAAAATATCCCTAGTTGTTTTGAAAGTAATTATTTAAATTTACTCATTTATTTTTAAAAATAGTGCAATTACCATATTAATCGAAATAAAGATTCCTATTTTTTTAAAGTTAACAAAAAAATTAATTTATTATTTAATAAATATTTATAGATCAATTTACAGGTTTTAATATCCACTTGCCCTTCAAGAACTCATTAAAGTAGTCAATCAAGATAGTCTCTTTGATTTTAATTAAAATATAAATTAACAAATTTTCTATAGCTAAATTATTAATTAAGTTCGATCCTTTTATGCAAAATAAATTATAATGCTTTTTCAAAAGATTTATAATTTAAGGTAATAAATACATCAAAATCTATTAGTCTACATATTTCAACCACTAAATTTGCAAAATTTTCTAAATATTTGGCATGCTTAATTTAAGTTAATAAAAACATTTCTTAAGTTGAAATTAAATTCCAACTCAACTCATGAATGCTAATATGAAATTTGCATTTATTTTCTAAAAAATGTTTTTTAGTTAAATTTTAAAATTTGTATTCTATTATTTATTATGAAATAATGTAAAATTTACACTAAGCTTTGTAGAGGAATTTCTTGATTATCGATGGTCTCTATTTTTTTAGGAATAACATTGTTTATATATTTACATTACCTTAATTAAAAGCGTAAATTATATATAATGAATGAATGAAATCATTTACAAATGATCTAATTTTATGATTGATGTAGATATAGTATTCAAAATCAGAAGAAAAGTCATCTATTATACCAAATTATTTTAACGTAATATTCCTAAATCTAAAGCTAGACGAAGCCCTCATTAATTTGGCTAAAAATACTAGTGATTGATACATTATTGAAAAGGGCTTTATTTTGATAGTACTTGCTTTCTTTTTTTATTCCTTGTTTGTTTCTATTGAGTCTCTATTAGTGCTTTCTTAAAAGTGTTTCAATCTACTAAAATTTTTTTCTATCTCTGTTTAATCATCCTCACTTGAGCTTTGATCTAGCTGGATTAGCTGATTTTCATTTAAAGAAAAAGGCTAACTGTTGCTGATTGCGCTAGCGTTATTTAATAACCCTCTTTAACTGATTGAACCAAGCTGATTGTTTGAAAAAAATTGATCTTGCAAAAGATTTTGCTTAGAATTTTTATTGATGTTAGATTCTTAAACATCATTCTCATTTTTACTTAATGCTTTTTATAAGTAGTTAGGACTACTAGCTAAGTTACTTTGGTAGTTCATCTATTATTTTTATTTATAAACATTTTTAATATCATAATAATTTAAGTTTTTTTACATTCTTATCATCGATATGAATGCTTATCTACAATTGATCATCAAAGTTAACCTATTTAATATCATCTCCTTAAAATGCATCAATTACTTAGTCCTCTTTATGCTATCCTATTTAAATTTTATAGTTGTCTTTAAGGACATGTTCATGATCCTTTATATCTATCATTATATAGATTAATTTTAATACAAGAAGTAAATAAAGAGATCTTGCTTGTATTTCTTATATATATTTTAATTAAAATTTTCAGTAAAATTTATTACCTAATTTAGTTCTTCGCAAAATGAATGAATAATAAATTAAACGAAAAAAGAAAATATTCAATGTTTTCTTATTCATAAAAGTAAACTCATTTCTATTTCGTTATAATCCCTCCGCATTTTTCAGTGTTATTTTCTATTAAGCAAGCATTGATTTATCTTTTTAAAAACTTTTAATCCCTAAGATAATTGTTGAATTAGTTAATTTTAAAAACATTAATATCTTTAAACACAATTTTTTGCTTATATTCTAAAGTAATTTTTTGTTTACAGATCAACATTTACTAATATAATAATGTTAATAATTGTTTGGTAATAGCTTTAGTTTTTTTTATGTTGAGTATTAACTTTCAATAAAAAATAATTAATATCTTTAAGCTATATTTTTTGCTTATATTCTAAACTAATTTTTTGTTTCCAGATCAACATTTACTAATATTATATTAATAATGTTAATAATTGTTTGGTAATAGTTTTAGTTTTTTTTTATGTTGAGTATTAACTTTCAATAAAAAATAATTAATATCTTTAAGCTATATTTTTTGCTTATATTCTAAACTAATTTTTTGTTTACAGATCAACATTTACTAATATCATATTAATAATGTTAATAAATGTTTGGTAATAGCTTTAGTTTTTTTTTTTATGTTGAGTATTAACTTTCAATAAAAAATAATTAATATCTTTAAACATAATTTTTTGCTTATATTCTAAAGTAATTTTTTGTTTACATATGAACATTTACTAATATCATATTAATAATGTTAATAAATGATTGGTAATAACTTTAGTTTTTGTTAGATTAAGTATTAATTTTTAACAACAAAATCCTATTAAAAAAATAAATATTTTCAATTAAAAATAAAGGTTTTATATTTTTTAAAGGTTTTAAAATAATTTATTACAAAAACTATGAAAATTTATTTTTAAATTATAAATTTTTCAGTAATTTTTAAGATATTTATTTACTTACTTTAAAGAATGAGTAGGATTAGATAAGTAAGCTACAATAAAAATCCTCCCATTCAAATTTTATAAAGATATTATTTATTAATTTGAGTACGATAATACCTCTACTTTAAAAGATTAAAACAAATAATTAAATTTAATAAATAATAAATATATTTATTCATTCACTATTTCTTTTCTACATTAAACATAACAAAAATTAGAAAATGAATCCAATTAACTAAGCTGACTAATAATAAGAATTACAAACTCATGGAATAGATTCATTGCTGCAATATAATAAAAGATGGGCTCAATAAATATAAGTTGAAGATCCTAAATTTTTCGAAAGACTAGCAAAAACTCAAACTCCTGAATATCTTTGGATAGGATGCTCAGATAGCAGAGTTCCAGCAGAAGCATTAACAGGATTAGGACCCGGACAAGTATTTGTTCATAGAAACGTTGCAAACTAGATTATCTATACTGATTTGAATGCTCTATCTGTAATTTAGTACGCTGTTGATATTTTGAAGGTGAAACATATAATTGTATGTGGGCATTATTCATGTGGAGGTGTTAAGGCTGCTATCCAAAATCCAAAAATAGGCTTAATAAACTAATGGCTTTTGCATATAAGAGATCTCTATTTAAGATATAAAGAAGACTTAGATAAAATATAGAACTTCGATGAAAAAGTGAATAAGCTATGTGAGATTAACATTGCATAATCGATGTATAACATTGGAAACTCTACAATATTACAAGATGCATGGGATAGAGGACAAGATATATCAATAAATGCTTGGATTTATAGTTTAGAAAATGGTTGTATTACTGAATTAGACTATGCAGCAAGTTCAAGAGAAGTTTTTGAAGAAGTTAATGAAAAGGCAATTAAAACTATTCTCTAAGGGATAACCAGTCTTCCGAGCTATTCAGAAATTGTAAGACAAAAAAGAAGCTCAACTGTTCCCTTTAGAAAATCTGATTTTAGCAATGATGGAAAATAAGTTTGAATATATAATAAATTTTAAAATAGTAAAATCATCACTTTGGTTTTATTTTCTAATAATTCAGATAAAATATTTTTTACAGATATAATAAATAAGTAAATAAATAAATCTAAATTATATAATAAATAAAAATTAAAAAAACTATCTGTTAAATCATATAAATAATACATACTATAATATTTTATTATATTTACTGTAAAACATCAAATATATATATATAGATTTTTATTTTTTAATACCCTTAATATCATCAATTACTAATTTTTAAAAACCGGCCTTAATATATTTTGGCCTTAATAAATGAATGAACCTTTACCATATATCTTTATTTTTTATTAAAATTCAATTAAAAAAAAACAAGCAATTATTTATTATTAATTCAATAAAAATAAATAAATAAATAAAAGAAATTTGATATTAGATAGATAATGTATTTATTTATATCTAAAGCTTATTTAGAGCCATTTTTAAATCCGTTATTTATCATGAAATAATTTTTTTATAGATTATAATAATCAAGCTTAAAAATGGTAATGCAGTTAAAATAGATTAAAATTAGTTTCCATAAAATAATAAATAATAGTGTTTGTTATATAATAAAAGTAATCCTTGATCTTAGAAAGATCTCTCCATGATCCAAATATACAAAAGAATTCATTTTTTTCATAAAAGGAAAATATTTCATACAAATAACATATTTTTAGTTTAAAGTTATATTGAAGATAGTCTTAAAAGGTTTTATTTCAAGCAGAAAATTTAGTATCCAAGTGAAATTAGTTCAAAAAATGAATTTTTCAAAATTTTTAGTCTATTTTATAGTTATGAATATCTATATAAATATGTTAAATTGCAAAAAATAAACACAAAAATTAGATGTCTATCATAAAATAATTCTATTAGAATGCAAATACTCCAAAATAAAGTGCTTTTATTATTAAAGATATCCCTTAAATTTCATTTTTTATAAACATATGTTAATCAATTAACATAAATTTAAAATATAGTATTCCTGTTAGTTCAAATGCAATAATTGAAGTTGCTAAAATTCTTTAATATATGTCAAATTAATTTAAAATAGTTATTCTTAATTTCTAAGTATATTAAAGCATAAATAATATTTTATCTATATTTATTAGAATTCACTACTGTCGTTTATTGGCTTAAAAATTATTTTTATCAAATATTACAATCATTAAGAAGTTCTACTTGAAATAAATTTTCAACCAAGGCATTCAAATGAATAATGGTAAAATTCAAACAATTTATAAAAATTAATTAATTAATTATAATATTTATAATAACAAGAAAATTTTAAAATCTCTTTTTTCATTTTTAACTAAAATATGTTAGCTAGCTTAATTTAAATAAAATATGGCTTTTATTCATATTTTTTATCATTCTCTACACAAAAAATAAATAATTAAAATTAATTGATTCTTGAGGGGTTAATGATTAAGAATATCACAAATTTTTTTATGAATTAGTTACTTGACTGAATTTTTTTGTTTGATTATTATTAATTGAATTTTAAATTATAAATTAATTTTGCAAATAATTATTATTGATTAAAAAAAATAAAAGTGTTTTATTTTGTATCATTCCTTAAACATTTGTATGAACATTTCTTATCAAGAAATTATGAACCTTTAAATAAAATATTACCAACTTATATAAATCTTATTTTACTTGCATCTTCTCTCAGGCTTCAATGGACATAAGCAACATTTATGAAATAATATTAATTGATAGCTAAAATGTCATAATTATTTCTAAATATGTTGTAATTCCTCAAAAAATATCGAGAAGCAAAGAATAAATTGATTCTGTGCTTAAATTGGGAAATTATCTATATCGTATGATTATTATATTTTTGATTGATCACGTATCTCACTTTTTTGATATTTTAATTATTTTTAGAATCAAAAATTTTTTTACAACAAGAATATAATTTCTAATAATTTATTTTTCCTTTCAAATTTTAGTTGAAATTTGTATTTCATGTAAGATTTTAACTTTTCAATCTAAAATTTTTATCTCTTAAAGAAAATTGATATCCTTAATTAAATATTTATTTATTTATTCGTAATTTTCATTATTGGATATCACTTCATAGTTTGAAAATAAATAATAATTTACTTTGTCTCTTCTCACTATATAAAAGTTAAATAAATTCATTCATTCGATGCAACAATTGAGAGGTATGTATGTATGTAAATCTTCCAGCTACATTATATTATCTAGGATTAAAAATACTTTATACATACTTGCTTATATTTATTAATAGAATAAAATTTAATTACTTTGTATGAAATATTAAAATTTTTTGGAAATTATAGGATTTTATTTTATTAATTTAAAGATAATTAATTCATCATTAAAAATCATAAAAATATATTCAATTTTGTTTTTAAATTAAAAATTGGTAAAAAAAATAAATCAAAAAACAAGTTAAAAACAAATAAAAATGATTTCAGAAGATAGTAATTATGAAGAAACAAAGATAAATAATGAAGGTAATGAGGATAAAAACCATTAAGATATCTTAGGCATAAAATAAAAAAGCTCATAGTAAAGCAGGTCATATTTTTAAAAACCTTAAATGTAAATACAGAAAGAAAACTTGTAAGAAGTTATTCCTTCTTTAATTAGTACTCAAGTTGCTACATAAAAAATTCGAGAGTAACTTGAAAGCAAATTAGAACTAGATTTAGAATGTGAGAGCTTAATTTAATCTTAGATTTAAGGAACACAAGATGATATAGAAATATTTCAAAAGAAAAATCAACAAAATAATCTACTTTAAATAAAAGATACTCTTGTGGAATAAGCTGAAAAATTTGCATAAGAATTAAAAAATAAATTGAAAACTGAAATTTTAAAAAATTAAAAATTATAATAACAACTTGAAAGTTAATTAAATGAGCTTCTTAATGAGTTAGAGCTAACTGATGCAAAACTAATAACAGAAGAAATAGAAGATTTTTCATATCTAATTTAAAGATAAATTAGTAGAAATTAGATAAATATGGCTTATGGATCTAAAATAAGACTTAATAAGTTAAATGAAGCACAAGTAAAATACAAGGCATTGCTAGAATTGGAAGGATAAATTCTACTTGATTAAAATTAAGTTAAATAATAATAGTTTGATGTAGAATTGAATGTATTACCTTAAGAACTAAATTTAGAAGATGAAAGCTACATTTAATCCTAAGTTAAACTCAACTAAAATTAAAGTTAACAATAATTATTAAAAAAATAGTTGAATGATTTACTATAAGAACTAGATTTAGAAGATGAAAGCTAAATTTAATCCTAGATAAAACTTTATTAAAATTAAGTTTAATTATAATAATTTGAAGAAAAATTGAATGTATTACCTTAAAAACTAGATTTAGAAGATGAAAGCTAAATTTAATCCTAAGTAAAACTTTATTAAAATTAAGTTAAATAATAGTAATCTGAAGAAAAATTGAAAGTATTATAATAAAAACTAGATTTAGAAGACGAAAGCTTAATTTAATCCAAAGTTAAACTTTATTAAATTGAAAATTTTCAAAATCAAAATTTGCTAAAAAATGCCAATATATCCAAAATAAGACTTTAAAAGCTAAAAGAAGCACAAAGAATCTAAATATTATTAAATAATAAGAGTAATGAAAACCAAATAGAATAACCTTAGCCTAAAAATTCAAATAATAGTCATATAAAACTAAAGGAAAATGAATTTCAAAATTCTGATCTCCCTTAAAATCAGCCTTTTGATGTAATAAAATAGTATAAATTAAGTGATTTAAGAAAAGATATTTCTTTAATCCCTGAGAGCAGCGAAAAATACTTACTTGAAATGATAGAAATTTGTTTAAATATTTATAAATAAGTAGATACTCCTCAAACTGATCCAGGAAACTCGTAACTTTTGACTTAGAAAGAAAAAATAGAAAAGCGTTTAATTATTGAAGATTAAATAACTCCAGAAATAAGCTTACATTTACAAAATATTTAATAAAACATAGATCAAGATAATTTTAAAGGTATTATTGATGAAACAGATATGCTTATTAAAAAGGTAAGACCTTTAAATATTAATGAAATGAAAAGGTTGATTCATGAAGTAGATAAGGCTGCACAAGTTGTAGAAGGATAAGATATTATTATATTTTTAGGTGTAACAGGAGTAGGAAAATCAACAACTATTCATTTTTTAGCTGGCTCAGAGATGGCTGAACAAAAAATCTAAATACAAGAGGGAGTTTTTAATAATTAAATAGTTCCTGTTAAAATAAAGAATAAGACTCTTTAAAAAATAAAAGTAGGATTTTCAGCAGCTACCTCTGAGACCCGTTTTATTACACCTGTAAATATTAAATTTAAAGACCTTAATATGGCTTCAAGTGATTCAATAATTTTATGTGATTCACCTGGTTTTGATGATATTTCAGGGCCAGAAGTAGATATAGCAAATGGTTTAGGAATTGTTAAAGTAATCAAAAAATGTAGGAGTGTGAGGCCTATAATATTGCTAAGTTTCGAGGGTTAGGGTGATATAGGTTAAGGTATTAAACAATTAGCTCACATATTGATAGGATTTGTTGACAATATTTAAGATAAATTAAGTTCTTTATCTTATCTATTTTCAAAATATCCTAAAGATTATAATATTAATTCTGAATTAATCAATATTAAGAATATTATTGATTAGATTACAGAAGAAAAATCTGATGAAGCTTTTGTTATTCTAATTGATGACATGATTGAGAAAACTAAGAAATCACGTAACATAATAGATCCTCTTAAAGGAAATCCAACAGAAATTTTAAATAACCTAATGAAACAGGAAGGAATTTAAGATCCTAGTTAAGTTTTCAAATTTTCTATAACAAATAATTCTTATTCTGCAATTACAAACTATATTTTTAAAACAAAATAAATTATCATTTCTGCACTAAGTAGAAGTGAGTATGAATTAATTAATTTTAAGTTAGACGAACTAAAATTTTTAATAGACATCTTAAATTTAGAATCTACAAAAAAAGTTTATGAGGATTGTGTAAATTATATTTAGGAAGCTGTCAAAAAAGATTATGAAAATGTTACTGAGTAGCTAAATTAATAAATATAAAACAACAAAAAATTAGATACAAATTATTTAAAGGAATATCAAGAATTTTTTTAAAAGTTTTCAAAAATACAAAGCTTAAGAAACAATCATTTAAGTGCTAATTTTAGCACTGCTAACGAATTAATTGATGAATTAAAGCTTGTGGTTAAAAAATTGGCTCAAGTTTTTGACTAAGAAAACATCATTTAAACTCCAGTATTAGTTAATCTAGATAACATTAAGCTGATTTCTGAATATTTTCCAGAAGTAAAGTAGTAATATAATGAAGTGTGTTAGAAGATATCAAAATAAATTGAAGATGTTTTTTCTAATAGTATTTTAGCATTAAAAAACAAAAATTTTGATGATCTAGCTCAAACAATTTGTAAAATAACTCAATATATGAAGCAATTTAAATATCATTTAGATAATTAGCCAATTAACAATCAATTAGAAAAAGTCAAATATTAATTTAAAATGAGTATAGACCAAGCAGTTTAAGACGTAAATAAAATTTTGAAATTATAATCGCTAAATGGCGAAGATATTAACATTATAAATGAATAAATTTTAGTTATCGAAAAAGCTGAAAAAAATTTACTACTTGATTAACTTATTAATATGGATTATGTTAAAATTCAAAAAAACAATCTTTTTGAAAATTTGTTTGAAAAATTTTTAAAAATTAGCAAAAAGATTGAAGAGATTCTTAAAAAATAACCAGATTAGGCATTTCTTTAATTAAAAGATTATATGAATGAGATGGAGTAATTTAGAAAAATAAAAGGGATAGAGAGAAGAACTGCTGATATCTACCACAAAACTATCTAGGAATTAAGGCAATAAATTAAAAGAGATGTATTGTAACTTTTGAGTGATTTCTAGTATGATAAGAAGAAAGTAGACTTCTAAAAAATTGACCATTGTTTAAATCTATTAAAATGTACTCAATATAATGGAGCTTATGATTAAACTAAAGAGCATATATCATAAAAACTTTTGAACTATTCTTAATTTGAAATAATTTAAAAACTGAGAGAAATAGATTTAAGCTAAAGGAGTTATGGAAATTTCTCAGTAGCTTCTGAATTGATAAAAGAATTGGAAGCATTCAAATTTTTTGAAGAATATAATCCTATATTAACTGAGTTAAGAGTCAAGGCCTGCTCTATGTTTAAAGAATCAGTATAAGCAGTTTTTACTTAAGTAAAAGAATTTATAAATGCAACTACTAGTTAAAGAGATGTTAAGGAAGACTTATTTATAAGGCTAGATGGAAGTAAAATTGAAGATTATCTTAATTATATTAGTGCTGCCTCCTAAAATATTTGGACAAGAGATGATGCTAATACTTTATTGGGATAATTGAAAGAATTTCTAGCATTTTAAAAAGAGTCCAAAAATTAACAAATTGTCAATCACTACGAAACCATTATAGATTTAAATGAATAAAATGAAAAATAGAAAACTTAGAGTGCTTTATAATTAGCAAGTCTTATTAAAGAAACGATAAGCTTATAAAAATATGAAAAAATCAGCTAGTTGATTCAACCAAAATAATTGATTGAAGATTTAAAAAATAGAATGTAATAGTATTACATAGAATTGAGTCATGATATGAGTTAACCTACAATCAATAAATAAAAATAAGCAAAGTATATTAATATTTCTAAACTATTAAGCCACTCTGATAATTAGTTTGGAGAAAATAAGTTTTTTAATCTCTGCTTGTCTATGCAAAATGCTTTGAATGATGAATTCAAAGATAATTACAAAAAAATATTACAAGCAATAGAAAAAAAGGATTTTGTTGCAGTTAAAACTGAGTTAATGTAACTCAATGATAATCCTGTAAATTAGAAAGCTATGAATTAGATAAAGGCATAACTGTAATATCAAACTGAAACTTTGTTAGAATAGGCTAAATTAGATGCATTATCACTTGGAAATTAAATAGATAAAGATATTATCATGATGATAATTGAAAATATAGAACTAATTAAAAAATCAAAGTCTTCTTTTAAAGAATATTTAGAAAAAAATTTTTTGGAAGCTATTGATTAGGAAATAGAAAGAATCATTTCAGAAATTGATAAAAAGATTTCATAATTTTTAGGAAGTATTACCGTGCTTTTAAAGTAATCTGACTTTTTTGAAGTTGAAGAAAAGAGAGAATATATTTTCTAAATTTAATCCTTATTAATTAGTTATAGTAAAGATAATGTTAATAAAGAAAAATTAAATTAGTTATAGAGTGATCTCGAAAAAAAAGTAGAAGAAATAACAGCAATTAATTATGATGAAGAAAAAGATTTTGTATTTCATCCTCCAAAATAAATTTTAGAAAAGCTAAGTAAGATTTCTACCCGAAATCTTAAATATACAGTGTGCTATACAAATTTATAGCAGATACTCGTTGGAAAAGTAAGACAACTAATATTAAATTATTAATCTTCAGATTCAAGTCAATAATCTCAACAAGTCATAAAAGTTGAAGCTTTAATAAACTCATTACCTTAAGAATTAAAATAAATATTTAAAGATTAATTTGATACTTTTAAGTTACCAAACGAGTAGAGAATGTAAATCTTCGAAAATTAATTTAACGAACTAAAGTCGTGTGAAGATTTAGAAAGGAAAAAAGTATTTTTGGAAGAATGCAAAATGTAAAAAATTTTAAATAGTTTTGGAGATAGGATGAGAAAGTTAGTTTATGAAGAATTTTAATCTATACTTAGTAAATTTTATGAAGATATGGAAAATGGTAAACCTTTAGATGGAGTAAAAAAAGCCATTAAACTGTTAGAATATAATAAGCATTTTGAAAATGATGAAAAAATAAAAGCTAAATGCGAGGAAGTATAATAAATTTAAGGAGTTTTAATTTAAATTTTTAATGAAAGTACATAAAAGCATGGTATTAATTATGTAATTGAGCACATAAGAGGTGATGAAATAGATAAAAAAAAACTCAAAGAGCTATATGATTAATTTGAAAAAGAGTACTAAGAAATAGTTTTTTAAAATTTAGTCTTAGTAGTGAAAAATGAATAATAATATAATTAGATTATAGAATAGCTGGTGACTAATGCTAAAATGAAGACAAATAAAAAAGTAGAAATTAAAGATGGAAAAATTAATTGGAATGATAATTTGAGATAAAAATTACCATCTTTGATTGCACATATATTTGCATTATGGACTCTTTTGAATACATAATACTTCAAAGAAAAAGAAGTAGCTTATTTATAAATAAAAACAACTATTTATTCAAGCCTCATTCAGGATAAGTTATTTCTATATTCTGTTTGTTAGGGATAGGATATATTAAAGACAATTTTTATAATAATTTAGTATAACTAGGTATTGGAGAGGGCAAATCAATAATATTAGCTGTTGCTTCTATCATATTCGCTTTATATGATATAGATGTTTACTGTGCTTGCTAAACTGAGTATCTTAGTCAACGTAATTATAATAATTTTCTATCATTATTTAACACATTTGGAGTCACCCCTAATATTAAATATGGTATATTTAATAAAATATGTGAAGAAATTATAAATGAAAATTAATAAATTTGTGATTTAGTAGTTAATTACATTTCTAATGGTTTTCCTGAAAGAAGTTAAGGTAATGACAAAGATATAAAAAGAAAACCAAAAATCCTATTGATTGATGAGGTAGATGTTTTCTTTTCATAAGATTTTTATGGTAAACTTTATAATCCCATTGCACGTTTATAAGACTAAGGCATTCTAAATCTTGCTCAATTTATATGGAAATAAAGGAACAACCATCTTTCTCTTAAGCAAGTAAAAGAAACTGAGTGTTACAAATAGTGCATTAACAAATTTAAAAATTTGAATGGTATAATCGATGAATCTATAAAAGACATGATATCAGATTCTAAAAATTTCGAGCATAAATATATAGTTTAAAAGCGATAAATAGGTTATTTAGAATAAGATGACATATCGTTTGATATAAATTATGGATACAAAACATTATTTGCTTATTTTTATGAATAAGAATAAAATAGAGTAACTGAAAGTAAAGTAAAATAAAATACATTTATTAGCATAAAATGTGGCAGCTTTTCCTATTCTGAAATTCCATTTAAATTTGATTGTATTGTTGGAGTAACAGGTACATTAGATACTTTGAGTGAATCAGAAACAAAAATAGTTTAAAAAATATACAATATAACAAAATTTACTTATATTCCAAGTGTTTTTGGAGGAAATTACCATAAATTTGATGAGAAAAGCGATATGCATGTTGAAAATGAAGATAATTATTTTAAGGTTATTAGACAAGAAATTGATAAAAATCTAAACAGAAACTGTTCTGACAAAAATCTAAGATCTGTTTTAGTTTTCTTTGACTCAAAACAAAAACTAAATAATTTCTACTAATCTCCTTAAATGGCAGATATTAAGATGGATATTAAAATTATTACAGAAGAAGTATCAACTAATATTGATAAAAAAGAAGAATTAATTAAGAAAGCTACTATTTCTGGGTAAGTTACACTCCTAACTGCTTCATTTGGATATGGAACCGATTTTAACTGTTTTGATTAAAAAGTCTTAAATGGTGGAGGAGTACATGTTATTTTAACATTTTATTCAAGTAAAAAATCTTAAGAGGTTTAAATTATTGGCAGAAGTGCTAGGTAGGGATAAACTGGATCTTATAGTTTTGTTCTTTTAGATTAAGATCTGTAAAAGATTATAGGACCTGGATATGAAAAAGCACTTAATGATATGAGAGATAGTGATAACTTCTACTAAAAACTAAATGAATATCGTAAAAAAAGAGAGGATTAAGAATATGATAACAAAAATAAATTTATTGAAAAAATAAAGAAAGATCATTATGAGGGATAAAAATTTGTATCGGCTATGTTAGACCAAAATGAAGCATTTATCAAAGTGTTTTTAGCAAACAAAAATAAAGGTACAAATGATATACCAAATGTAATTCGCATTCTTTGTTTAATTGATGGCACAGCATCTATGGGACCTTTATTAAATAAAGCTAAAACAACAGTAAGTGAAATATTCGAAAGATCTTGTTTAATTATCAAAAATACTAAAATAAATATACCAGAGGATTGTTTCTAGCTGTAATTTGCAGTTTATAGGGATTACGATCAAAAAGAAGGTGTTCTACAAGCTTCTCCATGGGAATCAAAAGCTAATAATTTATGCTAATTTTTAGAAACAGTAGAGCCTAAAGGAGGATAAGATTATGAAGAAGCAGTTGAAATAGGCCTTTAACATGCAAATTAAGAAAATTAAAATTAAGAAATAGCAGCAATAATTATACTTGCAGATGCTCCTTCAAAAAGCATGTCTTCTATTTAATCTTATAGAGAAAAATACGGAGGAGAAAGCTATTGGAAAACAACAAAATATTCAGAGATAACTGACTACAAAAAAGAAATGTAAAAACTCAAAGATACTAATATTCCTATACATAGCTTCTATTTGGATGAAAGAGCAAAAAGTAATTTTGAAGAAATTTCTGAGTTTACTAATGGAAAATGCGAAGGCTTTAATATTGACTCTAATGATGCCTCAGATAAATTGATTAAAATAATTGTTGAACCGATTCTTTAAAATGTAGGTAAACAAAATGGATTAGGAGATGATTTATATAAATAATATCTAAAATTATATGATAAAAGCTATAAATGAAAGATTAAAAATATTCAAGAAAATTTGTGAAGTTAAGTTTAAAGCAAAAAATTTTTTTTGTTTTTTCAGAAATAGCATTTATTATCAGAATATTTATATTTTTTAGTTAAAATTAATTTTATTCATATTTATCATATATTATTATTTAAATTTAAATACTCACAAATTTTATAAGTCCTAAAAACACTGAAAGTTGTGAATTTAATTAATTTTTACTAAGGTGAGCTAAGCAAAAATAAATAAATTTTGTTTAGTTAATAAATATAATTTCATTTATTCGGTATTCGGTATTCATTAAAAAAGTGATATTTAGTCTCACCCTAGTATTTATATGTAAAACTAATTAAGAGCTATTTTTAAATTTCTTATAAATGAATGATTTTTTATATATATAATATTAAATAAGCTTAAAAATGAATTATCTATTCCTGTTCTAAAACTTCAAAAAATATTTTACTATTCACTTAATGACCATTTTTTTGAATATTTTTAATATATTATCAATTAAAGGCTAAAAGACTTAAATTATCTAAAAAACGATCAACTTTTATTTTTATCAAAAAAATGTAAAAAATTATCAATTTGCACAATAAAAATTAAGATAGGAGAAGAAAAAATGTATTGAATATAACAAATTTCTTTCTGAGTTTTTTGCAGATTCAAATAAATTAATTTCTATTAGATTTTGTTATATTAAGTAAAAAGTATTTAATTTTCCTCCTTCCTAATCTAACATCAGTACGTACTCTATCTATTCCACAAAATCTAAAGTTAAGATTATTTGATTACAATTACATTCTAAAAATATTCTAAGGAATAAAATTTAAAAATGTAAATTATAATAGAAATTAATTAAGGTCATTTTTTTAAATCAAAGTTTCAAAGAGTATTTATTTATACTAAACCTTTAATAGAGAAGGTTCTGATTATCTTAATATGTATGTATATATTTGGAGGAGTTCATATAACTAAATTAAAATTATTCATATTAAATAGCTTGAGAGCCTCCTTACTTTATAATTATATTTAAAGCTGTAAATATATTTTTCGAAAATTCAAACAATTTACAAACAATTATAACATCTATCTATCTGTTAGAATAAAAAAATTTATTTAACACTTTTTTTAATTTTAACTCTTATATGCTAATTTAAGATACAATAAGGTTTTTATCTAATTCATTTCTTTTCTCAATCTAAAAACAAAAAATTAGTTTTTTAAATAGATTTTTGATTGATTAAGGATGAATAGATTAATCAATTTATGAATTAGTTAGTAGTGCTAATTAAAAAAAAGTATTTTATCTTCACTTTGTATTTTCTTCATATTTTAACATCTTTTGTATTTACTTCATATTCTAATATCATCTGTATTTTCTTCATATTCTAACATCAGAACCAATTCTACATACGTAATCATAAGGTGACATTATTAGATTACAATTACAGTCCAAAAATATTTTGACAAATAGAATTTCAAAAAATATTTTGCTATTAACTGAATGGCCTTTTTTTTGAATATAATTTAAAATATTTCCTCCATTAATTTTGCTTTGAATATATATAAAGACTTCATTTATCAAAAAAAACATCAACTTTTATATGTCTCAAAAAAAGTGCAAAAATTTATCAATTTGCACAATAAAAGTCAAGAGAGTAGAAGAAAAAAAATTATTGAATATAACAAATTTCTTTTTGAGTTTTTTGCATATTCAATTAAATTAATTTGTATTTGATTTTCCTAAATTAAGTATAAACAAAAAGTACTTAATTTTCCTATTAATTAAATTTCAGTACTCTTTTCTACGTAATCAAAAATTAAGATTATTTGATTACACACAATTACATTCCAAAAATAACTTGAGAAATAAAATTTTAAAAATTGAAAATAATAGAAATTAAGATCTTTTTTTATATTTTAGGTTTCAAAAAGTATTTTCATTTTAAACCTTTTATAGAGAAGGCTGTGAATGAATATCGTAATTATTAAATTATTTTAATTTCTTTAAGGATCAAAATAACAAAGCATACGTTTTTAAATTTTAACTTCAATTATTCGTCTTATTTGGATAGTTATTAATAATTCAAAAAAATTAATTTCAAGTGACAAACAAGTAAAATAAATTGATAATTTCCCAAATATATCCCAATCTTTTGAGAGCCTCTTACTTGAATATATTTTTCACATATTCAAACAATTTACAAAAACAAATTGCAACATCAGATAGAAAAACACAATTTATTAATCTCATTTTTCATTTTAACTATAATATGAAAGCTTAATCTATATAAAATAAAACTTTTATTTATTTAATTAATATCTTTTCTTAGTCTTTACACAAAAAATACCTTATTTCCTCTATAATCTTACTGAGCTGCATGCTCAGGGTGAATTAAATATTTATTTTTTTTTAATCTTTAGAAATATATTATTTTGCCTTTTCCAAAACTGTTTTGGGTACTATATTTATATATATATATATATATATCTTTATTGTTTATCAAAATTCAATTAAAAAAAACAATTAATAGTGATTCTATATTTAACAAAAATAAATAAAAGATATTTCATATAAGATAGTGTATTTATATGTAATACTAATTGAGAACCATTTTTGAATCCCTTCTTTATAGATTTTATTAAGCAAGCTTAAAAATAATAGTGCAATCAAAATATTTTAAAATTAATTCTCTGAAAATTATAAATAATAGTGTTACATAGCTAAAGTAATCCTTAATTTTATCATAATCTCTCATGATCCAAATATACAAAAGAATTAATTTTCTTCATAAAAGGAAAATATTTCATACAAAAACAAATTATGAGTTTGAGGATATATTGAAGATAGTGTTAAATGGTTTTAATTCATACAGCAAATTTAGTATTTAACTAAAATTAGTTCAAAAAATGATTTTTTTTTTGAAATTTTTCATTTAATTTATAGCTATGAATATCTATTTAGAGGTTTAAATTGCAAAAATAAACAAAAAAACAGAGATATTTATCTTAAAATAATATTATTTAGACCACAAATTATCTAGTTTTACACACTATAATTAAAGATTGCACATATACATTTAGATTTTTATAAACTTACGTTAATGAATTAATATAAATTTGACAGAAAGTATTCCTGTTGAAATGCAATAATTGAAGCTTCTAAAGCTATTATTTTTAATTATTTTTTAATTTATTTTCAATTTTAAAGAGTTATTCTTCTTTTTTAAGTTTATTAAAGAATAAATAACATTTTATTTATATTTATTAGAATTCTCTACTGTTGTTTATTGGCTTAAAAAATATTTTTATCATATAAAACAATAATTAAGAAGTTTTACATGAAAATAGATTTTCATACAACCTATTCAAATTAATAATGGTATTACTTTTATAAAGCCTTAGAGAAATTATAATGAGGAAAAATGCTTTTAAATGATAGCATATCAAGTATTTGTAATTCTATCACTGATGAAAGTAAAATTTTCAATCAGCATAGCTTATTATTTAATAAATTTATTAACTAAAATTTTTATCTTTTTTTATGTTATACATGAATAAGGCTTTAAAATATGGCTATTAACCACTGGTGATAATTATCTATACCTGTTCTAAAACAGCAAAAAAATACATTTTTCTATTTATTGAATGGTCTTTTTTTGAATATTATTTTAGATATTTCCTCCATCAATTAGACTTTGAGTAGGCTAAAAGACTTTATTTACTAAAAAACAATCAATTTTTATATGTATCAAAAAAATGTAAAAATTAAATCTGTACAACATAAATTAAGATAGGATAAGAAAAAATTGATTGAACATAACAAATTTTTCAGAGTTTTTGAGTAAGCAAATAAATTAATTTCAATTAGATTTTGCTTGCAATGTTATGAAAAAAAGTATTTTATTTTCCTCTTAATTTAACATCAGTACTCTTTTCTAAATTATCTAAAGTTGGGATTATTTGATTACAATTACATTCTAAAAATATTTTGAGAAATAAAATTTAAAAATAAAAAATTTAATTATAAAAAAAAGATCTTTTTTTAAAATGAAGATTTCAAAAAGTATTTTCATATTAAACCTTTAATAGAGAAGGCTCTGAATATCTTTATTTTTAATTACTTGTAATTACTTTGAGTATCAAAATAAAAAAACATAAATATTAATTAGTAATTTCAATTTTTCATAAGATTTTGATATTTGTCAATAATTAAAAAAATTTAACTAGAACATACAAACAAGCAAAACAAATTGATAATCTCCCAAGTATTATATATCTTTGGAGGAGTTCATAAAATTTTAGCTAAATTACAAATAATTTAATCAATTATTCATACGAAATAGCTTGAGAGCCTTCTTACTTTAGAATTAGCTTTAAAATAGTATGTTGTTAGAACAAGAAAATTTAGTAATGTCTTTTTTCATTTTTAAATATTATATGTTTGCTTAATTTCGATAAAATAAGGATTTTATTTAATTCATATCTTTTCTCAATCTATATACAAAAATGCCGTATTAATTCTGTAAGCTTACTGAGTCGTATGCTGAGGGCGAACAAAAATAATAATTTTCTTAAAAACTCCAATCAATCGATATCCAAAGAAACATAAAAATGAAATTAGAAGTAATACAGTAAATTATTCAAATTGATTCTTTGAGAGATTAAGGATGAAGAAAGTGAAAAATGAATGAATAGTAGCTTTTTTAGCTTAAAGTTAAGCTTTGACTAAATATGTTTTGTTTAATTGCTATTAAAAGTATTTTATTTTGCATCTTCCGTCAAATATCTGTACGTAACTAATCTTAGCAAGATATTATGAATCTTTAAATCAAATACAACCAACTAATAAAAATCTAATTTTATTTACATCATTTTTCAGATTTAAATGGTTGTAAGCACAATTTATCAAAGAATCAATTGATAGCTAAAATGTCATAATTTTTTCTAAATATGTTGTAATTCCTCAAAAAATACAGAGAGAAGACTTAGTGAGGAATGCGTTTTTGCTTAAATGGGGAGATTATCTATATTGTATGATTATTACATTTTTGATTGATCACGTTTACATATCTCATTTGTATAATATTTTAATTATTTTTAGAATCAATGATTTATTTACCACAAATATTTAATTTCTAAAAATCTATTTTTCCTTTCAGATTTTAATAGACATTCTTATTTGATGTAAGATTCTAAGATTTTCAAACTAAGATATTTATCTATAAAAGAAAATTGATATCCTTAAATATTATTCATCCATTTATTTATTGGAAACCCATTCATAGTTTGTTTGAAAGTAATATTTCTCTAAGTTCTTCTCATTATATAAAATTAAAATAAATTCATTGATTTTAAGCAACAATTGAGAGATACACATGTCAGTCATCCAGTTACATGATATTCACTAATGAAAAATACTTTATATTTATTTATCTATTTATTAATAAAATAAAATTTAACTACTTTGTATGCAATATTGAAATTTGTTAATATAAATTTATATTTAAGGATTTTATTTTTATTAACTTAACTTATAGACTGAATAATATTCAATAGATTATATAAATTATAAATAAGAAAAAAAATAGATCAAAAAATTAGTTTAAAGAAAGTATTAAAAATGGAATTTGCAAGCGATAGTGAAGAAAGAAAGTCAAATGGATGTAATGAAGATTAAAATCTTTAAAATATCTAAGTGGAAGAAATATAGAGAAACTAATAGAGCTCAAATTAAAGTAATTCGTATGTCTAAAACTCTTAAATGGAAATACAGAAAGAAAACTTGTAAGAAGACATTCCGTCTTGGAATCTTACTTAAGTTGCTCCATAAAAAATTGAAGAGTAACTTTAAAGCTAATTATAAGACCTTCTTAAATAACTAGATTTAGAAAATGAAAGCTACATTTAATCTGAGATCTAAGATACACTTGATGAAATTGAAAATTGTAAAAAGAGAAATCAACAAAATAAATTACTTGAAAAATAAGACTCCCTTTAAAAACTGAGATAAGCTGAATAATTTGTATAAAAATTAAAAGATTTGGAGTAATAAACTGAAGGTTCCTAAAATTAAACTTAATAATAATAACTTGAAAGTTAATTAAATTTACTTCTTAATGAGTTAGAGTTAGACGATGCAAAACTAATAATAGAAGAAATAGAAGAAGTTAAAGATCTGATTGAAAAGTAAACTAGTAGAAATTAGCTAAAAAAGGTATCTGAATCTAAACAAAGACTTGCTAAGTTAGATTAAGCCCAGGCAAAGTACAATGAATTACGAACATTAAAAGGAGAAACTGTACTTGATTAAAATTAAGTTAAATTATAATAATTAGAAGAAAAATTGAAAACTTTCCTGTAAGAACTAGGTTTAGAAAATGACATTTAAGCTGAGATCTAAGACACACTTGATTACATTGAAAGTTGTCAAAAGAGAAATTAACAAAATAAAGTACTTTAAAAAAGGAAACTCTTGAAAAACTAAAAGAAGCAGAAAAAATTGTATAATAATTAAAAGATTTGAAGTCATAAACTGAAGGTTCCTAAAATTAAACTTAATAATAATAACTTGAAATTTAATTAAATTAACTTCTTAATGAGTTAGAAATAGAAGAAGTTAAAGATCTGATTGAAAAGTATACTAGCAGAAATTAGCTAAATTAGGTTTCTAAATCTAAAAAAAGACTTGCTTAGTTAGATTAAGCCCAGGCAAAGTACAATGAATTACTAACATTAAAAGGAGAAACTGTACTTGATTAAAATTAAGTTAAATAATAATAATTAGAAGAAAAATTGAAAACTTTACTGTAAGAACTAGATTTAGAAAATGAAAGCTACATTTAAGCTGAGATCTGAAGGCTTAAATATTGACTCTGATGATGCCACAGATAAATTGATTTAAATAGTTGTTGAACCGATTCTAAAAATGTAGGTAAATAAAATGGATTAGGAGATGATTTATATCAAGAATATCTAAAATTGTTTGATAGAAGCTATAAATGAAAATTTTCTAAAATAGCAAGAAAATTTTTAAAATTTATGTTTAAAATAAAAAGTTATTTATGTTTTTTTAGAAATATTTAAAAATCAGATTTATATTTTTTGGTTAGATTTAAATTTATTCATTTTTAACATGTTATTATTTAAATTTAAATATCCTCAAGTATTGTAAATTATAAAAAAGGGTAGTAACTGTGAATTTAATTAATTAATAATTTCTTCTTTTCTTAGTTTTTACATTTTTTGTTGCTAATTTTTTTTTACTTTGGGGAGCTACAAAAATAAATCTATTTTGATATATTTAATTAATAGCCTCTGAATAATTGTTCTTCTAAAATTCAAGTTGATTTTTATAATGAGATACTTTACTAAAAACCAAAGTGATTTAATAGTTTTAAAGGATTTTTACAAATATATTTTAAAAGTTATGAAATTTTCTTTATTATCAAATTATGATTTAAAAAAAACCATATTATTCAAGCTTATAAAAACAGCACAATTTACAAATTTAAAATTATTTTATCTAAAATAATTATTAATAGTTTAAATAATAAAATTCAACTTGAGTTATAGATAAAAATGTCCATCAACCGATAAGTAAAAGTAAAAGAAAAGCTAATTATCTTCAAATAATTTCAATAGTTTATTGGATAATCAGATAATCAGCTTAAGAATATTATTATATATGAAATGATTTTAACTCAAACAAAATATTTAGCTTTTATGTAAAATTAACTACAAACTATTAATTTTTTTTTAAATCTTAAGTTAAGAGCTTTAAAAATCTATTTAGTGGAGTTAAATAGTAAACGATCAATACAAAATAGAGTAATTTATAATAAAATATATTAAAAGCAAGTACTGTAACGTTAAGTGCTATATTTATAGCTCTAATGTTGTTTTCAACTATAAATATAAATGAACAAATAAAAATATGGCTGAGATAATTCTTATAAAATAACAGAGATCAGAAACATGAGAAATATACTTCAAAACTTAGATACATATGAGTGATGAGTTAGCAATAGTCTATATATATCAAAATTTTGTCATACTAGATAAACCTTCCTATGTTGGTTGGTTATCATATTCTTGATTTATCTAAGATCTTTATGTTTGATTAATTTAAATAGGTCTAATTTAGAATAAAATTATGTTGTAACAAAAGCAAAAAAGATTACAAGTTAAAAAACTTTATTTAAAAGATTAAAACAAATAATTAAATTTAATAAATTATAAATATTTTTTTTATTACATTAAACATAATAAAAATAGAAAATGAATCCAATCAACTAAGCTGACTAATAATAAGAATTACAAACTCATGGAATAGATGCATTGCTGCAATATAATAAAAGATGGGCTCAATAAATATAAGTTGAAGATCCTAAATTTTTCTAAAGACTAGCAAAAACTCAAACTCCTGAATATCTTTGGATAGGATGCTCAGATAGCAGAGTTCCAGCAGAAGCATTAACAGGATTAGGATCCGGACAAGTATTTGTTCATAGAAAAGTTGCAAACTAGATTATCTATACTGATTTGAATGCTCTATCTGTAATTTAGTACTCTGTTGATATTTTGAAGGTGAAACATATAATTGAATGTGGACATTATTCATGTGGAGGTGTTAAGGCTGCTATCAAAAATCCAAAAATAGGCTTAATAAACTAATGGCTTTTGCATATAAGAGATCTCAATTTAAGATATAAAGAAGACTTAGATAAAATATAGAATTTCGATGAAAAAGTGAATAAGCTTGTGAGATTAACATTGCATAATCGATTTATAACATTGGAAACTCTACAATATTACAAGATACATGGGATAGAGGACAAGATATATCAATAAATGCTTGGATTTATAGTTTAAAAAATGGTTGTATTACTGAATTAGACTATGCAGCAAGTTTAAGAGAAGTTTTTGAAGAAATTAATCAAAATGCAATTAAGACTATTCTCTAAGGAATAACCTGTCTTCCGAGCTATTCAGAAATTGTAAGACAAAAAAGAAGCTCTACTGTTCCCTTTAGAAAATCTGATTTTAGCAATGATGGAAAATAAGTTTGAATATATTATTAATTTTAAAATAGTAAAATCATCACTTTGGTTTTATTTTCTAATAATTTAGATAAAATATTTTTTACATATATAATAAATAAGTAAATAAATGAATCTAAATTATACAATAAATAAAAATTAAAAAAACTATCTGTTATATAATATAAATTATACATAATATAATGTTTTATTATATTTACTGTAAAACATCAAACATATATATAGATATTTATTTTTTTAATACCCTTAATGTCATCAATTAATTAAACCCTATTTACTTTTTTTTAAAAACGGCCTTAATATATGAATGAACCTTTACCTTATATCTTTATTTTTTATCAAAATTTAATTAAAAAAAAACAAGCAATTATTTATTATTAATTCAATAAAAATAAATAAATAAATAAAAGAAATTTGATATTAGATAGATAATGTATTTATTTATATCTAAAGCTTATTTAGATCCATTTTTAAATCCATTATTTATCATAGAATAATTTTTATATAGATTATATTAATCAAGCTTAAAAATGGTAATGCAGTTAAAATAGTTTAAAATTAGTTTCCATAAAATAATAAATAGTAGTGTTTGTTATATAATAAAAGTAATCCTTGATCTTAGAAAGATCTCTCCATGATCCAAATATACAAAAGAATTCATTTTTTTCATAAAAGGAAAATATTTCATACAAATAACAAATTTTTAGTTTAAAGTTATATTGAAAATAGTCTTAAATGGTTTTATTTCAAGCAGAAAATTTAGTATCCAAGTGAAATTAGTTCAAAAAATTCATTTTTTGAAATTTTTAGCCTATTTTATAATTATAAATATCAATATAAATGTGTTAAATTGCAAAAAATAAACACAAAAATTAGATATTTATCGTAAAATAATTTTATTAGAATGCAAATATTCCAAAATAAAGTGCTTTTATTATTAAAGATATCCCTTAAGTTACAATTTTTATAAACATATGTTAATCAATTAACATAAATTTAAAATATAGTATTCCTGTTCGTTCAAACGCAATAATTGAAGTTGCTAGAGTTATTTTGAATTATGCTTTAATATATGTCAAATTTATTTAAAATAGTTATTCTTAATTTCTAAGTAAAAATTTAAATAATATTTTATCTATATTTATTAGAATTCACTACTATCGTTTATTGGCTTAAAAATTATTTTTATCAAATATTACAATCATTAAGAAGTTCTAATTGAAATAAATTTTCAGTCATGGCATTAAAATGAATAATGGTAAAATTCAAACAATTTACAAAAATAAATTAATTATAATATTTATAATAACAAGAAAATTTTAAAATCTCTTTTTTCATTTTTAACTAAAATATGTTAGCTAGCTTAATTTAAATAAAATATGATTTTTATTTTATTCATATTTTTTATCATCCTATATATAAAAAATAAATTATTAAAATTAATGTGATTATTGAGGAGTTAATGATAAAGAATATCATGAATTTTAATGTTATTAATTGAATTTTAACTAATAAATTTAAATTTGCAAATACTTATTATTGATTAAAAAAATAAAAGTGTTTTATTTTGTATCTTTCCTTCATCGTTTATGTGTACATTTCTAATAAAAATATATTCAAAAAACTTTTTAAATTAAAAATTGGTAAAAAAATAAATCAAAAAGCAAGTTAAAAACAAATATTAAAAATGATCTCAGATGACAGTAGTTATGAAGAAACAAAGATAAATAATGAAGGTAATCAGGATAAAAATCATTAAGATAGCTTAGGCATAAAATAAAAAAGCTCATAGTAAAGCAGGTCATATTTTTAAAAACCTTAAATGTAATAACAGAAAGAAAACTTGTAAGAAGTTAATCCTTCATTATTTAGTACTCAAGTTGCTACATAAAAAATTCGAGTGTAATTTGAAAGCAAATTAGAACTTGGTTTAGAATAAGAGAGCTTAATTTAATCTTAGATATAAGGAACACAAGATGATATAGAAATATTTTAAAAGAAAAATCAACAAAATAATCTACTTTAAATAAAAGATACTCTTGTGGAATAAGCTGAAAAATTTGCATAAGAATAAAAAAATTAATTGAAATAAACAGAAATTTGTTAAAATTAAACATTATAATAACAACTTGAAAGTTAATTAAATGAACTTCTTAATGAATTAGAGCTAACAGATGCAAAACTAATAACAGAAGAAATAGAAGATTTTTCATATATAATTTAAAGATAAATTAGTAGAAATTAGATAAATATGACTTATGGATCTAAAATAAGACTTAATAAGTTAAATGAAGCACAAGTAAAATACAAGGCATTGCTAGAATTGGAAGGATAAATTCTACTTGATTCAAATTAAGTGAAATAATAATCGTTTGATGTAGAATAGAGTGTATTACCTAAAGAACTAAATTTAGAAGATGAAAGCTGCATTTAATCCTAAGTTAAACTCTACTAAAATTAAAGTTAATAATAATTATTAAAAAAAAAATTGAATGATTTACTATAAGAACTAGATTTAGAAGATGAAAGCTAAATTTAATCCTAGATAAAACTTTATTAAAATTAAAATTAAGTTTAATTATTATAATTTGAAGAAAAATTGAATGTATTACCTTAAGAACTAGATTTAGAAGATGAAAGCTAAATTTAATCCTAAGTAAAATTTTATTAAAATTAAGTTAAATAATAGTAATTTGAAGAAAAATTGAATGTATTACAATAAGAACTAGATTTAGACGACGAAAGCTTAATTTAATCAAAAGTTAATCTTTATTAAATTGAAAATTTTCAAAATCAAAATTTGTTAAAAAATGCCTATGGATCCAAAACAAGACTTGAAAAGCTAAAAGAAGCACAAAGAATCTAAATATTATTAAATAATAAGAGTAATGAAAACCAAATTGAATAACCTTAGCCTAAAAATTCAAATAATAGTCATATAAAACTAAAGGAAAATGAATTTCAAAATTCTGATCTCCCTTAAAATCAGCCTTTTGATGTAATAAAATAGTATAACTTAAGTGATTTAAGATAAGATATTTCTTTAATCCCTGAGAGCAGTGAAAAATACTTACTTGAAATGATAGAAATTTGTTTAAATATATATAAATAAGTAGATACTCCTCAAACTGATCCAGGAAACTCGTAACTTTTGACTTAGAAAGAAAAAATAGAAAAACGTTTAATTATTGAAGATTAAAAAACCCCTGAAATAAGCTTACATTTACAAAATATTTAATAAAACATAGATCAAGATAATTTTAAAGGTATTATTGATGAAACAGATATGCTTATTAAAAAGGTAAGACCTTTAAATATTAATGAAATGAAAAGGTTGATTCATGAAGTAGATAAGGCTGCACAAGCTGTAGAAGGATAAGATATTATTATACTTTTAGGTGGAACAGGAGTAGGAAAATCAACAACTATTCATTTTTTAGCTGGCTCAGAGATGGCTGAGCGAAAAATCGAAATAGAAAAAGGAGTTTTTAAAAATTACATAGGTCCTGTTGAAATAAAGAATAAGACTCTTTAAAAAGTAAAAGTAGGATATTCAGCTACCTCTGAGACCCGTTTTATTACACCTGTAAATATTAATTTTAAAGACCTTAATATGGTTTCAAGTGATTCAATAATTTTATGTGATTCACCTGGTTTTGATGTTATTTCAGGGCCAGAAGTAGATATAGCAAATGGTTTAGGAATTGTTAAAGTAATCAAAAAATGTAGGAGTGTGAGACCTGTAATATTGCTAAGTTTCGAGAGTTAGGGTGATAGAGGTTAAGGTATTAAACAATTAGCTCACATATTGATAGGATTTGTTAACGATATTTAAGATAAAATTAGTTCATTATCTTATCTATTTTCAAAATATCCTAAAGATTATAATATAAATTCTGAATTAATCAATATTAAGAATATTATTGATTAGATTACAGAAGAAAAATCTGATGAAGCTTTTACTATTCTAATTGATGACATGATTGAGAAAACTAAGAAATCACGTAACATAATAGATCCTCTTAAAGGAAATCCAACAGAAATTTTAAATAACCTAATGAAACAGGAAGGAATTTAAGATCCTAGTTAAGTTTTCAAATTTTCTATAACAAATAATTCTTATTCTGCAATAACAAACTATATTTTTAAAACAAAATAAATTATCATTTCTGCACTAAGTAGAAGTGAGTATGAATTAATTAATTTTAAGTTAGACGAACTAAAATTTTTAATAGAAATCTTAAATTTAGAATCTATAAAAAAAGTTTATGAGGATTGTGTAAATTATATTAAGGAAGCTATCAAAAAAGACTACGAAAATGCTACTGAGTAGCTAAATTAATAAATAGAAAACAAATTTATTTAAAAGTGTTCATAAATACAAAGCTTGAGAAACAATCATTTAAGTGCTAATTTTAGTAATTCTAACGAATTAATTGATGAATTAAAGCTTGCAGTTAAAAAATTGGCTCAAGTTTTTGGCTAAGAAAACATCATTCAATCTCCAGTATTAGTGGAAGCAAACTTGTAAGAAGACATTCCTAATAATATCATTAGAGTTGTTCCTTAAAAAGCTGAAGAGTAATTTGAAAGTTAATTAAATTAGCTTCTTCAAGAATTAGAACTAGAAGATGCAAGACTAAGAACAAAAGAAATAGAAGAAGTTAAAATTCTAATTGAAAAGTAAACTAGCAGAAATTAGATAATCAATGCTTCTAATTCTTAAAAAAGACTTGATAAGTTAAATGACGCCAAAGCAAAATACAATGCATTACTAAAATTGAAAGGGGAAACTCAACTTTATTAAAATTAAGTTAAACAATAATAATTAGAAGAAAAATTGAAAGCTTTACTAAAAGATCTAGATTTAGAAGATGCTAGCCTAATTGAATATGAGATTGAAGATTTATTAGAAGATATTGACAAGCATAAAAAGAAAAATCAACAAAGTCAAGTACTAGAAAAAAAAGAAACTCTTAAAAAACTGGAAGATGCTCAATAAGTTGCATAAGAATTAAAAGATTTGAAGCAATAAACTGAAGGTTTTTAAAATTAAACTCAATAATAACAACTTGAAATTTAATTAAATTAGCTTCTTCAAGAATTAGAGCTAGATGACGCAAGACAAATAACAGAAGAAATAGAAGAAGTTAAAAATGATATTCAAAAGTTTACTAACAAAAAGTAGTTAAGCAAAGCTTCTGAATCTAAAATAAGACTTGATAAGTTGAATGAAGCCCAAGTAAAATACAAGGCATTGCTAGAAATGAAAGGAGAAACTCAACTTGATTAAAATTAAGTTAAACAATAATAATTAGAAGAAAAATTGAAAGCTTTACTAAAAGATCTAGATTTATAAAATACTAGCCAAATTGAATCTGAGATAAAAGATTTATTAGAAGAGATTGACAAGCATAAAAAGAAAAATCAACAAAGTAAAGTACTAGAAAAAAAAGAAACTCTTAAAAAACTGGAAGATGCTCAATAAGTTGCATAAGAATTAAAAGATTTGAAGTAATAAATTGAAGGTTCTTAAAACTAAACTCAATAATAATAACTTGAAATTTAACTAAATTAGCTTCTTCAAGAATTAGGACTAGAAGATGCAAGACTAATAGAATAAGCCCGAGTAAAGTAATTTCTACTTGATTAAAATCAAGTTAAAAAATAATAATTAGAAGAAAAATTGAAAGCTTTATTGGAAGTACTAGATTTAGAAGATGAAAGTTAAATTTAAGCTGAGATCTAAGTCACTCTTGATTAAATTGAAATTTGCCAAAAGAAAAATTAACAAAATAAAGTACTTAGAAAAAAGTAAACTCTTGAAAAACTAAAAGAAGCAGAACAAATAGCATAAGAATTAAAAATTATAAATAAATAAACTACTTATTAATAATAGCTTGAAAGTGAATTAAGTTAAATCTTTATAGATTTAGATATAAATGATGCAAATTTATTATAAGAAGAAATAAATGATGTTGAAAATCAAATTGAAAAATATATGAGCAAAAATTAGTTAAAAGATACCATTTAATCAAAAATAAGACTTGAAAAGTTGAAAAAAGCATCAGCAATACATAAGGAATTACTAGAATTGAAAGGAGAAATTCTACTTGATTAAAATTAAGTTAAATAATAAGACTTGATAAGTTAAATGAAACCCAAATAAAATACAAGGCATTACTAGAATTGAAAGGAGAAATTCTACTTGATAAAATTAATTTAAATAATAAAAATTAGAAGAAAAATTGAAAGTTTTACTGAAAGAACTAGATATAGAAAATGGAAGCTACATTTAATCTGAGATCTAAGAAGCACTTGATTTAATTGAAAGTTATCAAAAGAAAAATAAACAAAATAAAGCACTTTAAAAAAAGGAAACTCTTGAAAAACTGAGAGTAGCTGAACAAATTGCATAGGAATTAAATGATTTGAAGTAATATAGCTAAATGCCATTCAAAAATTTAGTGAATTGAGATCACTAATTTTTTGTATTGCTGATATATTTGAATATTATTTATATAAAAATAAATAATTTTATAATAGAATTTAATTAGTAATATTTATTATTTTAATTTATATCAATTTTTATGATTTTTCTATTAATTTTTTAATTTTAAAATTTTTTTTTAATCAATTTTTTTTTTCTTGTTTTTTTTAAAAATACATTCTAAAAATATTCTGAGGAATAAAATTTAAAAATGTAAATTATAATAGAAATTAATTAAGGTTATTTTTTAAATCAAGGTTTCAAAGAGTATTTATTTATACTAAACCTTTAACAGAGAAGGTTCTGATTATCTTAATATATATGTATGTTAATATTTGGAGGAGTTCATATAACTAAATTAAAATTATTCATATTAAATAGCTTGAGAGCCTCCTTACTTTATAATTATATTTAAAGCTTTAAATATATTTCTCGTAAATTCAAACAATTTAGAAACAATTATAGCATCTATCTATATGTTAGAATAAAAAAATTTATTTAACACTTTTTTAAATTTTAACTCTTATATGCTAATTTAAGATACAATAAGGT